GGGGAGACTCCGGGGCCAGTCGGCGACACGTTCGAAAAAGGTGATTGCTTTATTTTGCTTTCGGAAAACTTCCTGAAGCGTTAATCCGTTGCTTACATTTCCAGAGACCACAAGGCTACTTGTTCGAGTTTTCCGGAGCTTGAGGTAGTCGACACCCGGAGCTGAAAAAAGCGAAAAAGCTCAAATTCCTGTCAAACGTCGGTCTTCTAGACTCCAGTTAACGACGACGTCGAATGCAAAAGACTGTCTTTTTGGAAAATTCTTCCGAGATCGAAGCTCGGCCTTAATTTGTAGCAAAACCCCGCCAAACGGTGGCGAATATTTATCCAATGAATTAGGGACGAACGTGGCAGAGGATTTGTAATGTACAGATGGCGTGTTGATTGATCGGATGTGGGCACACAAAGAACGCACCGTATGCAGATGACCCCGCGTTGCGCATTGTTGCGATCTTCTGAAGAAATTGACTGTTTCTTTTTTTTTCGGAAAGGTGAGAGATGCTCATTGGATGTTTTAGAATGTTTATAACAAAATTACATTGGCTCGAAAATACACACATTTTCCTTGCGATAAAAAGTTGGTCAAAATTCGAGGAGGCATTTAGCGGCATATAGATGATATAAAAAATCTCAAGAAACCAGACAAAGAACGGATGTAAAAAGACTAGCTCACACAATTGCGATAAACTATAAGATAAATTATTATTTAAAAATCGAAAATCAAAACTCTGAAATCACACCACCGGCCTTCAAAAAAAGCATCAAAAATGAAGTAGTGACGAAATCGAATCCAATAAATATCAATTATACACAGATAGCACCAACTGACTGCAGGGGAGATTGGAAAATAACAAAAAAAGGTACAGTTTTAAAAAAAATAATGAGGGTTTCCAACAAGAAAAAGCTATGAAATGACAAGGAAACCAGAAAAAGGGTCATTGAGCGATGGCAAAAATAGGCGTACGAAAATATGAGAACTCATGGCAAGATTGCATAGCACTTCGAAGAGAAATGGAAAAAAAAACTCATTGACAAAAAGGCGAGATCATCAGAGGCAAGTGAAAAAATGATCAAATTCGAAACCAAATTACCACACCAACAAGAAAAAAAAAACCAGCAATAAACTTTTTTTTTGTTCAAAATTCGCATGTTAAATAAAAATGAGTTCCAAATAAAATGGAACCGGAGTAAACTTTTCCGAGTTTTAAAATTCGAAAGATGTAGTCTTTAGGTGTTACAAGTTGATTTGGTTCGATCTCTAAAATATCTATGAAAACCTAAGATTTGGATGAGAATTGATTTCATTCTGCAGTGGAAATGGGCGAACGAGAATGTACAGGGGTCCCGGCAGGTTGAGAAGGCGTCGGCGTCGGCGTGGACGAAGGCGACGTCGGCGACACGGATCCGTCGGCTGCGGAGACGAGGTTGGACGGCGTCACCGAGACTCCGGCCTCTCGGTACGGCTTGCAGTAGGAGTAGCGGTGGTTCATGTGTTGGCTGTAGCTGCCGGAGTGCGAGAAACGCTTCAGACACTTGTCGCACTGGAAAAAGATCATCAATTCTATGTGGAATTGCTGGAAAAACATCAGGAAGAAAATTTAGGATTTAAACTGTGAAATCTTCATATGCTCCAACAGATCTTTAATTTCTAATAGAGTAAGTAATACTCGAAAGGAAAAACCGATTTTTCATTTTTAATTTTACTTCTTCAGGGTACTTTTTCAAGTACACGATTTTTGTGTTACTGCAACAGTCAAGATTCCGGAAATCTTGTAAAATAGGAAATTCTGACTACGGTTTACTATGCTGACAGATCAACTTTCTATCACATAAGAAAAAGATGAATAATTGAAGAATAAAATTTATTTGAACAGATTCAGTTTCAGGTGATCTCAAATTGGAAAACCGACCTGGAACGGTTTCTCGCCAGAGTGCAGACGCTTGTGTTCGGTGAGGTGGTGCTTGTGCTTGAAAGCCTTCTCACAGATATCGCATTTGTACGGCCGTTGACCTGAAAGCCGATTCACCGGTTAATCGCGTTAATCCTCTTCAGGGCGGCAGAAGACGTGCTGACGTCTGGGGCCAGGACCAAGAAAATGCTCAATTGGCCTCTACTAGTCCAATTAGGTTCAAATGGGGCCTCTTTCCCCAAACACAAACGCATATTGTGCAATAGTCGTGTTGATCCTCCTCGATTTCGCGATTCGGGGGAATTAACCGTATTGAGCATTCAATCATCTCATAAACAAATAACTAGAAAGTGCATCTGTCGCTTGGCTTTCAAAATACCCCATCTAACTTGAAACACTGACTGAAGAAAAGCAGAATTCGAAGACCAACCGGAATGCTCGTATTTGTGGCGCGCGAGAGAACTCTGCTTTCCGAACACCTTGTCGCACTGGTCGCAAGAGAAAAGTCCTTCGCCTTCGTCGATCGACGCCAGTTTTCCCTTCAATCTCTTGGAGTCGTTGGAGCAGAGACTCGAGTTGTCGTCTTCACTGCGACGTTGCTGCAAATGAACGAAATACACACAAATTACGAAAACTGATGATCTACAGAAGGGCGGTTTGACAAACTTCAATCCAATTAAGTCAAAGTTTTAACTTCTTATTCGAATACTTCATTGCTTTTAAAAAACGTGACTGTTAGAGAAAAAAAACTGAGAAACTCTCAAGTTCACTTCACAATTTTTTTCGCCTATATCTAGCAGAAACTAGATTTTCTTTCCATTCCTTTGAAAAATAAGAATTTCATTTTTATGGTAACTTATTGTGCAATTTCACTCACCTCTAGAACTTTCTGGAGTTCGGTAGAAAGGTTCCCACTAAGCATCGAGCCGTATTGATTGATGAACATGCTGGACGAGGGCCAGATCGAACTGACAGTCGATGACGGCGGAGACGTCGGCTCTTCTTTCTTGACGACGTCGTCGTTGGTGGAGAGAAAGTCGCCGCCCGCCTGCTTCAGAAGCTCCTGCAGCGCCGTCGTGCTTTGGTCAAGAAAACCTGGAAAGAAAAAAAATCAGATTCCAACTGGAGGAGCTTTTTTTTTTGCTCAGTAACTGCACGAACCGACAAGTTTCTCGGGACTCCACTCAGGCTCTTCTTCGTCGCGAATGACCGTCAGGTCTAGAGGCGTTTCTTTTCCTTCGGCGATATCTTCATCCATAGTTTCCTCGTCTTCCAACATGTCATCGCTATGTACAGTGTTTGATTCTCCCTTAAAAAAAGCTTTTTGAGCAATTTGCTGTGGGAGATAATTCCCGAGTTCTAGAATGCGTCATTTTCATCCTCTATCTAACGAAGAATATGTTTTTTTTTTCATCTTTTTCGAAAACTTTCCATTCCGGGAAAAGATACAATTAATGCTACTTGAGCCTTCGCGCTTTTAGTTATGAACAAATAGCTGTTTGAACTTTAGCTATTTTACATTTTTCGAACGAGGGAACGTGAAATGCAAAAGATCCCTGGGAATTTCTCCTGACAGACAAAGGAAGGGACTACGCTTGGAGCATCATTAGCAGGTGGTTCGCGTCGCGGAGACCTCCTAAACAGTTTACCCCCGGCGTCTCCTCCTAATACAAATGCGATATTTCACGCTCCACACTTTGCGCTTCTTTTTGTCTCACGTAAATTTCATCCTCCCCTTTTAGTGTGTACGTCACCTCAGAAAACAAGAGAAAAAAGGAGCGTGTGTGCGTGAAATGGAAACATTCATTGCCTTGTTTCGAATGGCGAGCAAATGTCAAGTACCACCGTGAAACTTCTTGAATCATACGCCAATTGATTCATCCTGGAGGTATTCTTGATTTTCGATGTTTCGTTCAAAGTTAAGTTACCTAGCAATGAGAACAAAAAAAATGTCAAAAAAACTGTTTTGATAGAGTTCTCGCTTCACAGCGCCGTTTTTCGAGCATTTCGTCACTCTTTTTGAAAAAAAAAAATTGTGAACGTTCCTATTTTTTAATATTTTTTTGAAAAAAAATTGGCAAACTAATAATTTTTTTACCGTTTCTGTTCTCATTTCGCTTGTGAGTGACCTTGTGGATGTACCGGTTTTTTCAGGAATGAAAAAAAGCTATGAAAAAAATACAACACTGTAGGTTCAAAATCTGGTTATAAACTCTCTATAATTGAAAAAAAAGTGATGGATTACTGTAGAAAACCCTCAGGACTCTTATTCTCGCGCCTCTTTTGTCTCTATGAATGCGAATGCCCATCTGCCGTGTTCGTAGCAATAGAGGTAATAGGATGAACGAAAATGAGACAGCCAACACCTGAACCCCCGAGATGAAAAAGGAGCAGCGAGCCGAGGCGATAACTAACCAATTGAGGTGCATCCGGCTGAGCTGAACCCCTCTTTCTTTTTGTTTTAGCGCTTCAGTTCTGTAGGCAGAAAAGGATATCCGCCAGTTTTGGACAAAAAAATATATTTCAATGTTGTAGCAAATATATTGGGTATTCAATATTTTCAGTTTTTGCAAGAAAAAGCGACTGTCGAACCCATTTTAAAGAGAAGAATAAGTTTGAACTCTAGAATTCATAAAACTACTGCGATGAATACTTTAAATGACAATCACCGAGACAATTAATCAAAAAGTACGACTCAGGCTGAAGTTTTTCGTGGAACCTGCACCTAGGGAGCGCATAAAGCAAGAGCCACAGCTGTAGCTCGTTTATGCGGTGGGAAAAACTCGCAGGAGGTTGAATTTATTGCGCCAGCGGGGTACGGTGACGCAGGTGCCAAAATATTTTCGATTAGGTCTCGAGAACTTTTTTTTCGCTCGAAACGCAGGTAGAAGAGCTCTTTTAATGGACGTTTTCCACGCTGGTATGGAATTTTGGCAAAAACCACCTATTGAATGTGAGAAAAACATTCGCATTGAAATAAATGAGTTTTTTTTACACAAGGTCAAGGATTTTGCAAAATTAGGTTGCTAAAAACGAGAAAAAAGTTAATTTTCCACTTACATCAAAAAAAAATTTTTTTTGACCTAATTCTCAATTTAAAAAAGGCACGTTTACTGTAGTTAACTGTAGTTTTGAGATTGATAGTCTAAGAAAATGAAAAACAAGCTTCCATCGGAAAGATAGGTGAGGTTTCAAAAGGGAGTCGAAGTACCTGAGAGACGGTGGCGGTGTACTGCTGAGCCCAGGCGGCCATGATCTGTGCGGCGTTCGGCTGGACGGCGGGCGGAGGCAGGGCCAGGGAGGCCCAAGGGCCGCCGACGGCCGGCACGACTCCGAGAGCTCCGTTGCCGCGTGGAGTCGTCGGCAGTCGGTTGCTGCGACGCTCCTTGGCTCGCGTGTTTTGGAACCACACCTGAAATTGTCAAGTTGAAACTATGTTTCTGTGGCAGATCGAAACCATTAAAAATTCTTATTCTCACTCATCTCTGCTGGTATTAAAGTTTAGCGTAATAAAAATTCCAAATATACACACATTAAACGAATTTTTTCCATATATTTGAAAATGGCGGAATAAGTAATTCCAACAGACAATCTTAAAACCTTCGTCAAACTGATTATATGGTTTTCACGCGGAATTAATTTTATAAACACTCGTATAAAAGATCTATAAAAAAATTCCAAAACAATATTTTTACAAAAAAATGGGCGAAAGCGTTAAATTTTCACAAAAAAACAGTAGGTTTTTTTAAATTGAAAGGTTAGTCGATTTTTGAAAAAGACAAATTATGGTATACCTGGACAACGCGCTTGTTGACGCCAATCTGCTCGGCCACAGCGGAAAGTTCATACTTCGAAGGGAACGGATTGCGCTTGAAATGTGTCTGTAGTACGGCGACCTGAAAGAATACTTTGAAAAGCCGAAATATTTCCAATGGTAAACCTGAGAATCATTGAGAAAACTTCGCGACCGTAGCGGACGCCAATCGGGAGAATTTTTGCCGTCGCCGTCAAAGTTTTCCAGAGCTCCGTTTTCGGCATGCTCCTCCGCAGCTGGAGAATGAGACAATTCCTGAAAACTCTAAATAAAAAGATGGCTCAAAAATGAAAGGCTCAATTTTCTGAAACTTTCAAAAAGGCTAGAAAATGATGGAAAGATCTCTTTTCAGTGTCAGACTTAGTGTTTCATAACTGATAGATTTTCTCCAAATTTCCTTTTAAGGAGGGGAATGAAGAGATGAAAGCTTCACAATTACAAAATGATAATTTGAATACATGATCTACCTCTCTTCATGTTTTTTTTTTCAGATTCTTACAGTACAAACCTTCTTCTCGACGATCGGCTCCTCTTCCTTCGTCCTCTCAACCTCGCCTTTGACAGCAGAACCGCCGGGAGACGTTCTCGGCGAGCTCAAAAGGCTGGCCTCTGAAGCGGCCGACGTATTTAGGTATGCAGCCAGAAGCGATGGTGACGTCGTCGTCGATGGCGTCGACGTTGATGATGACGTCGTAGCGTTTTCCAACTGAACAAAAAAAAAGTTTTTCCAGACATTCTCTCATTGCTTTCAGGTCGTTTTCACACCTTTTCAGCAAGCGCACGTAATTACGAGGAACACTCATTTCCGAGCTTCTCGGCGGCCCAATCGTGCACCTCTTCGCCTAGCTAGACACTCCAGACGCTCTCCACTCTCATTTTCAAACGCTGCTCGATACACTCTCCTTTCCACCTTCTTCACCTAATTAATACTTGGGTCTCTCGCGAGAGCACATCTGTGTGCTTATGTCTTGAGGCTCTGTCCCATGTCCAACATTCAGTTATCTATCAAATATACCCTCAAGTGTTTCTAAAAGAATACTTCAATCCACAGAGGAGCTCGAAAATAGGATAAAAATCTATGGTTTCAAATTTGCAGATATTTTACGATTGGCAAAAAGCTGAAAAAACTGACGCCTTGCAAAATATTCTGCTGAAAAAAGTTCAAGTAGGCGGCCGGGTTGGAGTCGGTGGTGGCTGCCGCAACGGCGCCAGCGTTGAGTCCGAAGGCCGGCGTCTGCAGCTGCATCATGATGTTGCGGTACATCATGAGCTGGTACGGGTTGAACGGCTGCAAAAGTGTCGGCGCCGACTGAAACAACATTTTTTGATTCTGTTCTGAAAAGACAGCCAACACACCTGTTGAACGCATTTTTTGCTGCTCATGTGCGACGAATACGAACCCGAGTGCGAGAAACGCTTGTGGCAGGAGGCACACTGAAATTCAGAGATAATTAGGACGGTTTTGAATCGAAACTTGAATAACTGGACTACCACTCTACTCACTAACTTTTCCCCCGAATGAATTTTCCGAATAAACAATCTCAGGAGAAGAAAATGCTTGTTTTTGTGTGGCCGCAGACGACACTGGCAGCTTAAAGCCTCTTTTTCCCGCGCTGAATTCAGATGCAGAAGGAGCTGTCGCTTCCCACCTTTTCGGCGAATTATTTTGGCCCTACACTCCCATCCAAAAACGCGTCGTCCTCGCTCGTTCCACGTTGATAATCAGAGAGGCGTCGAGTCGCACATGAAATTGCCCTGGGGCCATTCATTCCAAAAATGCCATCGCCGACCTTCGATGAATGCTCCACGCAGGGAGGATGAGCAGGAAGGCTACCACCTCCATTCTGTTTCTTTGCAAACTTCTCTTAAACCTACTTCAGAAAATTTTTCATGAGCTCTCTCCAAAAATGATGAACTATTTACACACAAAGGATATTTCGCAAGGGAACTTCATTTTTTTTGAATGTGTTTATTTGGTTTTCCACAAGTTTATAGTGAACTTTTGACTTTAAAATATTTAATCGAAACAATAAAAAGAAATTTTTTCCTTTTTAGCTTCATACTCGTCCAATTTATAAGAGTTAGAATTATAGAGTAACAGAAAGCGTTTTGAACTTGAAAAAAATCAAAGAAAAAAAATTATAAAAATTTTTGCATTTCCCAAAATGGTTCGATGTCTTAGAACCTTATGTCAAGATCTACGAGGACCTTTCGAAGTTCCAACTATGGGAAAAAGAGAGGCATGAGGACCCTCGATTTTGGAAAATTTCAAAACATTCAGAAGTTTCTTGAGGACAAAGCACCTCGATTGGGTGTCCACCTAAACCCAACGGTGAATTCATAATCCGCCGGAGGGAAAGCCGCGACACGTCGTGCCTTCTCTCGAGCCTTCAGCCGGGTCTCCGTCGCGCACGTACTCTCTAGCAGTCATACACCTTGAGGCGCCTGGAGACTCCGCAAAACACGGTGAGCTCCAGCCGCCACACCTGGTCTACGTTACCTGCTCTGCGGCAAATAAACGCTCGCCGCCCCGTTACCGTATGCCGCATATAATCGCTTGGCACCTTGGCAACCGGATTACGGTGACACTAAACAAAAAGGTCCTAGATGTTACTCCAGGAAAAAAAGTTCAAAAAAGTCAAAAATAGAGTTTCATTCATGAACGTTGCTTTCAGATTTCAGAGCGATCGGAAAAATTATCAGAAAAAAGTTGATTAATTTATGCATAGTTCAACACGTCAAACTATCATAAAAGTTGTTAGAAATAATTTATATATGCACATTCCTAAAATTAAAACTTTCGCGTCTTTTGATGACCGCGATAATTTTTGGATGCCATAAAGCTAAAAGAAAACTGATGAATTTTTATATTCACTACAGAAAGCTTGCTGAATTCTTCAAAAGCGCAAGAAATGTGTCCGATAGACTATTGCTTGAACATCGACGCATTTTTGTCATTTAATCGTTGAAAATCTAGAACTTTGTTTCCGAAAAGGTGTAAGTCTACATGAAATGAATTTTCGATGAAAATTACCGAAAAAAGATGAAATTGAATTGTTTCAATAACATATGAGCAACTCGTCCAAACTAATTCTGAAGGGTTCAGATCATAGTCAGTTTCCTAGAGACCTGATAAAAATGAGATTTGGCTCAGTTGGGGTTCTCATTAATAGAAAAAAGTAATTTTGAAGGAAGCAGTCAATTTCCTTTCATTCTAATGTATTTCCAGGAAGCGGCGACCTCCCTTCGAATAAGCATATGTAGTACGTGCGGCAAAACATGTGTTACACCGGAGCAGTTTTGCGGCGCGGCCCAGGTATAAGACAGACGAGTGATAAATGATGAAGACACAACAGAACAGGTGCCGCCAGTACCTAATACTCAGGTCGAGTCCAAGCATTTCAGCTCTCAGCTTAACAATTCAGAAAAAAAACATTAAAAATGAAAAACAACATTTTTGATCTTCTAACCCCAACTACCACATCAAAAGATTTGAAAAAATGAAAAAAAAAATCCAATAAAATATAAAAGAACAAGATTGAAAAACGTGAATATGAAAGAAAAAAAAAATACCTCGAAAGGTTTTTCGCCGGAGTGTATCCGAATGTGCTCCTTCAGATGGTGCTTGAACTTGAAAGCCTTCCCGCACTCGGGACATTTGAACTTTCGAAGAGCGTCGTCCGAACTCGGCGTACTGATCGTCGACGGCGGCGCCGACATCACCGGCGAGTCCGCCACATCCACCATCAGCCTCAAAGTCAATCATTTTTTTAAGGAAATACCAAAAAAAAGCAAACGCGAGGTGTGCAATTCTAACAGATCAAACTTTGAAAAACTTCCGCTATAGTTGAAAAAGGCTATCGGAAAAAATAAAAGAAGAACTTCAATTTCTATTTCAGTTCATGAACAGCACCATGTCGTGGCTTATAGAATGTTCGAAGAAATAGAAAACAAGAAAAAGTGAATACATTTTTCAATCTCTGAACGAATATCACGCAATGAAAACAATGTACAGGACTTTTGTCTGAGGTTCTCGATTGGCATCGAATTCTGAAAGTTGCACGATGATTTGCGTTAGAAATGTTGCGGACCGGTTGAGCCGGAGCTGTTTGATTCATTTGGAATGAGTGCTCTCCTGCCAGAACAACTACGCCAGGAGCAAAAGAGGATGCGGCACACGCGCAAAACGCACAAACGGCCGTGTGGGAGAAGAAGAGAGTGAGATCAATGCACACCTGGACACGCCCACTTTTCTTCCGTGTTCTCCAGAGCTTGGACCAACCACCGTAGAGGTTCTGGAGGCGGAGACTCCGCCAGAGGTGTCCAAAAAATCAGCTTTCTAAGATTAATCGGTCTTCGAGTTGAGAACAATAATCCAGTTCTGTGTAAATCGCAGTTATCGGATGGCAGCAAGAATATGAGTTGAAATCATTATCAGAATGAAGTTTCAAGACAGGCAGCGACAAAAAAAAAACGGTAGATCAGTTACTCATGAATTTCGCAATTGCATTTTATAATCCCTCAACTTTTTTGAAATAGCTCTAGATAAAAACGATTGAAGGCATGACAAAGTAATGGAAAACAAGCTACCGGAATCGCACTGAACGCTTTCCACACGTGTTTTCATTTTTTTTTTTGCTCAACGAGTCTAGAGAAGAAAAAATTCGCTCCCACCGCAAAACGCTTTCGGCAATGAATCTGCGGCTGCAGGTTCATTTACGTTTTCCTGAGAGTCTTCAACGTTTAAGCCTCGCCAAAAACGCTCACGTTGGAACATAACAATCAAAGGAAGATAGAAAAAAAAAAACTACATCGGTCAAATTCATCAGAAAAAAAGCAAGCGTTTTTTTGGAAATATTTCTTTAAAAAAAGAGATGAGTAAACTTGAACAAATCTCAATTTTTTTTTCATTTTTTTTTCACTGGTATATTTTTGTAAAGGTTTAAACCTTACGTGATTTTTTTCACTTTTATTATAACCTTTTTTGAACTATTGAGCAGTTTCCAAAGGATACAAAAACCAGAAGCTGAGCAGAATAACATAGAGTTAACTTGAAAAAAAGAAAAATAAGTAAGTCTAGAATTGGCACGAGCCCAGAGGATAATTAAGGTAGCACAAAAAAATTTGATACTACGAAATTTAATTATTAAACAATCAAATAAAGAACACATCGCTTTCCTTTGAAAAAAATTGGATAATATTCGCAGATAAATTCTTATAACATTCTGATCTCAGAAATAATTCTTCAATTAAAAAAACATTTTTTTAGAACTATCTTCTTACCTTGCCGCACTATTTGTTCTCCGAAATTTCGTTATTTTTTTTCAGTCTGTAGCCGTTTTTTGAATCTTGCGGAATACTCTGAACAGGCCATAAAAAAAGTATTAAATTTTGACTTTTTATTTTTTTAATGATTTATATCTTGTTCACTAGCGCGCATTTTTCTACTTTATGCCGTTTTGAAAACAGTTGCCGCGAAATGAAAAAAATTATCTCTTACTCTCCAAATTTTAGTTATCTTTTTCTTTCTCTGACGGCAATTTTTTATTTCGCGGAATCACTTTGAAAACGGTATTTTCAATAAGGTTGGTTATTTGAATTAAAATATTTCATTCGTTTCGATAAACAAGAGAAAAAAACTTCTTTAACTAATTTTTTTCCGTGAAAATCTCTCTATAAAAGATTTTTAATTGAATAAGGTCAAAAGCCTAAAAAAAAACGAAAGGGAGAATTCAAGTCGAAATGACTGCTTTCGCAGCCGTCGGGATTAGCGAGTGAGAGTATTTGCAATAGATAAAGTTGGTAGCGGACACGCTCTCATTTTGGAACAAGGAGGAAAGGCGGGAAACGAAACCTGTATACAGAAGAAGTCAGGAACAAACTACTCGTTGTATTACAGCTTCGGGAACCAACCGATCTCGAGAGATACGAGACAAGCCTTGGAAACCAGTGGGCTTGATCCCAGATCTGCAGGAAAACACCTTCTTCCAAGCTTCAACTTCCCATTAACGCCAGCCGGCCGACTCATAACAAGCCGCTGTTGCGAATCTGCCAAAACGGCGACGATCTCCCTTTTTTGCGTCAATTCTAATGAAAATCATGAACAGAATCAAAAATGATAGTTTTTTGAAGTTGAAACGATTTAAGGTCTTCAAAAAGACAAGCACAATGGTGGCAGGAAGCTTTCCGATGGTGCGTTATTTACAAGACGTTGCGAAGAAGTGTATTAGAGAAGGCAAAAAAGGCCGCTCGAATGATGGGCGGAAGGATTATGATGCCAAGATGAATTCGGCCAAGGTGTGCCTGAAGGGATCCGAAGACTTGCTGGTCAGAATGAGGCTATTCGAATTCCTGCCGCGGCATGATCCAACGAATGATGTGTTTGGGAGACTCAGAGGCTTTTCGCGTAGATTTCAGGAAGATTATTTTCTTATTTATCACAAAGAAAAAAAAATAACAAACTTTTCTCGCTGATTCATCAAGAAGTTGATCACAAATATTTTTAGAGACTGTAAAAGAAAGGGATAGAAGAACAGGTAAAAATATAGATAAAACTTTTGTGCAAGGAAAACGGAAAGTTTCAAAATTATGAGATGGAGCTACCGTACACCTGAGATGAAGGCTGTGCGGCTGGCTGCCTGGTTATGGCAGAAGGTGACCTCAGAGGCGGACCGGTCTGTCGCGATTGTGGGCGGAGCGTTGAGCATCATCCACGTTAAGTAATTGGATGAGCTGATGCCGGCTCCGCCCGCTGATGAGGACGAGACTCGACATCCAGTCCTTAATGAGCCGCACCCTCAGGTAGATCAAATTATGGCAAGGCCTTAGACGCGCACTCCTCACATTGTTTTGCGTCTTTTCTCGAGCAACGCGAAGTACGTCGTGCCAATTCGTTTATCCGAGTTCGAAAGAAAGAGAAGCAAGGAAAAAAGCCTCCCATTGGAGGCAAAGGTGTTCGCAGGTGCGTTTGCCAGAAAAAGCGAAACAAAGAAGCCTTGACAAGAGGGAAACCAAGTGACGCGTTTTTTTTTTCGTTTCACGAGACACCAGCGATAAAACTTCAAGTATTTATATTTATGTTTCCAATAAACTTTTTTCGAGAACAAAACAGAGAGAGATTAAGTCTAATATTTAAAAAAAAACTATAGGAGTTATACATTTGCAAGCCAAGATAATGTTGTCAAAATCTGAAAATTTGGTAGAGAATTAGGAATATTATTTTCTAGGACAGTTTTCCTTACAGTTCAAACTCGAAAGCTTTTTTTCACTTCAAAATAAAAAATCGCCTACAAAGGAAAAATGGTTATCGAAAAGTTTAATGGAGAAGGAATACAATTTTTTTTTCTCTTATTTTTAAAAATGTTTATAGCCTATAAATTTTAGGTCTTTTTTTTCATTCCGTCAAAATATTCTGGAACTTTTAGAAAACAGTTTCTCCGTTATTTCATCATGGTTAAGTCGCACGAAATTGAGCGGAGACGATAAATAGGAGAGGCGCGTCGGGACAGCTGATCGTGTAAACGTTTACAAGGACGATGCGTCGGGTTTTGATGAAAAGGTGGCATCTGGAGGTATTCTTTCGCTGTTGCACCTGCGCTGCCCGGTTTTGAACCCAATCAAGGCCTTCAGAGCCAGCTTGATCACCTCGAGCACTATTAATTCTTTAAGAATTATTTTTTTAAATCTTTTTTTAAACTTTATAATTTTTCTTTTAAAAAAACTGGATGGAACTTTTTTTCAAGTGTATTTATTAGCACACAAGAACCGCAACTTGAAAAAAAATTCTTTTTCAAAAAAACGAATTTTTTTCGAAGCTTTCAAAAAGTCATTTACAGAAGAATTTTTGACAAAAATTGATTATAATTTGACCAAAGCGCCTTTTATCAAAAATAGAAAAGTATTTGATTCTAAAGATTTCGCTACCGAATTAGCGCAGATTCAAGGTCAACTGCATCTTCTTATTTTATATGTGTTCATTTGAAAAAAGGCTTGAATTTGTTCCCGAGTACTTTTTCTTTCGAGCAGTTGTTTGAGGGTCCGAATAAAAGCCATGGCAAAACTCTCATCAACCGAATTGGATGGGACGGCGGCGCGAATTCGAAAAATGATCAAACGTCCGGAACGGCACCTGTTTTTGGAGGGACGGTAGACGATGGGAGCAGCTGCCTCGAGCATTGTTATGACTCTTCCATTTCGCCTCACATTCAACTCGATTTATAACGACGCTGCGAAGGAGCTCGTCAAAACTCGCCGCCACCGCAAAATGGTCTCGTCTGGAATTCATTCCAGAAGTCGGTGGTCCAAGGTTTTCAGGAGAGGCTTGGCCTCACGACAAAAGCATCGATTAGCGTGGGAACGTCTCGTCTGCTACCACACGCGCTCATCAGCTTATCCGGCATCTCGGGTTTCATTGAGGGCTTAGGTGGTCGCATCCGATGGGAAGAAGACGTCTGTCAGGCTCCCAAGAAGGTAACAGACGGTTGGCTCGCGCTCATTGTACACACACCAGCTCTGGGTTAATAGCCAATCTACAGTAATTGATGAAGGTAATGTCACCTCTCTGTTTGCGCTAATTATGGAGCAGAAGAAGGTTCAAGAAAACTTTGTTTTCTGAAATTTCCTCACCAAGCATAATAGTTGAAAAGCTCCAGTTTGTCATAGTTCGTCAAGTTTCGCCAGAGTTTCGGGTAATCACTTGGAGAGTTCTACCAAAGTTCAATCAAATGAGATATTCACTTCCGTTTTGTTTTAAACGTTACTTCAAAATAACAAGCAATCCAGATTTCTGTTAAAACCTTCAAAAAAGAACTGGAAAAAGCACAAAAAAATTAATACATAAAATTCACTTCTCCCTTTAAATAAAAATGTTCACCATTATTTAACTCGTTTTTATAATGGTCTCAAATGCCAATTTGAAAACAAAAAAAAACGCTCAAATAGCACCCTTTGTAAGTTTTTGTCAAACTTTTTACAGAATTGCTGCTGATCAGAAGGCCTATAGTCTGCCATGCGAACATTTCTGGAGTAATTGACAAAGATGACGCACCTGAGACCAATTAGAAGGATTTTTGGGTGACAGCTCGGGATCTCGAGAGCTGGCGCGATGAATGAGTGCTCACAGGTGAGGATCCGTCATTTCCGCTGCTCCGTAATTGGCTTTGACCCCAATCCTATATCTTAGAGTTTCCTAATTGTTCACATGAGCGACTGGTTTCCGAGGTAGGAAGAAATGAAGGAAAAAGAAGAATCAGGGGGGTTTTGCGACAGAAAAAGTTCCTCGTAGCCGGTGTAGGGTTTTCACCAAAAAAAGGAAACTCTCCTTGCACCTGCTCTTTTTCTATTCATCTTCTAGTTTTTGCGAACAACAACAAAAAATAAAGGATTTCATTGTTTTTTGATTGATTCTATCAAAATTTTTGTTTCCTTTAGCGAGTCCACATAATCGACTTCTGTGCCTGACACATCAAAATAAGTATAGGTAGGTGTGAAGTTCGGCTCACTAGATTTTTTTCTCTAGAAAAAAATTGAAACTGAGGTTTAAAGAAAGTCTTTATGTGCTATTTTTAGTAACTTTACAAACTGTAAGGCTACAGAGAGAATTTTGTTTTAAAGATTTTCTGATTTTACGAGTTTTTTTGCCTCGAACTCCCAGGAAATGTGTCTATGCTCCTTTGGAAACACCTTAGAAGCTTTTTCGAACTGATTATAGTTATTGATAACTTCAATTCACGGGAAGACTTGGTGGAACCTAGGAAACTTATTTTTTGATGACCGGTCGTCACCACGAAAAACAATGAAAAGAGGAAAGAGACGACTGTGTTATGGCTACCATAAATCAAGACAGTCCGGTGGTCGAATTTCAGGGATGCGTCGAGGAAAACGGAAAAAACGAGCTTGTTGGGATGAATTGGCTCATCGCCAATGAGATGCGTCCAGGCAGGTGCACTTCTACCGTAGTATATCAATTGAGACGAATGGCAAGGCTCGGCCGCAAAGTGTTTATATTAACTAATACCTAGGCGTGAGCGTCTTCATAAACATCCACCAGGCTGCCAGTTTGCATTTTGAGTTGAGAAAGCAGAATCGTAAAGGAAGACTGGAAAGTAGGCGGAAAGCAAGGAACTCAGAACAAAGGAACAGTTTTCACTATACAATTTTGTTAATTTATAGTTTTTATCCGCTTCAACTCTCCTCTCTGAATATTTGGAGCTTGGACGTTTGACTGGGACCAAAGTCTGAGAATTTCAACTTGCAATGTTGCGCAGATAGCGGCTAATATGAACTTTTATAGAGTTTTTCAAAACTCTTCCGTGTGAAATTTGGAGGAACTTTTGAAAATCACTTGAAAAGACCTTCTGAGTCAGTTTATGCATCAAAAAACACCATTTTATCAACAAAAATGAGTTCGGAAAAGAGGGAAGCGGCAAAGCAGGCGCGATAGCAGTTTCAAGAAGACAGCGGCGGTTAGGCGGAAATGAAATCAAGGAGCGGGTTACCTAGATCAGATTTGATGGAGGTTCCCCGCAAGTTCATTTCTGTTTTGTTTCTGAACGAGGAAAAAGAAGAGAGGTAGAAATTTCGACCGAGATTCGAAAAAGGAGAGACCTAAAGCAACAAGGTTGCTCTGAGGCACTGAACGAGTTGGAACGCCTGGGGGTGTGATTGGCTCCAAAAGTTGGCCACGCCCCTTTCCTAAGGAGCTTTCATCCTCCACGTCTTCGAGATGTCGTGTATGCTTTACAGCAGAAGAATCTAGGATAACGAGAAATTCGGCAAGCTTTCGAATTCCACTGAAAACTCTTGGCCTGGAGCCTAAGTGTGAGGGCATTTGCGGTCAACAGATGAACCTTGTCCACCTGTCCTGCTGATCGTTTTGTGCATTTGAAATCGTCTTGTGTCCACCGCGCCACACGTTTTACGGCCTCGTAACCGCTCTGGCGCTCGCAACATCTGCGACGCCCAATGTTGCGACTTTACCGTCCAAGATGCTCTTATCCGCTTGAAAAAAAGTCTTTTTAGGAGCGCAGCTGATCAAAACTAGATTAGTTCCAGAAAGTTTCTGAACTGTATTTTTTCAGAAGATGAGAAATTAGTTTACTGGATAATGTGTGAAAGTTGGATTTTTAAGCGCCCATTCAAAAAGGAACAAGTTTCAGTCTCTGAAGATTTCCGGAACTTTGTTTATCACATCAGAGAGGGCTCCAAAAAGTATCTGAGTAGAGTAGATTCCCTTCAACTCGTCAGGAAGCTGAATCGCGTCGAGATGGTAATATAGCCTGATTTCAGGGGGTACCCTCTCCGAACTTTGTATGAAGAAGACCTCAGTTCACTAGCTCTCTTTCTGCCTGCGCAGAAGTTATCTCCGGCTCTGGAGATATCGTCGAGTTGGCTGACCTTGGCTGGCGCTTCGCAACATCTGGATGGACCAAGGTTTGACGGGAGGTGAAGGAGCTGGCGGACAACAAAAGCCAGCGCCAGATGGGTGCTGCTTCGCTATCGTGGCCCTTACTCACCTTCTGCGAGAAACAGACAAATGAGCCTCTTGGGAAGCCACGAAATGGAGAAGCTCCCAAATCGTCGTCATCTTGACGTTGAATTTAATTTATATACTTGAAGTAGGTATCGGTTTTTCTCTCCGTTTGTATTTACAAACATCGTGCGCCATAATTACAACCTGCTGCGGATATGTGCGCCAAAAATCCGAGGAATAATCCGCGCTTTCGGCACATACAGTAAGCCGACGTGTCCTTGGAGAATAGCGTCTTAATCCACTGCGACACAGGTGTCTTTTCAGTATGCTAATACCTTTTTTGGCGCCTCCGTCCTTATAAGACGAGTCTTATCCTTTTGCGGCGGCGGCACAGGACCAAAGGGCTGTCACTATATGCAAATCGACGGGTGTTGAGAGGCTCGCGAAATGAAATGGCAAGGAGGTGAGCTGCTCTCGAGAGCCGAGACGACGTCTGTCGCCGTGTCCTGAACGCCTTTTGGGGGTGGTCTGTTGCAGATCATATTTTCTTCTGTCATCAAATAACTCATCGGGGTCAACATTCAAGGAAAGGCCAAAAAAAAGTTTCAAGTCGTCAAACGTAGTATTTGTAGGTCACTCTTCAAGGGTTCCAGATTCTTTTTCTACACAACTTTGAAAAATCCAATGAAAAGTAACTAAAAAAAATACGTTAACCTCTTAAAGCTTCTCAAGATTCTTTTTTTAAGAGTTCATTCCTTAATTTTCTACACTTATCTTTGAAACTACTCGGATTTTCTCTTCGTGAATGACAGGAGGTATTGCAGAGAAAAAAGGAAAATCAGGAAAAAAGTTTTTGAAGTTTTGGTTGCGCGGAAATTCTACCTTATCAGTAATGGGATGAGCTGAAGCCATCGGAAGTCTTTCGGAAAGTCCTCGGAAGAGTAACGAGCCGCCATTAACACAGATGGACAGGGCTTCGTATCGCAATGAACAAACACAGCAAATTGAGCGGCAAATTGGCCGAAATCATCTTTCATCAGTGTGCAATTCAAGGAGAAGAGGTCAGTTGACTTGGCGAAATTGAGCAATATTCATCAATTTTTCCCAGAACTGCCGGACATGGAAACTTCTTGTTTTCTTCCACTAATTATCTTACGAATGGGGAAAAGTGGAACGATAAGGAAAACAGGACAGTTTCCCGGAAACAGACAATGGAAAGAGCACAAAGGTGAGCCGCGCAGATCACGTAATGAATGTTTAATGACATCACTGCATTGGTGATGATCCGCGAGGTCCAAGGTGCAGCCGACGGATGGATGGGTCAGATGCTCACGCGATCCTTCCTGTCACAATCCAAAGGAAGCCGTTGACGGCGTCTTTTTGAGCACAAGTTATGATACAAATATTGTAATTACAGTGGGTCCACTTTGTTTGAAGTTCAGTCCGAAAGAAAAGACATCTGATCGGCTTATCATTCTTGTTTTGCGATTCTCCCACAAGCTTAGAAAGTTTTTCACAGCGAAATTCGATAATTCGATAATTCGATTGTGAGAAGATTCAGTTCAAGAATGTTCGAAAGGATCTGGTTGAAGTCCTACCGTAGTAACGACTGCAGAGTGGTTCTTGGCGGGAGTTCAAAAAAGAGCCATATTTTGATAGGAAGGGCTTGATTTTTATTTGCTTTTCTGATGGTTTTCTTCGATTTATGATTATTTCCTCCATGTCGAAGTGATAATGAAATTTCCAAAACGATATTTGCAAGAAAAAATAAAACTAGAAAAGTACTTCTTGTTTTCAGAAAGTTCGAAACTAGACCTCAATTTTTTTTCAGGTTTTTTCTGTACCGCTTTTTGAATCTACACGAGCAGTTTTTTTATTTCAAGTTGTTTTTAATAAGATCTAAAATCTCAAAAAACCGCGAAATGGCGAAAATTGAAATCATGAGAAATTTTTCCACATTTTTTCTGACTTTCGCAGGCCCCTGAATATTTGGCAACACTTTTTTTTTTTTGATTCGTGAGGTTTTATTTTTAAAAAACAGAGCGGATCAAGAAATTAGAAACTTACCAAATGATGTGAAAAGATTTTCTCGATATCGTCCAATCAATATCTTGAGGTCTTAATTTTGGAAGAAACTGCAACGTCTCCGATAGTGAGCCTTTTCGACCGTTTCATTTTGACGGATCCTGCGCAATAAAATGGCATTTCGAGATATTGCACGTCTTCAATCGGTATTTATCTTCTAGAGCCATCTTGGAAGGGCGCACCTCTTCTTATCCACGAATTTCATCAAATTGACGCCTAGCGAACTCAGGTTGCGGTTATTCACATTATGCACTTTTCTTTCTGTTTGCAAGACACATAGTGGAGAAACCTATCATAAATGCATTAGAAATGCGGGAAGGTTGAAGGGTTTATTCCAGGAGAGAAGATGTCCAGAAAAGGCTTTAATGGAAGGGCGGCTGCTGCGACGTCGTTGCGTCATCAGGCAATATGCTCTCCTTTCGTCGGATTCACGTAGCGAAGTCGCACCGTAGTCGCTCCATCGACACCGACGTTTGCGTATCTGAATTCGAGAAGTCAGGGTATTACGAGACTTTTTTCTCAAGCACCTCGGGATTCTGGACTCGTACAGTTGACCATAAACAGGATCTTCAACATTGAGGTCGGAGTCTTTCGGCATGGCGAACCTGAAACATTTATTTTCAATCAACAATCTGAGCAATTTTTTTCAATATTTTCATTTTGAGTCATGTCCCCTTTGTCAGAACTCGGTGTTAAAACTTTTGGAAAAGAATTGTTTGACATGATCTTTTTATAATTAAAAAAGATTATCATATAACTATTTTTCAATGAATCAAATTTTTCTTCTCTAAAGGGGATTACTGAGAGTGCAAATATTCAGGAACGCACTCGATTGCGGATCTAGTGACCCCTCCAGGGCCATTATCCTTCAAAGCTTCCTCGTGATCGACGTCGTCGTCGTTGAAGTACCACCATACCATAGCCGCGACTAGCCAGATGATTGTGAATATAATCAGCATAGGTAGCATTTGGTCGAACCTGAACACTCTTTCATCTGAACGGAAAATTTTTCTCTGTGAAAAGAGGTAATCAGGCTCAAATTTTCAGAGCCGCGGCCTATCTGCGGATCGGATCGCAATGCCAATTGGTCATTCGGTGCGTCTCCATCCAATTGCCCGATGTGTTATTGCTTAATCTACCACATAAATACCGTAATAAACAAACGAGAATGTGGGTGACCGAGGAAATTCGAGAAGCCGTGAGCATCTTGCAAGGTTGGAGCAGAAGTAAACAATTTTGAAGGGTTTTTCAAATAACGAAAGGAAAAGGCCATCAGTTCGATGGATCTTGAGATTCATAAAATCAACTCTCATAAAAAAACATTTCAAGAGAGAATAATTTCGAAAGTCATCCATGATTTTTTCAAAAACTCAATTTTCAGTTTAAAGTTTTTGACACCAAAATATCAAGTTTATTCAGTTCATAATAATTCACCTTTTTTTCTTTTCTTTTTATTATATTGAGTTTTATTATTTCTTATCATTTTATTGTATTTTTTTACGTTGAGCAATTTTCGGTTTCGGTAGATCTTGAAAATTCATTTAATAACTTTTTTCGAATACAGTAAATTAACCATATACTTATTTCTTTCACAGTACGGACATTTGCCTGGCGGTGACGTCAGTTTCGCAGCAGGCGGGCTGGCCGCGATTCACACAGCAAGTCGTCGTCGCAGAATCACATAGGTAGATGTTCGGCTTGATAAAATGTTTTCATTACCCACGAAAAGATGAATTTTGCAGCCTTTGCTACAAATAAAGTCTCACCTGATAAGCTGGCTGTGAGCTGTTTATGATGCAAACTTGGGACATGTCGAGGGGACTTTTATGAAAAAATAGCTTAATTGATTTTCCTTCCGATGGAAGCTCTATGGTTACGTCCACGTCGCTTAGTTTCGTCTTCTAAATTTTCGAAAAAGGGACATTTTTCTTTTAAATACTTTCCGCTCTCCGTGGTCGCCTTGCACATTCTGCAGAAACGGAAAATTGTGAGGAAGCAGTCTTCGAAATGCAGTGAGATCTCAGAAACGAGGTGAAACAGCTGCTCTTCCGCATATTAATACCGAAACGCCTCCACAACTGTTGCGCGAAGATATATCTGATTTTTTCGATGTGGAAAAATGAAGATTCTCTTTAAGCGCTTTACTAATCGAGAATCTCACCTCAGACCGAGCACTGGAGAAAGAATCAGGATTCATAGAAGCTTAGAAATTTTCACAGGGAGAAGGGTTGTCAACCAGAAGATTTCTCGATACCTACGGCGAGACTTCTGACAGACATCTGTAAAGCTTCCCAAAAGGGATTTAAACCTCTTAACTCGCATTTCATTTTTGAGTGAGACACTGGACTGGAAACTGGAAAGGCATTTTAGACGAGGATGAGTCTTCTAATCCTGTCGACAAGAAGAGAGTTCTGAAAGACAGTCCGCAGAGTTCAAGGGGGTTTATGCGGGTCGCGGCAGCTGGCGTCCAGACCGCTTGTTGACCCTCGCAAATCGTCTAGTACCGCTAACTGTCTGGATTAGCGATTGTTAGGTGTTGGGTAACACCGGTTGGAGAATACCTTCGAGAGTCCAAGACACGTGTTCGAGCTCGTTTTACAGCCTCTCTTTTCCCAGATGTTCTGTATTCATCTCTTTCGCAACACCGTAATCCAAAAGAGGCTTTGATTTACAAGTGAGAATTTTTGAATAACAGAAAGGATAGAAAATAAAAGAAAGAACGGTTAGAAAGGTTATTTTGGTTATCATATGACGATTAAACTTCATCCCGTATCATAATTTTTTTATTTTTTTCTATTTTTTTCTATTTTTATTTGAGCAAGCAAGAGCTAGAAGGAATCTTAACACCTTTTCGGTGTCGTGAAATTGAACGTCTCGAGAGGGACACCTTCTGCCGGCCAACCTTTGCGCATCTGTTTCATCGGACCGCCGAGGACAAAGCGGATATGACAGCGACACGGACGACGCCTCGAGTGTTTTGACGCATCAGAAGGCGAACCTCCAAGCTCTCATTTACATTCTGACGACGGCACCACGCAGATGGGCTTGTTTGGCGAGATACACCGCAAAATGAAACAATTTCGGGGATCCTGACGGGCTTTTCCTGTGATTCTGAAACCTCCATAGCCAATTTTCCAATTCTTATTTTTTTTTCTCCAATGTTATAATCACAATTCATATGCCATCCAGTTGCTCTTACAAAACCTCAACTAGATTGTTCAATGAAGACTGGAATAATCAAGAGAGATGTGCGCGGATGGCCGTCAGCTATAAATCTCCGAAGATTTTGATCTGGCACCTCGATAAAACAGCGTTTGTATTCTCGCACGGGAGCCGTAATTTAGCCTCGTTTCGACGGAGGAGATGGTGCCGATACGCGTAGCCGTGTGTGCACAATAAGACCGGCGAAATTTGTCTCTAAACGAGGCATGAGATGCGCGCCAAGGCACACACACCGCAACGACTCCCCAAGGTGTATTTCAGGCAAGCTCCAGGAGCCACCACAACCCATAAATCTGCAGCGGCCGACGCACATCTACATTTGCCGCTGGCGAGCCTAATAACGACGCGGCAATTAACATGCCGACGGCTCTCGGAAAAAGGGCGCTGCAACTTTCTCGAGGGAGTTGTGTCGACGGCTTTGAACATCGCCGGCGTCACAACTCACGAGCTTTTCGCCAAGTCGGGGATCTCTGTGAGGTAGGCCTTCATTGAGTCTTCCTTAGTGGGCGCTCACTTAAAAAAAAATACAAAATTCCCTTCTGGCGGATCATTTTTCAGTTTCAGAATCTATTAACGATGTTTTTGAAATTGAGAAGGACGTTTCCTACAAAAAACAGGAAAAACAAAAAAAAAATAGAAATTGCTCTAAAACCTGAGAAGCTTCCATCTTTTCACCGCTATAGTTTTTTTCAAAAAGAAGATATCTCAGCCCTTTATATGGTCGAAATCTAGAAAAGAAAAACTATGATTCAATTTCAAAAAAATAATAATTTAATTGGACGTTTTTCGAAGGAGTCAGAATTTTTTTCTTCTCATAAGAATGTGAGCGAGTACAGAACTCCATGATTCCACAAAAAAAGGGTTTTTATTCAAAAATATTCTTCATTCAAAATAAGCAATGAAAAATAAATTTTAACTTTGGCAGAGGCTTCAGTTTAAGATTACACGAGAAGAGATGTTTGCGGCCTTTCAAAATGTTATTCTCAATACATTTTTCAAAATGAAAATATTTTCCACGGTTACTAGTACCGGTCGATCTTCTTCTTGGACCAGAACTGCAGTCATTGAAGACTAATAAGAGAATATGTGTGCTCAATGAAAGGTTTCGAATGGAGTTTCGTTGGAGTGATGAATTCTTGGTGGCTGCTGCGACGACGTGGCAGACGCCGTGGCGACGTGATGGATTCAGCGATGGACCTCTGGGGGCATCCACACCGCCGCCTGCCAATCACGCACTTCGGCCGCGAAAACAATTTTCTGCCAGGAGCTCACGCGTCAAACTTCGGCTCCCCTGGCACCTCGAATTCCGACGAGCATCTTCTAACAAGATTTGCTTCCACCATCAACGGATTGACCTCGGATGTAACTCGTCGGGGGCTGACATTGCCTTTTTCGGCTCCAATTACAGACCTGCTCTGTTGCTGCTTCATGGGACGCGGCAAAACGACACAAATTGTCCATTTGTGGATACTTGGTTACAGTAGCCTAACGAGCGATCCAAGGTGGCTGAAGTGGATCATTTGACTTACTTCCGATGTTTGCCACCACAATTGCATAGTTAGATGGAGGCTAATTTGTCGTCCTTTCCGACAGTCCTCACAGCTCCGTATTGACGTACGAGAAGTAGTTTATAGTTTTAGCCTAAAACTTAGGGAAACGGAATCCCGGATGAAGAATTTTCATTATCAATCCCAATTAGGCAAAAATTCATTATTTTTGTTGCCTTCTTTCGTTTTATCTTTGTTGAGATTTTTTAGAAACTGGTGAAGATCCAGGTAAGACTACCTTGATGCCACAACACGATGGTTGTAGTCAGTCAAATTGAAATAAAGTACTTTCCAAATATTTTTTCCGTCTCTTTCAATTTTCCGGAAATATTTGGTGATTTGGCGAGGAGTACTGTAGCGGCCACAAAGGTGGCTGGAGCCATTCAAGCGCGGCTTCTAACAATCGCGGTATTTAGAGATGGAGATGATTACGGTGGCTTGGCTAATTAGGGCCTGCCGGATGATGGGTTTGCGTGTCTCGGTCCGGATGGGCGGTGTCGTGAGTCCTGCTACGAATGCTTCCGCGGCAAACAAACCGCAGGAAACACGTCGCGGCAGTCACAATCGCACTCGTTACTTGCGACGAAATGGTTAACGAGCGAACCGCAAGGGAATACCGCCTAAATACCCGCATTGCACGACATCATCGCCTTCCGAAGGACCAAGAAATTCGACATTCCACGCCATCACAACTTCAAAATGGCGGTTCTGGGATTTGGGGATCAAAAACTCGCCGCGTTTCCTCGTTACTGCTTCAAAACTGAAGTATCTTCCAAAAGGGACAAATTGAAAACTCTAAACACTTTAACTGTTTACTTTCAGAATGAGTGAAAAAATTCATAAATTTAAAATCAATCGAACCGAATCAAAAATGAAAACAACTAGTGAAAGAATTCGGATTTGGAGCACATTCATCCATAAGTAAGCATTTTTACCGGTAATGATTAGTCATCAGATAAATTGGAAATCCATATCTACATGAGAATTAACATTATAATCTTAATTGACAAGAAATATGGAAAAGGACATTCAAGTTCGGAAATACAACGGTAAGTAAAGGCAGCCTTCGAAGATCAAAACAGCAGTGAGCAAGTGAAACCGAGAAAGAGGAAGAGCAAAAGTCGGCAACTATAATAGGAATCCAAAAGAATCAGCCAGGTTCTGCGCAGAAGTGCAAAACTCCATTTTCAACTATTTTCGGTAGCTATCATTTTTCTTCTTTAAGAGAAAAGTTTCTTTCTGGAAGCTTAACTCAGGTGGATTTAGACCGAATCCCTGTCAGCTTTTAAAATACTGATACAAAGAGGAAACACGATAAGTACCAACAAAAAAAATTGGTGAGTAAGAAATCACAAAAATGGAGTTTTGCGGTCTGAAGCAAGAAATAAATCGTGTAAATCTACGTCTCTAAAACATACAACAGGAAAAAAAAGTGAAATTTGATCTCTTATGATTCAAATCCAATTAAAATCCTATAGTGAACAGTATTGCTGATGAAATCATAGGCCTAACCAATAATATTTGATAATGTATAATGTTTGAAACAAAGCCTACGTCAGCTCGAATCGAAAAACCAATTTGAGCAAATGAAATTTGAAATTTGAGCTTAATAAAACGCCTACTCGGTCAAGAAAAAGTGAGGAATCGAGGATCCAAAACGGTAAAGACAATTCTCTGAAGAATGTCACATCAAGAAAAGGTTCAAACCCAGCTATCGTCGACGGTCCTGGGAGAGTTTCCTTTCTGAACGGAGGCGTAAAGAGGTTCCCGAGGCGGCTGGTCGTAACGACGCTGTTGTGGCGTCGGCTGTCGCGAGTGGTTGTTCTGGACGACGCCACGGCTTTCCTGAGACACGACGCCGTAGCCGCCACTGCTACCTGTGTCGTCGAGTGTCGTGTGGGCGGCAGCAGGCCGTTCTCGTCCTTGTGATGAAATAGGACGAGCCAAGGTCGAAGAGTCACCTCTGCAAGATTATTTCATTAAACTTCATTCGGCCAAAAGCTGATTGTTTGGGAGTGCTTCTCTCCATTTTTTTTTTTCATATGATGAAAAATTTTATATCCGATTTTTAAATCTTATGATAAAAAGCGGACCTTCTGGCAGTTCCCGAGAAAAAGTCGGCTTCTTTAAGACCATTCCGCTTGAAGCCGTCGTGCAACTCCTTGTGTTGCCACATCATGTACAACACCTGACTGGCGTATTTGCAAACGCGATGCGAATACTTTGGATAGCTTCGCGCCAAAGCCCGCAGTTTGTTGGTACCTGAAGGCTCAAGTGTTCTACGGGTTCTGTTGAGCCTTATCAACCAACCTTGAAGCTCATGAACATCGCGAGTGTAGGGGGCGCTGCTGCGAACGATTTCGAAGAGGATTCCGAGAACGGCGCCAATCGTCTGGTCCGAAATTGGCGGTCGTGGAGCATCTGGCTCCGGCAACTTCTCCAGCAACTCTCGAAGAGCATACTTTCCTAAAATTGCAAAAATCATTCAAAGGAATCTCTCTTTGGTCCTGGAAAATTCTTTTTTCTCTCTATTTCTTCACTAAGAATTTCATAAATCTGAAAAAAAAGATTTTTTTCATATTCGAAACTAGTTCGCTGAAGGAAGCTGGCAATGGGTTTGAAATTTTCTTCTGACCCAAAAATGGGAAAAGAAAGGATACCTATGAGTTCTCGATTGCGCGGATCGATGGAGAGGTTGCGCAAGGCGGTGGCGACGGCGCAGACGACGAAATCCTCCGGAAGACGGATCAGTTCCACCAGAACAGGCAACCCTTTCTCGAAACGGACGGCAGCACGGACTTCGGCCGAAGGCGGAAACTGGCATGCTGCCAAGTTTTGAATCGCTCCAGCTGATGCCTGGGAAATTGAAGATAAAAATGAAAGGAAAGATGGAATAAACTTCGAGGGTGTCGATGTTGGATGTGTCTTGCAACAGCTTCAAGTAGAGCTTGACGACGTGAGGCTGCCAGAGAACACTAGCTCCCTAGAAAGATGGAAATCACAAGAGTTCTCAGGAGCAAGAAACATACAGTTGGTGGCTCCTTCTGCTCTTTTTTCTTGTCCTTTTTCTTGGGCTTCGGACTCACGGGCGTGAGCTTGCCACTTTTTGCAGACTGAGCATGAGCTGTTTGTGGGTCGTAGTTCGGATCGACAACTTCTTGTATCCTGAAGAGCGAATCAATGATTTTCTTCGACATAGGAAAGAACCTGTAGCTGAGGTTGCGCAACAGACAGACGGCGTTCTCGACAGTCGGAGAGTCGACCTGATTCCGCTGGATGGCCTGAGTCAAGTAGAGCACGAGCGCCTCGATCAGCTGCGGCATTTTCCGAAGACGTTGTCTTGCAGCTATTGACGCCGCGGAGATGTTCCTGGAGCTTTTTGATTAGGCAGAGGACATTAGATTGGAATAACCTCAAAACGCCGGTCGAGTTCTTGAAGAGCGTCGAGTTATAATGCTTCCAAACGTCTGCAACAGGCGGACTGCCGTTGTTGGCTTGTCCATTCGTTGAAGGGAAGCCAGTCGCATGAGGAGCGAGGACCTGGAACAGCTTTCATGGAGATTCAATCACCCAAGACAAAATCTAAAGTCGGAAAGTTGACCGACGAGAATAAAAAAAAGATCCTTGGTTAACACAGAGAACACTAATATCAGACATTGTCTTTATGATTTTTTTTTTTTTGAGGTACCTTCCAAAAAAATTATATTCAGAACGTCTGTACTTCGGGAAATAGGGTAATGAACTTACAAAAAAATAAGAGAAAACTTTCGAGTGAAAAAAATCTGGAAGAGGAGAATAGAAAACGAAAAAAAAAACATGCCAATTTTGTATACAGATACTTCAGTTTCAATTAGAGCTTCTGTTTTTTTCAACTAAATTGCAAAAAAGGTGCCTGAGAATATTTAAAACAATACTAGCAGGAAAAAGAGTTTAGGAAAAGACGGCAATGAACGAACTTGTTGAGCGAGGACGTCAGTGGCGGATTCGAGAATGACCGGCTTGAGCATGTCGGCCGACGACAGATTCCAGAGGGTCGCCGTCGCCTCGTCCTTGACCGAAGCGTCGTGGGTGGTCTGCAGCAGAGCCGCCAACATCCGCACGCCGTCCGCCTCCAGAACCGCAATCTTAAAAACCCCATCGTTCAAAAAATGCTAACGAAATCCTTTGCACCTTATTTGCGTCGTTCTCCTTTCCAAAGCACAAGTTTTTCAAGCAGGCGCACGCATTTTTCTGGATTTGAGGCACATCGCTTTTCAGAAGATTGATCAGCTTTGGAATGCCTCCGTACTCCCTGGAAACCGCATTAGAGGGATCATCAAACATTAAATTCACCTCGTCTCTTCTTTGATCAAATTGTCGCTGAACGTCAAATGTTGCAGGTAGCCGGTCGCATTTCGCTGTTTTTCTTTGTCCGAGCTCGACAAGTACTCGATGACTTCTTTCAGCGACGGATCTCGCCATTGAACTAAACATATACCAAAATATATTTGGAGCGAGCCACCATTATAATGACTGAATAATCGTTCAAGATTTAAAAAATAAAGTATCTAGAAAGAAGTAATTGTTTCATTCATAACTCTTTCCAAAGTTTTTCAAACTAGCTATTTTTGATTTTTTTTTTCTCTGATCATGTCAAAAACTGAACTGCTCAGAATAGGTGATTTCAAAACATAGGAATTTGAAAATTTTAAAGTCCGGAAATTAAAACTCAAAACTAGGAGAAGTTTGATAAAGCAAACTGGGGTTAATATGACATCATCCAAAGGAAGCTTGACTATTTCTGAAGGACGTTTCAAAACAGTGTGGCGATATTCGACTCCAAATAGTATCTCAGTCTTTGAAAAAAGGAAAACTAATACAAAAAGTTATCGCGCGTTTCCGAAAAGCTTACGGTTGCCGTTGTTGGGACCGCGTCGCAGAGGCGGCGGCGAATCGTCGCGTTCCGGCAACGGCGGGGACTCCCGCACCATTTCTTCCTGCAGAAGAGGCACGGCTCCAAATCGTTCCGCCTCTACGTACTTGACTTCTGAACGGTCATCTGAAGAGAGAGAGTTGAAATGAGATCGAGAAGTTTTAACGAACGTGGGGGCTGAATATGGACGAAAGGCGAAGGATGCGAAGGCGAAGACGTGCCCGAGGCGTTGTGAGCCACCACTCGGAACTGATAATCGTGTCCGATGATCAAATCCCCGACTGAATCCACTCCTTCTTCTCTCAAACATTCCCCGTCTCTCACCAGTCATTTTGCAGGCGAAAACAGGCTGATCGTTCACTTTGTACCAGCGATCGTCTTGTTGAACGTCACGGAACTCGACATCATAGCCCTGAAAGAAAAGAAAATTATTGGAAAGAAAACAGAAAACTGACCAGAACAGGCAAGGAACTATGAGCGGGCAGCCAGCAAATCGTGATTTTATCTCCGTCGATCTCGAAGTACTCGGGAGCTTGGGGCATTTCAGGTGGATTTCGTATGCTCGAGGCTGGAAAATCACGTTCTAGAAGGAAAAAGATAGAAGTTCCACCTCGGCCCATGGGTCGGAGCTGGATGACGTCGGAGGTTTCTGAAGGCACAGAAGCGACACCGTCAACGACGGCGATGGCGCAGAATTCGTAGGTCGAGTTGCGTCGCAGTCCTTCCACTAAACCATTCTATGAAGTTTGAAGAAAAAACATTTGAAACTATAATTTCATTATTCTACATAAGTAAGCCAGTCCTCAATACCTGCTTTTCAACAAAAACCTTCAGAGCAAAATTTTTTTCAGAATTAAAAAAACTTTTTTTTTAGAAAAAAAATAATACGATGTTTTAGAACAAAATTCTATGTTTAAAAAATGATACGTTGAGAAAAGAAAAAAATAAAAAAAGGGAATCATTATTCAGAACATTGAAGTTATCATATGACCTCCCAAAGTCTTGTAAGAATAGATTTCATTTTTAAAAATAGTGAAAAAAAAAATTCCGAAATTACAAAATTTTTCAAGCCTTCTTTTCCTTAGAAAAATCCGGCTAAAAATTCTGTAGGTTTTTTCTTGGCTCCAAAAATTGTTTCATGGCTAGGATTTCAAAAGCACTTTGACTGTCAAAATGAAATCAAACCTTGGATGCCATTGTGGAAAATAGGTTCGAAGTTGGCGGTATGCCAGGTCGGATCCCCGATTTCCCTGTACTCGACGACGTATCGGGCGTCATGAGCCGAAGGAGCCCATTCCAACTTGACCCAGTCGTTGTCGGCTTCCACCAACTGGAAAATGATTTTTTTTCTTCTCGAGTCATGCTCATTGTGAAAGGACCTGAGGTTGGCCAGGAGGCTGGATGTTGTGCGAAACAGGTCGGCTGGGAGTCGTTCTCTGTGGCGGCGCCGGCCGGATCGCCGTCGGACCCGAGCTGAGACTTGGATGGCCCAGGCCGTCGGCGTTCCTGCCTCGGACTCGGAACTCGTAAACTCCGTTGGGTCGAAGGTTTTCCACTGAAAGCGGTCCCAGTGTGAAAAAATTCGAGGAATTCCATTGTCGATAGGAATCAGTATTAAAACATCTCTCTTGTTTTTAATCTATTCGAAATTCGAATATTTTTTTTCCTTTTTTCGCAGTAGATTATCCGCCACTCGTACCGTTATGAAAGCGGAGAAGATCAAGTCAGGAATCAGTATTAAAACACCTCTCACTTTCAATTTCCTGTGCTCAGAGACAGAGAAAATATAGCTTTCATGAATTGAGTCCATATTTAATTTCTCCTTAATATGAGTAACTTGGTTTGAATTACTCGATCAATGTCTTTTTCTAAACATTGAGCATTGGTTCTATGTGATTTTTTTGATTTTTTTGATTTCGAGGCTAACGCCGTTTTCAGAAAAAAATTCCAAGTACTTTTTAATGAAATAAAGCGTTTTTTTCCACCGCGAAGATAAAAAAAATAAAAAAACTATTTGGTTAAAAAAATGTTAGTGGAGCCTTGGAGCTTAGTTGCTTGGATTCAAAACAGCGATGGAACTTAAATCTTTGCTGTCGGTCTTCAAAAAGCCAAATAAAAAAACAGGTTTTTTTCGAGACACTTCTTTATTTTTTTATTATTTTTTTCTGGCGAGCCGCATTTACTACGCCGCTAGTCTGCAGTTTAAGGAAGATGCGAATTTAATCAAAATTTTTAGCCTGCTGATGAAACACGCACTCACCAGTGAAAACCGTGTCGGTAACGAAGATTTCGTTGGCAACGATCCAATCTCTGCTTCCGTACACACGGTACTCAACCTGAGACTTTGAATATGGAAAAGAAGATGAGAATATCGATAACCTGGTAGCCGGAAGGCGGCGCGGCACGAATGTCGGCCACGGGAGGCTTCCACTCGATGACTGCCCCATGACCATCTACGGCAATCACGATCGGCTTCCCGGGAGCCAGAGGCGATCCCGCGGCTGCAACGCTCTTCATTCACTCTTTTCTCTCGCAGAGGTGAGAAGGAGACGCGAGTCTTGTGGAGATAAAATCAAGCAAATCGGACAAAGTTCAGGACGACAACAAGTATCAAGATAAGGTTATCGCCCTTGACCTCACGACCCCCCGCTCTTAGGAACAGCGGCGCGATATGATTTGTTCGTTGAAATAATAAAAAAAAAGTTGAATGTTTAATAATTCATTTTAGAGATTATAGAAGAATTAATGTTGATAAGTGAGAGAATTGGAAATTCTCATAGCAAAACTCTATCAAAAGCGAAGGAAGTATTTTGGCTTATCCAAACCAGATTTACTTCCAGTTAAAACTAATGATTCCTGCTTAATCTTAAACGTTTCTTTTTCACCTTGTTTATCTGAAGCAAAAAAACTTAATTATAATAATAATAATAATAATAATAATAATAAGTTATTCATCCACAAGGTGAAAAGAATAAATAAGTCGGAACCGGTTTTTTTACAGGAGTCGAAAAAGCATAGATGCTTCACCTACGAAGGTAATTTTCATGTTTTTAAAATTACGGAATTTATTTTGCAGTTGCATTTTTAAACTTTAGAGAAATCAATTTAATCGAGATTTATAGACTCAGAAGTTCAATGAAAGATTGTTAAATAGAAAATTCAAAAGAAAAACTTGAAGATAAACATTTTACACATTCAAAAGTCGGTTGGAAAAAATCGAAAAAAATCGAGAACACAGTGGAATAGGAAAAGGTTTGTTGAATTACTTGAACCGAAAAGAGAGAAAAAAACGTACATGTAGCTCCAGTCAACTCGTTGTCGGTGTAGGGAACGCGTACAGGAAGGGAAGGCTTGGACGGCGGTCCGAAGCCGTTTCGGCCATACGCCGACACCCGGAACTGCACCTCCTGCGCGCTCAGGTTGGTCACTGCAAATTCTCTCTTCAGATGCTTATACTCCAAACTTCAAACTTATACTTATTTACGTTCGAAATAATGGGAAACACGTTATCATTCTGAGTTCTGAGATAAATTTCGAAATACAACAAAAAACAATCTCAAAAATATATTAAGAAAAAAGAAGACAGAAGAAAAGTGTGTGTAAGAACTTGGCCGAGGTGCTATACACGAAGAGATGTATAGATAATCATCAAGAAGAATCTGCAGAGACAAGGTCGAAACATTTTTAAGGCCGTTCTTCTTATTAGACGTCTTTTTAACCTCGGTAGAACGAGAAAAACACATTTTTTTGTCTAATGAAAAAAGCTTGCTCAAGCAAAAAATAATAATTAACAGAGGAATTATGCGATCAGCTAATTTTTTTCCTCAAAAAACTAATCTGATTCAAGTTTATTTTTTTCTTATAAAAAAATGTTAACACTTCCAACATTTTTTTCTTCCGGTTGAGTTTTTCCCGCAATAAAAAAACATCTTCTCGAAATTTCGGATTTTTCGAAACTGATTAAAAAAAATCAACCCCCATGATCCACTAAAATATGAAAAAAAGGTTTTAGAATAAATTTGCTATCAAGGTGGTTTGACCGATAATCTTATAAAAGTTGTCTGTGGGTGATGTATTCTCTACATTCAGAAGAAGAAAGCTAACTAGGGAACTTTTTTACTTTAGGACACTTTAAAAACCCGAAATAGCGCTTTTTTGGCCTAATTTGCGTATTTTGCACACTTTGAAGCTCCATAACTCGGAAACAAGATCTATTGCGAGAAATTTTCTTTCTGTTCTGCAATCAGGAGATCCTGAAGTACACTTAAGCAAAGTGTCAGCAAAAGTTCAACCGGGATGTAAAAAACGTTCCCTGGTAAGAACGAACCTCGACACGTGGTGTCTTTGATGAGTTGGTCTACGCCCATGTCCTCCCAGTCGCCTTCGGGCAATTCTCTCATTTGCAGCTGCAAATCTCGGAAATCGTCTCAAAAATTCTGAAAGACGGACCTGGTATCCACTGATGTCTCCCTCGCCCATTTTCTGCACCGGGGAGCTCCAGACGACCGTCACCTCTCCAATACTCACGTCGATCACATCGGGAACTCCCGGGGCGCCGGGAGGAGAATCTCAAACAAAAAAAAGATAACGAAAACTGTAAGAAAGTTCTTACTGTCAGAAAACCTTCCGCCGAACGAAGGCGCCGGTGGAGGTGCGGATCGGTCTTCAACGTCTTCTCCATGTAACCTATAAGTACGATGAAATATGGGATAAAAAGAATTTCTGACTGGAAAAGAAAGAAACATCAAAATTTTTTTGATTCATCGGATCAATAACTAAAAAATCGAATTTTCCAAGTGAAATAAAACTTATAACATAAAACAGAGTTTTTTCAGATGTGCTCTTTGTAATTTTCGAGTTTGGAGACTGTCAAGGAAGAAAATCTTTAACGAATAATCAAAAAAGAAGCGAAAAAAAAACCAAACAGTTTTCCCAATTCGACAGCTTTTTTTCCTTCTTTTGTGCCAGAAGCGGTACTAGCGAAACCGGAATTTTTTTTTCAGTTTTCAATTTTGAAGCCCATATCTTTTATCTATGATGAAAAAAATTTTTCTAGAAGTTTGGAGAAGTCGTCGAAAAGTAAAGTTTCCCAAAGTAAAAATCAGTGTGATTGAAATCCGGAAAATAGAAGCTTCTGTAGTAATGTCTTGACTTGTGTGTTTGCGATGGCTACTGACCGGATGCCGAGAGCGTCCATGGGGCCGTCGATCTCGACGACAGGCGACGGCGTCGGCAAGCCGCTAGAGTCGAAATCGATATTGGCGTACGGCGACGTGACGGGTATCTGTCGCACTGACCGCGTCGTCGTCACCTTCGTCACTCGGGTCACCTGCACCAAAAACCGGTATTCTCTGTCAAAATATCATCGCCTCGAGTTCTGCTAACCTACTGCCACCTTTCGCATTTCAAAACTGGTATTTCCCAGCCAAAAAACCTTCTTCGTACTGGAACGTACCTTTTGGGTTTGTTGGAGACCATCGGCCGTCGTTATTTCGTACTCTTCCTCGGGCGGATTGTCGTAGTGCGACTCGTAGGAGTAGGAATAGGCCGATCCGCGAGCGCTCGTCGGTCCCGCCAACGATTCTGTCAGGTAAGATGCCGCCATTCTGCAGAAAATTCTCGTTCAGTTTGAAAGAGAAAAATGTTTTGCACCGAATATCTCTTCTAGTTTTCATCTTTGCGATAAAAAATATCTCTTTGTCTGTCATGAAAAAAGATAAAAACGTAGCGGATCAGTCAAAGCTTATTTTTCAGCAATCGTATCACGAGAAAAAAAAAATTTTTCAAGAAAATTATAACTGCTTGTTTTTTTCACGCAGTTCGTGAAACAGCGCGCAAAAATAATAGATGAAAAATTTCTTGTAGCATTTTTCCCAGGCTTCAGATGAAAAAAATTATGAGAAAAGTAAGTACTTTAAAAAAACTTTCACTTTCTTTTTTTCATAGTAGCGTTCGATTTATTCACAAAATTTCTTGGTTTATTTTTCCAGTTTGGAACAATGAAGTGGAAGAAGTTTTTAAAAGTATCTCAGCTTACTATTGTTTTTTGTAACTAAATAACTTCCGGAAAAAAATTGAATTTCAAAATGAACAATAAGATATCACGACGGGTGTCTTTCTTCTTTTTTTTCCACAAATAAAGAACAAAGCAACAAAGCGAAAAGAGATTTAAGAAACGGCGACATCTAACGAGAGCCGTCGTTTAGGACAAAGAAGTCTATATTTTACCGTGAATTTTTTTGAATTGTTACTTGCCAAGAAAATTTGTAATTTTGAAAATAATATATATAGTTACTAAAAAAAACTGACGCAGGGTCGACGACCTGGTTCTCGACGATCCACTCTTGTGGAACCGCTTCGCGTGGAACTGTGCTGAAATCAAAACAAATCTAGATGATTGAACTAACTTAAGAAAGAGAAGTAACGAACCAAACACATCACGACAGTCACACAAAAAAAGCTTTAAAAATCATGCAAAAAAAACGAAGAAAATTTCTGCTAGAAGCTCATGCTTGAAATCAAAGTGGAGGGTTTGTAAAAATCAAGGTTGAAAATAATTGTTTCTGGAGCGGAAAGAAAGAAGAAGTTGGTCAAAGAACAGCGGCCAAAACTATGCGTACAACTGAACCAACGCGCGCGCACACAAATGGCACGCGATCGATCGACTCGATGGCTCACCAGCCTCCATTTTCCTTTTTATCAACACTTATCACTGAATAAAACAAACAAAATTAAAACAATCGCAAAAGAGAAGATTTGAAAATTCTTCGCAAACCATCTAATCATATCACAAAAATGTTGCAAATTTTATGACAGGCTCGGCTTACGATATGATCACGACTAAACAGTAGATAAGTGAAAGTTGATTGATTTATAGGTCGTTCACAGCTTACTTGAGATCATTTTTGAAAATTTTGTTCCACGATCAAAGAATTTTTTTTTGAGAAGATGTTTCAAACTATTCTGTTCCAGTTTTATACAGTTAGTAATGATTTTGGTAAACTAAATTATGATTTAAAAACGATGGTATATAATAAATTGAAAAACTGAAAAAATACAAATTAGAAATGATTCATCTTCGTTCACATCGCTCTTGTCAAAAAAACGCCCTCAATAACTATTGGTTCAAAGTTTGAGCGAGTTCTTGAAAAATTAAGAAACCTATCGCTTCCACCCTCATAAAGAAACTTCTTTAATGGTGGACCTACTCGGTTAGAAGGAAAGACACAAGTACAGAGGATGCGAAAAAAAAAGAAAGAGAAGAAGCCGGTTTTAGATCTACCTGACGAGGGTGTTGATCTGCTCCGAGGTGTAGACCTCGCGTTTGCGAGTCGTTCTTCGTCCGTCCGTCGACCATTCTCCGTCTTCCTCGGGAATCGGCTCCATCGGCTCCTGGATCCACGTCGACATCTTCGGGGGCTAGGAGAAACGCTCGCCAAATCGCATGAGCTTTGCTGGGTGAAAAAAGAGCGAAGAGACGCGAAAGTTTCCGTTCCTCTGGAATGAAAGAGGTGCGAGGCAGTGTGAGTCCAAAATGGCAAAAGGAAGAAGAAGAAGAAGAAGAAGCGTTCCTTCTCTCGCGGTCTCGCTTCCCGTCCAACCTGCAAAGTTCTTTTTCTTATTCTTTTTTTCTTAAAAAAACTTTTTTTGTAAAAATAATCGTGCCACTGAAACCGAAGGGTCATAAAAAAATTCAAGATTTTTTTGTGCGATTATACCAACCATTTTCGTTTTCCTGAAATAGTTTGTCTTTATTTCGGTATTGAATCGATTTTTTTAAAGAAGTATCAATGATAATATGAAATAAAATTATTAACCGAGAAATTTTTTTGAAAAAAAACTGATGAAAAAAAATAAAAAAATAAAAAGAGAAGAAAAAATAGCCCAAAATTTGATCAGGCATCTCAGAAGCTCGGAATCGCAAGAGACAAGGAGTTCTTTGGATTTTCGAAAGCTAACTCCAAAAATTTTGTCATAACCACTCGCGTTCTTCAAAGTGTTCAATTTTTCTTACTGCATTCAGGCCACGTCCATCATATGTACCGAATCAATCTTCAACTATGAAAAAAGAGAAATTTTCATTGAAATAAACAAGGTTTAGAATTATATAGAAATGAAAACTACATGAACTTGGAGCAAATGTGAAAAGAAATGAAAAATGTGGCCAAAGAGTTTTTGCACTATTCTTTTTTTGCGACAGCTGCTTTCCAACTCTTTGCCGAGCAGGAAAAAAAAAACTATCATAAATGAAAAAAAAGCTGGTCGTGAGGTAGAAGGACAGAGGCGGCAGGTGCCTGGATGATCGCGAGAAAAATATTCGAAAAAGGCGGCGAACATCATCGTTAAAACGGAAATTGGGAATAGGCAGACGTGTTCGTCCAGATTTATGAGAATTTGGGATGACAGCTGACAATTCACATCCTCCGCGGAAACATAACACAACAAGTTCAATACTTTTTGGGAAGATAGCCTTCCTGATATGAAAAGAGACGAAAGAGCTGGAATATGTTTTCCCAATTTGTATTCAAAATAATATATAAGTATGTTCGATTGTCGACGCGCAAAATTTCAGAGAAACGTGCTTGAACTTGTTGCAGAATCTTCTTTGGAGTTGCCGACAGAGGTGAAGTTCTTACTTCAACAACTTATTTTTTCCATGAGAAATGGATAAATAAAGGTTCGCTGATTGAGGTTAATTTCCTATCCGAGACCAAGCCATTAGAAGATTTCGGGAATCCGGAGGAAATGGCTTTTGGCGATGGCAATGTTTGCTCGAATACTTGGAGGCGGGACCGATGAATACTATTTGCACTCGGCTGCCCACCTCACACAAGGCTTTACGCTTTGGTCATATATTCAAACAACACGTTGTGATTGCGAGCCGCGCGTCGGGGTGATGAAAAAGGGCGGTCGACCCTCACAACGTCTTATAGCATGACCTTCAGAGCTTGGGTGGTCACTCTTAAGAATGGGAAGTTCGATGAAGAGGGAAGCGTTTTTGGAGTGAGACCATCGAAAAGCTGAAACACGCTAATCTCTTTCCAGGGATTTATTCCGGAAAAGCCGTTGGTTCTAGAAAGACCGTTGCCGGTTTTTTTTTTCAATAGCGTCAGCACATTCTTCTCTATTGAAGCTTTTTTAGACAGTTTCAAAAAAAAATAAACAAAAGTTTAGGTCTTTCTTTAACTTTTCTCAGTTGATAGATTATATCATAACTAAAAAATTAAAAAATGAAGGGTTATAAAAACTTAAGGCAAAATATATACAAACTTTCTTGAAATCTATATTTTCTTATAAGAGCCGATCCACGGAGGAACTCAAATACCAAATATAAAATAGATAAACCAAAAAAGTTCAAAATAAACAATCAATGATAATCAAGGTCAAGGGAGGGTATGAATAGAAGTGTGATTGCGGATGTCAAACAGAAAAAAGGAGGGCCGTTCGTCGGCCGCTGAAATGTGAACAAACGACATACCCAAACACTTGAGGACCAATCGACTCGACGAAAAAAGCCGCGAAAACCACTCGATTGTCAATACGAGGTGGTCATTTCATTACGAAACAAGCACACGTCGACCACGGCGACAACTTCTTTTCCTATAAATTGTTCGAAAATGGGTTGCCCTTTCAAACGCAAAAACCAACAAGAAAAAATATCGCGAGACTCATTTTTGGAGAATATAAATCAAAACAGAGCCGATAGGCATGAGAAAAAAAGGTTATCTGCAGGAGGTGAGTTATTTGAAACTTATTTGAAAAAAATTGTTGATTCGTGCGTAAACGGCCCTCAGAAAAGGCTCCACATAAGAGAAAAAAACCTTATTACTACTAAAAAAATCTTGTTTTTGGACTGATTATTTTTTTATAAACCTTTCTTTATCTAACAGCAGTCTCAGGGGGAAAAAAAGTCTTCAATATCAAACTTTTAGAAAAAAAAAACCGATTTGAACTATTTTAGTATAGGAAAAGTGAAGCTCATTATATGATAGTCAGATTGAAAATTTTAAAAAATCAACGCACGGATCTTGGTGAATTACTTGCATGCAAAAGATAATTTAAAACAGACTGAAAATAATTTTGCCAAAGTAAAACACTCTCATAAAAATTGATCATCATTCAAAACTCAAAACAAGCAAGTCGAACTTTTTTTGAATGTCATGTGTAAACTAAAAACCTTTTTTGGTCGTGAAAGGAAAAAAAAGGGAAAAAGCTGAAAGAAAAAAGGGGTGGAAACCGAAAAATGTGAAACAAAGACATGGAACGGAGGAATCTGGGTGAATTCCGTGCGTTCAGGAACACCTAAACAAACAGAAAAGACAGGCAAAACCCGGCGACAGGACAAAGTTGAGAGTAAAGGCCTCTTTCGGAGCTCCCTGAGGCATGAAATGTGATATTTGGCCGAGCATTCCATCGTGCCAATGCACAATTTCAGGCTGAACAGTGAAGAGGAAATTGACGACACTCTTTTTCGATTTCCTAAATGTATAAGCAAAAAAGAAGCATTTATTTTTTGGAAAAACTATCGATCGGAAAAATCTTGGCGATTGTTCTAACGTAAATCTTTTTCCCATAACAGACTCAAAATGAGCCATACACATGCATGGCGATTTATCAACAAAGACGCAAGAGAAAGGAAACATGGGAAAAAGTTGAATAAACAATGGTGGAAACCGACGCCGTCAAGAAAATTCCCCAAAGAAGGGAAAATTGTAATAAACAGAAGAAAGATTATGCACTTCAGAGAAAGAAAACGCTCAAAAGCAAATTAAAACCAAAAACGAAAAAAAATGGAAGAGCAAGTGTCAACAAGAACTCAGCTGTTTTTGATGAAGCTCGAACTCTTTGTACGAACTCCGAGCGCAAAGTGCAATTTCTATGAGAATTCGGCAGCTGGGCGGAGCCGCGGCACTTGTGTCTCTACTTGAGCAAAGTGTCCCGCAAATTCGCCACGACACACTTTTAATTCAGAATGAACGCCGTACGTTAACATCGAGGATATCTGTCAGCCGATTCTGTTTGTGTTGGATATCTCGATTATAAATTTGAGCAAACACAGTGAAACAACATTATTCATAGTTTTTCATGAACTGAAAAAATGCTTTTATTAAATTATAAAACAGAAAAAATGAAGACTTAAAACGGTTCCTCGCCTCAAGTATTTTTGTTTTACAAACGTTCTTTTCTAAAAACCTCTTTAATAATTCTGAGAAATCTATACAAGTCAGTTGCAGCTCAAAGATAAAAAGAAGACATTTAAATAAAACTGAAATCACTATATCTTTATTATCCTTTTTTTGCTCAAAAAGAGACATAGTTTTGAAATAGAAAAAGATTCATTTTCGAGGATTTTTTTATTTTTAGAAAATAACTTATCAGTTCTGATCTCCATCAAAAAAATTTCGAAGCTTTTTTTGAATTTTTTTTTTTTTCGAAGTAATCGTCTGACTTACAACTTTTTCACTGTCTCGCGTATTAATTGAATTCGAATGATCGATAAAAAGGAGCCTAGGAAAAAGTGGAGGCGCGGTGGAAATAGCGCTGAAAGAGAAGGACACAGAGGTAAATCCACTTGCCCTCAGGGCTTAACCAAGGTCTTTCGCCTTTTGCTCGGCTACTTTCAGGAATTAGCCGCGGAGAAATTCGTCAATCAGTGGCTAAAACCAATAAAAACGTAACTAAGAAGGTATGAAAATTAGTCTAGTATTTTTTTTAAAACTTCATTCAATTTTCAAACTGACCAAGTCAAAAAAATAAAGTTTATATTCAGCTTACTTCGAAAAAAATAGAATAAATAAAATAAAAAAATCTCTGAAGAACTAAAGTTTTGAAGACTTGAAGACCAAACTTTGTAGACGCAAGTTTCAAAAAAACTGTTCGAACTGCGGTGTAGAATTTCCGCTGAAACAGAATGAGCTTTGCTAGCTTCCCAATTGAACTATTTGAAGAAAAATGAGGATCATTATATTTTTTTCTATGCTCTAAAGACCAATTACTGTGTAAAAAGACAGAGAGCAAATGATGTGCCAGAACGACCTTTTTATAGGCTTTTCAAGTCCATCATTCTCGGCCTTCTCCTAGTAATTTCGAAAATTAGTGTTGCTCTGTTGGGCTTCACTTGAGGCGTCAAAAAAGAGTGAATATGTTAAAAGACGACAAAAGACGGAAAAAGGATGTCTCTGCAACTGAGATGACAAATATTCCGAGCGATGGACGACAGCGGCGATGCTGCCATCCATTTTGATTTATGCCTTTTTTTGACGCCAACTCTTCGAGTCCTTTTTGAAACAAGAGTTGTAGCAGCCCTCGAGAAATCAAAACATTCTGCCTAGGCGAATTATCCTCAAAAGCGGACTTGGTGGAAATAATGAGCAAAAGTCAATAAAAGTTGCAATATTAGCCGTTGGCTCCAAAGAAACGCAATAATAGGATGAAGCGGAAGAGAGGCGGAATTTTCGAGCACAGTGGGAATATTCCTGAAAAGAAAGATGAAACTAAGGCCCGGCCATATCGAATCGAAAAGAACAATTTTTTACGATTTGGGAAACGTCTCAAAACGTTGAAAATGAATCGACAGAACGAATATGGTGATCGTGGGAATGGGAAAATGTATTTTTTTCGTTTACTGTTTTTCGACTGGCAACCGGGATTCAGGAATTCAGTTTACACGCAATAAAAGAGCTTGGAAAGCGCGGCTGTAAAAGCTCAAATGGAGGAAGCAACCCGCAGGGAGCAATTTGGAATTATCGAGGGTCCGGCGGAGAGACGCGAGGCTCCGAACGCTTCTTAATTAGACAATTATGGATGCTCTTCGACGGACGGATCAACCGGAATCGATTGGGCAGAAGCCGCGCGTCTTTTCCCGCCATATGTTCCTTATCGTCTCAATTAGCCTACGACCTTCTAGGTACAAGCATTCACTACAGAGAAAATCAAAAAAGATCCCAACAATTTTCCAGATGGTCCTTTAAAGGCGGCATAGCTCAGCTGGCATAACTCATTTCTAACGTCCGCAAGGTCGTAGGTTCGAGTCCCCCCGAGGTCGACCAAGCCTTTCATCCCTCCGGGGTAGATAAAGTTGGGAGCTGCATGCAGCGAAAAGGCTCAATCTCGCCATCGGCCTTTGGAAAGCCGGTACCGTAACTCTTCCTACGACCTCTCTTGTACCTGATGTTCTACGAGCGAAATTCACAACTTCTCTGCCTAAGTCACAGCTCCTGCCGCCGTTTAAACACAGTCAAATCAAGGAAAGTCGATTGCACATGTACTCTTACATTGAAGATGCAATAAACAGTTTTTTTAACCTTTAAAGCAAATGAAAAATGAAATACTCACCAAAAAAGTTTTTTTCCAAACAATGTGTTCATTTCTCGACGTGTACAAAACCGTCGTTTCTGATTGAGAGCAGCTAGAATGAACTGAAATGTCGTTTTTATCACCTTCGTTATTTGCACAAAATTTTCACAAATTTTCCTAAGAGGCTGCTATGACTTTCTTTGATTGGGAAATCCAATTTTCAGTTTTCGATGAGGAGCCAAATTTGAAATTGCTAGGCTAAACTGATATTCAGAAAAATGGTTAAAAATATTTTGACAGTTTTCAAAAACGTTTCACTTGCAAAGGTTCAATTAGACTGGCCCTTTTTCGAAGAGATATCTTTTCTGCCAAACCTTTTTTTTAGGAAAACATTTACCGATATTTAAGATTTTTCAAACAGTTAGATGAACAAGAAATAAAACCAACGAAAAATCTTTTATCATACTGTGAGTAGAAGAAAACGAAAAGTAAGAGATCACATGAGCAGGTAGAGAGATGAGATCGCAGTGAAGCAAGAATCACAAAAAAAAGTGAAAAGAAAAAAAAATGAAAGAGATCAAAGTGAAGTCGCGCAAAGGAAATGATAACAATCAATTTGTGAATCGAAGCAGGAAAATGAGCAACAAGCGAATATAACAAACGTTTCGATCAGTTTCAGATTGTACCAGCGTATTTCAAAGAACAAAAAAAACGTCACCTGGATTGTAAATAATAATGATATTTGGTCAGTATCGATAAATAATCTTAGACAAGATTTTTCGAAAAGAAGGTTTCAATCTCTGTTGAATGTCGTGGAAGGTTTGTACCTTCTAGACGCCGTGTAGGTGTAGTATGCGTCGTCGGCTTCGTCCTGAGCACTTCGAAGACGCGGAAGAGTGCCGACGTTGCCTTCAAGAAAGAATTTCAGAAGACGTCGTAAAGAGAAACGGACCATAGACGTGTCCGATTCCTTCGTCGAGGATCTTCTCTGCCGGGCTCAGGATGTGGTGGACGGCGTCGCTGAGATGCGGCTGCCTTCTTGGAGTCGTCGCGTACGTTTCGGCCGGAATGACGTCCGGCATCCAGTCGTTGTTACCGACAGAATCGTCAGGGAAGCCTACGAAGAAAAAACTGATTTTTGAAATTTTTTTTTAAAAATCGTAACAGACGTTGGCCGATGTTTTTCGGAGCCAGAGACCGTATGCAATAAAGTGGAAAATGTTTTTCCGCCATTTTCTTGAAACTCGTAAATGACTACAATTAGTCATTTTTAGACTGAAACTTTTTCTTTTTTATCCGAATCTTCTTATAAAGCCTTATCGCATCAGATAAAGTCGAAATCAATAATATATTAGCGAGTTTCAGGCCTTTTCTATTCTCAGGAAAATGGCGGAAAATCATTTTCCTTTTTATTGCATACGGCCTCAGCTTTCTTTATCAGTTTCCCAAACTTGACAGAATTCAAATTATTTTCTCCCCCATCATTTTATCGCTTCAAATCTGGACAAAAAGTCAAAAAACGCAAAAACTTTGAATAATCTTTTTCGTTCTAATTTAAAGTATAACAACGAACCAGGAGGAAGCAACGGAGACTCGCATTGTCGATCCGCCATCGTCGATTCAGCCATAATACTCTTCTGCGGATCCAACCACATATTCGTCACTTCTTTCCGAGATTTCTGAAAAACTGACACTGATCATTGTCAAAAAGATAATCACACCGAGATAGAAGCAAACGCGCTCCAGAAGAAGACAACGGCCGAACTGGCAAGAAAGACGGAACATTTCACAACATCCTAAACGATGAATGTAGGTTGGATTCATAATTCATGAAAAATAATAACCATAATTTTGCTTGAGAACGGAATGAAAGGCGATGCGAGAGCGAAAGCCGTACACAATACAGTAGAGGCCGTCTGGAAAAAGTTCAAATTATTTCGTCAAGATGAGCAAGACCGAACCAAAATAAAATGCTGAAAGAGCGCTTTGCGGAGGTTGAACTTGATCGGGAAGTTCTCGTAGTTTTTGTTCATGGTCACCAAAAAACAGGTGGCAGAAGCGTAAAACGACAGCTAAATCACAATTAGATAGCCAAAGAAAAATCAATATCATGATTTGTGAGTTGAAAAGAGAAAAAAGTTCAATTTTTCGTAATAATATGTGGGAAAACTGGAAACTGACGAGTAGGAAAAGAACAATTGGAGCCAGGATGAACCAGAGAAGCCAAGTCTCAGGAGAAAGTGTACAGGAGCTGGCGAAGAAGAAAGTCGTCGAAGCGAAGACAGCAGGAGAAGCCAGACCCAGCAGCATGCACGTCGTCCAGCTGAGCTCCTTCAGATTTGAAGAAAAAAGAAAAAGGGAAAACCTGGCTTTTGCTGAACCGTCTGCCAGGGTTCTGTAGATGTGCAGACTGTAGAGGAAAAGCCAAGCGAACGGGGCACAACTCGTGAAAGAAAGGAACGCGTTGCGGAGTGGACAGACGCTCTCTTTGATGGAGACGAAGTGCAAGAAATACAAGTCGACGAGGTTGAAAGCGAAAAGGATGATGAATCCGATACGAATCATCCTCGTTTTCAGGACGTTTCTCGAGAAAGTTGCCAAGAGCGACAGGGCGCAGAGGAACAACGACGTCGCGGCCAAGATAGGTGGCGTCAAATCTTGAGAGTGCGCCATCCGAACCTGCAAACCGTGAAAATAAAGTCAAGTCATTGGATAAATCTTCATCACGCGCTGGATGGGAATAACTAAAAAAAGTGTAGAGAAAAGAAAAACCTTTTCTACTGTATTGACGGAAAGTCAAACTCACGTAGGAATTGCTCTGGTCGGAGGAGAACATGGTGAAAAGGCCTTCTCCTTCGAACTGACACCTCACGTGGGAGATGTTGACTCCGATCTCGACGCCCGTTTTGCGCCATTTTCCCGACTGAAAATTTTAAAATTTCGTGGCATGTTTTGGGAAAAATCTACTTAGACTAAAAGTTCGAAAAAATAAAAAAATTAGAATGAAATAAACTAACATGACAAGAGCCAAAAATGCAATTCAAGTTATAAAATGAAATTGATGAATACTTTCTCTTGAAGAAATAACGAATTGAACTTGCTTAATTGTTTCGATCTACCTTAGACCTCAGAACACGGTTTTTTCACGTTTTTTCTTTGGACCTCGAGAGAGAGAGAAAACCTCTTACAACGTTTTTTTTCACATTTTTGAAAAATTAGTATTTCGAGTTAAAACCTTTCTTTATCTTTCATTTTTCAAGTCGTATCCGGATTCAAAATAATTTTTTACCTTGAGCTGGACGCATTCCGGGTCGATCCAAGCGTCTTTGGACCTTAGAACGAACTCGACAGTGACTGGTTGTGAGCTGTTGGCAAGAATCAAAACCAGTGGATTTCCACATCTCTCACAGCGCGGAAACGGCAAAATCGCGTACAATGCCTTGAATTTGAATTTTCAGATGATAAAAAATACAGTACAAAAACTTGAGTGGTTCCCTGGAGGTGGATGTTGACTTTCGAGAAATCCTTCGGACGTGTGTCAATAAAGTTATTGAATTTGGGAAGAGTGTTTCCAAAGTCAACTCGGTCAAAACCAAAAGCTGAAAATATTTTCAAGTTCAGTTTTCACTCTCAAATAGTAAAATTAAGAATTGAGAGACTAACCGATGTGGTCATTGGCAGCAAAGAAAGGCGGCAAAAAAGTCATCTTCGTATGAGAATCGAAGACGGAGTGGGCGTAGTCCAGCAGTTTCGAGGTCAGTGGAAGGTATTCCGATGGCGGATGTTCGGCCAAAACTTTTCCAGCCGCTTTCATCAAGTCTTCCGTGAACCTCATGTCTTTTATGTGTGATCTAGCGCTCGGTTCAAGTCTGGAAAAGTTCTTCGTGACCTCTTCCTGATTCCCGAACGAACTTGAGCTCAAAGTCGATGATGGCCGAGATGGCTTCGGCTGCAATTTGCTGATTTCTTCCTCGAATTGTCGCTTCGTTGACAGTCGCGTTGTTTACCATCGCCAGAAGTTTCGACGAGTCCAATATTCCAAACTGGAAAGGAAGTGGTTTATACAAAGCTACAGTGAAAAGAAAAAGGATAACAACCACAAACTGTAGATTATTGCACCTTTTCTTAAAGAGAGGTTAAAAAAACATTCCTTCCTTTTGTCAATGAAGAAATAAAAAAAAACCTTGTTGACCATTATAGAATACTCGGGACGAGTGCAATTCCACGAGTTCACATCTGACCAACGACCAGAGTCCAGACATTTTCGTGTCGCGAGGCCAGTTTCCCCGTCAGGACAAGACTGTCGGACTGTGGAACCTAGAAAAAGTCTCGAAAATCGATGTCTTAAATAGAAAAAGTACCTTTGATAGAGCTGGGCCATTTGATAGCGTACTCCACCTCGGAAGGACAGCGACTATCGATTTTATGGCACTTCAGGGTCTTCGAATCGAGGGCCTGAAGAACGAAGTATTTTTGAGAGGATGTTCATGAAGAAGCTCACATGGTCGAATTTGGGACATCGGTCGCACCGTCGGCCGACGGCTTCTCCCAAACATTTGCAGTGGCCGGCGATAGAACACTCGCCGTTTTCCGCGCCGTCGCCACACTCGCATCGCGCACAGCCGTTGATAGTCGCGTAGTAAGTCTTCTGGAAGGAAATCGCTTCAATTTCTCGCATCCTGATGGAAATTTCCCACCAGACAGAGACAAGCGCCGGTTTGTTTGTCGCACTGGCTCTGGAAGCCTTTGTGCAGATCACAAGAGCACTTTTTGCACTTGGGGAAACTGCCCCACCAGCCTGCAGGACACATTGCCGTTGCCGCTATCAGCTCGCAGTTCTTTCCGGTCTTTCCTAAAATTCAGTTTCTGTGAAAAAAAAAAGTTTCCATCCTTATTTGGTGCTTCTTATCAGTCACTCTTCAATAACTCAAGTGTAGAGTACTGTTGCGATGGATATAAATGTGACAGCAGCTATTTTTGATATGAGAAGAGTAATTTAACGATTTCCTTTTCTGTACCTTTTATAGCGCTATCCTAAACTTTTTCCGGAGCAATAATTTTCTTGAATAACAGTGCGTTTTTTTTTCTTTGTGAAACAGGCCGAAATTGATCAAAGTTTTTGTCAAATTACGTCAGAGGAAATGACGAAAACAGACCAGGTTGACAGATGCACTCGTAGCCGTCGGTGGTGTTCGATGGAACACAAGATCCTCCAGAACAAACGTCTTTCAGCGAGCAAACCGGCTGGCAGACATCTCCGACAAAACCTGAGAAGGTTAGGAGTAATAAATGAAGGAAACTCAACGGACCTTTGTGACAAACACAACGATGCTTGTTCCAGAGTCGCTGGCAGGAACTCTCCGTGGGACAGACGCCTTCGAGAGCGCAGCGGTTGTGGACGACGCAGCCCTGGCGGACTTTTCCCTTCTGGTGGACGGAGACAGGACGGCCGTCGATCTCGACGTTCCTAACGCAGCCTTCGAATCGCGAAGGATGGCCTGTCGAGGGCGCCAGTCCAATGTAAACCACGTCGAGAGTCGTTTCTCCCAAGAAGGCTGGCAGTTCCTGAACAGTCCCCTTCTCATATTCCAGAGAGAAAGCCCACATAAGTTCATAACTTCAGCTTTAATAGTTCTTGGAATGTTTTCCTCTTTCGAAGAGGGAGCTATGAAAAAAACTTCTACATTACTTTCTTCTAACGAATGCAATTTTTATAAAGAATCATCAAGTTTTTTTAAATGATAACGAACCGCTGTATAAATATTGTCGACTGTGACTTTGACAGTGGATTCTCCGAATGCGATGTCAGCATGAACCCAATTTTTGGAAGAAAATTCTGGTCCTGGAACGACAATTGAAGACTCGCTCAGCGAAAATCTGATGACGCCGTCCTCCACCTGAACGGACCTAAGTTTTAATTAATTCTGGAAAGATTCCGAACATCAAGCTTGAAGAAGACGCTCCTCTGATTGAACTCGACGGCCAGAATCTGAGTGTCGATGCGAGATGTTCGGAACTCGGCAGAAAGAAAAAAAGGCGGGGAAATGGATCCTGGTTTGTAGAGAACAAACGACTCTTCTTCGGCCAAAGACACCGGCCGAGCATGAGTTGATATTTGATCTGCAATCCGATGTTGCGAAATGAACTGCACGATCTTCCCGAACCGATTCTGCAAGTGCCTTTGTGATGGATCGAGTGAGGACAGCGACAGTTGAAGCCGCCCCAGCGGTTCGTGCATTTGGTAGACGGCGAGCAGGAATTCTTCTTGCAGTGGTCCGAGAGAGGACGACAGCCTTCCACGACTTGTCCCACGCGGTGCATTTCTTTCATCTTCGAGAAGTCGACCAGCTTTTCGTTGATTTTCAAGTCTTTCAGGCATCCTAAAATAAAGGTTGTATTCGTTTTGACCATTCACGCTCGTTGCTCTCTTTTCGAGCTATTAAAAAAATTTTCCAGCATAGCCAATTCTTCCACACCGATAAATTCTTAAGAAATCAGAAGAAAAAAAAAACAACTTCACTTTTTACTTGAAATATTGTCTGCACTATTATACTTTTCAATGTTTTGATAAATGTTTTCAAATGACTTCCTCGTCATTCCTTGTCGCAGATTAATCTGGATTTTTCAATGAAAGCAGAGTTAACGAGGTAAAAATATATTTTTCATCACAACGCGCAGCCGTTTTGTGTTTTGAAATTTAAAAACGATTCATGGTCCGATAAAAAACGATTTTGAAAAACGTGAAAAAAATAAGGAAAGGTTGAGAAATTGATATGAAGTAATCGTATTATGCCTTTTTTTATGTGGTGGAAAATTATACATTTCTTTTATGATAAGCTTGATTGGAGCTAAATCATTTTGACAAGAAATTCAAAAAATCTTCTTCCTAGGAAAACTTTATGTCAATAAATTTCCTAATCAAGGGGAATCAGGCGGATTCAGGTTTCTTTTTCCGAAAAGGTTCATGATAACTTTCGACTTTTTGAAGATGAAAACTGACGGTACAGAGAAAAATTAAATGACAAACCGTTGAACGCCTCTTCAATCTGCTTGGAAGAGCCAGGCCTGCCTCCCAAGAAAATCCCATTTGTGACGTCTAAAAATCGAAAACATGGAACTGTGGGATCCGAAAGACATCTGAAAAGCCTTATAATTCACAAGTTCTTCTGTGGGAAACGAACTTTGATGGGAGCACGATCTCTGCAGAAGCAGCACAAACCGGAGAATTCTTCAGAATAAGAGCCGTTTTGGCGTCACAACCGTCCAAAGAAACCGTCAGCTTCTAATAGGAACAAGACTTGGAAAAATGAAAACACAATGAATACCCTCTCAGCCAGTTCCAACACGATCGTGTGCCATTCTCCGTCATTCACTCGGTTTTCAGGATCGTTGTCCATCCGCATTTCGACCGACTCGCCACCCAATGAAAAGTGCGCCTGAGGTTGACTTTTTTCAAGGAAGTAAGAAACTAGAACACCTTGAGAACCCTTTCCGAGATGGAAAGTTCGACGAAGTCGCTCTTTTTATATCCAGTAAAGAAGATGACGCCGTCATGAGCAATGGTAGCAATCCTAAAGATTTGATGATTATAATTTGATACTAGTTCATCTATTGAGGTTACGGTGAGCAGTAGCTGATTTTTTTTCGTAATAAACTAGTAAAACAAATGACAATTTTCTCAAAAAGGCTTGAAAAAGACGACTGGCTAGTGTTTAACCTTTATATTATTTTTCTTTCCTTAGAGGTCAAAATTACCTGGCCCTGCCATCAAAAACCATTCTAATTGTTTTTCTACTTTTTTTCAGTATCACTAAAGAAAAAAAATTAAAAAAATTTTGATTTTAAATGAATTCTACAAAATAAGTTTTAAGAAAAGTTATCAAGAAGCTTTTTCTCATTATCAATTGAAAGACAAAGCAAAGGGCAGTCATACCGAAACTCGACGCGCCAGTGCATCCGCGACAGATCTTCGTTGACGTTGAGCATGGCGTCGCCGGGAAAAGACACGGCGCGGAGACGACAGCGGTCGTCGGCGTCGTCTCCCGAGTACTTGCAGTGTCTGCACTTCATTCCGTGGGTCTCCAACTCGCAGACCGAGTCCGAAGAACAGTAGCCTGGCACACACGTCAGTGGTCTCGCCGACATTTCGCAGTTTCTCCCTGAAAACGACAAGTAACTTGATAATTGTCTCTACACTTTTCTAGCTTTTTCCCCCCCAAAAAATATGGTTCTCTGAGGTCATCCCTAAGCAGAGGCGTCATCAGTTGGAGCTCCTAGTAAAGCGAGTCATTATAGGCTGTAATTAAGCTTTAAGAGGGTCACAAGCACAGGCCGAGTCCCCGCGAAACAGCGTGTCTCGTCGAGAGAGACCTAATGTGACATTTCCTTGAATAGTGCAGCCCAGGAAGACAAAACCTCAGACCAACTCACACACTTTGCACGCGATTCTCTTGAAGAAAACTTGAATTGGTGCAAGAAGTTTCTATTCGAACTTCTAGAGAGCAACCAATAGTACGAGCCATTAAGTGGAAAGTCTTGCCAGAGCTATAAACTGATTATTTCCGCAAATCTAGTTAGAAGAGCATTCATAAAACAAGAAAAAACAAAAGTTAATATATTTTTTCAACTTCAAAATGATTTCGTACATGGAAACAGCCTTAACATAAAGGTAAAGTGCAACTTTGCACGTCTCAACCTAAGTATGATCAATTACAATTGGGATAGACAGTTTTCATATTTTTCTAGCATCGACTCCAAATTTAATCATTTCAATAAAATTTTCAACGAGCTCATACGGGACAACTGCCCAGTTCTCAAACCACGCAATCATCGCGGTTCCAACTTTTTACGCAACTTCTCTTCCAAAATTCTCAAGCGTCTTAAACGCTTCAATCTGCGCACCTCCTTCGGTCGCGTAAATTTCAAAATCAGTACCTCTAAATTTCGTCGTAAAACTCTACGTTGGTTCATTAATCATGAAAGAAAAATTGCCGCCGGCTCAAATGCCAGTATTTCCAAGTACATTAGTTCTAGGTTAAAACTTCATCATGATATTCCACCCCTTATCTCCAATGGCAGGTCTTTCATTTTACCATCCGAAAAAGCTAATTTATTTGTGGAAACTTTCTCCAAAAATCGTAATTTGCATAGTTATGATACACCCACCCTCTTTCCAAGTAGGAAACCTTTGACTGTTGAACCTGATTTCAGCCCTTACGCCATCTTCAAAGCCTTAGGCAAATGCCCATCAAAAAAATTGGCTTTTTCGACTGACTTTATCAACTTTTTTTGTTCTCAAGAATTGTCGTGATTCGTTAGCTATTCCGCTCTCACTCCTATTTAACGAATCTTATTGCACGGGCTCTATCCCCAAAACTTGGTCCACCTCTCATATAGTCCCTATCTTCAAAAAAAGGCGATAAAAAGCGATCCTAATAACTACCGACCTATCGGATTGACGTCTCACATTGCTCGTTTAATGGAAAAAAATAATAGCTATCTCTATTAGATCTAAATTCAAAAAAACACTTTTTTTCTAATTCTCAATTCGGCTTTTTTTAAATCATCGTTCTTGTAAACTAGCTCTCCTCGATTGCATCACTCACTGGAAGAGATCCCTAGCTCTTGGTAATAACGTAGACGTAGTATATATCGATTTTCTCAAAGCCTTCGACATGCTCCCCCATAACCTTCTGCTCGCCAAGCTCCAAGATTTCGGTTTCGACCAAAAACTTATTAGCTGGTTCGCATCCTTCATATCCAATAGAAAATCATTTGTCATTAGTGAAGGTATCATATCTAGCTCATCTTTTAACATTACATCTGGAGTTTTACAAGGAACAGTCTGCGGCCCACTCTTATTCATAATATTCATTAATGACACTATCAGCAACTTATCTGATAATGTAAAGGCTTATCTTTTTGCTGATGATCTTAAAATTTTTTCTGACGATCCCATAGCGCTTCAGCAAGGTCTCAACAACGTTTTCCAATGGTCTAGTCAATGGGGTCTTCCCCTGGCCGAACACAAAACCACCCTTCTCCATCTAGGCCGTAGCAACCCTCATGTTCAGTATACTATAAATAATATAACTATCTCTTCCGCTGAAGCTGTTCGCGATCTAGGCATTCTTATTGATAACAAACTAACATTTGAGCCTCACCTTCGTAAAGTTATAGCCTTATGCAAACTAAAAAAAGTAAACAAATCATCAGAGCGTTCCGCGCCCTGTCTCCCCGCTCTAATGAGCCGGATTTTTTTCTTACGTACGTTGCTCCCTATATGGACTACTGTTGTGAGTTGTTCAGTCCCCCCTAGCTTCAGAACTATCTTACACCCTCGAAAACATCTTCCGTCAATTTACTCGCCAAACATTCATGAGATCAAACATTAGGTTTTCTAGTTATGAAGACAGGTTAGCTCAGATTAACACAAACTCTTTTTTTAGAAGACGAGTCGAATTTTTGTCTAAGAACACTACATAAAAATTTATATTAAGGAGAGTCATTTGCCAGTTTCTCACAGTGTTTTTCAGGAGATCAAATTCGGTACGTGCTCCATCACGTCTTATCAGAGTAGGGATTCGTTTCGAAAAATTTCTTTGAGACGTTCATCCCTCTTTGGAATAAACTGGCTACATTGGGAAACCTCAATGTTTCTCCAGAACGTTTCAGGTCTTTGTTACTATCCCTCGATAATAATTTCCTTTTCGGAACTATTCCCACCAGTCTCCGTTGAACCAGGTACCCGTGCTTCAGCCCTACTCTCATCCATCTTATGCGCGTCTATATCATCACAAACAATTAAATTCCCCATTCACCTGTGCTACACTGTGTCATAACTTATAATGCTTTCTTTTCTAATTACTTTTTTTTCCCTTGTGCAATCCTCACCTCTTATTCTTTTATTACTGGCTCAGAGGCTCGTGAGGGCCTCAAGTGCCTTTTATTTATTTATTTCAGGCTTAATGCCAAATTTTTCTTTTTTTTTTTTTCTGTACATGTTATTTTGTCCTGCCTGTAAATAAATAATATTATATTAAAGTCCTCACTTTTTCAACTCTTACACTAGAACTGGCACCACAATTTTTTTTTTTGCGTTGAATATATAAACAAAAACTCTGTCAAACGTAAAGATTTTTCAAGCTACATAAATTTTTATTCCCTTGGCTACTCCACTTCATTTCAATTTTTGACGTCTCATCTCATCTTGGAAAAAAGGCAATTTACGAATGCGGCCCCCGAGTTCATTTTTAGTTGCGAAATGAGGCTGGACGAGGCGAAATTGGCCATCTGCCCAGGACAAACACGCCGACACCGGAGCGTCGTGTAAAGGAACACCCAAATGGGGAAGGAACGGACCCAGCCAGCCGGCGGCACACGAGCAACGGTAGCCGTCCTCCAGAGGCACGCAAGTCCCGTTGTTGGCGCATTTGGCCTGGTAGCACTCGTCCAGACGCACGTCGCACAGTCCTCGTCCGTCGGAGCCTGAAAATCTTTCTTTTTACAATTATTCCAGGACTTGTTTGCATGTCTGATGTTTTGGTATGAAATTACGGACTGGTGAATCCTGGAGGACATTCGCAAACAAACGTGTCGACAGTCTTGAGCGTTCGTGCTATGAAGTTGTCCGTTTCATGTGTCTAAAAAGGTCAAATTACATTTTCAAACTGAGTCAGTTTCTTTTTCAATTCAAATAATAATCAGATGGAGGTTCTCTCAAACGAATTGAGAATTTTTCTATTTCTTCGATTTTCAAGGATTTGGTTTCAACAACAAATAAATAACTCAATCTCCATTCTCTTCGGCCCCCTACTATTTCCGATGCTGGAACTCTATCAAACCTCAGATATATTAAAAGTTTCCAGTCAGGTCAGTCAAGTTCTGAACAAAATTTAAGTCATACTCAGGATCCTACGGTCTTTATTTAAATTGAAATTATTTCGATCCCATAGATTTTAAGTCGAAACAAGGAAAATTTTATTTTCCATTTTTAACTAATTTCATGAATAGGTGAACAAGTATTGGAACGGCTTCGATCGTAATTACTTAGACGAGACGCGGTAATTGAGTTGCATAGTGAATTTTTCATAGCATCTTCAACGAAGTGGACAACTCTAATTAAGACTATTCGACGTTACATTTTGTTTGTTGAATATTGAGGAACCAGTGTCTTTGTTGAAAAAGCATCGTAAAACCGTTGATGGATCTAGTACAAATTTTCGGAGCGAGCATAAAGGCCTCAGATGGAAGCTCTCATTCGATGTCAAAACGCATTTGGCGGCTTCGGTGCCAGTCGCTTCGCATCGCACCAACCTGCATGTCCCCGATGAACTTGAGCGTCTGGCGGCACTTGTGGAAGTGAGAACAAGGCTCTTTGGAGCACGACTCGTCCCGCACCACCTCCATCGTCAGCAACGTCATGCGCGCCAACTTTTTCAGCGACTCCTTTATCAGCTCCACCATCCGCCAACCTCTGAAAGTCCTCGATTTTTTGAATGTCAGTTACGGTTTTCGGCGGAATTTCTGAAAATCGAATCATTCTCTCACACATAGCATTATTATGAAAAATTACTTTTTTTAGCAAAAACATTCAATTAATAATAGAATCAGCAATTTTTTTCCAGAACTCTGCCTAAACATAGTCGTTTTTTTTTTTCAGAGATTAGGCTCTAAGACATGAAATATATCATATTCTTTTGCATATGATAATTTTCTTTCTGAGTCAGATTTGATAGAAAAAACATTTCGAAAACTGTTTTCTAATCCTGGAAAATTGAAGTTGGTTGAAAAGCCAAAAATAGTTACTCCTTCTTTTTGCTCTGTATTCCCGATGAACAAAGGTTCCGGACCCAGAATTAAAATTTCTGGTCGTGTACAAGCTCTTGATTTAACACGCGTGTTCGAGTGCTTCCCTCATTTAATTAAAAAGCCGCCAAACGACGTCAACGTGAGAAAACACTCGAGATCTGCCGCCCAACTAGCTTCTTTCTTTGGAGTCTTACCGCACAGGCCTGCCGCGCTCGACGACGACGATACTCGCGTGGACGACGTCTTCTGAATGACGTGATGCGCTTATCACATGGACGTCAGAAGACTTCCAATTGCTCAGGGTCGAGATCGCGTCCCTACAAAATGAACTTGGAAATATCCTCTTATAGCTGATTCGGAACGAGTTGAAATGGTTTTTCGCGAATGGCTCAAACGGCTGCGAAGGGGTCGCTATGAACAGAAAAAAAAACTTCCATTTTCGGAATTTCACTCAAAACGTGGTCTCTTTTTTTTCAAATTTTTCGTGTTGAAAAAGTTGATGAGAAGAATGTACCTTAATCTTTGGAAAGAGTCGGGATCCCAGAAATCATCGATAGTTATTCCAGAAATGGCCAGAGTTAGGCTTTCCCGAAGCCATTCCTCTTCGACGACCACGTGGATAAACCGGCATTTTGAACATTCTGTGTTTGCTCCATCTGCAAAAAGTAATTATGAAAGGAGGAACGATGGTTCAATTTTTTCAGGCTACAAAAAACCAAAGAATCGTTTCATTGAAACCAACCAGAAACGCAGGCTTTGAGCGAAGTGTCGATATTGCGTTTCCACTCGTTTTTCAGCGTCAACTTTCCAGTGTACTTGTCTGTTTCCAGTAGTTCATTCTGTTCGAGGAAGAATTCGAGCGTCGCATTTTGATCAGGATCACTGAATAAAATCCTATTTTCTGCATCATGTTGAATAAGTGTAAATAACACAGAGTTTTAAACTTCCAAAAACTATTTTCCAGGCTATAATAGGCAGGAAGTGAGAAAACTTCCACGGTGCAAATTCAAACGAGTTTCCTTGCTAAACTGCGGTTTTTCTGTATGAGCCAAGCTAGAGCACACAAACTAAAAAACATTTCCCAGCTTTTCAATATAACCAGCTCTCTTCCACTTAGCGCATAACTGAACATATTCTCAATTCAAGTCCAGACAATAGGAAAAGCTGACAAAGCGGGAATGTAGGCAATCTGTTTGGGATAGGAGACGGCGTCGTGGAATCTGTTGACGAGGACGACGAAGTCCTTCAGCGTCGGTTTGTTGTCGTTGACGTCCGAAACGTGGATCCGTACGGGCACAGTAGAACTGAGCTGCTCACTGCAGCACAGAAGATAAACCATCGCCCAAGATTCCCTCACCAACCTGCTCGCTTGAATTTCCAAGAAGAACTTGTTCGCTTTGGCTTCGTAGTCAAACTCGGCTCTACTCAAAACCCGCACGACTCCTTTCTGTTCAGAATCAACTGCAATTTTTTTCTTTTTCAGGTAATATTCTATTCTTTTTTCTAACCTTCAATATCAAAAAGTTTTGCATCTGCTCCACCAAAAATCCTGAACGATATGTCAGAGTTTGACCCTTCGTCAGGATCTCGAGCAACAATTGTTCCTTAAAGAATTTAGTTAACCTTGAAATTCGGAAAATCATGAACGTAACAGTTAAACTATTTTTATAGTCGGGAATTTCAGTTTTTACCTCTTTTTATTTATCCTCCTCTAAAATTATGTTAAGTTAAGAGTTTTTTTTCATTCGAAACATGATGAGAATCTAAATGAGTTTATTCAACTGTTTCAGTTTTTTCTCTCATTTATGAATCTCAATTTATACCGAAGTAGGCAAATAACTGACCAACTGTAGTGCCGACGGGCGAGTTTTCAGTGATGTAGAGGTCGTAAGAAGATTGTTCGAAGACGGGCGGATTGTCGTTGACATCAGTCAGCGTCAAGGTGATGAGAGAAGACGAAGAAAGTGGCGGATTGCCTCGATCTCTGGCGAAGATGGGCAGAATAATCCTGAAAGTTGTTTTGGCCTCTTCGTTTTTCCCATAAGCATATTTCCACTGTTTTCTCAAAATCTCTCACGCTAATCAGGTTTTCATGAGTCTGCGAGACCATTTGCATGGAGAAATAGGAACAGATTGGGAATTGTGTCTAGTGGGTCAAAAAAAGAAATCCAGGGTCACGTAGGGTCATTTGGACGTCGAATCCGCGCCAGGTGTTTGGTCTCGATGGCGCAATCGGCCATGTCTAATTGCAAGCTTCATTTCGTTTTGGAACTCTGCTCGACTTTTAGACAAACTCACGTCGGATTGGTTTCTCGGTCGAGTTTCGAATTGACTCTCAAGGTGCCCGAGGTGCGGTCAAGCCGGAACAAATCGATGCCTGGCGCACTTGTAGAGTCATTCAGGTAGTAGTCGACAATTCCGTTGGCTCCTACGTCGATGTCGATCGCAGACACCTTCAAATACAATCGCTTCTTTAAAATGAATTCCTTCCATCCAAAGCTTTTTCAAATTGGTTTTCGGAAAGTTCTAAGCAAACTTGACGATTGGGAACTCCAGCTAATGTGCATTGGAAAATTGAGAGCCGAAAGTTAAATTTTTCATTCGAAGGAAACTTTCAAAGAAAAATTCAAAATTTTTGGTTTTTGATATCTCAATCGTTGCTGCAAGCGATAATATTTCTATAAGATTTCGCACAGAAATTTCCAAAAAAAACTTTTTTCCAACTATACGAGAAAATGTTAGTAACCTGCATGAAAGACGTTCCAACAGGTATGTCCTCAGAAATCGAAGCTGCATAATGTGGCGATGTGAACTTCGGTGGGTTATCGTTGACTGAAAGGTGTGTTTACCTCATTTCAAGGTCTTCTTTTGACTTCTTTCCATGTAAAAGAAAGCGAACGCTCGTTCTCAATTGTCTTAAAAAGGCGGCGGTTGAGTGAGTGATTATTATGCGAGACGTCGTCGAATGCTAATCACGTCTTCTGCCAGGAAGCGGCAATTTTGTTTCTGTTGCCCGCCATTTCAAAAGGCTTTCGACATACAGGGCGTCCGCAGCAGCCAGCTGTTCAAGCCGCGCGATTATTTACGGAAATTAGCGCCAACGTGCCGGCGAGAAATGAGCAAAACAGCGCCGTTTTTTTCCCGGCTGGCACCTTTGCCGAGCACACTGACTGATGGAAAATGGGCTCACCGTCGTCCAAGATCACTTCAATTGTCGTCGAGACGTTCAACGGCGTCGTCGCCGAGTCAGAAGCCGTCACGACGACGTTCAACGACGCCTTCTCCTCTCTGTCGAGGTCTGCGCCGACCGTCAGCTCTCCACTCACTTCGTTGATTTTGAAGTATTCAGACTCAATGGAATATTTCACGTGAGCGTTGGAACCACGGTCTCTGTCTTCGGCCTATAAATTCTTATTGAGAGCATGTTCAGTGCTATTTGTGAAAATATGTTCTTCCTCATTTGGCATTGAATTTATAAAAACAAGCGCAATGAGAACCATCAATTTTGATTTCATAAAAGTCTGTTCATAAAAAGTAGAAACTTATCAAATTTTGGAAATTGAATGCTAAGGGAAAACAAATTATAAGTAACATAGGTACAGTTTACAAATTGACAGTTTTTCGAATGATTATTCAGGGGAAAAACTGCTCATGACAGCTACGTTTTTCCATAGTAATCGTGCAATTACGGACTTTTGAGTGATTTTCTATATTTTACCTTGAATTTCATTGTCTCGTTTTGCTTTCAATAAGAATTGCAACTTTCTTTTGCGAACTAGTACAAAAGAGACGTCATGTGGACCTTGAATGAGACGACGGGGAATCCGATGGGCGAGTGTTCGGGAATCCGGATGGAGAAAGGATGATCCATGAAGAAAGGCGGCGCGTTGACGTCTTCGACAAAAACGTTGACCACGCATCGGCCTTGTAGACCTCCCTGAGACTTTTCGTCAACAGATCCTTCCGAGGACGCTTCTCCTACCTGGTCTGTGGCCGAGATTTCGATTCGGATGTGGTGGTCGACGCCTTGCAAGTCTCCAGAAACGCTCAAAATAGCGCCTTGTTCGCCGACGTCCAGGATGTTGAAGACGTTTTTTCTTTCGGTCGATTCTATCCGGTAGAATATTTTCTGTTCTTCATCGCGGTCCACCGCTTTGAGAACGAGGATCTGAAATCCCAAATAAACACAGATCTGAAAATTCGTGAAAACTTGGCTTCCCGGTGGAGTTTCTTCGGATATGGTGACGTTGTACTCAGCCTGGGAGAACTTGGGAGCGTTGTCGTTGACGTCTTTCAAGATGACGTCAATGTCTGTGAAGGCACTCAATGGCGGAACTCCCATGTCCGACGCCACAATCTATACTTTTTCTTGGCTTTGTTTAAGACGAAAAACTGAAACTGACCTTCAGCTTATACTTCCCCTGCACTTCTCGGTCCAATGACTTCGCCGTGCGAATTACGCCACTGGCCATGTCAATTAAAAAATCTTCTGTGCCATTCAGAGAATATCTAGACAAAGTGAAAAATTCAAAATAAATAGAAAATCTCCTTACTGTATTCTGGAATTGGAGCCTGAGTCTTGGTCGATGGCGTAAACGCGGCCAATTTCCTCGCCAACTGGTTCATCCTCGTCGATCACTATCGATTTCTGAGCGGCGATGAAAGTTGGAGCCTGAAAAACATCACTATCTATTCTGAGAAACTCTCTTCCGAAAGCTCACATGGTCATTGATGTCTTCGACGTTGATCGTGAGGGCGACGGTGCTGGAAAGAGCAGGCTGGGCTCCGTCTTTGGCTCTGACGACGACGGTCAACGGAGAATTCTTGGCGTCGATCCGCTCGCGGAGAGTGACGTCACCACTCGTGTAGTCGATGTTGACGGAGACTCCCGACTGAACCGCTACACTATAGTGCACTTTTCCTGAAATATTCTCAACTATCAAACGACTGCATTTGATGCTGAACCGTTCTCTCCGAAATCATTGTCAACGGCTTTCACTTTAGCAATGACCGCAGGCAACGTTATATTTTCGTTGATGGTGACGTTGTAGGAGTCTTGTTCGAAAACCGGTGCGTTGTCGTTGACGTCCAAGATGGAGATTTCGACGAGTGCCGTCGTTTCCCGCTTCGGAAGGCCTTTATCGGCTGCTATCACGTCCAATCTGACCAAACTTAACTACCTTTGTGTCTTCTTCAAGTTTTACCTGATGAGAGAAAGGGTTTCACGATCCAGAGGTGCGGCCGTCTGAATAACTCCGGATTTGGCATTGATGGACAGAAGGTTGCGACCGTCGCCTTCTGCCAAGGAATATTGTACCTCGCCGTTGTCACCAGCATCCAGATCCCTCGCAAATACCGACAGCACCGTCGTCCCGATCTTCAATCACTTTTCAAGTTGCTTTGTGTCAACCAGTTTCGAACAAATTCAATAACTACATGTGCAAACAGCCTCTCTATAAATCCAGCAAATCTGCTCGATTTGGGTAATTAATGGAAGCGCCGACAACAATCCCACACGCCAATCTCGCGGTACGATTGGATTAGGGTTTTGCCGCACGAAAATATGATTCGCCGTTTCCTTGGCCGCCGCGGCATTCGATTAACTGCCGCGACAATACTCGTCTGTGTTGCCAAAGTGCGGGAAGCGCGTCTAATTACATATGCAAGTATCGCCGCATCGTTTGCGCAGAACTTTCACGGCGAGCTATAGCTGAAGAGCAAAGTGATCCTGGATTTACTAAGTAGCCACTCTTAATGAGTATTTTTATCTCCACGAGTTTCAGCTCAACATAAAATCATAACAACAGCCGTTAAATGAACTATTATTTGCGACATTTGCACAAAAAAAAGGAATTGAATGAGAACTTCATAAAATTGATAGTAAAAAAATCTAAAAAGAACGTTTTTCAAAATAGTCATTTTTTAATTAGAAGGATTCTCGATCTTTTTCAACCTTGAGGGAATTATAAATCTATCACCTATCATTTTCGAACCGCTTTTTTTTGTATAAATTACTGAAATCGGAAGCGTTTTCAGCGAAACACAAAAATCATTCGATCGAGAAAATTTCAAACAATTCTGCGTCATTGACCTCAACGGAATATGCGATAATTAGCGAGGAAATAATTATCTCGGCCAAAATAACTATGATGGATTCTCCCGGAAACGCGATACGGAGAACTGTTCAAAAATTTTACAAGACTGAACTTGAGAAAATCTCCCGTTGCTTTTTTTTTGTATATAAGACCTATTTTTTATTTCAGAATTGCAAAAGCATTTATGAGGATCTTCACCCAACTAAAATCTTTCTACAGTGATCAATGTGTCGGCAAAATTTCTTCTCACGATGGGACCTAAAAGCCGATAGCCTGCTCTTGATCAAGGCTGCTGGACCAGCTTGGGGGACGAGGATGCTCGTAATTAAGGTTCACCTGCGCGTCGCGCGATCGATGTGTGGAAGGCATATGCACCACACAATGAGACAATTCTTCTTCCCTTTTCGGACTCGCTTGCTCCAAAAAGACTCGAGGGTACGTCAAAAAAAGAAAAAGAAAGCGAGAAGCATGTTTTTTTCAGTAAAGAAAACTTCTTGAGAATATGCATTGGCTACGTTTTTTTCTATGAAAATTTCCCCTCCCCTGCAGCATCGTCATACCATCTCGATGTTGCAAAAGAAAAGTGATTTAATTCGGATCATTAACAAAAAAAAATTGGGAAGTGGAGTAAAAAGAGCTCGAACAAACTGAAAAAATTAAGTCCTTTAAAAAGATTGGGGAACATAACGGTTTTTTTAGTCTCATTAATTTTGAAGTTTTAAGCTAAAGGGAACAAGAAGAAGAAGAAGAAGAAATGAATCAAAAATTGATGGTATAAAAAAAGCATATCAGTCACCAGGATAGGGAAAATTTAAAAAAATTTATCCTAATAAAAACTTATTAAAGGAACTTACCGATTCAAATAATGGAAACTTTAGGGGGAAAAAAGCATAAAGATACCCACCGGAGCATCCTCACGAATTTCCCCAAAATAGGAGTCTTTCTCGAAGAGAGGAGCGTTGTCCTGCACGTCGATGACATGAACGACCACCGTGGAACTCGCCGAAATCGTCGGATCCAGTCTTTCGTAGGCGGTCACCTTCAGCACGTGCTTGTCCAGAACCTCCCTGTCCAAGCTCTTGGCCAATCGGATTTCGCCGCTCATCTGAAGCTTCTCTTTCCACAAATTCCAGCTGTTTTTCTACCGTGTCGAGTGTGAAGAGGTTTTGTGAGCGCGAGTCCTGTGGAGCCACCATCGAATAGTACACCGGCTGCTCCGAGGCGTGCAACGCCTTCACAGAAACCACCAAAGTGTCCAGTTCGGCATCTTCCCTCAGTTCTCGAACATATCTGCCAGTTAATTGATTGAATTCACTCTTTTGGTAAAGATAAAAGAGTTTATTGGTTCGAAAATTAACTACTTTTCTTGTTGAAAATGGATAATGTTGGCGTCTGGATTTCTTCGTCGTGCCCATCGTTTAACGCGAGTTCTTCTTGAGAAAACTGGATGAGCTAGTCGAAAAGAAGAATTCAGAAGGTGGTCTTCACATTCGTACAGATATGCTATAGTCACAGGACCTTCGAAGAAGCAAATCTGAAAACGAAACTTTTTATGACCATGTTGTGCACAAATAACTTCAATATAGGAAAGTTATATAAAGTAAAAACCTTCTCTTTAGCCAAGACAAGACCATCTTCGGTGACCGACACGGCTCGAGAAGTAACTCGGCGTGGCTGCGGACAACTTTCCGACGTAGGCCATCGGAGAAGGGGCAGTCCTGGGTGAAAACAAGGAGGACGGCTGGCTGGCAGCCAGATGATGTGTGAACGAGACGGGACTGAACAAGGACTACACAGTCCGCCAACTGGACCATCGTACTGTCCTTGTGACCAGACTTCCGCCACTAGGACTAGCGCGAAGAAAAAAATGAGCATTGTTCGTTTTCCTTTTGTCATCTCATCATGATGTAGAAGTTCGCTGAAAAAGGACAGTACACAGAAGCCAAGTCGAAATGGTAACTGTTTCAAAAGACAATAAAAATCTCAAGAGTAGTTTCTAACAAAAAAAGTTATTAGAAATTGACAGGAAAATTAGGAAGACTGCAAGTGACGAAGAATTTTACTGCAAAAAACTGGCTTTAAAATAACACATTGAACTATTACGTGTTTAGAGTGATATAGTTGATATGAGCTGGAAGATAAAACTAATTAATACTGATGGAAAAAAAGGACAATGTTAAAATGACAGAAAAAGGCACACCGTGTGGCTCGGCCTGAAGAGTGGAGGAGAAGGGGCGTGGCTTGGATTCGCTTGGAGATGCGAGATTAGCCGCACCGACGTCCAGCTGCCCCCTTTTCATAAATTCCAGTGTCCAGCAAGCCAAGTACCTTCTAAGTTCTTTTATGAAGCTTTTATGAGTGAAGAGAAAATTCTGAAAACTGAGAATAACATAAGACTTTGAAGGAAAATTAACAATTTTTTCATTTTTTGGGCTACGAGGAGGCAAAAAATAAAAACGAGTACAAATGATAAGAATTTGCCAAACTTACGAGAAGATTGTATGGTAATCGCAGAAATTATGGTTCAAAAAAAGTCACAATGGTACAAAAAATAAGAAAGGGCCTGGTCTTTTTTTTTTAGTCAAACGAGCTTTTACTGAAAAAAAAAGCAGCGTAAGAAGGTAACATGTCCTCGAAAACTAGAAAAAAAAAATTATTTCACTAACCGCAGCAGTATTTCTTTTTGGAATAACGTTTCATAATAACAAAGTTTTCAGTTTTTTTAAGCTGGAAAAACCGTATTGCAGACTCATTCTAACTCTTTGGATTTTTTTGATATTGTAATCCATGGTTTTTTTAAATCTAATTCGAAATTTCTTTTTCTCCCGATGTAAACAAACTGTTTGATAAAAATATTTGCTCAAAAAAATTAAGATATACATAAACTGCAATCGTTAAAAAAGCATGTTTATTTGAGCTAAACTGGTTACAAACGATTGGGTAGACACACTGATTTTTCCTACGCCCTTTCAAATTTTCATTCTATTTATCTGAAAAATAAGCTGCTTAAAACCGTTATGCGAAATCCAGTAGTTTGCTTGTTGATATGTGAAAAAAATTACTCCACAACATGAATTTCTTTTTCAACCTTAACCACTGAAAAATTTTTTGAGTAGAACAAATTTCCAAAAAAAAATAACAATGGCAGCTTTCATAACGGTTGAGACAGTCTTTATGGTCATTCAAAGTGAGAAATTATTTATCTAAGGCTATGAAAGCCAAAAAAAAAAGTGAAGGTAGAAAAGAATGTGGAAAACAAGTTCTACAGAAAGAAACTTAGATGACATAATCAGATCTCTCCGTTTAACCGTCTTCGACCTCTCGAAAAAGTTGCGAGTTTGTCGAAAAGCAAATATCCGAGAAGGTCAAGAAAAACAAAAAGCTAAGTTAGGGAAGGCACTCCAGTGGCTAGGCGAAATTGGCGTGGTAAGAACGGGCGAACGACGTCGTTACACTAGAACCCACGGCTGCGGAAAGAGCCCATTTTTGAGATATGTTCTCGCGGCACCAGGGAATTAGGTTCGACGAAATCGAGACGTGTTGACGGCCGCCGCCATTTTTGGTGCGGCTGAGTGATGCGCCAAAATGAAATATGAATGCTACCACAGCTCAACCAGTTTGACCATTTAGAACCTGTCACTTTTGCTTGGACCTCAGAGGCACATATAAATTTTTTTTCTTTCTAACAATTTCGGCTCAAGTGTGATTAGGAACGAGTATTCGAAAAACCAAAAATTGGTTTTTAAACTGTGTATCGAAGTCAACTAAAAAAATGAGCTAAACGATTCCACAAAAACTAGTTTTGCGGAGGTTGTCTGGTACTTTATTTTTCTGATAGTGGAGAGGCATTTTTCTCGTTCTAAGTACACCTGTTCCTATTTTTCTCGAAAAAAAAATGAGCGTCTTGAGCGTCCCAATTTTTTTTTCTAAATCTAACTTTCAAGCTAATAATATCTCTTACAAGTTTTTTTTGCTTGATAAGTGTCAAATGTTTTCATCCAGATGCTGCATAAGGATGTAAAATATCACGAGTGGATTCTACGAGAAATATATCATCAAAAACAAAAAATAGTTAAAAAATAGTTCTCTTCGATTCGAGCTAAAATATTATTAAATTAAAGTGGAACTTTATCGGAGTAGAGGCAAATATAACTTTCTTGGTTCTCTTCCTCCACGCCACAGATCTGTCTGTGAGCGAACAATAAACATTTCAAAAAAGTAGAAACAAGAAATTGTTTTGAAGAAACTTACCTTACTTTGGTAGTGGCGACTTTCCAAATTGAAAACTTGTCCAAGTCTTGTCCTTACATAACGTAACGTCTGTATTGCCCGTTTTCCATAAGATTCTCAGCATCTTAAAAGTGAAAAAAAAAATGGGATCTGGAGAGCCGATAAATCGATTTCTTGAAAATTTACCATTTATGTTATCTTTTTCTTTCTCTGACGGCCAATTCGGAGTTTGCAGAATCACTTTGAACACGGCGTTGAAGTTTTTATATGTCAAAAAATGAAATGTCGGAGAATCTTCTAGAAAAACAAAGAATTTACTATCCCACAAGAAAAAAAAAACTAAATCCACGATGGTACGACAAAATCTCAAGTCCGCAAATCTCGAGGACCGTAATCTTGTGTACGCAGATCTAAAGTCCCATAATCTTGGAAACCAAAATCTTGGAGACCAAAATCTTGGAAACCACCATCTTGGAAAGCAAAAATCTTCCTTTTTAGTCTTCTTTATTGCACTTTATCTACTTATATTCTCTCGTTTGGATCACCGAATACAATTTCTGATAAAATCTATTCGCAAAAGCGTTGATTTTTACTTTCCAAGATTATGGTTTCCAAGATTTTGGTCTCCAAGATTATGGGACTTTAGATCTGCGTACACAAGATTACGGTCCTCGAGATTTGCGGACTTGAGATTTTGTCGTACCATCAAATCCACCGTAACCCGCTCACTCGGTTTCTTTTTCGTTCTAAAATGGAGCGTTCAAAGGATTATCGTTGAAGATTATTCGTTTTTTTTTTTCATTTTCTTCTTCAAAAAATCTTTTAATACGTCTAAAATTTTTTTTTGTCTGTTTATTTCAAATTTTAGATTGTAATTTTTGCTGAATTATCTAAAATTTTAGAGCATTCACTGAAAATACCTAATTGAATCGATAAAATAAATTCTCTGGGCCTTTATATTTTTATGACTGTTTCAAAATAAGTTTTCAGAAATATGTTCATTGTTATATCTGACGGCATAGGCATTAAAGTTGAAAATCCTTTTCCGCTATTTTCTGTAAACGACGGAAAACCATTTTCACTTTATTGCATTCGGACTTTGAAGTCGCGCTTTGATAGAAAACTATTTTGACGCGTTTTTTTCTGACCATGTGTTTTTATGAATAATTCTTTTTTGAGTTGATTAGAACACTCAAGGCTCACAAAAAGGTTAGTGTTCAGGTCTCCCACGGCTAACGACACTTCATATGCGTTTGGACCAAGTGCAAATTACGGCCGTTTGTCCGCTGCCCTTATGAGAGCTGCCTCGCGTGTTTGATAGGCGAAAGTGACAGGCTCTGGAACGCGGGATGAATCGCCCTCTCTAGCGTATAACATTTCGCCTGGCTACCAATTTCACGTTAATTGAAAATTTTGACGAATGAACGTCGCTTTTGCAGCTTGCAACCGCCAAGAAAACATGGGAACTCTTTCAAAATAACAAAATATTATTTTCTTTCAACGTAGTACAAAAGAAAGACCAGAAATCAATGTTTTATTTTATGAATGGCAAATAAAAACATTTTCCGTGTTTTTAAACATTTTTCAGCAAAAATGTCAACGAATTCGAGTGTAGCAGACGCCTCATGGCCCAATTCATGCCGATTCTGCTGGTTTTGTCGTTTTTTGGGATCGTCCGCGCAGTCATCAACGGATTTCAGGCTAACCGGTTCGGTGAGTTATTACTTTGAAGACAACTGCAAGAAAAGAAGAATGAACGATTCATTGCCTTGTCGGCAAATGGATTAAATGGATTCTTTTCTGCCGCTCGTTTATCAGTTAAACTTTCAATATTGCCCATTATTCCAATTGAATCCATACTTTTATTAAAAACTTATAAGGTTTCTCGGTTGAGATATCCGTTCGGAGGCGTCGCTCCTCGCTCGTTTTGCCGATGTCGCCGACGATCACACCGTTATCTGCGGCTCTGTTCTCATAGCTCCCAACGTCGTTCTTACCGCGGCACATTGCGTTTACAAAAACGCTTTGTGAGCTTTTCCAAACAATTAAACAATTTTGTGGAAAATTTTTTTTTTGATCACATTGTGTCTCTTTTCGTTGTCTCTCATTTTGAAATATGAGATATAAGGAATCTCATTTGAGCTCAACTATTGTACGCATCACGACAAACGATTTCAACATCTACAATATCGACAAAGGCGAAGAGACATTTTTTAGTAGAGCGATTGTGATTCATCCAGAGTACCTAAAGGTGTGTGATTCAAAAGATTTCTAAATGCAATCTTTCAGAATGGTGAGGCCAACACCGATATTGCAATTGTGTTTTTGCCACGACCAGCCTCGGCGTGCACGGGATCTCCGAACCATCCCCAAGTCGCACTTCTTCCCCCGACGCAGTTCCTCCAAGTAAGGATGTTAGAAAAGTCTGATTATTCGGATTTTTTATTCAGAACACAGAGAAAGAAATAACCGACGCGGAGTTGGAATCATCTCTGTGTTACACGGCTGGTTGGGGCCGCACCGAAAGTTTTTCATGACAGTTTTCGAAAAAAAAAAAAAATTAATTTTATGTGGAAATTACTCTCACGTTCCAATCGAGATGATTGTGAAACTGGAAACGCGCGAGAACGCCGGACTTCTCCTGGCCAAAGGGGTTGTCGAGGGTTCGCGCGTCTGTATGGTGAACGTTATCATCTTTTCTTGAATGAAATATTTTCTCAGGGCGACTCCGGTAGTCCAATTTATTGTTATATCAGAGGAAAACGATATTTGGCAAGCAATGACTGCGGCGACAGAGTTAAAAATCTGCTTTCAGGCTGGTGTGGTTACTGAAATCGGCTCTTTTGGCCCCAACAAAAACGTCAATGCTAAGGATCAAGTATGGAGATTGTGCTTTTATGAAATGTCACGCCCTTCAGGTCTCGCTTTGTAGAGACTTCGAATATGCCGTCGTCGCTGATTTCCGGAAAGAAGCCGGTCAGATAATGGAGATGGCTGAAGCTTACAAACAATCAAGTCAACTCATTTTCGGGCAGAAGGAGTGTAATAAGCGATGATTTTCCACGATTTCGTACATGAATGATTTTTGAAGCATTATTATAGGCTTTCAATAAGGACATATCTTTCGAAAAATTAACAGTTCGGCTCGATCCTTTATGTCGTGTTTTCTCAAGAAAAGGAAGTCGGAAAAGTCATGTTGGTCTAAAAGCCCCTTTTTCGCACTTTTTTCTTTGATTTTCTCAAATTTTACCTTCTTTCACTTTTGCTTGCCTTGATTCGACATCCATGGTGACTAGCCAGGATTAAAAACAAGAAAAGCCTTTGCGACGATGTGCGAAGAAATACGAAACTCTGATGAACTGAGCTGTTGGGCAAGCATCTAGATTCAGCTCCGTGATCGGAACCGTGAAGCTGAAAAAAGGTTATGAATAGCAAATGAGTAGTCATTTGGAATCGAAATTATCAAATAATCGGCCGAGTTGCGACAAACTTTTGAGGAGGCTCAGCGGAAGCGTGGAACGATATATCAGCTCTCAAACTTTTCATAAACATAGATTTATGAACCTGTGTTTGAACACAACGATGCGTTTCAAACCGATTCCTTGTTTCAAATGGCTTTTTCGAAAGTTTTTGTGTATGTATTTTTTTTTCTCAAGGATAACTTATCAGAAAATCTACGTCCTTCTTACTCACCAATTTTATATTCTTGATGTTTTCAGCCTTTTCCGTTAGAAAGACGTCTGAAATGAATAAAAATACCTGCATGTTTTCCACTTCCTTAGAGCGTCATCCTTGACATTCGCAAAATATGACCTTACGAAAAATCGTCTAGGCTTGAACAGCCTTCGCGTCTTCTTCATTCGATCAGCAAACGCAAGCGGCTTTCTGGGCCTTCATTTAGTATATTCAACAGTTTTTTGTTTTTTTTTTGTTGTTTGAAATTCAGAGTGGAATGACCTTTCAAATAATCCTTAGTGAAACAAGAATGACTTTGTACACATTGCACTTTTGCTCCAAACGCTTTGCTAATAATCGAAAAGACTAAAAGACTGGAACGGTTGTTTTTTTTTGAAGCAATTTCTTTCGATCGGAACATCAGAAGAAGTCTCCAAGGCAACACTATTCGAGAAACTTTTTTCCACTTGGACAAGCATTGTCAATCCCGTCCCATGTTCCTCCTATCCTCACATGAAGCTTCTTAGGAAGCTTTTTCAAAATATTCATCATTTTTTCACCGATAAATTTTTTTCAGAAATGAGCGTTCAGGCTGCCGAAAGAAACTTTCCAGGCAGAGTCGAACTCGGTTTAAAAAATGACAACGGTAAGTTTGTGAATATTTCTGTTTCGGTCAAATCGGACAAACATATAGGAACTTATTCAGGAACTGAATCCAATGACTCCGAGTTGGTCGGAATTCACGACATGTTGCGCAACAGCGTCTACACAGGTTAGTTGCTTTACCGAATTCAAAATTGGCAAAAAAAAAGTTTCAGAGTCAGTGATGCGTAGCAAAATGGCTAATAAACGAGACTTGTACCCAGATCCTCCGTCCGCTCCAGCGCATCAGGTCGTCTCCTCTTCTGGAAGTATGCTTCACAGATGTTGTTTTGATTCCAGTTTAAGATATGAATCATGGATGTTGCAGACAGCCCTGCGAGGTTCTCAAATAAACTGATAAAAGGACTCATCGGCAGCTTCATTATCATAGTGATCATCATCATTTTCTCCAATCTGTTTATAGTGTAATTGTGAACCTTTAAATCCAGAAGTTGAATGAATTGTTTCTTATCATAATTTTTTGAACGTAGCAGCTCATTCAAATGTTGGAAAGACACACTCCGTGTGAGTAGAGGCTCGAAAAGCGAGCTGCATCAAGAATAAACAATATCACACCACCGTTCGGTGAAAATTCCATTGTTAGGCAAAGATAAGTGTGTCCACACCATGAGGAGGGTAGTTCTTTTTTTAATTTTTAATTTTCTTTTTGTTGTTATGCCTAGAAAAAGCGTTTTGTTCAAACCTTGAACTCTACTTCGAAAAGCAAATTTTGCTTTGTGTGAGGTTTTGCGAGATACACGACGTATGAAAAGAACCGGAGTTCTTTGGAGACCCACCAGAAAACGAATTAGGAGGGAGGTTAAAGCCGGCGAAAGAAACGGGCGAATTCTCTTCCGCAAAAATCCCAGTACGCACGTTTCTGTTTTTGTTTTTCCTACTTTTCCCTCTTTTTGGGTATGCGGATCTCAGAACATCCTAGGTAAGTCTTCACGACTTCTTGATTGCCCATAAGCCAAAAATCTCCGTTCCAAGAAACACCGAGTCATACGACCTTTCGACACGGAAACTCATTAAGAAAGCTGCTTTTTTTAAAAATCACGCTACCAACTTAAACACAATATTTTAACATTTCAGTGCTCAAAAACAGTAGCATCAGTTCAAACCTTAGAATCCACTAACATCAGGTAGCTTTGTTCGCCGCAAAGCACAAATGAAATATTTGACTTTGTTGAATGGGCCAAGATTTCGTGGATCCTAAACTAATTTTAAAAAAATCCTCTTCGGAAAACATTTTTGAAAGCTGTCTGAAGAACATCCGATCGTAAATTTCTGCCTTTGCGCCTGCAAAATAAACTCCACACTGAAAAAACTTCTGAAATTCCATTTTCTGAATTCCTCTTGTAATAAACCTGTCGAATGAAATACGTAACGCCACTCAAAAATTTTTTTAACTTGCAAAGATTTTTTTTTTCCATCAATACTGAAAAAGTTCTATTGGAAGGCCTTGCTAATTTCTATATCTCATTTCTATCAATGACCCGATTTCATCACAGAAAAAAAAAAAATTGCAAAACCAATTTGCGCCTAGAAAGAAGTCGAACCTTCGTTATAGCTTCCCGATAGTAAGAGCGCTAATCAGTGTACCCCCAGGAAGTTATATTGCTTCAGTGGCTTGGAAAAACTTTCCACTGTCGAAATCAGCCAAAATGTAGAAGTGTCAGCTGAAAATAAACGCCAGTTGCTTCCAGTTATCGCAGAGAAGGTTTTCACGACTTGCAATTTTTTTCAACTGAAAAGAGCAATTTTATTCTGCCGTCATTGTTTGGACGACTTCAGTCCGAAACAATCGAGTCGGTTCTGGAGAGCTAAGAATAAGAATGAAGCAAAATGTTTGGCGCAGACACTACGCTGCCGCATCGGATTTCCCCAAGCGATTTCCGGACTCATCAAGAGACGGTGTTTCTGACGCTCAGGTTCATTTTTGACTCTATTGCCCCTTCACAAGTGCTTGTTCAAGGAATTAAAAGCATATGATTCTTCAGAGAGAAGAGAAAATCTCGCAGCGAAGATCTTCCAGATCAGTATCAATTGATACTAATCTGACCTTTGTGTCTTGAATTATCCCAGCAAACTGCACTTTTAATTTTATTCCCAAACAGCAATCAAGGCGGTGCGTGTGTCATCGCGTGGGTCGCACCATCTGAATGGCTTGAACCGTTAGAAAACTCTTGCTTTTTCTATTTGTCTAACGGCTGACTAACAACTCGAACTTTTGTTTTCATTTAAGGTTCCTTTGTCTCCAGAAAATTGTGGCGTCCCATACTTCTTGAGTTCACTTTCAACGAATCTAGGCTAAAGTACTTTGATTTCTGAAGCTCTGATTCCTAACCATACTGCGATTATACTAACACCAGTGTGTAATTCAATTCGCACCTGCAATTATCTAAAAGTTGAACAGGCCACTTGTACTGCATGAAATTCTAGAAAGTCTCAACCTTCCCAAATATCTGTCCCCGAAAAAGAAAGACTCGAATTTTCAAAATGGCTCATTTAATCGACTTTCGATGTTTTTCACTGACTTTTATTTTCTTCCATGCCGGAAACCGCACCTAAATTAACCCCTTCTGCCGAGATTCGAAACGGTATGCGTATGGCTTTTCTGTACTTTTTCTTTCCTCAGCATGCTTTTTCTCGCTACTATGGCGTCACTTTTGAAAAAAAATTCCCTTAACGGTTTCAAGCCGTGAAAAATAAGATAGGCCGAGGAACTTTAGAGATTTCGCTTTTCATATGAAAGAAGGGAGAGCCTCCTAACTATTGTTTTAAAAATCAACTTGAAAGAAAACTTAGTAGGAAAAATTTTGTGTTGTATATTTTCAATGCAATAATTTGAACGGCCGCCAGTTTCTACCTTTCTCGACTGTCCGATTGACAAGAAATGGCCAGCAGCGATGGCTCGTTCGGAGGTTCTCACGTGAGACCCTTGCTCCGCCCAACATCCTTATTTTGGCCGCAGTTCCGTTTCTCACTCATAACTTTCACTGTAACCTTCCCCAATTCAAAACAACTAAATAAGTTGATTACGTACCGTATTCTAGTAAATTTTCATAATCAATATTTTCGAAACTGAAATCAAAAAATTTCCGAACAGGATCTGAAACTTCAATTGTAAATGGCCTAAGTCATCCGAGTTTCACCTTCTTCAAAAAAAATCTATGGCTTTCAAAAGCTGTGTAACTTTTTCTAGTTTCTATTATTATTTGAATATCGAAAGTTTCCAATTGAAGCAAGGTTTGCGTAGAATATTATTCATCTCTCTCACATTCTTCGTTCATTAGGAACGTGTCATCGCAAACTCATCTTGTCAGAAGTTGGGTTCGATAGATAATTCAGCTGCATTTTATAATTTTTTTGTCATTTATAGATTATAAAGATTCTGATATAAAATGAATTGCTTTTTTATTCCTCTCAAATTTCAAAGATCTGTGATCAATCATTTCCGGTTCTTTTTCTTCCTAAAATCCATTTTTGCATCTGAATAAACGAGGAAGATGAAGCCGAAGTTTGGGGAATGGAGTCCGAGATTCGTTTGGCGACGACTAAGGGAAAATGGGCCGAGTTTGAGAGAAACAAGGACGGCCGCTCATCATCCAACGGCCTAACCTACATGAAGATGTGCTCCTGGCCTAATGCACTCTTTTTTGTCTTAGTTAACGTCCCAGGCTTTTCAGTTTTTTTTTTGTTTTTCAGCTGAAATCTCTCGTCGCCTTTTCTCGCTTCGTTCCGGGACTTGCTTTTTGATTTTTCAAATTTCAGCCAAAACATCCTGATTGTTCAACTATTCTCTTTTACAATAAAAGTTTTCAAACTGTGTATTATTCACAAACATAGGCGAAAGAAAAACGAAAAAGTATTTATTGGTTAGGATAAAGAGAGCGCAGACAAGTCAGAATGATCAAAGTTGAAAGAAAAGAGTTTAGAATGGTGGCATATATTTTTTCTTCGATATCTTGATTTCTCAAAAAAAAAAGTTTGGAGTTTCGTGGCTTTTTCTCTTTTGTTCAGTTTTCAAAAAACCTTTTCGTTTCGATTTCTGAAGCATATACTTTTTTCTTTTTTTTATCAGATTTTTATTCTTTTTTTTGAAAATCGAGAGCTTTCTCCGCTATTTGGGCTATCTTTCCTTTCGAACCCAAGTTTTTTTAAGTAAGTCCAAATGGGATCATATTCTCAACTTACCCCTGAAACGACACCGAAAAATATGTTTAACCCCGGAAAGTTGCTGTCAGCTTCATGTCAACAGCTGCTCTCAACTTTTTCTCCAATAAATAGTGAAAAGTAGTATTCCATCGGCTAAAAATCAATAAACCCTATTGAATTCCGAAAAATTAATGAAAAGATCTGAACGGAATTGATGAAAATAACATGAAACTTTTCAGCCGGATTCCTCATAACTTATATCTCGATTCTCTATTTTTGTGAATGAATCTTCTTTGGATAGAAAAAAGTAAGAACTGAGCCACCGAAAGAAGTTTCCAGCCAGGTGTCAGCCTGCGAAATCTTCATAACTGACATCTTTTTATTGTTTTTGTGTGTCGTATTTTTGAACGTGGCCTGCCAAGCTCGAATTCTTCCACTTGCCTACTGCGTCTCTTCTTCAGCTCATAATTAAGCCAAGACTAGATTGGCTCTGTTTTAGAACCTCAAGAGTTTAGTCTCCCCGAACTTTCCAAGTTTCTTTTTTTTTCATTCTTTTTTTCAGAATTTTCGGTACTTTTTCTAATTTTTTCATAAAAAAGCACTATTTCTCAAAAAAGATAATACTTTACTAACTTCTCTTGCTTTTACTACCCTCCCAATATTTTTTTAAAGGCGTTTTCGATTTTTCTTTTTGTGGTTTTTTTTTATTTTGAAAAAGAAAAGATCTAGCATGCTGAGAAAAAAGTCATTATTCCAGTTTTCATAAAACGACGCCTCAAAGTCGAAGAAAATTATCGTGCGCCGGTTGAATGGGCCATTTGGAATCTTTGAGACTTTTTTCCAAAACTGAAGTTTTGAATGTTGAAATTTGTAGCTTCTCTATTGAGCACATAAGGATATTTCGCAAGTATTCAGAAAACTTCGAGACCTAGAAGTTAATTACTTTTTTGTAACCTATTTTCACCTTGTTCTTATGAATATTATATAAATGAAGAAAGAATGAATAAAATTATATCAGAAACTATATCAAAAATTTCATTGTGATTCTCATTTCTTTGCGATCAAAGCTTTTATTCTAGTCTTTCTTTTCTCATCACGACCTTCACGACTCTACTCGAGAAACTCCACAGCTCAAGGTCTGAATTGCGACGATTTCAGGATGCGATGACGGAGGTTTTGGGCGATCTGACGAACAGCAGCGCGGCCAATGAATCGGAGCCGATGTTGGGGCCAGTGCCGCTTCTGCAGCACTCGCTCGCGTTGACGCTCGTCTACACTGTCTTCTACGGCGTGGTGTTCATCGTCGGTCTCCTCGGCAACACGTTCGTTGTGCTCGCCGTCCTGTCTCACGCCCAGCTCCGAAGCACTACCGACTACCTCATCTCTTCGCTTGCCTTTGCCGACCTCCTCATTTTGCTCTTTTGTCTGCCCACCACTCTTCTCAACAGCACAATTTCTGGTTTACATTATAAGCTATTATTTCGAAAACTTGAAAAAATAAAAGAATTGAAAATATTTAATACTCAAAACTGAGGTTTCCAAAACAGCTTTTATTTGAAAAAAACGAAAATATGAATGAAAAAAATTATGGCATCGTACAAATACATTTTTTTTTAAAATACAAACTTAACTCACTCTTGAAAAGTTGTTCTAAATACTATTGATGATATACTATGAAATGACTTCAGAATGGCTTTTGGGCGCATTTTTTTGCAAATTGTCGATTTGGATCAATTCGACAACTTCTTGCGCTTCCATCTATACATTAGTCGCCGTGACGGCCGATCGGTGAGCTTGATTTAAATAAATTTTTCTTCAAAATTGAGCTTTTCGGATCTTAATAATTTTCGAAGAGAAAAAATTGATTTTTTCCAGATATCTAGCCATTTGCCACACAATGAAGTACACTTTGTGGGACAGCAAGTACACTTTGTTCGCTATCGCCGGCATTTGGGCTGTCAGTGGGGTTCTAGCCATTCCGGACCTGCTCAACTATCGAGAAGCGAGTTCAAAATAAAAAAATAAATAGAAGTCCTAACTATATTTTTTAAAAAGTTTTTTTCTTAATATCTTGGAAAAAAATAGAAATGAACTATCTGTTGATTTATCATTTTTAATCTGTGACAAGAAGTTTTTTTAAATCAAAAATGCGTCAATATTCCATTTCTTTTTACAGAGAAAATATGGAGAAATAAAATAAAAAGAAGAAAAAAACAAATTTCGTTGGCGCTTAAACTTTTTTTAAAACTTGTCAATCACAATTCTTGTACTCATGAACAAAGCAAAAAAAAGTTTGCATAAAAGAACTTATGATAAAATTTAAAAATTTTTTCATTAATTTCTCTCTAGAATGAACTGGCCCTTCGTTTTCAGTTTTTCAAAAAAAGTTCTCCGTTTTAGGTTTTGTGGGACGCGCAGCCGTACTCGAACTCGATCTACGTGTGCATCGCGGTGAGCGACGGCCGGCTCAAGTTCCTTGTCGTCAACCTCGTTTTTGCCTTCATCGTACCTTTCTTGCTCATTTTTGTGTCCTATGCTCAAATATTCTACACGGTTTCTACTCATCGCAGTCTGGCCGTCGATGCCCACGTTAGTGGCCTTTTTTGATCAATAGAAGCAGGAAAAAAGCCCATTGTATGGGTTTTGGCAGTCAATTGAGGTTGCTTTCTAAGCCTCAAGCTTCAAAATGCGAACATGAAAAGAAGAAAGAAAATTTGAAAACGAAGATTCCTTGATCTTTCAGATGCGGGACGAAAGAGTGAAACTCCGCGTAGCGACCATGATGCTCACGGTAATCATCGTCTTTGCAATATGCTGGCTACCCTTATACAGTAAGCGTTCCTCTTCTTTCTGAGTGATCCACTGCGCTACTCATGCTTTTTCGACACGAATTTCCTAACTTGGGCTGATATGGGGAGGAAGAGAATGGAGTGGTGACGACATCTTCCTCAACGAAGGCAATCTGCCGAGGGTGCTCATTTCGATGAAGGCAATCCACCGGGGAATCACCAAATTCCGAACAAATGTTTATTGTCTGTTCCTTCAAGTTGGGAACATCACTTCCTCGATTTGCACTTACAGTTGACAGCTCGATTGAAATCTGATTAAGCAGTATTTTCCAGGTATATTTACCTACTTCCATTTCTTCGCCAACGTTCACTCCGAAGTTTTCGAATTTACTTCTTTGGTACCCAAAAAAGGCTGATAGAAGAAGAATCTTTTTTTCCAGGTGGTACGACCTTTGTTTCAATGGCTTTCGTTGCTTTCTAGTGCTATAAACCCTTTGATTTACGTGGCCTACAGCCAAAAGTATCGCCGAGCATTCCATACAATACTATTGCTTCCTTTGTCGAACAAGGTGAGATTTTTTTAAACAAAAAAATAAAAAAACTCTGGTTTTAGCTATTTTATTAATGTTAAATTTTGTTTTGTAGGTACGAAAGAGTACGAGGAACCATTATGAGGAACAACGACCGGAGGTCGACTTCCAAAGAAGCCAAAATGTGCAACGAACTTGGCACCGAAGCAATCACAGGACCTTCCTCCGTTCTCATCGAATCTCCGAGATCTCAGAAAGGCGCCCACAGCTCTTCTTGCTAATTATACAATCATACATCCATTTTCCCTAGGATCACTTTCCTGGAAGCACTGATCATACGGTTTTTTCCACTTCACCACACGAAAATAACTCCCTACTCAGTTAAGCCTTCTACATATTGAATAGAACTTTACATGAACTTCGATTTTGCTCTCTGTGCACTTTTTAAGTCTCCCATTCGACAACAGGTGTTCCAGAAGAAGACAATAGCCTTTTTTATTTTTGAAGTCTCGCCTTGCGCTCATTCCCTTGCTCAACTGCCACTAACTAACACCTTTATTTTTTATAAATCTTAGAAAACAGTTAAATATGGGTCTCGCTAACGTGTATCTTATCATTTTTTTTTCTGGAGAATGAAAAATTATTTCAGAGAGTGGAAATTTTTGAAATTACAGATGAATTCACTAAAAAATGTACCACTTTTCTTGATTACTCGTGGCTTAGAAGGACTCACAAAATCGACTCGAAAAAGTCCGAAGCGGTAGGAAAAGCCGTCGTCCCACTCGAAGTTGTCCATCAGACTCCAAGCGGTGAAGCCAATAACGTTGCATCCGTTTCGAAGCGCTGAAAAAGAGGTTCAATATATGTAACTGGGTATTGAAAAAGCCTTGTGAGACGGCACTCAAGTGATCACTCAAATAAACGACCCGGTAGTCGTCTTTGAGAGGATCTCCCTCCGCGTCCAGCCGGTCCATGCAGCCGTTCTCCGTTATCAACACAGGTAAATTGTCGAAATTGTCTTTCAGGTAGTTCAGAAGCTGTTGAAGGCCATCAGGAGCATTGCGGATCCAAGTTTCTCCGCAAATTCTGAAAATATTGAACTATTTGAACCGAAATATCAATACTTGTCCCAGCGTTCCTTTCCATAGTCGTAGCCAGCATGACGTTCAAAAATCGAAGGGCCATCTTCAGACTTTTTCAAGGTCTTTATGGTCGTAGATATGTAATAATTGATACCGAGAAAATCAATACTATCTGAAAAGTATTTTTTTAAAGCCATTCAGGGCAGAAATTTTTTTGATTGGCCCATTTTTTTATGGCAAGTTCAACAAAATATCAATTTTTCGAAGTGATTTTTGGGAAAATTATCAAATTTAGATTAATAAAAAAATGAAAAAAATCCAAAATTTCTTCAATTGATTGTCTTTGTTCGAGGCTCTGAACTGGTTATAAAAATAAAAATGAAGACTATATTTATATCCACTGTGAAAACATATTTTGCTGATGTCATCTTTTTGGTTTTGGGTCATTTTTTGGTGCAAAAGCTATGAATATATGTGAAATATGCTTTAAATATTGACTTAGGCATAGGAATTAGTTTACTTTTCCGTCAACGGCCAATCTGATAGAAGAAAGATACTTTTCAGAAGTCGCCGTTGTTCTTCGTTGAAAGTCGGCAGCCAGGGCAGCCTCTGGCGCATCGTGCGTGGGTAGTCGTCTTTCAAAATTGGCTCAATCGTCCAATTTAAGTTCCAATCGAGCGCTCGGCCGCACGCCTGTCGTGTAAATTTCTCGAACAATACACGGACACATTAAAAAAAATAAATTTTTCTAGAACTTCGCAGAAACTTTTCTTGATCTTGTCGATTTTTCAAAAATATTTTTAAAAGCTTTGTGACTAGTTAGCATGAAGCCAACCAACTTCCTTGTCTTCGGGACTTTCACTGTTCGGAACGCACCATCTCCCGCTGTTAGTGATTCCCACCTGACCTAAAACTCAAAATATTTTTTTTCTCTGGCAATATTGAACCTTTCTGGAAAACTTTGAACTTCTCCTCGTAGAGGCGGTAGACTTGCGCGTGAGCCAAGAGCATGTTATGAGCAGCTCTCGAAGCAAAATCAGCTGTCGGGAAAACGAAATTTAAGACTTACAGATACGGTATTCTTTTCAGCGTCTTCTTGCGGCTGTGGTCGATTAGGACAATGCCACGGCAAATTATCGAATCTTGAACATTAATTTTCTTCTAAAATCTGGGTTTCATTTAAACTTCGCAACAGCATACCACGCTTGGTGTCCGATTTCATTGAAAGTGATCCAATAAGGGACCTCAAAAAAGTTTTTTTTTCATCCAGAGAAAAAGAACGTACCAGATCTCCGAGTCTTTCGAAACAAACTTCGCACAGGCTCACAAAGTTATGAATAGTTTCTGTGTTGAGCCAAGAGCCTTTGTCGAAAATTTCCAGCGGCAAGTCCGTGTGGAACAACGTGACCTGTAACTCTATGAGATTAGATCGAGAAGGCAACCAAACGATTGGAAGGATTCCGTTGGCCACAAGCTCTTCACAAAGAGCTCGATAGTAGCCGATGCCAGGCTCGTTGAGGGAAGTCGCAGTTCCATCCGAGAAAACTCGAGACCAAGAAATCGAGAACCGGTAATGTGTAACCTGAAGTATTAAATTCGTGAAATGAAAATACGAGTCAAAGTGGATATTATTTATAAATTAGCAGAAAAATTTTCACAAATGAAGGAGTAAAAAGTTTGGTTCGGAGAGAACTTCAATTTTAATAAATGGAGCCTATAAAAAACCAACTTAGTAATTACTACGTCAAATTTGAATTTAGATAACAAGGAAATGGTATGAACAATTTATTTAAAGAATAAAACCCAACTTCTGCCAAAATTGACATTCTTTTTTTCAAGACTTGTTCTCACGTTTTTCGTAACACGTCTCCTAGATAAAAAGCATCGGAAACAAGTTTTCAGAAGAGCTCAGAAAAAAAAGCTGAAACTTTCATTTTTGCGGATCTTTTTTATCTGGGTTTACTTTCGTGAGAGCTCAGGTTTTTCTTTCTTTCAATAATAAATGAAATCCAGGATTGTGTCTTCTGAAAATACTTTTATAGACTTTCTAACCTCCTAAATAAATGATAACTATTTTGTGCTGAACAAACATTTAGCTGCTTCAGAATCTGCACGTCTTCTTTGTACTTGTGTCTGGCGTCGCAGGAGAGCCGCGGATCGGAGCCGTCGGCGATGCGGCCAGACTCCTCGCGGATCTCGTCCCAGGTGCTTCTGCCACGGCCGTCGTCGTCGTACCCTCCTTCCACCTGGTAGGCGGCAGTCGCCGTGGCGAAAATGAAAGTCTTCGGAAACGCAGTCATTTCTGTCAACGATCTTTTTTGAGTGCAGACCAGAAAAAATTAACAAAAAGAGAAAAGTACGCCGAACAAACAAAAACAGTGACCGATGGCGGGGCACAACTGATTGTATTGATTTGCGACCTCTTTCTCCGTTTGTTGCTGTTCACTCGTCATTTGTATACAATATACCCAAACATTCTGAACGAAAAACCCTGAAACTTCAAAAGTTTTATTTGTTGTTTTGGTTGTCTTAAAATTAAAGCTTTTACACGTGGTAGTTGCCAAATTGATTGAAATGACTAAGAAGAAAATAGAATTTAAGATAAAATTGAAAAATACAGCGCAAAAAACGGAATAAAAGGCTAGCTTCTTTTAATTACGAAAAATATGAATATGGAAATTAACAGTTAGATTCATTCTGTGGGGTTGAGAAAGTAATGGAATTGTTAAACGACAAGTATCAAATAGGTGATATTATGTTGCATTTCTTGCGAAAACCCTCAACGGTAGTATGTCAATTTTTCCCTAGAATCGAAGCGACGTTTTCTTTTGGCCTTTAAATATGTGAGCCGGTTCCAAACAGATGGGAGCGTTGATATAAAAATTTGTAAAATTTTTTAGATATAATTGATAAGACCTTGAAGCAGAATAAAAGATTATAGCAGACATAACATAAAAAAATGGGCCGTTTCTTTGCGTCTGCCGGCTCATTTTTTCGAACTCCCCCATTTTTTCCATTCGTGTGAGCACTGTATCAAACAAACCACGTCCTGCAAGAAAGTTTTCAGGAGAAAAAACGATAAGAATGTAACCTTTTCCAATTCCTCCGCCGAATGATCTTTGCGCAAGGAAGAACAATTTTCTACTGTTACTGAATGACATTCGGTCTGAAAATGAAAAATCCATGAACTTCGCCGTCCCTTAACCCACTCCTTCCAAAGTGCAAGTGCAAGAAACACAAGGGGTGATATTTCTGGTTTTCCCCATACTCACGATGCGCCCGTCGACCACGCAATAATCTGAATCAACACTAGAATTCCTCATAATTATATTTACCTCTTTCGGCCCATTTGGTGAAATCCATTCCCGAAATTTCGGAGCATTTCATTGGCGAGTTACTAAAATTACTGTAGAAAAAAAAAAAGATGAAACCAACACTAGATCGTCGGGCATAAGGAAAACGTTTGATTGAATACGCGACGCGTAAGCACTATTATCACAAATGATCCGAGCCATCGATGTCTTTCTGATCTCGGCCAGTTGATCTTAAAAGTCACTTGGTTTCAAGTTGCAATTTTTTGCACCTGAAGTAAATCGGATCATCCTATCGGATGTCTCGTAATAGAAGCGGTCGCACTTTTTCAGCCGCTGCATTTGCTCGCCGATGATACACGAAAGTGTGGGCCCGACGAGGGCACCTGTTTTGGATAAGCGTCGATTATTTCCAGGCAGGAGTGTTGGTCAACCTTTCACGGGGGTCTCACTCATGATTCCAGGAAAAAGATCGATATCGTCGACGTGTTCATACGCCTTCTGAAGAGTCTGCACAGAATCGACAGTCATGACATCCAAGAGATCGGAGAACTTTCGAGCTGTTCGTAAGCCGCAAAGTTTTCTGGAACCCTTTCAATTTTTACTAACTGAAAGTTTATCAATGCCTGTAGGCATTGTAGGCCTGGACTCCGTGATCGCGACCGCGTTGGATGTTGACCGCAGCCAAGTCGAGTCCTGTCAGGGGACCTCCTGGTTTGGCGAACAGATGGTTACGAACTGAAGACGTTATGTGTCTATCGAAAGCCATGCTGCAATCCTCAAGGCTCTCAAAAAAAAATCTCTTGAAATTTTCGAAAACCTGTTAGTCCCTATCAGCCCCATCAGAATCGATTCCATGTGTCCATTATTTTTTTCATAAATTGGTGAAGGATTAGAAAAGTGCTCCTGAGTTCCCAATTCGTGAACAACAAGGTCTATTATTCAAACCGTTAGATTGACTGCCTTAGTCATGTTTGAAAACTTGTCATTCATTCTGGGAAACATTGATCGTATGAGAGAATGTCCGAATCGGAAGGCCGAGGTCGACATTTCCTGTGAGATGGAAGCATCACACAACGGATCGTAGCCTTCATCAACAAGCTCTCATAACATCTCTATGAAATGAAAACCTTCAAAGTAGCCGCTGGAAAGCGGCCTCAGTTCATACTTTTCCATATTTGTGATCCCCATTACAATAGGTAACCACTCTTTGAAGACGATATGTTGAAGTTGAGCTATGTTTATACGACGTGTTTCCTTGAAAAGGGAGTTGTTTATCTTCTTTTTTGGGTTTTGTAGAAACTTGGTATATTTTTTCGTCGTTCCACAAAACGTTTCGGCTGCTAAGAGCGCGGGCAATGCGATTATGTTCTCGGAGCAGCAAGTTGTGCATGACTGTAAGTCCAGGATGCTCGTTACTTCTTTCATCTCCAGCGACGAAACATCTGGAAACTTTTTTTTCGAACGAAGTGGCTCAGCTCACGAGCAACCTCTTGCTTGTGGAAGCCAGAGTAGAGCGGCAGTCTTTTTCTTGGTCTCCTTGAGGGAGCGCCTCCTTATTGAATCCGAGATCTGTAAAGTTCAGTTTTCCGCCGCTAAAAAGTCGCAAGCGATTCGCTTCGCATTGTGTTGAGCCGTAGAGATAAGACGCGTCAAGGAAAGACGTCAGTTGGTTCAGCTGAGAATGACTTTGAGCAAAACTTTCCGAAGTCCTCAACCTGGTTTCTGAAGCCAAGAGACAGTTGGCCTAACAAACTTCTCGCGAAAGGCATGCAGCGAGGACGGCCATCGTCGTGCGAATGAGGGAAAAATGGGTCATCGGGCTCTATTTTTATCGGGAAACAATGAATGGACAAAGTTGAAGCTGAGTCACAGGAAGAGCAGTTCAAAATTGTGTTATTAGGTCCTGAAATAAAAAGTTAAAAAACTACGCCTTTTCTGGAAAAAAGAGATGAAAAAAATAAAGAATCCAAGTGGAGCCTCATTATGACATACATTCACCTTTAACTTCTATCATTCAAAGAAAAAAAAAAGAAAAAACAAAATAAATCTCGAAGCTGCTTTTGGGTTTCTGGTGGGTCACAGAAGCTTTATATTATCAGAAGATGGACACCAAAAGTGTTTTTTAGACGTCAATTGCGGTCTCTAGTCAAAAAAAAAACCAACTGTAACCTCGGGAAATCGGAGAATGCATCATATCGTGGTCTAGAATTTGCCCAAACTGCATGAGCATATGTGTGAATTTGACGTGAAAATTGGGTGCTTCAGCGTGGACAAAATTAGAAATACGACGAGCAGATGGCAGTTCTCCTCCTAGTACCGATCGTGACCGCGGCTCATCAAATCCTAATATGATATATTTAAAAACTTCGAAGAATGAATGAAATAGATACAAATTAAATGATGAGTTTTGAAAGATTTCGCGCGGTTAAAAAAACAGGTCCCGAGAAAAGTCTCACCGTCATTGTAGGCGGGGTCTAGAAGTCTCCGCATCTGAACAAAGGAGTTTCCGAACTTGGGAAATTTGATATTGTTACACCAGCCCGAATATGTACGGTATTTGGTTGTGTGATCGCAAGGCAACGGTTCAGGAAGACAAAGATTTTTCGGTAGAGGTTCTTTGCCTGAATCTTTCCCGTTGGTGAAAAATGAACAAAGTTTTGGAAAAGACCTAGAAACGGAGTGAAGTTTCCAATCACTCTAGAAACATCAATGAGAGGTAACATACGCTGTAGAGAGGGTAAATCTAACGAGGGAAGCTTTTCGCTTCTTTTCAGGCCATTCCTGCTCGGAAAAAGAGTAAGAAAACCATTTGAAAAGAAAAAGTCAAAATGAACCCTGTGACCAAGACATTCGTCGCTTCCCTCAGAACAGCAGCCGTTCGAGCTATGTCCAAAGACTCTTTTTTCGGAGCCATCAGCAGGGCGTGCGTCAGAAGAGCCGAAGAGCTGGGGAGAGGCTCTGCAAACTTTTCAACCTTTTCGGAATCTTTTGGAGCAACTGACGATTTTCTCTGAACTTTCTCCCTTCCGACTCTTCGTGTCGTAGATACTGCTCCATTCCTAACTTTATCGCTTTTTCCACAGTCTCCTGAACAAAATTCAAGTATTCTCATAGTAAACTTCAAATTTTACCAAAGTTATGGGAAGCGAACGAACTTTTTCTTCTCTCCAAGACGCTGGGTCCAGTTTCGGTATCGAAGAAGATTCGCACAGAATGGCGAAATTTCTTCAAAAAAGGAAAATTAAATTTGAAAAATGAAATTTCTGACTCATAGTCATCCGGTGGGAAGAAAACGTTTGGTTGAACGGTAGAGAGTCGTGAGTTGTCACAAATTATCCGAGCCATGGTTGTTTTTCGAATTTCTTGCAGTTGTTCTTTTGTGAATGAAGAAGGTGCCAAAAAGTTCTCATACCAGAATCGATCCCCATTTTTCGTCTGTAATAATGTTTCATAGTTAACTAAAGACAAAAAAAAACTTGCCCTGGCTAATTGATGTGCAAAAATACACGTAAACGTTGGTCCAAGAAGACCTCCTTCCATAGACTTTTCAGCCAATCCACCGACCAACAAGTCAATGTTTTCCGTGTCCTTGTAAAGATCTTCCAGTTGGGTCAGGTTGATTGCTTTTTGTAGCTGAAGTCCATGAATGGAACAAAGATTGACTTCTATCAATCACATGAGCTCCTAAAGAGTCAAAAGAGCGGAACGTCTCCAAGTTACAAAATCTGCGCCAATCAGAGTATGACGGGGTGCCATGATCTCTAGACATTTGGATCCACATTGCCACCATGTCCAACGAAGAATTTCCTGAGAAAACTGTTGTTCTGAACGAAAAGATATAACCTCACTATGCAACAAGACTTGTTTGAAAGTTTGTGCAACATGCAACCCTGGTCTGGAAACTCCTTCCGTTAACATGAATCTCAAGACACCGTCAAGTTTGCCCTTCTCGTATAGAATAGAAGCATTGTTCAACATCTGTGCAATAATGCAGTTAGATCTTGTTTTGAAGAGAAACCGATGCAATCGATTCTCGGCGGTTGTTCACACCGCTCAAAATATAACCAGGGTACATAGTTAGAAATAATTGACCGATAACAGAAAAAACGTTGGTAGTTGAAGCATCAACCTTCTGAACTTTTTTCTCGTTAGATCCCTAAACTTTAAATTTGAAACAAAAACCATGTTATATCCGCTGTCAAAGCCATTTTCTTGCAAGCGAACGCCCATAGACCGCAAGTTCTGTTTGCCGATGAGCAGAGGAACGATCTCTCTTGAACCGGTTGCAGTTGTGAAGAATATCAAATGACAAAAACCTATAAACTACGTGCTGCCACTGAGCAATGACGATGCGACGTGCCTCTTCAAAAAGCTTCTCGTCGTCCCACTGCGAGTTGACATCCTGTTCATTAACCGTCAGTTTTTGCAATTTAAAAACGAAACCTTCAATTTGTCAGCGACTAAGTTATGTTGTCTCATCCAAATCGTGTAAAAAGCCGCACTCAAAGGAAGGAAGTTGATCCTCAATTATCAATTTCAATCAACTACTCTCTGCTTATTTGAACCTATTACTGCCGGCCAAGAAACAAGGCTTCGAAGGCGAAGAAAAACAGCCAGCTGCAGAAAATTCGGCGTTAGGGACGGGCGGTGGAAGACCATAACGATCTGTGACCCCGGAAGAGGCTCGCAACGCTAGTCTTCCTAAAGAGACCAGGATGGGCTTAGAAAAAGGCCTTTCTAGAAACTGCGATTTTCCCATTGGATCTTATACCATCCAATGGTGCACAACTCCAAATAGTCAAAGAATTTCAAGTAGGATCCATGGGAGAAACGAGAAAAGGAGCGAAAATTCGAAAAATGTCAAAACATAGAGCAGCTTTACTGCTTATACTCTGACAGGCCCGTGAGTCAGGCCGAGCCGCCCGGCTCAGTCTGGCGCAGTAGTTTAAATAGGTTTTCGGTAATAAAATAAAAAATTCTGCACTTTTTTCGATGTAATATATCTTGTAACCTCGAAAAATAGGTCCTTGACAAATTAAACTTTAAAAAAAATTTTTAAAAAAAATGATTCAGTATACCGTTCTTGAAAGAACGTAGACGACGAACTGCTTCATTTGTTCCGTACAACTGGCTGAGATCCATGTAAGAAGTAGCAAGATTGGCCTGTTGCCGTGCTCCCATTGCGCAATTTCTGTTGGGGACAGTTAACGACCTTGAATATGGCATGCAAGAAACGCTTCCTAAAGTCGGCTTTGAATAGAAAGGACAGTTTGCCGGTTTACCGTTTTCAACAGACTCCCCATTTGGCACCAAGATGTCTAAACATTCGGGATGAGAATTTTTTTGGCAGCAGGGAAGCGGCATGGTCTGTTTCTCTCCATAAAAGTTTTCTGGAAGTTGATCACCGTGTTGCTGGGTTAGAATTCAAGCTTATCGCACTCCTACTTTGAAAAATCTGATTGCTTGGAACGTGGACAAGATCATCGTACAAAAAAGAGAGCGCAGAGGCGAGGAGCAAGGAAACAGCCTGACTGTCCGAACGAGAAGAGAACATTTGAAAGGAGATGGATCGAGCCGATGGCAGCTCACTCCCAGAAACAGATCTCCTCGGCGTCGAAATACCTCGAAAAACACCGATTTTTTTGCACATCAAAGGCCACTAAAGTTTGTATTATCTTAATTGGAAAGTAACACACTGTCGCTATAGCTTGCAGGCAAAATACGTCGCAATTTTCCATAGGCTGCCCCTTGCGATGGATGGTTGATGTTGTTGCAGTTCGCTGCGTAAGATCTGATTTTAGTACCATTTTAGTTTAGCTTCTTGCCTATTTCTAACCTGAATTTTCCAAGAACACATTCTTCGATTTGTGTAACCGGACAAAACTCCTCTACTTCTATTTTTTTCCGCACTATTTTCGCACTTTTTCTCTTCCTGAATCAGGTCTAGAAATAGTTTCATTTGTGACATTTTTTCACTTGGATAAAGAGTGGGACATATATTCCGCTGTCATTGCGGAAAATGACAAATATTTCGAATATTGGTCAGCTGCCGTGTAAGACAACCAGAATACTTGAGATGCTGGAAGACTCGAGACTCAAAAAAAAACATTAGAAACATCTGATCACTGCTCATTACAGTCGAAGGACTCTATCATATCGCTCTCAGTGTCGTTGAAAAGCTTCTCGGTCTCTTTCATCGCTTCTAATGTCGCCGAACGAATTTCTTCTCGATCCGCCGAAAAGTCATTCTATAATAGATTACGCTTCACTTTGGATGTTGGATTTTTACATTTCCATGATCACTTTCCGAGCTTTTGTCGATAAAAAAGATTGAAAGCGAACGCTTACCGGTTCAAAATCGGACCTAAGAAGCTGTTGTTCATCTGCGATTCCTCTATCATTACCAAAATCTACAATGAGTCCATGGTGAAACCCTATTTTTTCTTAGAAAAAACTTACGAAGGGTTTTGGGAGAAATCGGCTCCGGTGAACAAGGAACAAAACTAGAACCGCATGGATAGGAATCGGCATGTACAAAGTAAACAAAATAAAAGAAAATAATTATAATCATATGCTAATAATCAGAACAAAATATCTTGATGTCTGCGCGTAAGAAATTATGCGATATGCATCGGATTTGGGGGTCGACAGTCGGGAAAAACCGGTTCACAGGCTCTTGAAGATCTTCCCCATTGTTTGTTACTTGGTGAAAAACCGCTTTCACTCTAATCACAGACCAAAAGTTCCCTTTCTTGGTAACAACCCATCTTCACAAGTTTATGAAGCTTTTGAAAAAGTTTTTAAATGTCTGTTCTAAAAAAATCTACCTCTCTGAAGAATTTAACCGTTTCGTAATAAAATTTTTTTTTCCCAAACATTCAAAGTTTTCCTGATGCGCTGAGTTTGAATTTTATTTCTTGATCTTCAGACCCCAACCTCTTTACCCTCCATTATACCTTCCAGTCTTGAAAAACTTTTTCAAATATAACTTGAAACCTATTTCATTTTTTTTTTCGACTATAATTTTGAGGTTTTTCGTTCCACGCGTTCGAAAGATCTTGTTCAAACGCCAGAAAGAGGAGTACGGTAAGAAACAGAAAAAAAAACGCCGTTGCCTCATTATTGCTCGAGGCGATTTGGACGGCGGGAGCTGGAGGTTGAACTTCGGCGAATGAAAAAAAGACGTTGTTGCACTTCCGTCTCACTGATATTTTTCATTCATTAAAAAGACTTCAAATATGGCCTTTGGTCAACTTTCAGAGAATTACCAACCGCAAACTGAAGTTATCTCCCATATAAACAAAATGATTTCCTCTACTGATATTGTATCATTTCAGTAAAAAGGTTATTTCACGCCAACTCCAAATTTTTCAAAGCTTAGAAAAGTTTTGCGATTTACTAAAACGAGGTTCGTAAAGATCGCACTTGTCCCCCCTCAAAGTTCATTCTCCTTATCTTCGTTCTATCGGAAAAGGATTTCAGTGTCTTAATGCACTTTATAAAGGATTATCCTGGTCCATTTGTCCTTTGGAGTAGAAATTTCTGACAAAGGAGGAAGTTCCATTGATACGTTAGGGAATTTCTTTAAATTTGTAGAAACATTTTCTGAAGATAGGAATAAATATTCGTGATAAAAGCTTGCTGTGCAAACTTTTTGTTTTTAATCAAATCAAATTATTTATTATGTTGTTTTAGTCAGATATAATCGACTAGGCGGTGAACAAGAACTTTAAAAGCTATAACGAACAACCGCCTTTGGCGAAATAGAATTTTCGTGATAAAAGCTCGCTGTGAAAACGTGTAGTCGAAAGAGTTGAAAGCATTGTCTTACGGTCCTTCGCCTCGTCCTTCTGCGCGTGGTCCATCCAGTTGCGCCTTGACGAGCTCAGAATGTAGTGGATGGTGTAGCTGGAGCCCAGAGACCGTGCTCTAGGTGAAAGCCTCAGAATGAGAGCGACCACTTCGAGTGAAGATTTTACACGGAATTAAGATATTAAGATATTATTTTTGAAGTAAAAAATATTGGTTACAAAAATTTTGTCTTTGAAAAAAGTTTGCGACAACCAGAAATAATTGAGTAGATCTTTAGAGAATTTTTCACGGGTTCGTAGAGACTTCAAACCTCTTACTAGAAAGAACTTTCTTGTGAGCTGTCTTTTCTACGAATTAGGACATTTCAAAACAGCTTGAGCGAATGAATAAATATTTTTTTACATCAAAACTACTCCATCAACTGTCTCTGAAACCTCTCAATGTTCACGAGTATGTCTTGTTTTATAGCCGACGATTTTTTAGAGAGCCGGTGCAGGGAAGCGTGCAACACGTTGAAGTCTGGACGTTGTCGACGGCTTGCGAGTGTGTCTTCACGCGAGTCACAGCGCTTTTTGGGAGAGGTCCGCGGAGTCGTCAAAATTGGCGTTTGAAGCCGTCGCACGACGTTATCGATTCTCCGGCTGCCGCTCGCGTCAAGTTTTTTTGCCTCCGTTGCCGCCGCTGAGCCGGATATCCGCGGATAAGCCGCAAGGCTTCCCCTCGCCTCTGGTCGAGTTTTCGTAACGGCAGGGTGATCCTTCAGAAAAGCCGTGTTGCTGAAATCAAACCGCTCTTCGCTGATTTATTTGAGTACATGTTAATTAGTTCTGAACTGGAATCATTCAATCAAAAACAATTTTTTTTTTTCATAGTTACTTACTTACCTAGCAGACATCCAAAAATATTTTGAAACTTGTGAATAGCTCATTCAAAAAAAAAGCAAATTTGATTGCATGAAGATCCATGAAAACAACTGAAGGCTCATGAATCAAAGACTGAGAACGGAGCGCTTCTCTGAAAAGAGAAACAATGAGAAATTACATAGTGCAACGACAGAATGACGAGACAATTCTGCGTGCGGAAACTTCATTGATTCTGTTTTCCAGTACAATCCTGTCGATGTGCGTTGCCTGGCTATGAAATGAACTACGACATTCTTTTGTTTCTTCTCTTTCCCGAAGAATGCTCGCAAGTATCCTTAACCTCCTCTTACAGACATTTGTTATGCAAAAGAGCTCGTGAATGATTATTTCAGTGGTAGCAAATGGTGCTTTGCAAAAAAGGAAAGACCCTCTGTTAATTTGCTTTTTCTTTTCGTTTTTCTCTTTCTCTTCAACTATGGAAATTTCAGAACCTGAATCTCTCGCTTTTCTCTCTTTCTTGAAGATTTATGCAGATTGCGTCGCTCTTCCACTCATCTTTAAACTTGTGATTCCTCAAGTTTATATTTTTTTTAGCTGTGCGAAAATTGGGGAAAAAAAAGTCAACCCAAAATCTTATGGTCTCTCGGACCTCGGGAACGAAAACCGGACGTTTCTGAGCGATTCTAGGGATCACTTAAGAGTGCAGACACGACTAAAGTGGTCACTAGAAAGGCCTTGGCACACCCGATTCGCGTCCGTTTCGCGTTACCAATAAAAATTTTATGTCACAGACGAGTTGACACGACCTCAATTTTCTTCAGATATTCCCCTACTTCGTACAATAAACCTAGAGCTGGTTTTGAAATAATGTGTGTAAAATTCAGCCTATATTCCATATAATAAATGTATAGTGCATGAACCATGAACTATATAGTGCGTTCCGTGCAAGACAGTCACATTTTGAAAAACAACAAAAAAACAGCTATAGCTGATTCGCGGCTGGCTTGAGCCATCGAAAAAATGGTCCTGGCACGATAATGCACGAGACGTCGTGGAGAGCGCAGACAGGACTCGCCCCCTTAGCGTCCCAAGCTGGCCGTGAATCAGCTATACCGTAAATACAAACTTTTGCTCTACAAAACTGCTAAAAAAAAAGGCGCGGAATGAACTATACATGTATTTATTTCTTCGAACCACGGTAACAAAAAACCAGGCGCTTTGGGCGTCTCTGAGAAAATCTAGGGATCACTTTAAAAGTGCTGACCCTACTAAAGTAGTCATTAGAAATGCCGCGACACGATTCGCGTCCGGTTCCTTTTTTTTCCAAAATCCAAGTCGTGATTGTCGTTTCATTTTGTCAGTGCACATGGTTAGAGCCTCGGAACAAAGATTGACGTAAATTGCGTTACCATGTATGATTCGCCCATTGAATTTTTTTATCTTTTCGAAAAAAATTCTCTTGAAAATATTTCTTTTTATTTTATTTTCGTTTCCCTTCTTTCTTTTTTTGCATATTTTATTGAAGTTTTAAAATTCCTGTCAGTAGATTTTGCCTTGCGACCCCATAATTTTGCAAACTCATCATTTTTTTTTTTACATATTATCCTTTCTTCAGAATTAGTCCATCGATTTTCTGTGAAATTTATTAAAATTCTTATTGAAAGTTCATTATTAAGCTTATTCTATATCTCTAGCTTCCGAAGAAGATTCGTAACCTTTGGAATTTCTTTTTGATTATCTGAAAAGTTTTACGAATTTCCATTTCTGGACACTATGTGCTTTCATTTTGGCATTTTTCCGCTGTTGCAACTGGATGAGAGCAGAAGCGAACTGCTTTCCTTGCACTTCAGCCCAATTTTCGCGATCCGATGCGTGGATCTTGTTTCTTTAGAGACTCGATTATCCACATTCCTATTGTGTTATTCTCCTTTCCTTTCTTTTTTTGAAAAGTCCTTTTTTTCAAAACGCCTGTCAAAAGAAAAACAAAGTAAGAAGGAAAGACGAAAAAAAAGACCCCTGGGGATCGGTGCTCACTCCACCAGAACCAACTTTTCTTTTGCTCACTTTCCGCGCAAGGTGTTCGCCACTCAAATTTCATTCAAAATCCGTGTAAAATTCATTGCGGTTTAACCAACTTCACTGATGGTTTTATTTTCCAATGGTTATGTTTTTCAGACTTTTTGCGTTAAGTCTAATTTTTTTTATTAAGTCAGTTTTTCCTTCTCCAGTAGGACAATAAGGCGAAATTGATTTTTCAAAACATTTGAAGACTTTCAAAAAATGAAAAATCTTGAACTTCTTGGCCTATCCTCTTATTTATCATTATAAAAGATCATAAAGCTTCTGTTCAGTGGTTAAATAAAAATATTTTTTTTTTCAAATTTCTTTTTTTAAATAAATTACGTTTATCCTCACACGTCAGGAAATATCTGATAGAGATAAAGATTGTTATCAACCCACGCGAATGAATCCGTATGTCGCATTAGTCTACAACCCAGAGTTCTCCTATCCAGAGGCTTATTTCGCCATAAGTAGTTCCGCTGATTTTCGAAAAAATTATAAGCGAAATGATTTGAAATTTTCAAGTTTTTTTTGTTCAACTTTCTTGCCTTTTCTGTCATTCCCGTCTGAAAGTCTAGTGTTTTTTGCCGAGATTTATTCTGTGAACAATCTGTCGATTCGATGCTGAAATGTAAAAATATTTCCAAGGAGAATTGATTTTTACACGGAATAGATGTCATGTTGTACTAGAAATGGGAGGTTAAAAAAATTTGTGAATGACGACGAGAGAAGGAATCTAAGCTTGCGTGGGAGCTAAAAGAAGGAATTTTTTCCTCGCTCCATCATTCTTTTCATTATTTTAGTCTGCAAAAATATTTTCACAACTCCCACCCGAGATCCATTTTTTCGTTCTGAACTTATTTTCTACTTTTTTTATTTCATGTTTCCAGAAACGTCGTACGGATGGATACAGGATAGGTCAGCAAACTGGATTTCATTTTAAAAGTTAGTTCACCTTTTTTTCTGATGAATAGCGAATAAATTGAATTCGAAACGTTCTGAAGGTTGTGAAAAATAAATTTAGTTGAGAAAAATATACACAAAGCGGAGACGAACTTCATAATGGAATGTTCGAAGAGAGGCGCATTGTTCAAGTTTTTTCTGAAAAAATAAGATCTCTCTCATTTCATTCGAGAACATGTCGCATGTATTCAGATATCTTTACGCAGTCGAGTTTCCATTTAAGAGACTGGAGTTCTTTTTTTTCCTTGTGGTTTTTTTTGTGTTGTAAGCCAGGAAGCAAAGGTGTCAGAAAAAGCTTATAAGGTTTTCCAAACAACAGACGTGGGCAAACAAATTCTGGGGAAGGATGTCATTTGATTCGGAAAGCAATGAAGTTCCATGAGTTTATGAGAATTTTATGAGTGATTTACATGAGTATTGTGTGAGAAAATGGCGTACCTCGGCTTTTTTTTGCAGAAAATCCGATTCGGACGCTCGAAAGCGGCTCGGCAACGGCGGATAGACGAATCGTTCAACGTCTTCGCACGTCGAAACCTCAATCCACAGCCCAAGTCCGTTTTACAGTGTTATAATGGGGAAAAATAATGATAGTGGGAGGGTTTTCATCAAGTCAAAGAACAATAAAAAAACCATAGACACAGTAATCGATGACTTATGTAAAAAAGTGAAATAGTTTGAAAAAAAAAAATCAAAAAAGAGAAGTCAGGAAGGTGGAGGTGAAGAATGAAGCAACGGTTTGACGGAAATCTTAGCGGTAAAACCGGAAGGAAGAAATTGAGAGTTTGTAGTTATAATTTCCCATAGAAATCTTGTTTTTCTGCTTTCAGACTCACTCAAATCCTCATTGAACGTATTGACAGATTGCTCAAAACAATGCATAAGATATAGCAATGAAGCAAAGAACCTAGGATTGGAGCGGCAGGGATAAATTTTCTCTAATATTTTTTGTTCCTTTTGACTTTTGGGTTTTAAAGCGATTGTGTGGGTTTTTATTTTTATTTTTTTTCATTCCGCATATTTCAAGGAAGAAAAATTTCCAATTGACTTGAAGGTTGCTTCCTCTCAATTATTTCTAGAATAAGGTCAGCAACAGCATCATGTTGAATAGGTCGAATTAAAACAGATTATTTTTTGGTAAAAGAAGGGCGATTTTACTTATAGCAACGACTTCGTTCTTTAAAATTTTTAAGATTCACTCTCTCTTTATGTGCACTGAGAAAAAAAAATTGTGAGCTAACAATTATGGTCAAACTGAAACCGAAAATTTTTTTTTGAAAGATGCATAAATTCTCAAAGGTAAATGGAAAGAAAACTAATAATATTTTACGCTAAAATGAATAAGGAAGTGAGAGAAAAAATGTTTCTTCGTTTATTGCAAAGGCAGCTGTACCGCAAAGTCGGTTGCTTATGAGAGTTGCACGTGTCGTCAAGGCCTTAGAATAAACCTGGCAATTATAAACACGAAAAAAAGACGAGAGAGAGAGAGCTGAACTTGGGCTTTTCGCCCTCGGAACACCCCATTCTATCAGTTTCAGTGATATTAGTTGCGCATTCTTTGAGCTTAGGTATTCTTATTCCGAAAAACTTCCAATTTAGTAGAGAAAAATCTCAGAAATGAATGAGAATGAGACCGAAAAAAAAGTTCCAGGAAATCTTTACGAATTTTTTAGGCTTAGAAATATACGGAAAAATGTTCATTTTTGAATAGTCAGCTTGGAATAATTTAAGAAAATGAGAAGAAATTCTGGAACCTTTTGGCGTGGATGCCGTGCAGGCCCTCAATCACACTTGAAGGCTTCCAGGCCGGTCTCATCCATCTTTGGCTTTCCGATTGGAATGATATTGCGAAGGCTAGGTCTCATTAGAGGATAAAATCACTGTTTACATTTTGATTTCATTCTTATTTCTTCAAAAACAAGAAAATTCAATTCGGGCTTTAAAAAAAGAGCATGTTTACAAAATTTTTTAATATTTTATTTCAGATCTATGTCTGTTTTTTTATGAAAATACAAGTGTGAATTTAATATATATTTCCTATTCTGTAATGATCTACTTTTTTTGCATTTAATAATACTCTTAAGAGTGAATAGCGTTGATGGGTTCGGTTCTGTTTGACGAACCGTGAGATTTCGGGCTTCTTGAGCCTGAAAAGGAGGCGTGGCGAAGACGTCGTTCGGCTTCGTTCCCACACCCTCCGGATCCTCAATTTGCTGTCAATTCGGGAAAAAAAATAGTCATAGAGTTCCTTTTTCAGTTGAATGTTGCCCGCTTTTTCAAAAGGAAAATTGAGGAGCTTTTGGCAACGATGTGAAGTCAAACTTCCGTTTTGAAAACTCGATTAACTTTCGAAATTATTGTTATTTGTAGCTCGAAATGAAGCGGTTTTTTGAATTTTAATTATGTGGTTTTATGTATGTACAAATTCGGGTAGAACTTAAAATGTTTCCCTTGCTTTTATTAAGATCATCTTGTATTATTTTGCGCATTTTTTTTTCAGTTTTAATTCAAAATTCCTGAATTTAAAACTGTTAGTTGCGAACTAGAACTTCGACGTGAGTTCAACAAGGAAATACTCGATCATAACATCCAATGAAAGCCTAACTTTAATCGTGTCACTTTTATGATATGATTCATGAGCAAATTGAATGAATGTAATAAAATAATGTAGGAAGTAAGTGCGAAGAGACATTCGTTTCCTTCGTGAATAAGTTGAACTGCTAGTATACAGCTTCATTGCGTTAGATAAAGAGTTTTCAAAATTTCAAATCTACTTTTCTCATTCCCTTCTCTTTTTTTTCTTATCCACTTTTTTCTTTTGTACAAACAGAATGAAGTTTTGACGTATTTTATCACTCTGAAAAATTTCAATTGGTAAAGAGCTTTTTATGTTTGCCAACACCACTTATTTTTCGCTCGAAAACTCTTTCTGGAAGCTTTTCTGTATTATAAATGATCATGAATACATTTTTGTAATCTTTCGCAACTTGTGAATTTTTTTATTCGTTTCTACCGTTGTTTCTACCTCTATAGTGAAGTTTACTCCTTTTGAGCTTCAAAGTGGCGTTCCACGGCTTTCTGGGTGTCCGATCGCGGATGAATCGCGCCGGGCCGCGTCGCAAGGGTTTTCGCTCACGGTACCTCAGATTTTTTCGAAGAAAAATCTTTATATGGAATTCAATAGAGTTGTTATTGGACGTAATAGAAGAATCACCTATAAGAGCGGGAGAAATCCAACGCGTCCAATTAATTCCGACGCGATTTCTAGCCCACGCTTCTATCTCTCTCTCTCTCTCTCTTTTTTGAATTATTCATCATTAGTAGATCAATGGACTGCACTGAAAGTCGAAAAACAGTATTTTTCTGTCTTAAATGCGAAGAAAGAAATTTTTTCCTGAAATATTTACCGACGTTGCCTAGTTAGATGTTTCACGGCTTCAAAACGAAAATTCGCGACGTCAGTCCTATTTAATGGTTCACTGTATAAAAGCTCCCTCCTGCTATGTATAACTGTCCGAGCCTGCAAAAGAGAGAGGTTTTTTTGAATTTTTACAAACAAATATAATTTTCGTAGAAAAGTTGCAACGCGCGGCTTGAAGTTCTGCATCAAGGCGTTCAAACCAGCGAAAAACAGGGAATAAAAAATTAGATAAATGAAAATTACCAGAATTGTAGTACGTTTCCACAAGCTCCTATAGAGGATTTACCAAGTGGCGAAAAAAAAAACGGAAAATAAAAAAATAATACAAAAAAAGAAGTGTGTTTTTGAAGGCATGACCCCTGTTTAAACGAATCTTCAAATCAACCAGCTCAATGATCAGAAAGTTTAAGCGGAAACGCCAACGGCACGACCAAGGAGCCAGTGGAGCCGGTGATGGCTCGCGGCGTCTGCGTCCATTCCGTTCTCCCGTTCCACTCGGCCACCTCAGTCGATCACTTGGGTGAGTCGCTTCTGTGTCAAGTTTTTACGACAGTCATACACCGAAGCACTTTTTTACTCGATTTATTGGCTTTTTAATATAAAAATAGCAATGAAACGACTATGCACGAAAAACTTGCCCTTTTAGCTCTCAACTTTTAACCTTTTTTCTCATCCAATTTTCAAGGGAAATCCCCTGAAATTCACTAAATATAAGTTAACTCTGGCGCTGCTGTTTTTCAACTTTCTTTCTATTTTTTGTAAATATACATTTAAAAGTTTCGCCTAAGTGATGTCAAGATTCGACGTTGAAGAGCTTTTTGTTTGCAGCAAAAGGGATAAATGCTGTCTATGGGTCATTCTCCAAGACGCTTGTTTTCGAAGCCTGAAAATTCCGCGCGAATCTTAAAAAATCGGAAAGTCGATAACAGGTTTTTCAACTAACCAACATATGTACGTAATATCTTCGATTTATGCTCATACATCTTCATTTATTCTCAACCGATCTCGAATTCAATAAAGTTAAGCCATAATATTCGAGGCCAAATTTCAATAGATCGAAAAAAAAACTCTGATTATGGTACCAGTTTAGATTTATTACTTTTCGTTTTCTTTCACTAGATGTTAGATTCAAAACTCAAATCCGCGTTCCATGAGTTAGAAGTCAATTAAGAGAAACAAAGGCCCAGCTGTTAGTATATCAGCTTTCAATTGAAAATATATTTCACACTCACTCCATCCGGAAACCGAGTTTTGTTTAAAAAAAACGGCAGCCGGTGGCCATCTGTCGACTCGGATTTTTAACAGCCCGAGTTCACTCGCACGTGTTCTTCAATCGCAGAGACACGCATTTTCTTGTTTTTTTTTTGTCTAGTTTCATCGCTTTCTATTTCATTTATTCAGTAGTTCCAAAAACGGTCCCGCAAAGGCCTGTCTCGCGAATATTTTTTTATCCGAACTTTTGGACTTTGCACCCCCTCTTGAGAGCAAAAATTTGAATTATTCGCCGAAATCTTGCCTCTAAAATTAAAAGAAATTGGATCAGCTTTTTTCAATCAATTTTAGATGTTATTTTCTCGATTTGATTGCAATAGAGCGTAAGTTTACAACTTCTTCATTTTAAGCAGTCTATTCGAAAATTGAGCTTAACTGGGCGAAGTTTTCTTACAGATGTGTGCAAGAATAGTTGAAAAGCCACGTGTAAGCCTCGGAGCTCGTCAATAATTTATTTTACTTCTTCATGAGCCGCCGAGTGCCAGATGATTTGTCGAGAAGTGGGGTCTCATGATTGAAATTTCACCACTTTTTGCATCAATCTTGATTCTTTTTCGCACTGATTTTGCTTTGCAAAAACGAGGAATTTTTTACTATCAAGAAGTATTGAAAATTTTTCAAATCACAGAATTATTTTTGATTCTCTTTTATATCAAACAACTCAAACTCAACTGTCCTCTTTCTAGCTTTAAAAGGGGAGTTTTTTCCGGAACCTCCTGCATTTTGAAGAATAGTTCCTCATGAATCACTCAGAAATCGTGAACTCAGGACCTATTCAGCGAAAAAGTTACCACTGTGAATAATTCTTCTAGAATGATCCCTCTAGACCCATTTTAATAAGAGGATATAGGCGCGAGCGGGAAGCGCGAGATGCACCGGCAAGCGACGAATCAGTCGGCGTCGTCGGAGGCGGACGAGTTCACAGCCGAGGAGCTGCAGGAGTTTGCCCAGGCTTTCAAGGTGCAGTCTTGTAATGAGTTGGCTGGTTCAAAGACGCTTCAGCTTTTCGACAAGGATGGTAACAACACAATGAACATCAAAGAGCTGGGCGTCGCCATGCGGACGCTTGGCCTGAATCCGACCGAGGAGGAGTTGCTCAACATGGTCAACGAGTACGATGTCGATGGCAACGGCAAAATTGACTTTGGTTCGTGAAAGAAGTTTTTCCCTTAGGAATCAATGCATCCAGAGTTGGAGGATGGCTGCCCAGTGGCCGCCCTGCCTGCCAAGCCATAAACGCCCAAAAGGCAGAAATGACTTTTTCAAAAGTCAGCGTGGCGCAACGTTCATTTGTAAGGCGAAATCGCCCTAACATCTAGAAGCGCTTGTTTCTAAAAATATATGAAACTCGTGTACACAAAGAAATCAGAATTTATCATTGTTAAAAAATTCGAACATAACGATTTTTTATTTCTTGAGAACTTTCCGACGGAGAAGTTTCCGACTAACCCTTTTCCGACTTTTTTTTTCTAGATAAACTTTTTTAAATCTTTTTTTAAATCTTTTTTAATCATACCACCGAAAAAATCCAGGAACAAACACGCTTTCCACTCTTAACAAGGTGGCCTCGCGTAGTAAGATTTTCCTGCCATGTGACTTTTTTGGAAACCAAATGAATCAAAAAAAATACTTTTGCATCAATTTCATGGCATCTCAAAATTTTTTGGTCCGAGTAGTTCTCTAGTGAGATTGAAAATGTAGCCAATCGACAAGTTTCAGTGAAAATTCCTGCTGAAATATCTGTTACAATAAGTTAAAAACGTTATCACGGAGTTGCGAAAAAAAAAATTCAAAATTCACAAAATTAATAATGATTAGTTCAGGGCGTCATCGCCACGTGCTTGACCTAGTTGTCAAAGACCACGTAAATTAATGGCTCATTTCTATCTTTTGGCTAATTGGCTTGGCTTGGCCGGCAAGCCAAGGGCTGCCTTCCCAATTCTCCACCTATGAATGCATCAAATAAACTCCCACGTGGAGATTTAAAAAAAATTTAATTTACACGTTTTTATTAGATAATTAAACATAAACACTCAAGAAAAAGTCGAATTTCTTAAAAGACTATTTTCACTCATAGGAAATAAAAGTAATACACGAACGCTTAAAATTGAGATGCGTTCAAACTATAAATTTTATTTACTCCCAGAAGTGTTCTTTCCAGTTTAGAACAACAAAAATTTGGTTGTTGTTGAATTTCTTGAGTTTTTTTATAGAAAGAACTATAGAATTTATTAATAGAAATTTATTAAAAAAATTTACAAAAAAAGACACTATAATCAACCATGCATGGAAAAAATTCATTCATTAAAACTAATTTTTCTCATCTTCTTAAAGAAATAAGTGTTCAAATAAACAAAAATGTTTGACCCCACAATAAGATTAAAAATGAGGCCACAAAAAAAACAGAGCATACAAAGATTACTCATGTTCTATAATCCTATTCTCAATCTTCGAATTTGAAATTTTCCTCTTGGTTCGTTTTACCTTTCTTTTTTTTATACTCTTAAAAATAAGCGCAAATTAGGTAACGCGAAAAAAAAACTCAAATTTGTTTTTGAACCTAAGCAAAGAGGAAAAATGCTGACGATGGGTCACCCTCTCACGCCGTACATTTTAAGATTCGAAATGGTCGAGCTTTGATTTAATTAACATCTTCATTTGCTCATATTTTTCACAAATTCTTACATTTCAGTCCAAAAATATAACACCTCTTCAAAGCTCCTTTTTTTATGCAAAATAAGGAAATTTTTTTCAAACAATCCTTGTAGAAAAAAACGTTGAAATTGTTCAATAGTCTTCAAACTTTTTATAATTTTTTTATGAATCTCCCGGCCTGTGAAAATTTTCTTTTTTTTTAACTGCACTAGCGCTATCATTTTTTCTCTGAACGCGATTAGATTCAACTTTTTACCACCTTTTGTATTCTAAACTTCATCCCTTATTGCAGTCTATATGTGTTTTCTTAAAGTTTACACAAATTTCGGGTGGCCATGTCAAAATACGAGAAAAAAACACGAGAAATGCGGAAAGCATTCGTAGAACGGCCACATCCTCAGAACACGCTGTTAAACAGTGTAAAATGACCCGGGTCCGCAATTTTTCAACAAGTTTTTTTGTTCTTCTCCTTAAGCTTTGTAAATGTCTCTTTCTAGCGCCTATGTGATTTTTGCTTTGCGAGAATGTCAATCATAAAATAAAATTTAGTTCCTTTTACTCGAAGAACAGTAAGCTTAATTCCTTATTCAATTCAATTCTCGCCAGTTCCGAAATTATCTCTTACTCTCCAAAAACCAGTTATCTTTTTTCTCTCTAGCAGCTGTTTTGAACCTTGCGGAACTACTTTAAACACCACGTAACAGATGATAATCAGTTCGAAACTCACTGTAACTCAAACATTTTTCAGGAGAATTCTGCAAAATGATGAAGGAGATGAACAAAGAAACCGACCAAGAACTCATCCGCCTTGCCTTCAAGTGGGTTTTCCTTCTGCATTTAAGAATTGGTTTCAAAAAATATGTGAGAAGGGAGACACGTCAACCGAAAAAAAGAAAAAAGAAAGTGGGCATTTTAATATTTCAATCTGTCAAATTGCATTGCATCTGTCAACAAAGGATTTTTTTCAGAAGGCGCTGAACGTTTTTCATTTGAACGCGTAGAAGAAAAATCTAAGAATAATTGGAAAGAACTCGATTTGAACTTTTCACAGCGTAAAATAATAATAATAATAAACTTTATTTCGCTTCGAATTAACTCGTAAAAACAAGTTGTGGCCGTAAAAACCTGAAGAAATATTTACAATTTTTTTTTGAATTTGAAGAGAGATCGCCGATGATATTGCACATAAGGATGGAAGAGCAATCGTTTTATTTATATTTTTGCCGGTTCAAAAAATAATGTATCGGCTTCAGAGTTTTCGACAAAGACGGCAACGGGTTCATCACGGCGCAGGAGTTCAAGCACTTCATGACGACGATGGGCGAGAGATTCAGCGAAGAAGAAGTTGACGAAATCATCCGCGAGGTCGACAAAGACGGCGACGAACAGGTCTCTTTTTTCAGCCAGTATGGAATTTTCGTCCCGTTATTGTATGTGCAAATAAAATTAACTAGAACTCATTAAAGTAAGATCATGGAAAATCATAACAAGGAGTGATAACAATCAAGTTTCTCCATCCACATGCGCTGGGGTAAGATTGGATGAACCCGTTTTTATTGACTTCTGTCTTTGGAGTAATTATTGAATTTTCACCCATACTCGTAGTTTTTCAGATTGATCAGGAGAAATGAGTCAATGTTCAGAATGAAGTGAATAGTCATTTAGGAAAAGATGATGATCACAGACTAACATCAAATTTACATTTTAAATAGATTCGTGAAATTTTCATGCTTTTGAAGGTCTGACTACTTTCTTTCGTGAGTTTTGGAGTTCCAGATTGACCTGGACGAGTTTGTGAACATGGTGGCGCCAATCGTCTCAGAAACAAACAAGACGGATCCATTCGCCGAACCTCCAGCCACTACTTCCGCTGTCGCTAAGTGATTTCTTCTTTTTCCGGCAATCTAACAATTTTTCTTCTTCTGAGGGTATTTCTCTCCCTAAAATTTTGCGTTTTTCCCTTAAAAAGTTATTTTCAAGTTATTTCTGGCTCACAATGGTTTTATTTTTCCTCCCGGTGACTTTTTATAAAACGAGACGATTAGTTTGATACCTTCCTTAAAAGTGAGATGTTTATATTATCAACTTGACAAACTTGATTTTAAATCAACCTGACCCGAAACTTGCACCTATTGAAAGGATTTTATGAAATATTTAAACTCTCCGAACTATATTTTCTTTTTGTTTTTTTCGTGAGCTGTTTGTTCTTTCGAGTACAAATTCAGTAATAATTGCATTTTGATTACAAACCTCTTCCTCGAATCTGCAGGAATATGTATTGCATTTGTATTTGGAATTGTCTCGTATGCTCTTGTTCATTCCCACTGTATATTTCGAATGTTCTCTCCCACCCATTCGTTGTAACTCAGATGATCTCCGATAGAATATATTTACGAATTCACAACTTGCGTTGTTGATATGATACAGTAAACATTTTGAAACTCTTGTTTGCTATCATTCGTCGAACAACGAAAAGACGGTTGAAAATTCTGTCTCATTTGTTATGTACGCCGAATAAAATCAAACTACAAACACAAATCTGAATGGCGTTGTCTGCACCTGATTGACCATGAGCTTCGGAATAAAATGAAAGAATAAATTATAAATACTTAAAGATCTCAAGATCTGCATATTTATAGTTAACCTTTTCTAGTTCAGACATGTGTTAAATAAGAAGGTGAACCGAAAAGTTACCTTTAACTTTTGAAACTTCAGAAACCTTCAAGATTTCACATTTAGTCAGAAATTCGCGAAAGTTTTAACGTATTAGAAAACTGTTATACTTGAAATCAAACCTTGGGAAGTTGCCAGTTGTTTTTAGAAATTTCCTGAATAGTTAGACTTTGCGATTGATGCAAAAGAGAAGTTTTCAGACGCTCAAAAAGTTGGAGTGGAAGTCATCTCTGAAGATTTAAGAATGGAAAATAGTATGAAGAGACTCTGAGAACCGAAACAACAGTCTGGCAGAAACACATGTTTACAGACGGTCGTCGAACATTATTTTGATCGGCAACCTGTTTGATTTGGCTTAATACGAGCAGCGGGACTTTCAGAAACACAGGCGATCATGGCAAAAGAGGGTAATCCTTTTTCCGGCGCACTTTCCACGTTGGCCACGCCTTCCGCTCCGCCTCTGGCCACGCCTCTAACTTTCGGAAACATGGAAAAGAGAACAACACAGGAGAATAACTCAGAACGATGCAAAAGCACAAGGTGACGGTCTTCTCGCTGGACTCGGGTCTCGACCGAATCCCCGAGCATCCAGAAGCCAAGCCTCCGAAGGAGACGTCGTCTGATTCTCACATCTCTCATGTCTCGGCCTCGTCTTCTGGCTCAGAGAGCAATCTCGCCTTCCATGTCAACGACGTTCCGAACATTCCAGCTCTTCTTCTTTTCGGCTTCCAGGTCAGTTCTTTTTTGAGCTGAACGTTTTTTTGTACAGTCTTTGGTAAAGCGAAGAAGGACTTTTTCAGTTGTTTTTTCCTAACTGTTTGGGCCTTTCTTTCAGATTTTAGCTCTTTTTTTTTCATCTTATTAGCTATCCAAAGAGCTTCGAGAAAGACCCGTTCAAATATTGTGAATGTCATTTCGCGTCTCTTTTCATACACTTATTTTTTTTTTCTGCTCTTTTTTTGCATTTATGCGATAGCTTGAACTTTCTTTATGTATTAATGGCAAATTTGCGACAGTCGATTTCTATTTTCAATTTAAAAAGCATCTTAAAAAAATCAAGGCTCGAAGAATCTAGCTCAAAATTAGGTTAAAGCATTTATACGGATCGTTTACACAAATAACAAGGAAGAGTGTTTATCATATTTACTTTTCCGATTCTCGGCGACTTTTCATGAATAGGAGAAAAAGTAATCAAAGTGTTTTTATTGAACGACAGAGTAGGCAAAACGCATGTTTTTTGGTCCACAGTCTCACGTGACGCGACCTTTTGATCCGGTTCTCGAATCAGTTATGATACAACTTTTTCCGAACCGTTAGACTTCCTGGTTGAAAGAGAAGAGCTGAAGAACGAGTTTTTGAGAAGGAATACGGATTTTCAGCAAATGATGATCTGCATATCGGGTCTTCTGGTGGTTCCTTACCTGGTGTCTAACATGGTCTGTGCCGGCCCCAACACGGTCGCTCTCAGGTAAAGTTGCAGAAACCTCCAATTTTCTCGTCTTCTCGTAAATTGGAAAAGAAGAAGGCCAAAAACACTCTAGATTTATCTCGAGTTTATATTATCCTTATAAAAAGTTATAAAATAAACTGGAAAACAAAGAATTTTTCTGTTCCTTTTTACTTTAGCTTTTTAGCTTTTTTTTTATTTCTGAAGCCATTTGAAGATATTCGAATCTTGCAGAGTGAAACTGATATCAGCTACCTTCGTCACGTCAGGAGTCGCCACTATTTTGCAAACCACCCTTGGTCTCAGGTAATTGATTCGGAAAGAACCGTGGATCAAACTAGAGACTTTTGTCACTTATCCGTCTCTGGATGTCCATTCGAAATTCAAAAAAGCAAAAGGAATGCAAGTATTACATCGTGAGGAAGATCTTGCAGAGAAAATGTTTTGTCATGAGTAATCCTTCTTGAAACTTGACGCCATGAAAAACCACCTGTTTTGACGGTATTCACAAAATCCTTTTTTACGATTTTGGCCAGAAATGCTGCAGAGTTCAGGAAAATGTTTATTTGTGATAAGTGTGTATGTGTATCTTTTCGTTTTCATGTTTTTTAAAGATTTACAGGATTTTTTTTTGAAATTGTCTGTCCGGGGTGATTAACCCGGCCGGTTTCTGGGTCATAGAAAATCACTTTTTGCGAGAAATGGTCTCGCTAGGACCTTCCAAGTTATCAATTTTACTTTTAGCTAACTTTCTATTAGAAGAGGAGAGATAAAAACACAGTTGAAGAAACCAATTCTTCGTAATTAATGTTCTGGCGGCGTCTCTGAAGTTATGGTTTCATTTCTTGTAGTTCGATGAAAATACAAAGAAGCAGGATTCAGAGAAATATTTCTGTGATGATGAATGATCTAGACCACCTTTCAAGTTCCAAACTTCGACTTCGAAAAACTGCCATTCTCTTATCTTCGTTGATACAAAATTTATAGACTGTCTATACTTCATGGACCGTCTTTCGCCTTTCTTCCGGCCTTGACGACTTTCGCCAACACTTTTCCATGCACCGACGAGATCAACGGCGACGATTGGAACGAGAAAATTCTCATTGTCAGTTGAAGGATTTGGGTTTTTGAGAAAGAAAAGGTTGGACTGTACGAAGGCTCTTAGAAGAAAAAGGACGAACTAGAATTATTTAGAGTTCTGTAGAAATAGTTTAACTTTGAGTCTTTCTTCATGGAGTAGACAATTAGGCCTGCGTCCTATTTAGAGACATTTATTTTTCGTTCTTTTTGAGCTCACCGAAGCTATATTTCTTTCAACAAAATTCATTAGTTCGTGAAATTTTTTTACAGATATGTTTCCTCAAATTCAGTCATTCTAAACATTTCTACGCAAGTCGTGGACTTGCGGAGTTTCAAGCTATATTTCGTTTATGGCCATATCCAGGTTTTATTCAAATTAAATTTCTGTCGAGCCTCTTTTTCAAGATTTCGTTAGAATTCTTTTGAAGTCCGGCCATACTCGATTTTTTTTTCTTTGTGTATTGTCATACTGGAAAAGGGGTTATAATCAACTGATCTGGCAAAGATGAAATGAATCCAAAGTTGTTGGTTGAAGATGCAAGGAAGCTTGTTCGTGGCAGTGTTGGTGATGCCGCTGTTGGGACTGACGGGGCTCGTCGGCCAAGTGGCGAGGTTCATCGGACCCGTCACCGTGGTCCCGCTCCTCGCCCTGCTCACCATCGGAAGTGTTCCTGAGCTCGAGTCGAAGGTCAGCCAGCACTGGATTTCTATCGTGTGAGTTACTCTGCATTTCGGTAGGATTCTCGGCAAAATATCAATCACTTTATACGATCATGAATTACATAAATATTTTTGATTCGTTCGCACAAGTTCATCGTTAATTTATAAAAAAAGAGTCCTCTCAAATAGATTTTTGCTTTCGGAAAAATTACTCCAGTGCAATACGAACAATTCTTAAGATGATGGAAAACGAACCGTTTTTATTTTGAATACGGTTTCAAAAAATTATCAATTGTCGCCAAGACAACATCTTACAAATATATCAAATTGAATATTTCATAGCCAAGAAACTTCTGTGAAAAAAAGAAAAACTAAAATCGAGGAGGGTTTTTTTCAATTTTTTTCATTTCAATTTCATTTTTTTCAGCTTTTTGGATCTATATATTTTTTTACAGTAGACACCCTGCGCTATTTCAATTGAACTGTTTGAAACGCGAAGAGGAGACGACCTGTCTACTTCTTATTTTTGAATGACCTCTGTTATTACGAATTTCGGTCTTTGCAGGGAGTTCTCCACTCTGATACTGCTGGTCATCTTCCTGGAGGAAACTCGCGTGCCCATCCCTTACTTCTCCTTCAAAGATCGTTCTTTTCGAGTTGTGAGAATGCGTCTCTTCGGCCAGTTCCCGGTGAATCAAAGATAACTTTCATCAGCACTCTTCTTCTTTCGCAGTACCTGATCGGAATCGGGTTCGCCTGGCTGGTTTGTTGGGTGATGACGGTCACGGACCTCGAGCCGGCTGGCAGCGTCGCCCGAACCGATCTGAACACCAGTTTAGCGGTGTTAAGAGAGACGCCCTGGTTCCAAGTTCCCTTTCCTGGTGAGGCTTTTCTAAATCTATTTATTATGAAAATGAGAGAAAAAAAAATCCCAGGTCATTTCGGGATGCCGAAAATCAACGCGGCAGTGGCCTGTGGCTTCGTCGCCTCTTGTATTGCCTGCATGATAGAAAGCATCGGCGACTACGGAATGTGCGCTCGAGTGAGATCTTTTTTCTATGATCTGAAAGTAGTCGGAGTTTCGAGGTGTCTGAACAAGCACGGCCGCCGACCTCTTCAATCAACCGCGCGTTCGTCGTCGAAGGCTTCGGCTGCATGTTGGCCGCTCTCATGGGTGTCGGCACTGGAGTGACCACTTACGCAGAAAACATCGCTGTCATGCACGTAACCAAGGTAAAAATCGTTTGAGATAGACTATTCTCATTGCTTTTGCAAGTTCGAAATATTAGGTTGGCATGAAAGAAATGCGGCTCGTTTTTGTCGGCTTCTAATTAATCCAAGAAGCAATATTATTTGGAACGGTATTTTTTGTCGAAAAGGGCTTGTCCTTGTGCGTCATTGGATATATAACTTGCTGACGTTCTTTCCGCCTTTCTATAAGAAAAATAGCTCTGAAAACTTCCTTCCAAAAACTGTATTCGCGGACCTAGTTTTCGCGTTATTTCAAAAAGTACAAATCAATTTCAGAAGCACCCTTTCAATATTATGATCACCATTGATGCTTTTTTCTGATAGTTAACATTTTGAATTGCTTTAGCGCTATTCACTAGGCGAAAAGACCTTTGAAATCAAAAAACACGAAAAAATCGACGATAAAGGCGATTTTAAAATGCCATTAGACTGGATCCACAACAGACGCCTGTGAATCTGGCTCATCAGTTATTACACACCCATAGCTGCAAAAGAAAACAGTTTTTTTACGCAACGGAGTGCAAAAAATGAGAAATGAAAAATGGCTTCACAATATCGCTTTTTCGTTTTTTTGCGAAAATGTGTTTGCCCAAAATTAGAAAAATTGTTCTGCAAATTTTTGCTTTTTCCGCTACATTGCTCAGACATGGCTCTTCGCATTTATCATCTGTCCGAATCATTGGATCGCTTAACAGCCAAAAAAAAAATTGAAAAACTCCGATGATGTCCAAATTTGGGGGTGCAACTTCTTTGACACGTAGCCGGCCCAGTTTGTCAGGGAGAGTATCCATTCTCTGCGTGAGCATTGTTGACAAGGTGCTAATACAGATATAAATCACATTTCGAATTGATTTGTGATAACCTTGCTTTTATGATAAAATGAAACGACATCAAAAACACGCATTTCTTTCCTGCCACCCTAATAGAAAGACTGGCAGTTGAAAAGAAAACGGAGTTGGTTGGAAAAAGTTAGTTTTTGGACCCCATTCTCTGAGCTCATCCTTTGAAGAATGGGGGATCGTGATGAATGCAGGTGACGAGTCGAGTGACGATGCAAGTGGCAGGAGGGATGCTCATCGCCGTCGGCGTCTTCACCAAGTTGGCGGCGTTGCTCGCCACGATCCCCGAGGCGATCATCGGCGGCGTTCTCGGCATGGGCATCAGCATGATAGCCGGCGTCGCTCTCAGTAACCTGGCTGTAGGTCTCCTCCGGCTTCATCCTTCAAATCTTTCCCCAGATGGTCGACCTGAGGATCTCGAGAAACCTCACTATCATGGGAGTCGCCATCATCATGGGCTGCACGATTCCGACACATTTTGAGCTTCATCCTCTTGCCACCAGTAACTTTCGAGTTTCTTAATGAATTCCAGAAGCGTGTTGTAGGCCACAAACAGATCGACGACATTCTCAACACACTTCTGAAAATCAAAATGCTCGTCGGAGGTGTCATCGCCTTCGTTCTTGATAATCTTGCTGGTGGTGAGTTTCTTGGGCTACCGACTAAATTTTCATCTACTCAATCGGTTTTTATTAACATTTTTCTGAACAGGTGCTTCACGAGCGCAACGCGGATTCGTAGTGGAATCGGACGACGTCGAAAGACCGTCAATCGCGCTCGATGGCTACGTTTTCCCTTCCGTCGTCAATAGGTTGGTTGCGTCAAATTAGCAGATTGATCCATGCTGATTGAATGGAGAATGTCTTGAATCGACCGCAAAGTCGTTCTAAATGCAAACAGCAGATTGGATTATTGGCTAACAAAGTACAAGAATTGACCGGTCAGAGCCTTCCTGAAAGTTCCTTCGGTGATGAAGCTTCCGTTCGTTCCTTCGCGCAAATCTGTCGACTACACCGAAAAGAGCCGATCCTCTCTTTCCTTGGCCACCGGCGCCGGCACACCGATATGATTAAGACCAAGTCTCTGAAACTTGTGAATTATCCCATCTCTACTCATTTTTCGCGTTTGGGTAAACAAACGGGATCCCGCATTATACTTTTATGCACCTGTTAAAATATGTACATTTCATGTAAATACGGTTAAAACCATGTGGAATTTTTTTGAAATCATTTCCTCTAGTCTATACAGTTTTTTCGTAAACGTGTCTTTGACAGCTCTGCTATATATCAAGACTTCTGAAATCTTATTTGATAGAGCAAAAATAAATTTCCGCAATTTATTAAATAATACTTTTTGAAAGTTTTTTTCAAAAATTTTTTCACTTACCTGTGAAAAATTGCTACTGATTATATGGATTAAAAAACAGAAAAATTCAAAGTTTTAAAATAGGTTTGTCCAGTTTTTCGCGGAAACCATCTTCTGCTTTAATGCTTAGGGCCACCGTCAAAAAAAAAAACAGGAAAAGATTTTATGAGTAGTATCGCATGCGTGAGATGAAATACAAAAAAGTAAGAGTCGAAAAAAAAAGATCCTCACAGGGGAAATGTACGTAGTCGGGTAAATGCGAAGCCGAAAATTACGGCTCAGCATGAAGTTCCAAAAATGAGCGAATGCTATGAAAGATTTTCTAATTTACAGGGTCCGAATTATAATTTTGAAAAAAAACCGAGTAGAAGAGTAGGCAACGGGCAATTTAAAAAGAGAAAAAAACGGGAGCTCTTGTTTTTTTTAAAATCAGGTTAAAGAACAATCTCCGAAGTTTATTAAAAAAAGAAAAAAAGAAAAATAAGTCACTCTAAAATCTTAAATTCTCGATACGAAAAAATTTAACTGCCTGTTGGCTGGAAAATAGACATGACATTAGGATATGCAGAAAAAAATAATACCCTTAAAATGGTAACAAAAACAAAAACAACGAAAAAGAAGGCACTCTAGCGACTCTAAAATATCGAAAAAAAAAAATCAACAATGGGGCTAGGCCACTGAAAAACAATTGAAAAGAAGCCTCGAAAAAACGATAAGAAGTCAATAAAACTCACGTCTAGGATGGCTTAGAATACTTGAATTTCCCGTCAAAAGACATAAGTCCGGTCCAAGAATCACCTTTGACTGCCTTGGTTGCGCAAATGCGGGTTCAGAGGGGTTGAGCTTGTGTTTTCTGGCGGCGGGCTTCAAAAAAACAATGGAAAAGTGTCATTTGAATTCACAAAAATTCTAAAAACCGGGAAACTTTTGCTAATAGTGGGAAATGAAAATAAAACTAACTAAAAATCTTCATCGTCTTCGAAGTCGAAATTTCCTCCGGGCATGTTCGCGTCGTCATCGTCGTCATTGTTATCGCCATCTAAAATTACAGGTACATCAATAATTCAGAGAAAACCCAACCCGGGTTCGAAGCCGTTTCCCATCCGCTGCTGTCGCTAGTGAAACTCTCAGATTCGCTCTCTGAGTCACTTCTTCCTTCTTCAAGCTGTAAGCAGAAAAAGTTTTTCGCCGTTTTTTTTACCAGAAAAAAAATGAAAGTTTGTTTGAATAAAACGTTGCCCACAAAATTGTATCCTTGATATCAATTTTATCACAAAACTTTTTTCATTAAACAAATTTTTTGATGCATCAGAAGATCCTTCGAGTGAAAACTTGCAAAACTTTCTATTTTAGAGAACGAAGACCTTAAACCTGAAGAAAACCATCATTCATAGGTTGAGAAGACATGAGGAAACTTCGAGGCGTCATTTCTCAAAAACTAACCAAGAAGTTATTCAGATTGTGACTATGTGGAATCCATTGTTGGTCCATCAAAGAGTATTTGAACAAATTCATAGAAAATTCCGAACATTGTGCTAAAATGACCCTTGAAGTACACAAACCCTTCCAATGACGTCGAAAACGCCTTCCTCCGTGAAGTCGTCCTCGTCAGAAGTATCGATATCGCTGGAGTCGTTCTCCGAATCGCTGTGCTCGTTGCCATCCTCGACTTCTTCCTCCTCGTCGCCCTCCGCGTCTTCGGCGTCCTTCCGCTTCCCGACCTCAAAATCCTCTTTGCGTTAGCTCCCGACACAACAATCTCACTTCGATGATCCGCACTTGACTGTCCTCATGATGGATGAAATCATTGGCAGACGAACGCGTCTGTTCGATCACCGCCATGTACTTGTCGCTGTGGTCACAGCAAATGTCGTAGACGCGTCTCCGAAGGTTCATCGTCGTTATGACCTGGCAACAAAGCAGAGACTGTGCAAGTCGAGGCCGCCTTCTGATTACCGAGTAATCGGAGGTATCGAAAGTCTTGAACCACGTCATATGTTCCTTTCCTAGCGAGTTGTCGTCCACTTCGCCCAAGTGAGAAGCGTACATGATGTTCTTAAAAAAAAAGATTTATTTTGTGGCTACAAAAAACCGAACCCCTGTAGAATTGAATTTCAATCGACAACTGTCCAGAGCAGGAACACTGCGCAGTAACCGGTGAGTTCTGACATCCCACTGAATACCGATTATTCCCAAAGCAATTGAATCCCAAAAATGTGAAAAAAAGTGATAGCGACGATTAAAAGTAATGGATACGGAAAACAAACCACTTCTGTGTTGATAATCACTTCATTGCCGTTCGGATGGAAAACGCCACATTGGGTGGAGTTGAGCTTGTCAAACATGAAGAGGGGCTAAAACTTTGGCGATAGGAAAAAAAAGCAAACGGGGGGCCAACTTTTGTAGAACTGCGGATGTCCCACAGGTATCCGTCGTTGAAAATCATCGAGTCGCAAGGAGAGAACGAGGCAAAGTTCTTCGTGTAACGCGGGATTTTCCACGTCGCCGGCGCGTAGACGTTCAGAATTTTGAGAGTCTCCGTGTCATAGACCTCCAAGCAGAGCGATTAGGGAGGGGGGAACTTGGTGGACTTACTGTGGCCTTGCCGTTCTCGGTCCCTAGAATCTTTTCTGTACCCAAGTTGGAGAAGCGAATGCAGCTGTCGTCTGGAAAGTGCGCAAGCAGTTCAGCGGACTCGCCGAGGCGCCACAAAGCCGAGAGCGGTCGCATGAAGGCCGAAGACGTCAGGAGCATCGATCCATCCTGAAACTCTCGCTTTTTTACGAAGCGAAGAAGAAATTACTGTGCTTGGATGGACTTCCGTGATGGCGCTGTGATGGGCGTGTGTGGTGGCTTCGTCTTCCTGTGTCTCTATGTTTATCCAGTGCACGTCTCCCGAATACATCCCCACTATCATGTGCACGTCGTCGATCTGAAAACTATCTTTTATAAAATAATTAACCATAGCATAATAATAAAGAGCGCCTCAAGTATTATGTAAAATAAGAGTACTAAACTAAGAACTTGATTAACGTTTTCCAATAAAAACTGATTTTATTCGCTATGCAGGTTGTAGTCTTATAAAAAACTAATTGTTCACCTCTACAAATTTTTGCTTTTTGAAGAACTTTCAGAACATTTCAGAAGACTCAGATGATTCAAAATGACGCCAAATAGAAGATATAGAAACCGAGAAAGAGCAGGCAGTGTAGGTTTCCTCATGGTCGTTGAGCGTAGTGACAGGTCTGAAGCGGCTGAAAACATATCTCTCATCTTGAGCCGTCGAGAGCGTCCTGAACGAAAAGAACTTCGATTGCAAATACACTGGGAAGCAAGTAAACCTGTAGGGATTCTTGAGAAGATCCCGGTTGGCGAACCGCCGTGCAATGTTCGTGTAGGTGGAGGAAATGGCTTTGGGTTCAGGACATTTGTGGGGATAGAAGAGCGAGAAAGGCGGGCAAGTCGTGACGGGATTCGAGCACATTGTGTGCTGCCCACTGCAACGACGCATTTTATGAAAAAATACGTTGATCCAAAACTAAGGTTTCCCAGATAAATCGCTTCATTTTAAGTGAAGAACCACAGTAGCTTGCCATCAGGTTTCTTCTTTCTGTTTTCCTAAATAGCGGTCGCTAGTTCCAACATACTTAAAAGATCATTTTGAAAGCCGAAACACTTCATAATTTGGGAGCCACAAGCTGCATAAAATGTCTTTTTTGACTATCAATTTGGATTTCTGAAAGATAGAACAAGCTTTGAAAATATAGATAACTGGGTAAAACGTCATCAGTTAATAACAAACCGAAGATATTCAGTGATGATGTCATCGAGCACTTTGCACGGTTTGATGGTCGAAGAATCGGGAGTTCGTACGGGAGTCACAGGGGATTCCAGCGAAATGCTGTTGCTCAACCGCAGAATGCCGTCCTCGCCTCCTAAAATTACTGACCCAATGAAACTGAAATACCAGCGTTTTGAATTTTTCGATTAATTATCTAACTTTCGAAACTACTCCCATAGACTCTTCCTAAATATACACAACTGAACGAGATAATCTCTATAGAGAAAGGGTAGTGTATCATCGACTATTGACAATGATCATATAAAAGACATGAAAAGACGGACTTGAAGTTTTGAATCGGATAGGAGATGGCGTGGCGAAGGAGGCGGAGGGAGTCCAGAAGCCCTGGAGGTTCCTTCGCACAGAAGACGGCGTCGACGGCAACTTCCTCTGGCTGGGAACCGATCGAAGGACCGCCGCTCGTGGGTGTTCCACACCGACGTCTCGCGTGTGCGGCTGGAATGTTGGCTTTTGGACAAACAGAGGACATGGAAAACCAAAGCGCTGAGTTTGGCCGGAGTCATGGACAAACGACTGGCCGGCACGTCCGGCAGATCTGCTTCCGTCCTGAGCAAGTTGGCCGTGTTGGTGAGCCCTTTTCGTCGCAAATGTTCGTGGATCAGCTGCAGCAGCTCCTTCTCGTTGTAGTTGATCTTCGTATTTGCAACGACCCAAGACTTCCACAGACGTTCCTGTAACTTGCTGATCGAGAGGAAAAGGACCAAAAGACTGACCTGGGTGATTTCTTTCGGATTGTGATTTTTGCCTCTGACGGAGTTTTGGGTTACGGTTTCGATAAGACACATGGCCTCTCTGCAGAACTGCGCGTGTTCGGTGCGCTTGTCTGGCACCAGAGGTTCTCTCATGAGTCCTAGGAACAGGGTCACGAGGCCGGGAACACAGGAGAACCTTGCAGTTCGTTGTTGGCGATGAGGGGCAAGTTCGAGAGAATCTGTCTGATCTGAGGGCAGCGAGCGAAACCTTCCAGTGCGTAGCAGGCGAGGGCTCGGATTCGGTCTGCGTCGGGCGTCGGTTTCGCCGCCTTCACCAAAGAACAGAGAACCTGAGAAAGCCGTTTACATGAAAACGTTTCTGAATTTTCGATTATTCGGTTCAACATTTTGGTTTTCAGTTTGGTGATACCAAAGAAAAGAGCACCTTACTGTCCATTTTTAGAATGATCTATTTTTTTCTTCTGAAAAAAATGACTATAAATTAGGCTTTCTACTTTTCCGATTGGAAAATTTTTGTGTATGTTCTAATAGTCTGTTTGCATTTTTTATAATCCGTACTTTAGAAAAAAATTTGGATCCAATGTTCTACTGTCTTTTTGGGTGTTTTTCAAACTTTTTTTTTCGAACTTTGAATTTTAAAAGCATTTCATCGAATCGTGAGCCCACCATGAGCCCATCAGCCTCCCTGAGCGCAGTCCACATCTTTTCGAGTTGGTCAAGAGAAGACGGGCCTTTCTTCTTGTTTTCTCGTTTCTCAGCGCCATTCGACGCTTCCGCCAGAAGACGCTCATTCGCCGCCTGAAACTTCCGATTTTCAGCTAATAATTCTGGAGACGTCGCTTGCCTTGAAAAGGTCGGCAGGGACGAAAATGCAGTTTATAATGGCGAAAAGAGCGGAGGCTCTGGCGCCTCCTTCGCATTCTTCGTCTGATGCCGTTTGCATCAAAGTTCTGAATTCTTGTCGTTCGAATAACCACACAAGCAAGCACTGACGAGATCCCATCTGCGCTGAGGTGGATGATTTTTTGGGTTTCAATCAACTCGTTCTGAACGACCGGCGAGCAGGAGCCTATCGCCAGAATCTCCATCGTGCTGAGCATCAGTTCTTGTCGGCTGAAAATGCACAGGATGAATGAGAAAGGATGCGCGGAACGAAAAGAAGAGGGCTTACTCGCACTTCCCAACACTCTGGTTCCACTCGCGCGATAGAACGGCGACCGCGTGAACGGTTCGGAAAACGCCGAGCTTTTGGAGCATTTCGATTGGACGCCAGCCTGTCGTCGAGAATCGCAGTATGTTCGTCATGATCTTCATCGCCTCGGGCACACATTCTTCGTTGACTCTCGTTGACTGGGAATGTCAATTATGTCTATTTTCGAACAACTCTTTGGACTCTACTCGAAAAATCTGATAACTTTGCACAGCTGTTCTTCAAAGAAAAATGGCACTTCAATATACACTCCGAGCTTCACAACTTGTCAGATCCTCCCACAGTTTTTTCAATATGCAACTCCTTTAAACCGTTTTTCTTTTAAAATTGTCCAAAATTTAATTGTGATCTTTTAGCAAATTTTCAGTTGAAAACTTTTTTCACAAAAGTGATAAATTTAAAAAAAAGAATTGATGAGCCTTTGGAAGTAGTTTTAGTGAAATTTCCTAGGACCATTCTAGACATGTGTAAACCAAAAAAAAAAAAACAAAATTTAGAAACTATTGAACTTTTTGCCAACTTCTGGTATTAACTAGAAACTTACATGAGCTTAAAAGAAAGACGGTTTTCACGAACTGTCCTTAAAACTTTGAATGTGTCAAGGCCGCTGGATACTCTCTCATATTCACCTTCTCATGTACAAACCTTGTATCTGGGCAAATCCAGTTGCATGGCGCTTGGAATCGAGCCAAGAGACGCGTATTTCCTCTGATTGCCGACAATTCTCCGCAAATACTCTAATTTGCCGAAAAGTTGGACCGAGATGTAGCTGAAACTTTGCGAAATGCGAGACTATTCAGCCTGTGAAACCTTTTGAAAGCAGAGCAAGCGTTGCGAACAGCCTGCGTGCTGGTGTGCAGTTGTTCTTCGGTGAGGTCGTACTTGTCGGTCGCGGCGACGTCTTGCATCAGAGTAAGCGTCGAGATCTGGACAGAACATCAGCCAAGACGAGAATCGGAAACCAACGTAGTTGTGCAGTTTTCTGCTCCCATCCATGTTGTCGAATCGTTCCAGAATCGCGCGATGGTAGAGGGCCGACGCGAAAAACATACTGGCACTGGCCATTCCGCTCTCGTGCGAGTGCTCCAGACACCACAGCGCATAGCTGCAACGCTCTGGCTTTGGAGCCTTTTCTGAGTTTTCAAAGTACTTATCACGTTTCTGCTAGGAAGAATTAATCAGGAGAAAAAACGAGAAAATGTTTTGATTTAAGATTAACAGAGCTACATGCGAACGGATAAAGTGATAAATCTTACGAAAAAAAAACTCATAAAGTTATCAAATTTTTTTTTTTGCAAAAACCTGCTAATACAAACACAGCACGACACCCACCTGACGAGTTCATCCACAACCTCGTCTTCTAGCTGGCAGATCTTCTCCATGACATCTTCGGTGTAGGAAAGGTAGTAGAAGCAGGTGACGACGCCGACGGACGCCAGAGAGTTCCGAGGCACCTTCAGAAGTTTGTTGACTCCGCCGCGATTGACAAACTCGAGGGCGAACTTGCGGTGCACAAGGAGCGAGGTCAGGTACTGAAACAGAATTTGCGAAGATCCGACGAAAAATTTCCAAAGCTAGGCAAACAACAGAGAGAACAAAGTTAAAAAAAATATATTTTCCGAAAAGTGTTTATCGATGAAGAAAAAGAAGTATTACTTTATAAACCTTAATTCTTCCAATTACCCACTTTTAAAGCGTCGAAAGAAAGTCGAACGTCGCCAGATTTCTCCAGGTCGATGTATTCGAGAATCATGTCCAACGCATTTCCTTCGTACGCCAAACTCAACAACTAAAAAAGACTCAATAACTGAAAATTCCAGCCAAATCTTACGTCTTGATACTCTCCAGTAGGCGTCAAGTATTGGAAGATGTAGCGTTGATACATTTGCGTGGTGAGTGGATAAATCTTCAAAAAGGGAATGGACTTTGGTCGAAAGATTCGTCAAACCTTGTGATTTCCTATGAGAAACGGCTGCAAAACGTCCCATTTGCTGTTGCTATTGTCGAGATTGGCGAGAGAAGAAAACGAAGGAATCCGGTGAGGGGAACTCGGAACAACAAGGTTCTACGAACAATAGGAGGTGAATTTTGATCTTAAGCTGAAAATAAACCTTGGTCTTCCTTCTTTTCCTTGGAGGACCACCATCCGAGTCGCGACTCTTTTTAGAATCGTTGCCTAAAAAAGATTTCTTGGCAGAAAAGCGCTAAAAAAGAAGGCCATTTTACTTTGCGCTTTGGGAATTTCTCGACAGGCCCAAAAACTCGTTGAAGTACCACAGCCAAATCCTAAGTCTCAACGCAAGATTTCCTAATTTTCGAGAACGAACCCCTCGGAGTCAAGAAAAAAAACTCATCTAATCACATTAATTCGTTTTCTGATTTTCAATTTCCTCAAAAACCAGGAATTTGTGCAGATTCAGGATTTCCACCTGGCACCCCAAGGAATATACTGGGGATTTTCAGGAAATTGACAATCGCACTGTAAAATGACCTTTCTTATTGATAGAACCGTATACTTCATAATTAAGAAGGTTTGAAATATTCGAAAATATTTTTGCGAGTGCGTTTGACGAAATTTGAAAGCAGTAAGGATTTATTGCAAGAGCTAATTGACGATTGATGTGAAAAAAGAACTGACTGTTCTGGTTGAGTTCGAGTTCCCGTGACGTCAATCTCGGAGGAGCGGCTTCTTGACCCGATTCTCGTACTTCCTCTGACGGTTGCTGCCCGTTGATCAAATGCGCAAAACTAAAAAAATCGATCGTTTTATTCCGGAAAGAGACAAAGAGCGACCTGGTGTGTGGATACTCCTGTTGACTACATTTTAAAGCATTTCCCAAACTTTCTCCCGACATTTTCTCCTGGAAGTGTTTTTTTTTCTCTTTTCGCTTCAAAAAAGGACAAACCTTTAGCTGAACAAGCTTCCGCAGAGCTACTGGAATCAAAGTCTCGTTCTCAGATCTGTATTTGCTCGCGTTTTCTTGATTTTCCAAAGCCGAAGCCAGGAGGCCCATGGAATAAGCTTGCAACAACTCGTTACTGTCGTTCTTCGCCCATTGATATAGCGTTGGAATGAAATCATCGGGATCCTAAAAAAATCTACTTTAAGAGAAAATTTAGAAGAGACAAAAGTGAAATTTTGATTAAAACTGCAATAAAAATATAAGATTGACGAAAAAACGGTGAAAATATAAATTTCTTATCATTTTTTGTGGATATTTATTTCTAATTTTTGCTGTTTCTTTCTAGTTAGTGTTACCGACAGACTCTTATTCATACTAGGCAATACAAGAAGCTAGTGAAAAACGAATCAAACTAGGTTTTTGTTGCTTTCTTATTCCTCGTTACCTTAAAAAAGAGGGAAGTTTGAAAAAAAAACCCCTTGAAAACTGTGGAAATAATATTTTTCTTTTTGTGCTAAACTCAGAAAACAGATCCAAACCGAAAAAAGAACGTTGCTGTCTAAGCCAGGAACGCAACCAAGAAGAAGGCGACACGATTGGATGCTCAATTCCGAGTCACGACCCAGAATATACGAAACAACTAGCTGAACGTAAAAATTGAGGGTCTATGAACAGTGACCGTCTCACTTTATGCATGAAATCGTCGTTTCGGAAGAGTGTTTTCAAAACGTTTCCGAAGGTTGATTTCGGATGAGTTCTGTAAGGGTGCCGGTCGTCGAGCGGATCGGGATCTTTTTTCAGAAACTCTTCGTAAGACTCTTCCAGCACCTTACACAGCCTGAAATACTCCGAGTTCAAAAAAAAAACAGTGAACAAGGGCTCTACTCTTGAATATGCGGCATCGGATTGTAATCCGCCTTGGAGTTGTCGTTTACCCACGATTCCAGTACGCTTTCGAGATATCTCAGAGTCTCTTCTCTTTTTTTCTTGTCGTCTGGAGCTGGTGGCAGCCTTGTGGAAGTACTGCGTAGCGTGTAGGGATAATCTCCATCGTCGAAATCGTCTTCGTCAATATCGGACATACGTCTCTACAAGGCGCTCTTTTGCTTTAAAAAAATATGATTAGGTACTAGTGATAAGGATACGAAAGTTTATATCCAATCCAACTCTTATGAAAGAAAGAGTTTGGAAAAAAATTATTGTTTTACCGACTGAAAAAAATAATTCATTTGACATTCAACCTTTATGATTCAAAATTTTCTAATTTTTTCAGACCATGGAGAAAAGGGTTCATGAAAAAGATAAGAATGAAAAAAATAATTAAATTAAGAATAGGTTACAATAACAGAAAATTTTAAATTTTCGAATTTTTCCGTGCTACTTGTGCAGCACTTTGGCTAAAAACTGCGTAATGCGCGAGATTTGCTGTCGGCACATGTAAAGCGCCAGCATGTTTTCATGTGTAGTTTTATATTTCTTTTTCCAAGTTCTTTTTGCATTTGTATTTTTCATTTCCTGGAAGTCTGATCTATTAATCGTGAAAACTTTTTCAATCAATAAGAAAGTGAAAAAACATCCGACAGAACCTTTTTTTGCTTGAATATTCATTAAAGGAAAAAAAAAAGTTTCGAAAAATTGGTTTCGCGGTTTTTTTTTCTTTTCTCGCTCTGACTGCATGATGTTTGCACAAAACTTTTCTTACATTCTTGCTTAGCACTTTTACATTTCTTTTTTTTTCTCAAATTCGTGAAGCTTATAAAATGTCTACTACCTGACGAAAAATTAATTAAATTTAGAGAGATCTTGTTTGGGAATATTCTAAAAAGCAAAGAAGCTCTAGCTGAACTTTTTTTATATGAATTAGCAGACTCAAAATTTTTTTCGAAAAAAAGTTCAAATCAAGTTTCTTTCTGTGAAAAAGTGAATTGTTGTAAGAATTATAATTTTTTTCAGCTCTTCAATAGCTTTTTTTCAATTTTTTTGATTATCATTGGGGGATCAAAGAATTTTTTTACAATTCCGATTAAAATGGTTTTTAAATTTTGCATATTAATGCGCAGTTCAATCAATTCGTGAATGCATTTCTAATTTTGTGCAATTTTTATTCCGAACATACATGATAATATGATTTCACCATAGTCCTCTTCAAGCGAAATTTCGATTCAGGGTAAAAATGGCAGTTTTCCACGATGAAGTCGAAATTGAGGATTTTGAATTTGATGAGGAAAATGGCCTTTATCACTACCCATGTCCGTGTGGAGACCGCTTCGAGATCACCAAGTTGGTTGAGATTATTTTTTTTTGTGGTTACCTTCTTTTGCCGTAGGGAAATGCTGGAGATGGGCGAAGACGTGGCAACGTGTCCCAGCTGTTCGCTCATAATTCGCGTCATCTACGACCCCGAGGACTTCGTTCTTCTCGAGACCCTTTCAATATCATCACCGCAGCCTTTGGCAGAGCCTGTGTGAGGCAGAAACTTTTTGATTTTGATGATTTTTTCGGGTATCAACTCTTTTTTCATCACAAAACTGCGGTCTTTTGAAATAAAAAGGTATAAGTGGAATTTTCATTTCTGCGTTCTCGAAATTTCTTTCAAACTTGATCAAATGAGAAACGAAGAAAACCTGCTTCTGAACATTTCAATTTGCGCATGCGGTCGTAACACAAAATAGCTGAAAAAATATCAGAACAGTCTAAATATTTACATCGAAGTGCGCTTCACGGCTAATTAAAACGCTCTCGCATAAGCCGGATAACATGTAAGTAGTCAAAATTTATTTTCTAAGGATTGAAATCTGAAAAAAGACTTCACGGGCAAAGTCCAAAACAGCCTCAAAAAGGCCTTGAAAATAAAAGTCGGAAGCTCCTTTTTAAGTTCCTAAAATGGTGTGAAAAGGTTCTTGAAATCTCCTTTTTTTTCCATCTTTTTCAGCCTCCTTCTTTTTTTCTCGTAGAAAGGTCTTGAAACAAGGTGTCAAGAAAAAATCCCTTTAAAACCTTTTTCCAAAGGATCTTTTTAGGTCTTTCTGGACTTTGCTCGTTTTAAGAAAAAAAGGTTTTCCATACTAACTTTTCACACTACGCCTGCCGTACAAAAACCGTATGAAGGTTAATTTTATGAAAATTTAATATTCAAGAATTGAAGAAATAGAAAGAGATAGCTTTAACTTGAAAGGAGGGAAAAAAATCTTTGAATTTTCGTGAAAATTTGTGTTCAGAATATAATATTTTATAGTTGATTTAATCATTTAAATCATTATATCCTTTTCATTTCATCTTTTTTCCTGCTATTGAACTTATATTTTGCCAGTTTATCTTCATTTTGAACTGTATTAACTCCAGAACAAGAAGGAAAAGTGGAGATTTTGACAAATATTCGAATTGAGGGAGCAAAATAACGGAGTGACTGAGATTGGACAGCCTTGGGAGGGACTTATTGATACGGAGTGGATGATAATTTGATTTGGCGCTCCGGGGCAAAGTCGGAGAGGTCTTTCTCCAGTCGCAGTCGTACTCCGCTTCATCAAATTCGTTCACCACCGCCTTAACGAGGCGAGGACGTGTCATTTCTAAGCCTTAGGCTCATTTTCGTGATGGGATTGACTCATCGTTCCTTTTATGACAACACACTCTGGCCTTGTTTTTTAATTTAGCGACCTCTCTTTCGAATTCGCACCACCCTTTGGTATTTTTGCTGGCGCTTTCGTCGATCCAAAAAATTTTTCTCTCAAAAGTTCTCGTGAAAATGCCGACTTACAATGCCAACGAACGAAAATACTATTATATATCAAACAACTTATGTTTAGTTTCACAGAATCAAATGAACCTATATTCTGAGTCAAAAAAGTAAAAGTTCTGGCGAGGGTTTATGCGTGGACACTAGTCCAAGCCTTTCATAACCGCTTTAGGACCAGAATTTCCACCGTTTTGTGATGTTTTCTTTAAAAAAAGACTTGAATTTAAAGTAGACTGGGACAAACATCGCTCAATAAAGCGGATACATTTGACAAAGAGGCCTGTGTTCGTGTGACACTCGAACGTTTTGAGGTAGCGCTCCCTCGAGATTTGCGCCACACCCCATCTAATAAGATGTACGTCGCTTTTCAGTTGTCCTTTTTGACGGTCCTTCCACGTCGACCGAGGTAATTCTAGAAGGGGCGACTGTTCGGGAAGCCGCTCGATGCTTCCGGCGCTGTCGACGACTTCCGCCAACGTCTACCCGAGGCACTCCGACCACCGCAGGCAAAGGTTTCTTCTTGACGTCGCTCTTATACCCACCTTCGAGCTACCTATATATCACTTGGTACAGAAGTATATGGACTAATAACATTTCTTAGTCTTCAGAGGTTTTAAACGTCTACAGGCCTTTTTATTCGAGAAGCTAGCGGTGACTGAAAAATATAAAATATTTTTTCATAAAAAGTTTTATACAACGTTTATTAAATTCATATTCACACTTTATTAATAGATCTACCTGATTTAAAACACAGTTCACTATACATAGGTGTGATTTTGCACAAGAATGCAAGTTTTGAATCTCTCTTCCTCATTTTCTCTTCCTCTTGTCGAGGATGCATTTTTTCGTGCATTTTCTGAAAAAAAAAACAGCATTCTCTATTCATTCAAATGGACTGTTGCGCTCTTTTTCGGGCTTCTGTTGTAGCCTGCCGGGAATGTCTTTTCAATTTTTGTCTCAGAATTCCATTTGTTTGATTGAGGACTGAGATTTAAGGGCCAGAAAACCTTAACGGAGTTCTCCTTTCAACTTTGAAGACCAATTCCTTTTCAACAACTAACTTTTTTTTTTCGAAAACGTAAAACTTTGTAGTGGTTCTTATGTAGTAGAGAAAGATTTGATATCGCCGAGGGAAGTGTCCCTTTTCCAGTGGCCTTCTGCTTGTCCCCTGAGGCAATGCTTTCCTAATTTTTCCATGTCGTTCCCCTATTGTTGAAGTCATTTTTTATTTTTCAATGAATCTCCCTGAAACTCATCCATCTCAAGTTTTTTGATTGTATCTACGCGTGTAAAAAAATGGGAAATTTTTGAGTTTTTTTCATCAGAAACACGATTGACCTGCTCTCTTATTGCTGGAGAACAATCTTACCAAATAGGCCTTTTTTAAGTTTACCGAAGTCTGTTAGGGATTTTATAAAAAAAAACTAATTTCTACCCTTTTTAATTGCTGCAATATTGAAATAATGGAAAGAATTACGATGCGATTTGTTTCTTTGTTCCTGTTTTTCTACCTACCCATTTGCAAAAGCCGTGACGAACAATTCTTGGCTCCAGTCAATTTGTAAATCGAGTCGACGCGCGTTGCAAATTGAGAAGACTAAGAGAAGGCGAAACGAAAAATTGAGACTTCCCACTCGAATTCAATCTTTTCAAAGCGTTGCCAAAAGCCACGAGTAAAATGAAAAAGCTGTCCAAATTCGATCTGACCTCGTGCGTCTCAGAAATTGTCAAAGACGGAACAGGACGGCCATTGTTGCAAAGAAAATCTTTTTATCCTTATAATCTGTCAATACTTCTTATATTTCTGCTTCAGAGGGGGTTTCTATAAACCTTTTCCTTCATATTAGGCTTTTATGTTTTTCTTGAAGGCATTACTTCAACAAATATGAATAGAACAGTTAATGTGGAAACTGAAGTTATTCATGCGTATCTCAGTGTAAAATTCAAAAATATTAAATAAAAAGTTCAAGTCATCACATTCTTCTTTCATAACAAAAGGTGCTCAAAAGTTAACAAAGTCAAGCAAAGAGATGTTTCACAGATATTAAATATTATCACTCATTTTTCTATGACGTTTAGAGAAGTGATACTAGTAAACGCGAAAACGGATTCAAATTCAAAAAATGCGACTGTCGCGACAAAAGTCTCGTCGTGACTTCGCGTCGCAGGAGTTGAATGAAGAGCGTTCAATCGCCGTAATCAGATTTCGTCGCTCTGCGGCACGTCGAAATGTGAAAAGAGTGCGCGTCCAAGTTCGCATTCCGCGAGGCTTTCGCCGCTCGTTTTGTTTCTGTTTGGGCCATCAATATCAAGTCCCGAGTTTCCAGAGCTGAGAGTCCTCGGCGTGTCCGAGGCGATTCTAATCCGCTCTCCAGATGCGAAGATGGGTAAGTCGGGCGTCTTTCCATATCGCGTGTTTTTTTTTTGAGTCACAAAATCGGCATGATTTGCAACTCCCTCCATTCACATATATTATTTTGTATCTTCAGTGGTATTTACAAGGAATAGGAGATTTCTAATTCTGAGCCTATCGTTTATTATTATGTTTTATATATTCTTTCAAATTTGGATAGGAATTCTCTTTTTTTCGAAATTTGTCTCAAACGAGCTCAAATTATTGTTTTATTCATGTAACTTATCTCAATTTTGAAGATTTTATTCTGAAAAGGATTAAAAATATTAGCGCTAAATAAATGAAGATTTAGGTCTGCCAAATTGTTCTGTTATTTTTGTGGAAATCGTTTGACTGATTTTTTTCTCCACACTTACCGATTTCCATATATTTTCATCAAGTTTGCTGTTGAACACGGTCTGGCAATTTGACGGGGAAATGGGTCTGCCTGTTTGATTTGCAGTGAGAATGATTGCACTCAAGTCTCGACTGCTGGAAAATGAGCCGCGGCTTTTCAGATGAGTCACCCTGGCTGGGTGATGGTGTCGTTCTTGACGGAGCTGCTCTCGACTTCCTCCCGAGGCGTCGTCCAGTCGGCCGAATCCTGCGCCAACGACACCGAGATCATCAACGCCCTTCTCAAGGACTCTTACAACAAGGTTTCTTCCATCAAAAAATCATAACCAAATTGTGGTGAGTAAGAGTTATTTTTAAATTTCGCAGAAATTACTTTGAACTCGGCATTACAACTGAATCGGTTAGAAATTTGTTCCTTTGTTTTTTACTGTAATTTTTTAGAGACTCTCATTTGAGGCAAAACCTCCGTTACTTATCGAATAAAACACTCTACATCTCTGGCCATATTGGCATGACCTTCAGACATCTTTAATCCTACTGTATGCGTCGTCATACCGGAAATTGAACCTAATATGAAGCCTGCAGATAATTTGAGTGAAAAAAAAGAAACTGTGATTTGCTCTAGACTAGAAATGAAAGAAAATAAATCACTTTGCTCGGGTAATAATCGGTTTGGATAATAAGTTCCATAGGAATTGAAGGATTTATTCAATATAATTCAATTTTTAGCGAATCAAACCTCCCTATGAAAATTTTTAATATTTCTCACTTTCTCTTTTTTTTTCTTGATCGCTTCATGAATTTTGAGTATTGATCTATCCCTATTCTTTATTTTGGAAAGGTATGATCCAAAAAACGCCGAATCGAATTTAATTCATTAGAAAATGGAAGTAAGAGTTGCTATGAAATTTGTCACATGTATCGGAAACCGGCAATTTGAACACGACTTTCAGCACTACATACCCGCACATCCCATGAGGGTGAGAGTAGATATGTGGGTGCAGGAAGTGACGTCGGTCTCTGAGCTCACGCAGGACTTCGAAGTCGGTTAGTGTCACAACAAGACTTGCTCCGCTCAATTCCAATGTATGATCATGTTTCGAGTCGTTCCGTAGGACTTTAAAAAAATTTCATATCAAATCGCCTTCAGGGCCTTTTTTTAATTTCTCATCACAGTGAAGTCTTCATATTATAGGCATAGTTTGCATAAAACATGAATTTGATTTAGAAAATATTTGAATTGAACTTCAAAGGGGTATATTCGAATAAATAAACAAATTTTTTTGAGTAAAATTATTGCAAAAACTTAATTTTTGGTTTTTCAAGTATTGCGAAAAAGGACTCTCAGACTTGCCTTGCAAAAATAGTTCAGGATTTTATTCAAATATACAACCTTCTTTGAAAATTGATTGAGCTGAACTTATTAACCGTTTAAATTTGTCTAATGTATTTTTCTTCCGTTCTAGATCTAAGCCTGTCATTAATTATTATTCTCAACCGTATATTCATTTTTATTCACGCTCACGAATTTACGAATTCGCTCCAGTTTCCTTAGTTTTTTTTTTCAAAATCCTGAAAACTTTCTCAAGGCTCGAAGCCCTTTTTGTGCTCTCAGCCTCACTATTTTATGTTTTTTTATGATTGGAAGAAATGAGAAAAAGAGAGCGCAGACATGTCAGACTTTTTTCGCGAGGAATACATTATAACTTCAAAAATGAATAGGCTAAAAAACTTTAATTTCAATACTAAAAGCAAGTTCTTCAAACGGTTTGTCGCACGATGACATTTTTCAAGACATGCCAAGCACTTTTTTAATGTATTTTAGGAATTATTTTTTCCTTTCAGACTTGTACATCAACGAGTTCTGGGAAGATCCAGCTTTAGTTTTCGAGGACATGAATCCGTGCAAACGGAACATTTCCTTCGACGATAAAGTTCTCCAGAGGCTTTGGATTCCCAATACCTGCTTCATCAACTCCAAAAATGCGGCCATCCACGAGTCTCCATTTCGGTACGATCCTCTGAGCTATCACTCTTCTACCCTCTGACCTCAGCAACGTTTTTCTGATGGTTTTCGCGAACGGAACTCTGTGGACGAACTACAGAATGAAGTTGACCGGTCCTTGTGACATGAATCTCAAGCGCTTTCCGTTCGACAAACAGCGTTGCTATCTAACCTTTGAATCGTGAGTTTCTGCTCGTTTTGGTTATCGATTCTCGGTGGATTCAGGTTCAATTACAACACAGGCGAGGTCAGAATGAAGTGGAATCAACCTTATCCGGTGATTCTCATGAAAAAGATCCAGTTGCCCGACTTTGAGTTGGTCAATTTGACGGCCGACGCCGTCGAACAGGTTGCATAGTTGAACTTTTGTCATTTTTACTAATTATTTGTGTGCAGATAATTCACTTACTGACAAAATTAGATAGTGTAAATGTTATAATTACTCAAAAACAAGTAATCAACTTAAAATATAGGGATTAGCACCGTCTATTCAGACCTTTCCACAGATCAGCTCTTAGATTTTATCGTTTTTTTTTTCGATGTTTTATGTTTATCGTGAAGATTTAGCGGACGAATAAACACTTGAAATTGAAAATCACAAGAAAATCACCGAATTTTCGAAATTGTTGCCAATTTTCACGAAATTCTGAAATTAGGGAAAGACTACGTCCTTTCGAAAGCTTTTTAGAGAACAATCTGAGTTTTTGGATTCAGATGTATCCAGCGGGTTGGTGGGACGAACTCACCGTTTCTTTTGTCTTTAAACGACGCTACGGGTGGTACATTCTTCAGGGGTCAGTTTTCCACCCCCATCAATCAATCAAATCGTTTATTTTGTTGTTTTATTCAGATATAATCCTCACGTTAAACATTTTATTCAATTCGGGTTTAAACCAACATTTCGAGGATGAGCTTCTTGATTCAAAAACTTTTTGAACGTTCAAAAAATAATGTTCACAATAAGAAGCCACGCCGCAGATCTGTCTGTGAGCGAAATAAACATTCATTCATTCAATTTCGGGAATCATAGTAAACACTTTAGTTTATTTCTGAACGCAGAATTCTCTACACAGAGTTTCAATACTTATTTTCGAGTTGAAAAAGTATTTTCAGATATATTCCAACGATGGTTACCATTGTTATTTCGTGGATTTCTTTCTATTTGGGACCAAGGTGGTTTTATAGACGAATTATCAATGTTTCCCTTCTCTTAGGGCGATTCCTGCTCGCACGATGTTAGGAGTCAATTCTCTCCTCGCGATGACGTTTCAGTTCGGCAATATAATCAGGTTGGTTTTCCTGAAGTCCGGTTTAATTCTAACTGTTTAGAAATCTTCCTCGAGTTTCATACGTGAAAGCGATAGATGTTTGGATGCTTAGGTCTGTAGAAAAATAGACTCATATGAAGAGATTTTTAGTGGGATGCTCTTCATTTTCTTGTCCCTCTTGGAGTTGGCCGTTGTGGGATTCATGTCGAGGAACGACGGGTTGCCGCCGAAAGTCAAGAAAAGACGACAAAAAACAGACGAAGAGGAGGAGTTTTCTTGGAAGTCCATGCAGACGAGTCCCCACCTCGAGCTGCGGCAGGTTTGTCTTTACAATCAAATTTTTTGCGATGACATCCATTTTTTTCAGTTTTGGGTCGACAAACGGGTCAACTCCTTACGAAACAGTACAGAGGTGAGATAGAGTATTGAAGTAATGAGAGCAAGATTTCTTTGAAGGTGTTAGAGAAAGAATCGCTGCCGACGCCCCTAGAGATGAGCGAGCCGTATCCGACGCTTCCAAAGCGGATTCCTCGTCGGACCATGTTCGCAGGGGTTCGAAAACGTCTTAAAGACCTCTCCGAAATACGTCCTGAGACCGTCGACTTTTACAGGTCCGTCATTTTGAACAAGATAGACAAAACTTAATTATTTTTTCACTAAACCCCTTGTGTTCTCTTCTTTTTTTTTAAATAAGAAACCCATTGCTGTTTGTCAAACTTTTTTTCTCAAGGAAGTCTGAAAAAAAACCGGCACCATCTTACACTATAAAACAAAGCGTCTAGTTGAAAAGTTAGCTTAACATTCAAATTTTCCCTATCCACTAAGAATAACTGACGAGATAAATGCGAGCTCGGTGGCGGTACATTGACTAACTCGCAAAAATGTCGCTTTTTTCTATTCGCGATATCGCATTTCTCTCGGCGCGACCTCGCATTTTTCTCGGCGCCATCTCGCATTTATCTTGCATTTCGGAAATTTTCAAATTGCGAGAGAAATGCGAGCTCGCGCCTAGAAAAATGCGAGCTCGCGCCCAAACAAATGCGAAACCGGCGCGAGAAAAAATGCGAGATGTTTGCGAGCTCGTCAATGTACCGCCAGTGTCTCGCGTTTATCTCGGCAGTTATTCTTAGTGTCAGTTCTATTTTCCTTGTCGATCTTTGTCGTTTTTTTAATATTATTCTGCCTACTTATGGTTTTCATACTAGCAAAGCAAATAGGAACATTTTTCAAACTTTTTTGCTTTCTAAAAATTTTAATCGAGCAAGGAATTATCCGAGAATGTAAAATTTATAAATTAACGCACTGCCATTTTAGGTTGGCTTAGAAAGCGACCAATCTTCATAATTTTTCTCTCGCAATTCGAGAAGTATTTCAAAATAAAAGACCTTGGCGCGATGATTTGAGCTCAGAAGATGATGTGAAAAATAGTGAAACAGAATAATAAAAAAACGAAAAAATTATATGAATACGAGAAGGAAAGGGAATACTGATCAATAGAGGAGATGGGATAGAAAGGATAAGGCCAAACCTGTGGTGGGAGGTAGAGCAAAAAATAACAAGTTTAATGAATTTAATTTAAATTTTCTCACTTATATCCTATTTTTCAGTTAAGTCTGCTATTTCATTCAGCTTCACTCAGTTTCAATTATTTCATTTTTAAGAGACTTTTTTGATTCCTTTCGGTTTTGCTTTTCAATGTCTGAGAGAGCACTCAATTCGACATAAAATTCTATTCGATAATTTTTGAGAAATCCGTCCCAAGAAAATCTTTTAACAACATTCGCTATCAAAGTAGTCTTCAAGAGACGGATTTTCATCTTTTTTGTTCCATTATTTGAAAAAATCTTCCTTTCTTTAAAATATTTTTGTTTTGAAATATATACCAAGTGCTTCTATTAGTGATTTTCTTTCCACAAACCTCCAACTGAACTGAAAAAAAAATGACTTGCACTTTTTATTCAGAAAAAAAAAATTGCAGCGCGATCTTCTTCCCGACGACGTATATGATGTTCAACATTTCGTACTGGGGCTACTACCTTTCCAGTCTTTCCGAAATGATCGAGGACCATCCGGCTCACGTCGAGCCGCCCGTCGACGCCTGACCTCCACGCTCAACCTCACACTTTTATCAGCCAACAAAGATCTTCTATCAAATTTTTTTTCAACAAAGCAAGACTGCAAAAAGTTATCATCTTTATACAGTTGGATTAGGACAATATACCCTTTTGCTTCTGAGAAACGATGAGGAAAATTCGAAAATTCGTCGCGCACCCAGCTTATCAATATCACGAAACTGTTATTTCTGCGCTTCAAAATTTGCAGTACGTATTTTTAATGGATCTAGGATCTCTCTGAAGTTGAAAATTAAGGAGCTTCAAAAAGCCTTCTTGAGAATTATCATCTTTTTTTGGGTGCGCTTCAGAATTTACGCGTAGCGAATTGAATAAAAACGATCAACATCATTTCTAACCGGTATGAAATTAATTAATTGACATGCTTATTAATTCAAAAAAAACATGAAAGAAGTAGAAAGTACACGAAAAGTAGTCAACAGTTACCCATGATATCACAGATTTTGTTTCTTGGCGACGATTAGATTGCACGAAATCTTTAAAGCTCTTCTTAAAAACCTAAAAAACAATTTCAAACTAAGAAAAAAACACATGTGTCCGTACGAAGTTATTGAAAAAGTGAGTTCGAAAAGGCTCCAAAGCAAACTGATTCGTCAATTCTCAACGATTCCCATAAAGTTAGTTTCTAAGAACGAGAAGACCAATCAGTTTGCTTGAGTCAGGCAGAAGTATCACAGGGAAGCCGTAAGTCTGGCAAATCACCGGAAAAACGGTGATATTATACGAAATCGAAAAAAAAACTATGGATTGAAATAAAATGTACCTATGCAAAAAATGACAGTGTGATAAGTAACGTGAGGCAGTTCTGGCGTTCTTTGTTCTCAGAATCTTTCGACGATCACGTCTGACTTTTCGACCTGTTAATTCGTGTTGAAGTCGGAAAGTTTGAAAGTAACTATTCTAGGAAACACCCGGAAGAATTAGCGTTTCGAATGAGCACGGCACTGCACACGACAAAACAAAAAACTACGTCGCAATTATTCCTAAAAAAATGAATCGACAAAAAGAAAGTCGAACATAATTACATACTTTTGAAAAAAATCAAAATCATCGCGCCTACAAACATACTTTTTGAGTCATTCACTTCAAAAAGCTAAATTTCAGATCATCCTAAAAGCTTTCCTTAAGTTTCCTTTCGTTTCAAAAGTCTGACCAACAGAATAAACAACAGAAAAACACACGACATGCAACGAAGGCAACTGCGTCAACGGAGGGAGCAACCACGCGACCTATACCTCGGTCTCCTTGCCGCGACTGCCGCTTTTCACGCTGATCCTCGTCCGGTAGGGGCCTTGAACAGGGCGGCCGTCGTGGTCGACGACGACTCCTTGCTGTGGACTCGGCTGCTGCTTCCGACCCGATTCAGACCTGCCAAACAACACCAGACTCACTTTGCTGCTTCACAACCACCAAAACTTTGATGTGATGTTGAAAAACTTGAGCCATACGACGTAAAGTAATCTTGACTAACGAAAATTTTTTCAATTTGAAACTTTTCATAGAAATTAAACCCTAGATTTTTTTTTTGAAAATGTATAAGATTTTGATACTATTCAGGATTTGAGCCTTACTTTACTTAGATTTCGCGTTCATAAAAAAATGAATCAAAACTTTCTTAATCATACAGCAAACTTGAGAAAAGTTAGAAATAGTATTAGCTTTAAACTTTCGCAGTAGCAATTTTGAAAAAAAAAGTATTTAAAAAACCGCTTTCCGCTTTTTTCTTCTGAAGATAACAAATTAGAAATTTGAACTGTATTTATTTTTCGTCTATTTTCCGAGTCTAAGCGGTAAAGATGGGAACAATTAGTGAGCATGCGAGATGCGTGTTAGACGAACCAATCATGCGAATTCACGTACATCTGATGGGCGGAGCCGACCCGGCGTGGCTCGACAGGCAACGTCATCACAGGAATGCCAGAAGAAGAAGGAACTTCCTGAACATTCTTATTCGACGCCAGCCTGAAGACAGTCTCACCGATCCCGTCGGCGACAGAAGAGACGGCGATTCTTGTATGGAGGACAGGGCGGGATGAACTTTCCTGGAGAAGTATGTTATTTTATTTACAAAGGAAGTCATTCTAGTTAAAACTTCCGAATTCTTCAAATTTTAGAAGGTAAAGCAAAGCGTATCTTTTCTAAAACAGGAAAAATAATTCGTTTTTATCGCTATGACGCTGTTTACACTTCATGATTCTTTTAATTTTCGACTCTTTAGTATAAAACCGAACATATAAAAACCTAAAAAAATAGAGAAAATTTAATGAAAACTTTACAAGAATAAATGTAGATTTTCCTCAAAAGTATCAAATTGAAAGGAATTTCGACCAACTGATTCCGAGTAAAATCTTCACTCAAAGTGGTCGCTCTCATTTCGAGACTACCACCTAGAGGACAGTCTCCGAGCTCCAGCTCCAACATCCGCTACATTCTAGCTCGTCAAGGCGCAATTAAATGGACTACGCGCAGAAGGATGAGGCGAATGACCGTAAGAACATGCTTTCAACTCTTTCGACTTCACGCTAGGACTTCTAGTTCGCCAAAGGTGGTTGTTCGTTATAGCTTTTAAAGGTTTTGTTGACCGCCTAGTCGTTTATATCTGACTAAAACAACAAAATAAATGATTTGCTGAACTGACCCAGGAGCGCTACGCCCACGGAGGTTGTCGACGTTCTTGAAGAGCTTTCCTTTGAGAATGAGTTCTCCGAATCCTTGCGAATGCGAGAAAGCGTAGCCAGAACGCAAAGAGCCGCGCATGCTCCGTCGAGTTGCCGCCGTTCTTTTGAACATCGGTCTGGAAAGATTTAGTTCAGAAACCAATCAGATAAAGATTGAAAATGACTTTTTCTCATCTTTGGCCGAGACCGTCTTGCCCATTTTTCCGCCTAACTCGGAGACGGTCCGCGAAAGATGGATGCGTGTCGAACCAGAAGAATCTGTTCAACATAACTGGCAAGAGCAGAACCACAGAAACCTGAAAAATGACCAATTTTCGACGTTTTTCCTTTTGAGCCATACCATCAGGATGGAAAACCAAAAATGCGGCGTGGCCATCGTTTTGAAGGCGACGCCGTAAGAAATGGAGGAGGAAGTCTTGGCAACAAAGCTCGCCGGAAGGGCTTCGTAGATCAGGAAAGCCAACAGGAAGTAGAAGATCAGACTGCCCCAAATGACAAAATGGCTGATCGCCGTCCAGTACGAAGTGTCGAATGCAATCTAAAGATGAAATTCTCGAAATTTTTCTTTGAGTTGCACAATAACCTGTCCGGTGACGACGACTATGAGCGCCGTGAAGGTGGTGTAGGCCAAGGAGGCGTAGTCGTCGAGGTCTTTGCCCGAAGCGCTGGCCGCGTCATAGAAGGCTCCGTAAGGTATGAAGAAGATGACGATAGAGCTGAAGAAGGCCGATTAGCCTATTTCTCTCTTTTCGTCAACCTGAACATTCCATGTAGGACGGAATAGATGAAAATTCGCATGTTGAAGAAAAGATTGAACTGTCCGGGCAGGTAGAGTTTTGGATACCTGAAAAGAATGACTTGATAAAGTTCTCGGCCGAACCGACCTCAAACTGTAGTTGTCGTCGACATCCTGGTCTAGTGCTCCCATTGCGAGAACCGGCAGAGCGGTGAAGAAAAGATTGTAACAGGCGATGAAAACAGCGTCGAAAACAGTCTGTAAATGATAATTAGAGAATGGAAAAAGAAAAACAGAATGCCGACCTGTGCTGAGTAGCCGCAGAAGAACGAATACCAGAAGTGGGTGAGCGTGAAGGCGAAGTTCTTGTAGAAAAAGTAGCGCAAGAACTTCGCCATCCTGATGTAGGACCATCGACCGTGCACCAGAAGTAGTCGTTCGAGGTAGCGGAACTGTCCCAAGGAGTAGTCTGAGGCCAGAACCGCCTGCATTCCTTCTTGTCCTGAAAATAATGAGCTTGAGGAGTCCCTGAACTCATCAAAAACCTGATATTCCAACCCCGATATGAGCAGTCTTGATCATGCTGACGTCGTTGGCTCCGTCGCCAATCGAGAGGGTGACTGCCTTTTTGTTTCTTTTTACCAAATCAACAACTTGGGCCTTCTGAAGAGGCGTCACACGACAGCAGATAACTGCCTGAAGAGGAAAATGATCTCCAAAACAACCATGAACCGACTGACCACGCACATGCAGGCCACCTCAAGAAATGTTCTCTCAAGTCTTGGTCCCAGAGCGAAAGCCAAAGAGTCTCCGTTTATCACGAGGGCGACGCCGCCTCCTGATGCACTCAAGTCCATTTGCTCGTTCTGATGGTCGTTGAACGCAATCGGCGTATCTTAATCTTCCATAAATCTCACTTTTTGAGTACTGACATACGGTCATAACTGGCTACAGTGTTCTCTGGATAATCGTCATGGATCGTTTCTATTTCGACCCGAGGCTTGCCGCTGGGCGTTGGCTGGAAAAAGATTGTTTTGCTTGGGGAAGGAATGTTGTCGGAATGAAGCACAAGCAAGCGATTCAAGACACAAAGGAAAGGAAACAAGACTCGAGGCATGCTTAAGAACGAAGGCAACGAGGAAAGCGTGGATGCGGGACCTCTCGCGCCTTTTTCTCCTTTTCCTCCAGAAGCGCGATGATTTCGTTGATGTAGGAGGAGACCTCGCTGTTTTGGCGACACGGCCGCGGTCGTGTCTGTGCCGGCAAAGAAAAGTGAATAGGAAAGTGAGGAGCTGTGCGACAGTAGAAAGCCTCGTGAAGCTGGAAACGCACCGATCTGAGGAGTCCCTCGAAGGTGTTGCGCGTGTCCTTGAGCTGCACCTCGACTTCCGGCTCCGTCTGACCGTCCACCACTACGATTTCCTTCATGTCATCTGTGAGTAGCCGGCAGGAATAAGCAATGTTGATGGCAGTTTCCTGAAAGTTCTTTTGATAGGACTCCCTTTATAAATTAAACGTGTTTCAAACCAATAAATCCTCATGTCACATCTTTTTAGATCTTTACCAAACTAACATTACTTCCATGGAAACTCAATTTTTGGATTTCGAAATAGAAGTCGCCTCACCACTTTTTTTTAAACGTTTTATTGGAAGTACTTCTCAAATTATCGAAGCAGGAAAAATGTCATTCGCCCTCAAACCCGGCAATTTAGTATCGATTCATCGTCGTTACGCAATCGAACTTTGTGAGAAGCTAACCGTTTTGTCGCCAGTCAACACCCAAATCTTGATGTTCGCTTCGGCTAGTCTCGCTATCGCTTCTGGAACGCCGTCCTGCAGTTTGTCTTCAATAGCGGTCGCTCCAATCAAAGTCATATCTGAGAAAAGAACATTTTATGGAAAGAACTTCAGAAAATTGCACCTTTTTCAATTTCTTCGTAAATGGCGTCTAACTTTTCCTCGCGTCGCTCCATTGCCACTGCTGCGTCTTGTTGTCGTTGCTGAATAATGCCTTGAGAAAAATGTTCCAACAGAAAATCTATTTCTTAAAGATATTAGGAAATATGCGAAGATTGAGGGAAGGAAATGGGATTTGGAAACACACAAGCCACTGATCGAAGTATTGAGGATCGATGTCTTTGTAGGCGAGACACAGGGTTCGGAGACCGATGTTGGCGTACTCGGAAAGATGCGTCGTGGTGGAATCTCGCAGCAGTGGAGAGGTCGACGACTTCAGTCTGCAAAGCCAAGTTTTCCAAGATAGAAAGGAAAAAAAAAACTACCTTTGCATGATCATCATGTCAGCGCCCTTACAATAGAGTCTGATTTTGCCTTCCGAGTTTTTCGTAACTACTGACATTCTTTTTCGTTCGTTGTTGAAGTCCAGAATACACAGAAGTTGATAAACCTTGAACAATATTGTTGAAATGAAATGTTTTTTCCAGAAAAAAAAACCTCTTCTTTGCCCATCACTTCGATAGTGATAGACTGGGGCGTTCGAGCTCGAAAGACGTAGCCGAAATTCCTGGCGGCCGAGGTGAGGGCGGCTTCGTCTGGAGACTGGGCCTGGTAGACGAGCTGGCCCTTGTCCCTCTCCGGCATGACTGTGTGACAGAGCGCCAGCAGACGCCAAAACTCGTCCACCTCGGGTTTTTTGGATCTTGTCGCGTTAAGCAGCTGGCTGTCGTAGAACTTGAAGTTCGACTCGCTGCTCGAGTTCCAAGAGAAGTCCAATGGCTCCGACCTCTGAAATCCAATCCGGAAAATGAGAAACACATTCCCTACTTCAAAAATGTTTTAGTGCAGTATTCTTGCTCAAAACTTGAAATTCAAAAGAATAAACCCTCATTTCTCGAAGCATATGCAAAGCTGAAAATATAGAAAAGTTTATGCCTTGTTCGAAGTAATTTCCGCGAAATTCAAAATTTGCATCAGAGAGGAAAAAAGTTAACTGAATTTGGAGAGTCAGAGATAAATTTCGCCTTTCGCGGAAATTTCTTTAAACACGGCGTCATGAAAAGTTGAAAAGTTTAAAAAATGTTTTCTAAAATTTTGTAATAGCGACATGGAGTGACGATCAACGAAGCAAATCGCTGAACGACTCCAAGCGCAACCTCATCGTCAACAAGCTAGAGAAGAAGGGTTATTGCAAGCCCAACTTGCCGAAGAACTACCCCCGCCTGACGCTCGACCAGACCACCGACGTTCTCAAGAAGCTCTTTGGACCGCTCAAATCCCTCTGCCAAGGCAGCCCCTTTGTCTCACTGCACCGATCCGTTCTTTGAACTCGCCAACGACGTGAAGAATTACTAAGCGGAAGCAGAAATGAAGAACGAGGACACCGCTCAGTGCAACGCCTTCGTCTCCGCTCTTTCAGAATCGTCTTTTTTTCGCCTTCAATCATCGTCTACGAAAAAATTAGTTTTTTTGATTTGGATAAAAAGGCTTTCTAGTCGCCGAGCTTCTCTTGAAGTCTTCGAAAGCTCACGTCTGTGACTTCTATCGGGTTGCCATGGGCGTCGTAGACATCGCCGTAAGAAATGCCGTTGATCGTGCACTGAAACTGAATCTTGTTTTTTCGATGTAGTTTCATGACGGACCTTGTTGAAAGTCATGATGTTCTGCGTGAGAGTTCCAGTTTTGTCGCTAAAGACGTACTGAACCTGTCCCAATTCTTCATTCAATGTCGTCGTGTGCGCTTTCGCGGCCACACTTTTCTCTCCGTGCTCGTAGAACATCTTCTGGTCGTAGTTTATCCACATTGAGTGGATAAATCTGATGATCTCCACACTGGGAAACGAACATTTTTATATTTTTGTGAGTGAGAATTCCTCACCTGACATATAATGATATAGGCACTACAGTATTGAGCAAGATGACGTAGGAAAAGAACATCAGGAAAGAAATCACGGCGATTTGTCGGGAGCCTTCAAAAAAAAATCATTTAGAAACATTTATGAACTTATCTCGTTATCTTTTTAGCCTATATAGAAAGAGTCAATGAATCAAGGAGAACTGTGACCTTGTTCTTCGGGACTGGGAACGATGTTGTCCCATGGCAAGTAGATGGTGAAGTATCGGCCGGTCGTCCATTCCCACACTCCGCAGAGAATTGTGCAGATGAGGCACATCGCCACCAGGAACAGAACAATCTAAAAATAAGGCTTTTCTTGTCGAAAACTGCAAGAGAGGCTACCCCCATGATGAGAATGTTGAGAAAACGATCCAAAGACGTCCGCTTGAACTTGGACTTGCCACTGTTCATCATCAGCTTTGTGTCCTTGCCAGCAAAAACCACCAGCCCGTAACACCTCAAACGTCTTTTTAGAAAAAAAAAACAAATTGTTATGAAGTTTACCATCGAGTGTTCTTCAAAATGCAGCCTCGGAGAAGAATGTTGTCGTTGGTGATGGGATATTCGCGGCGATTCCAGATGAGTTTTCCTTGGAACTTGTCCAACTTGTTGTTCGGAGGTTCACAGACAACTTCGCCTGCAAATTGCAATAACTACCGATACTCGGGAAGGATAGGTACCGTCGAATTTGGAGATGGCATCGAGGTCGTCTCCCATTTCGGCGGTGTCGGCCATGGCACCTCGCGTCTTCAGATTCGTCTCTCCGTCGAGTTCCATCGTCTCGATGTAGCAGATTCCATGTGGCTCCGAGGTCGACAGCAACAACAGATCCGCCTACAAACTTATGGTTTAAATTTTTTTTAACTGAGTTTTTTTGAATATCCCAAACAGAAGTTCAGAGAAAATAAGCAAACGATTTTCCGTACAAAATGAGGCCGAGAAAAACAAACCGCCACAAATTGATTGCTCATCATGCGGATGACGTCACCGACTTTGACGTGGCTCCAATCTTCGTCGTTAAGGTTTCCATCTCGGACCACAAACGACTTTCGCCCGTTTACACTCCGGTCAGAAATGTGGCGTTGCTTCAAAGGTCGTCATTCAGTTTCTTCGAGGTTTTGAAATAACTCACCACGTCATCATACCCGTCTTTGATGGCGCTGAAGGCTAAAACGATTACCAGCGGAATCGCCGTCGAATACCACGAGATTGAAGAAATTTGAGGCACAAACTGGAAAGGCAAACTAATTGGAGCGAGAGACGTTTTCCTTACCTGTAGACACATAAGAACTAGAAAATAAAAGTTAGCTATCCGCTGGAACTGTTCAAAAAGGTTCTGCGGCAAGAAAGTTATCAGGTTGTACTTGGAGGTCTTGATGTAGTTGTCCTGAAGTCGCGGAAACATCAAAGCGAGGGCAAATCGGGGCTTACCGCATATTTGAACCTGGCGTTGTAGTCGCGGTTGTTGGCGCGGAGACGACGTTCCACCGGCTGCCGAGGCGTGTCGTCGTCTTTGCTGGAGAAGCACGGAAGCCACCGCATGCCCGACCTTTTCTGATTCGCCTCTGGCTTCTCTTCGGCTGAAAAAGACGAGCGATCGTTTATTTTGGTTGATACTCTTTTGAACTAATACATGAGTTGAAAGAATCTGGTCTTTCTGCACGCTCTTTCCCTTACCGGAAAACTGAAAAGTAGCGCCGAAAAACGGGACTTGTCTTTCAGAGAAAAGAGGGAGCAGACACCAATTAAAAATGAATATTAATCATCCAACGGAGAGATATTCAATCAAATTGCAAAACTGTGTATGTTTCGAACGTCACCAGGGACAAAACAGATAAAAGCACAGTTTTGACCTTGTTTCTAACGCAAAAAGACGGTCTATCGTTTGATAAACTTTCCGTGATTACTACACTGACTTCTTTGATGAATCAACCGTGTGCAAATAAAATCTTCCTTTGAGTCAGGTGAATTTTTTTCTTCAGATTAAAATTGATGGTATGCAAATCTAGATGCGACTGAAAAAACGTCTGCAAAATGAACATTTTTTGAAATAAGTTTTCCAAGAAAAAACTTCCCCACATCACTTTTTTTCTTTTCAAATCTTGTTCCAGACTCACCAGACGGCTTAACCGGTGGTTCTTGTGCTGCGGGACTGGCCTCGAAGCCGTTTCTCGGCACCACCGAGGCTGCAACTGAACGTCTGTTGTAAAGTACGACTTGTGCAAGAAGCAACAATCACAAGTTAAAATGATAAGAAAGGAATCGATCAAAAAGAGAAAGAGAGAGAGTTACGTGGGCAATGTGTCATGGGAGTTTGAGTCACAGCTGAATGTTTCGAGAGTCTAGCGGATCGGTTAATTGGCTAATTGGTTTCTCTTCTTTCAACAATTTCAACCGGACGAAGGCAGCAGAAATTAGTGGGAAAAATCAAGAAGTAAAATTTTGGAAGTAAAGTAAAATTATTCATTTTTTCCTAATTATAGAAGCTCACAAAAAACAGCAATTCAAAGTTGGCTCAATAGATTAGGCTCATTTTCCAAACAATCGTCACTCTTTGTCGATCAGAAAAGCTAAAAGATCCGTCGCGAGTTTCGATAGAACTTTGAGAGCGAATGGACTGAAAATCGAGGGAAATTTGCATTTTCGCTCAGATTACCCCACTCATTGCGCCGTAACAGCGAGGTCGTGCCGCTTCATGGAATTCTGTTCGGATCGGCTCATCCTAGTCGTTTCAGAAGCAATTGAAAACCCAAAATCTTCAGCAAACAACCTTTGATTTATTTTCACCACCAAATTGAGAAATGTTTACAGAATAGAATAGATTGAAAAAAAAAACTTATGTTATCTTTTTTCTGAATTTTACTATGAATGAAAAATACATGTGTTGCTTGTTCATTATTAAATTGAATTGGCTTAGGAAAAACGCGCAAAAATGTGTTTATCTAACTGTTCAGCATGATTCGAAATAGTACTAATTCCCTTCAAAAACAAAAAAAAAGTTGCCTTGAAAGGAATTTGGAAGAGAAGCCCTAAATTGGCAAGTCGCGGCCTTATGTGGCGAAAAAAAAGAGAATGGATAGTAGTTGGCCGGATATCAAAAAAAAGAATTCATATATTTTCACAATCCCAATTGAATTTCAATAGGAAGCAATGGAGCTTTAACTGAAATGAAATATATACATAAAATACAGAAAACACAACTGACTTCAATGAGAATGATGTTATTTACAACCAAACCAACCTTTTGTTCTTTTCGTTCTTGTTTCTTTTCTTCCTCTGGCTTCAGTCTTGCGTCGGTTTTTCGATTTAATTTTTGAGGACTTGATAGTTTTTTTAGAGTTGGAAGAATCCGTTCTGCTTGATTTAGAACTCTTTTTTGGTTTCCTTTTTCGAGAACGCGAAGTTTTTGACTCCTTCGTTGTAGGCATGACCGTCCAAACTTGGAGAGCGAAAGATTAAGTTTGAAAGAAACTTTTCCCAAGAATGGAACTTTCGGAATTCTTCCATGCATGGTAAAAGACGAAAAATCCTTGGAAACAGCAATTAATGAGTATGGCTGCCTTGGAAACGCTAATCGTTCGCTTGCGTTTTGTTCTTTAAACAAGTTACATTTGAACAAAAGAAATAAAAAACAATTTTTTTAGTTATAGAAGTGAGAATTGTAATAGCAAAAATCAACAAACGCCTTGTTCTCAGGTGGTTGAAACTCGTTTGCCAGTAAAATGTATACTGTAGAAGTAGGAAGAAAGTACATGAACGATTGGAGCAGGAATCAAAGTTGGAATGAGAAAGTTTTGAAGGAAAAGAAAATCAAAAGAAAACAAAAAGAAGACGCCAGAGGACAGTCAGAGGAAAGTCGTGGGCTTCGCATCATGGCGGAATATTTGCGCTTGAGTCATCGGGACACGCCGAAAAAGGGTTAGATAAGACGTGGACGTCGTTTTGAAAAGGCAAATAAATCGTTTGCCACAACATTGGTGGCATTTCTTGTCTTTCGAACGGTTAGGACTGAAACTAGAGCAGAGGAGGAGGTAATCGTCCCGAAAAAGGCGCACAAACCAAAAGTTTGTCCATTAAAAACGCCCATAGACTGAGTGAATTCAGATAAATGTCGATAAAGAAGTGCAAATACAAGCTCTGGTTTGTGTCTCAGGTTTATTACAACAGTCGATTTTTTGAGAAGAAAAACCGTACCGTAGTGAAGAACGTACAAAGAAATCGTGATCGGCAGACACTGAGTTTTTGCCTCAATCATTGTATATGCAAGAACAAAAAATAAGTTTTTAGAGAAGAAGCTTCCCAGAGAGGAAGGCTGGAAGAACTCCGAGAGAAACGTGAAAAAACTGTGCGACGGAAAAAAACGGCCGAAGCGGAGAAGCGTTTTGAAAATATTCGCGAACAGAAACACAAACCCATGTCGGCGTCGCTGTTGTGTTGATTCAGTTGCGGACGCCCGCGGCTGTGCGGCGCATAGTCGACGGAATGGCAGTCTTTCCGCTATTTTCGGTACTGCTCCTGCAAAGTATCCTCATCATATCAGTATCGGATAGATGTTGAAGGAAAACGTGAACGAAAATGTATTAAAAAAATAGCCGCGTAATTTGGATAGATACCAGTTAGATATAGCATGAATTCCAACGATGGATTGAAACAATTCAGATGAAAAAAGATGTTAAAGACTTCTTACTCTGAACTGGAGCGCCTAAAAGCGCGCTCGAGTTTTTCTCTGCCGCATGCTTTTTCTTCACTCTCTGACTGCGAGATAACGACGAAATAGCATGCGGCAGAGAAACATTCGGGTTCTCTCTCCAGGTCAGAGCATTTACAAAATTCGTGAGACAAACTCGTCGAATCGCAGATTGAAGCAATTCTGGACCGAGACGCGCATATTTTCAAATAAATTATTACTATTTTTCCTCTCTAGACGGCGATTTCTTTTTCCATTTTCTTTCCGATCTACAGAATCCTTTCCTTCACTAACTTGTCGGCATGTAAAATATTTTTAATTTAGCCTGAAAGCTTCCGTTATATTAAAGGCGCATTCAAAGCGAGAGGACGCACATCTGAGACAAGGATTCTGTAGCTCGAAGGAAAAAAAAATCGGGACTTTTTGGCGCGGGATGGGCTATATCCAAAGAAGGCATCATAATGATATGTTCAGGGACTGGAATTTCCCTAATGAGATACTTTTTTTCTTGAAAAAGATTAATGAGAGATGGTTGATCAAAGATGCGGCTTTTAAATAGCTTTAAACCTTCAGATGTAAATCCTTTTAAATCAATTTTTTCATCCGTTTCCTGATAAATTACTCTGTAGACAAGAAAACTTATGTCAGGAAATACAAGAATCATGAAAACAATAATTATCACAGAAACGCCACATATAAAAAAAGAACCATGGTTACGTTTGAAAAAAACACGTTCCAGGATTATCGACTTTTGAGAAATGGCTACAGTACTTTAAGGTTTCTTTTCAAACAATTAAGTCAAATGCTGAGAAAATAAATATATAAGGCAGAAAATTTAAGCTCCGCAAATCACTAAAATTTGTATATGACCTAGGTAAAGCTGAAGAAGCGTAAAAAAATAATTTGAATTAAAACGAAATGCATAAAATTCACCGATTTTTTTCAACCGTGGGAACTAGGCAGAATTTCCGTACGTTCTAAACTTAGAAAACTCGGGAACAAACAAGCGAGCAAACAACTTTCTGTACATCTTGGAGTCGAAGGGTTCTGGTGAATGACGTGCTTTTTTGAGCGAGCACCAATTAGAAAGGAAAGAGTTTCGTGCTTTATAGCTAAACGGCTAGAGGTTAGATTTCAAAGTATTCCAGAAAACATAAGATTCTATGAAAATAAAAAATAAAACAGAGTAGGATTTCCAATCGAAAAGCACATGTCGAGTGGGAAGCTCTCGCTCGGCAGGCCCAAATTGCATGGCGTTCGAGCTCGCAATTTCCGAAAAAAATGAAGATGTACTATTTATTTTTCTGACTGACACGCTGCATATCATGTGCTTGGCAGATAGTGAAGGGGGGTTGAATGAGGGAGTAAAACTTTGAATCGACCGTTCCGTGTGAAGTCTTGATTCGAACTCTAAGTGGCTGCACTCGTTTCGAGGTTTCCAACTAGAGCACGGTCTTCGGGCTCCAGCTACAACATTCGCCACTTTCTGAGCGTCAGGACGCAAATATATGGACTAGAAGAGCGAGGCGAAGGATTGTAAAATTATCTTCCATCTATCAACTACACGTTTGGACTTCTAGCCAAAGACTGTTTTTCGATTCTGCTTGAAGAGTTTTGTTCACCGCCTAGTTATTCAAATAAAATACTAAAACAGCTAAAAGCAATAATTATTGAATGAATCTTCTTGGGAATAGTTATCCTATCGATCGTATCATTCAGAAAGCTGCTAAAGTAGAAAAGCTAGCTCATGAGTAAAGAATTTAAGCGAATTCAGATGTATACGAAGTAACAGTCTCACTCAAGAAAGTTCTCTTGTGGTTAATCTTTTTCAAAAATCGACGATAAATATATTCTTTTTCCCAAGACATTCTTTGATTAGGTTTTAAAAAAAAGTTTTCTATTGGCACCCGTAACTTCTCGCAGTCTCAAGTCGTTAATTTTATAGAGATTTGTTAGGTTAGAGAGAAAGAAAGAAGGTTCATCATCATCATCATTTTATCCTAATTATATCGTTGAAAAAATCATTTTTTTAATGTTATATCGACACCGCAGTATGAGAAGTCAAAAAAGAAAGAAAAGAGAGAATAAAACGGCAAATTGTTTCTGGCAAAGCCATTTGGACTTACGAAAAACTCCAAGAGAACAATTTTTGGGGATATGCCCATATATGGCAAACACAGCAAATACACACACCTACGAGCAATGAATGAGAACGAGACGAAAAAAAAGGTGGAAGCCCCGACGGAAAAAGGCTCAGGTGACCATGGGAATAGGAGCAGAGTTACTGGCGAAAGTGTCTGCGAAAAGTTCAAAAATTTGGGGAGCTCATTTTTCTGACGAAGCTAGCTGAAAGTTTCGAAAATTGACAAAAACTGGTATGAAAAGTTAGCTCATAAGTGGTGAACTAATTTACTTGAAACCACAAAAATTGACGCTTCTGAAAGCCAGCCAGCTGTGGTGAAGAAAAAAAAAATTTGATCCAACATCACTTTTCGAATAGAGTTCAAAAAAGAATATTCAAGGTTATACGCTCCTATGAACTTTTTGATGAAAAAAACAAAAGGGTTGGAGCATGTAAATTGAACAAAAAATGACGCTGCGTTTTGTTGCCAAAGAAACGAGAAGTTTGCCTCCAAGCTTTCGCGCGACACGACAAAAATGGCATTCTGCGCGCCTAATATGGAGAACTTGGTGACTTTATAAATATAACTTTTGGACTATGACTCAACTTTGCAATGAATTCTGAGTGCTGGTGCTGCAGGCGCGGGTCTTTGCGTAACAGATCATTCTGATAAATATGTGGCATTACTTCTACCGCTGCTCATTTCGTTTCTCTAAATCTCCATTTCAACTTTAAGTTTCATACAGACAAGCAAAGGAGGATTAAGTTTTTAACAGATATTACCTTTGTTGCTTTTGAGGAAACATATTCTGATAGAAGAAAATTCCTTATTTTTTTCAAAATGTTTGATTTTTTTCTTGTGTTCAAATGTAACTCCACAGCTGAAACAAATTAGGCACCGATAAAGAACGATACAAATTAAAAAAAATTTTTTTCGTTTTAACAATTGTATTTTCTTGGAAGCCAAAATCAGGAAACAACTGAGAAGTTAAAAAAAACCTCTATAGATTTCGCTCATGTTTTTGTAGGAAGTTAAATACTGAACGTTAAGGGATAACAATATTCAAGGAGATTTTTCTAGATAACTTGCAAAAAATGAGGTAATCGCGTAACATAAACTGTTAAATTTAAATATAGATCCAGCTGCCCAATCGCGCTGGATGGAAGCAACGCGAAAAAAAAACAACCTCAACTTCCGAACAAAAAATTTCTCAGTTGCCAGGGAAGTACGATGAACACAATTGTACAGATATGAGCGTGAGACAAGCGTGTCAAAAGCTCTGAAGACGGACCGAAAGGAGGCAAACATGACGCGACAAAACGGCGGAGAGCCTCAAAATTTTAGCACTTCTGAACCGATCGATTTCTTCGACGGATAGTACTGGCAGAGCACGTAAGGGGCCGCCGCCGAATGAACGCAAACTTTATTTAACTGTTGCCTCGCCGGTTTCCCGCAATGTCAATATGTCTCCAACCATCATTTTTGTTTAAGAGTTCTCACGAAAAGTTCCACAGCATGTCGAAATGGCAGCTCTTAAGATATAAGACACTGAAGAGGTCCCATAAGGCTCAAGCTTTTGAGATTTAAAGTTCGCTGTCACATAGCTACCAACGTAACTGGTAAGTGAATAACGAACATCGTCGCTTCCTTTATGTAAATACCTCAGCTTCTGAGCATCTCTACTGCTTTAAGAAGAACGGGATGAAATTAAACAATTTTTTTTCTTATATGATGATTTTTGTAAGTTACCAACGAGCCAACATATGTCTTACAAAGCTTTAATAGTAGATGGAAAATACATAGATCAAACTAAAAACTCACACTCAAAAATCTTCTCTGAAAGCTTCTTACAGATATGTTGGCAAAAAAACAAAAAAAGGTAACTATTTTTTTAACCTCAAATTATAATCTTGGTCGAATGATTTGATAGGCACTACAGGAAAAAAACAAACATAAAAAAATCTGAAAGCTAGGATTAACTTTATTTTTTTCAGAGATTTTTATATAATAAATGATCCAAGACGTCGTCTAATGAATCTATAGCGATACCGAGTTGTCTTCATGATCTGAAAAAAACGTAGAATACATTTATTGATTTATTTCATGAAAAGTTGTTCTTTTTACTACCATAGTGGGGAATTTCTTTGAGAATGATTATGTTCTCAAATAATTTTTTTAACACAAAGATAAAAGTTTTTTTTTTTCTATTAAAGCTTTGTCCTTGAAAGTTTTATTTTTCAAATATGTTTTTTTTTTAGAGAAAACATGGTCCTGTCAATACAATCAAGCTTCGCGGAGACTTATTGTTGATTCCTCCCTTCTGTTTCAAAACTTCAAACAACAAATTTATTACTGATTACCATATTTAAGAAGTTTTCCGTTCATTAGAAGAAAAAAAAACCCAAAAATAGTCTTTCGACTTTTGTACGTTAAGAATTTGATGATCAAATTTCCCAACGAAATAGATAATTCATGCATCAGATTGTTGATATAAAAAAGAAACGAAAACAACCGGGAATGAGAAGAAACAAGTTAACGCCGTTTGTTGTATTTGTTCTTCCCGCCGCGTTGAGAGCGATTATCCTTGTAAGTTCGGCCGGCAGCGAGAGCTTCTTCATTGATCTTCGAAGAGTCGTCTGAATCATCTGAATCCTCATCTTCGTCATCGTCGTCATCGTCTTCTTCTTCGCCTGAAGTTCTACATGTCTCGGAGAATTATGAAAAACGCCCACTTTCGTCCTCTTCACTCTCTTCGCTGTCATCATCTTCCTCAGAAGCCTCCTTCGCTTCATCTGCTCCAGCAGTGTCCACTGTAATATTTGCTTTTTAAATGATTACTCGTCGTTAATCACAATAGCGGGTGAGTTCTTCTATAATTTTCTTCATTATTTTTTCAACTTTTTCTTTCGAATAACATCATGAACGATTTGAGCTGTAAAACATAGGAAATTTTCGAAGCACCTTTGAATGTATGTGGGTAATACATTTAAAACATAAACAGAGAGATCACATTGATAACCACACGTTTCTCATAATCAAATATGATTAATTTCAACTTACGGAATTCGACTTCGCCTTCATCTTGCTCGTCGTTCTCGTTGAGCTTGGCGTTCTCAGGAATTAGACCTTCGTTTTTAAGCCTTCTAGCTTCATCAGGTGTGTATTTAAGGATAACATCTCCCTGAAATGACGATTGAAAAACAAAAAGACTCAGATCTACCTTATCGTCCTGATAATCTCGGAGTCCCACCAGGATGATGTCTCCGACGTTGATCCAGACCTTCTTGCGGAGCTTTACCGCGAATGTGGCAAACTCGTTGCTTACCATCAAAACAAAAAACTTGCACGCGTCCGTTCCCAAGCATTTTCGATACCTGACCATACTCTAAAAATGTATTGAATATCAAGTTGACGTTGAATTTATCAAAATAACGAACCTTGACCGATATCCTTGAAGTCGAGTTCCCGCTTCATGAAATCGTTCTCATTCTTTCCTCTTCTGCGATTTTTTCCTCCCTTTCCCTTATTTTTCGGCATTATCTGAAAAAAAATATCTATTACTTCATCAAAAGAAAGAATTCCGAAAAAAAAAAACGATTAAGCTTCTGAAAACAACATCGGACGATTCAGGCAGGAAATTTTAATAGTATCAGTTAGAGAAAAGCTGCAATGATATAAACAAATAGAAATTGATTTCGCAAGGCGTCCCAAATATCGAAAAAGAACACCGCGCACGATTTCGGGCGTAACCGCCATTGCAATTGGCGTGCACGCTTTTGTTCATTTGAATTCCGATTCCTGAGGTTGCTGCCCCGAGGCAGAACTGCGTTCAAGTCAGTTTCTGTTGTTGTTTTCATTGTTTTTCCGGACCAATATATACCTACTGTTTGTTTTGGACACAGCTGAAATCAGTCTTCGCCAGACTATCGGCTATTTTTCGTAGTTTCGTTGGTCTTTCTTCCAATATTCTACCGTTTTCAGTTTTCAAAAAATCTTTAATGAGGATCTGAGAAATAAATAGTCCCGTCTTCATATATCAGTGAGACGTGACCTCAAAACGCAGTTTTTACGGAGTAAAATTATAGGAAGGTTAATAGTAAGGGCAAAGTATTAAATCTCGTTTTTATTTTCATTGAACATCTATAATCCCAGAAAATGGAAGGCTCGATAAAGGAACTATTTTTAGCCTTTCTGTGGCATTTTTTCGAGTCTCTCCCTGTCAGCCGTCGTTATCCACAAATCTGATCTGCCCGAGTATGTAGACGACAGAAAAAAAAGTCTTCTCATGAAAGTCTTTTCCGTGCAACCCTGTTGTCTATATGCCTCATTTTTCACGAAATGAAACAATTCATGGCTTATCTCGACCTTTTTCTTCTCACCGTCGCGGTTATATTGAAAGGAAATTAGCAAGTTAACACGAAAGCGTGGCGGAGAGAAGAGAAAGGGCAGAAAAGTCAGTTGTTTGTTTCATCTCATGACTAATCAGGTATTTATCAAGGCGTACTTATTACCTTTAGGATATCATTGCATGTCCGAGGTGATCGATTCTGCCAAAACAAACGTGGCTTTTGAAGAATTAAGCTACACAGCAGATACTGGAAAAAATATCGAGGCAACTGAGCGTTCTAGTTTGCTAAAGTTTGCGTTTGACCATATCAATAGAGCCGCGATTTTTTTCTCCGAAAAGTACAACTTAGAGAAACAACAGGTTAATGATAACTTTTCATTTTTATTCAAAACAGTTTGGTAGAAACCGAATCCTTTGAATAGTTGAAAAAAAATTCCAAACTGTCATTGCTTCCTTTTTCAGGTGATTCTTGGTTTCTTCCTCACTTTTCTCGTTGTCGTTATTTTCTTCTCTTCGTTTGCTGCCTGGAAATATTATCAACCTATCATTCAAGATTTCGTAGCAAAGGAAGAACTTGAAAAAGCGAAAAAGAAAGTTTTAACCGATAAGGTTAAACATCGTACGTTAGCTTTATATTATAGTTTCGATAAAAGAAATAATTCAGGAAAAGAGGAATAATGGATAAGTTTATGAAGTTTCTCAAAGAGAAGAAGGTTGACAAAAATTTCAAAAAAGCGGGACATGGAGTTAAGCTGAGTGATGGAACTAACTCCACTGACGGTGCTCAGGTTTTTCAAGGTTCTTTTCAATTGAAATGAAAAAGTTCCAGAAAGACTCCAGTTCGAGCCGCCTCGCTGCTTCCGACGTGGCAGCTCAAGCTGCTTTGAATCGTTTATCCAAGAATGAACCTCAAATATCTAATAGCAAAAAGAAGATCCAAATGATAGTAAGAAATTTTTAATTTAATTTTTTTCTCATAAGATAGCTATGATAGGCTCAACGAGAGTTAGAAGAAGAGCGCCGCAAAACCAACGAGTCTGTCAGAAGCAAAGAGCGGTAATTAATTTGTTAATCACGTGTGAATAGTAATTTTTGATAGAACTGAAACCGATGTGCGGGAGTTTGATCATTCCAGCGCTATTTCTGGTGTCTGTTTCACTTGCGAATTATTAGGTGAAGATGTTTCGAAGCCTAAAGAAGAGGTTTTCGGGCTAAAATTTTTTCTCTTATATTTTTTCCTTCAGTTGATGAGAGATCTCGAAGAGTTTTTAACGGAACAAGCACTATCCAATGAGGACGATCGTGTAATTCCCGCTGTCCTTATGATTTATTCTCTGAACAAGTCAGCTCAAAAAGAGGTTGCTAATTTTCTAATTTTCATTCAGAAGTGCAATTTCAGATAGCAATCGAGACCTTATGTAAATATCTTCAAAACATTTTGGAACATCCAGGAGAAGAAAAATATCAGAGAATCAGAGTTTCGAACAAGGCTTTTCAGGTGATAAAAAAAAAAAATTAATAAAGTCTTCTAAAACTTTGATGATTTTAGGAACGTGTGGCTAATGTAAAAGGCGGTAGAACCTTCTTAGAAAGTGTAGGTTTCGACGAAAAAGTTGAAGGCGGGGAAAATTTCTTGATAATAACCGATCCAGACGACGGTGTTCTGATCGGAGCTCTTGAGGCCTTAAAAAATGGCCAATGTGTTCCTGTGAAAGTCTCCCGATGTCGGAAGGTTTTTCGTAAAATTAAATAATGGCGAACTATTTTTTGTATTGCAGGTTTTCTCGATAAAAGAAGGACAGAAGATTGTCAGTCCTAAAATTCCGCCCGATTTTTACAATTTGTCAGCCGAAGAATTGAAAAAAGAACAACAAATGAAAACGGAGCAAGTAGAAAGAGTAAGCCGTATGCACCAAGATAGAAAAGAAAATTTTTATCCAGATGTTGACTCTGAGAACAAAAGAAATGCGGCTGAAGGACGATCAATTGAGAAATTACAAGTACAAATACACGCTGATCCGTGTTCGAATTCCTGGAAATTTCTTGCTCCAGGTCCGTTCCACCTCGTGTGTTTCAAAAAAACGAAAAAAATTTAGAAAGATGCTACAATAGTTATTTTATAAATATTTCGAAGACCTTCCCTTGTGACTGCGAAAAATTTTGCGGTTGGAAGAAAAGTTTTGGTTGAAAAAAAAGGAAGATGAAACTTCTTTGAAGAAATAACGATTTTGAGACAAAAAAGATCGGTTTCTCTATGATGATGATTCAAAAAGGATGCTTTTCGCAGCTTTAAGAATGTGAAAGAAAAAAAAAGTGAAAAAGTAAATCTAATTAAATTAAAAGAGTATGTTTTTTCAGTTCCCAAAAAATGAAAATAAGTTTCATAGTGTTGCTACGCATAGGAAGTAGATGGGTAAGATCGAGCAGATACTATGCTTTTTCAACTTTTGTGGGATTCGAAATCAAAAAAACACTATTAATCAATTTCATATTTGGAGATGACGAGAAAAACGAGATTTCAGCAAAAGGAGATTTAAAAAATAGTTCGCTTTTGTATCCTCTCAAGCTTCACAATCAGTGAAAAAAGTGTTTGAAGCATGATTGAATTTTTTTTTGCTTTTAAAAATAAAACAGTAAAAAAAATGAGTTTGCAGGGTGTATTCGGCTGTCATGAGCCGGTTTGTGCTGTTCGGCTATTCGTGGCAAATGTTCTCTCGGAAGAAGCTTCCTGCTGCGAATTCACTCTCCGAGATGCAGCTGGAAGCGCTCTCGACGACGACTCGGCCAGCATCGCTGACTACGGCCTCGCTCCCGCGGCTGTTCTTCATTTTGATATCGCTCCCATTGCTCATGATATTTTGAGAGATGACATCCGCGATTCTGCTGAACCCTTTTCCTCCTAATTTTTAGTGGACCATGTAATTAAAAAAAAACTTTACGGTGTTTTGTATCAAATTAAGTGTTGCTTTCTTACTCCAGCTACGGTGATTTTTAAATGACTTTAAACCGGCTCATTGTGATAAATATTCTAGCCTATTTTGTGAAATGTTGGAGAAATGTCAATCTTGCATGAATTTCTATTTATGTCACAGAAAAAGGGTGCCTTCTATTCTATTACTGAAACTTCTTTGTGGTGCATCTCAGTCTTATTTTTTTGATATTAATTGAAAAAAATAGAGATAACGATCAAAATCTCCAATCAAAAAAAGAAATTTTTATTATATAGCTCCTTAAAAAAATTGTATCTTTTTGATTGGCTCCTTAAAAAAAATTTATTTATTATGTTCGTTCCTGCAGCTTCAATTTTGAAAAGATCTTTTCATGAAAACAATTTATTGTTTAGATGGTTTTGGAGAAAGAATCGAGCAGTTCCACGATGTCGAAAACAATTAGTGGCATCACTGGTCGGCCGAATATTCAGCCTATTGCCCAGTCATCGTTGCTATCAAGGTGTTAACAAAGCTGTATTTATTTTCAAGTTTTCGATCAGATTACAAACATTCTTGCCGAAAATGGAAGAAGCTAACAAAAGTTTGACGACAGTGGACGCTGCGGACTGTGGGGTCGAAATAGTAGACAGTGCAGAAGATCAGGCTGAGAGCTCATCGAGTTCTTCTAGGGAAAGCGCTTCGGATGAAGAGAAAGAAATTGAGCCATCTGTAAAAAAGGTATCATTACCACCAATTTTTATTCGTATAATGAGAAAAAAATACAGAAGCTTTGAATTGTTAATGTGGAAAAATATCTTCTTCTATTAAAACTGAATCGAACGTTTACTGAGCTCTGTTTAGACGAGAGTTTACTCTGGGTTTCTTGGGTTCATGTTTTTTTTTCTCAACGTTCTCTGAAGTAAGGTTTAACAGGGCGATCGCGTGGAGATGGACCTGGACATTTTTCGAGAAGAAGGTACGGCTGTAGATGAACGCGACGTTGCTGTGCAGCCTGTAACCAGTTTGCCGGAAGCTTTCAACCGAGGTCAACCTCCAAAAGAAAATCAAAAGAAAATACTCATCGAAGAAATACAATAGTTGTCAGCATATCCAATAAAATTGTTACAGCTTTGGCGAGGTTCTGTCATTATTGAGTTCGGATTTCCGTCGATATTGTCCACCTCTTTGCACTTTTTCTATGTATTTTTTTTAAATTGAAAATTGTACATTTTAAAATATGCTGGGGTTTTAAAGACGCAATTGAACAATATACGATCACTACATGTTTCGTGCCACGATTTTCGCCAGGCTTTTTTCTGCGCCTTTAAACATCCCAGTTATCTGTATCAAAAAGGCTATTCTTCCGAGTTATTTTCCTGAACAGCTTTAGAATGAACTTTAGATGGAGTCTCCAGTAACAACAGCTGCAGAATACGACGTGAAAGCGTTAGAAAGTCTGAAGGACCTTTATGGCGATTTGGCTCAGATTCCTATTCCGACCCAAGGAAGGATCGGCAAGAAAAAGTCCGAAAAGTGTATTGAGGTTTTTCGTTATCTGGAGTATTGTAAAGAAGCAAATTAAGTCATAGTTTGGAGTGTCTACAATGTCTGAAAGCATATGTAGTTCTGGTAGCTCAGGAAGGTGGTTTTCAAACTGCGTTCTCAGGTGACGACGGTTTGGGACAACCGAGCGCTGGCGCTGAACAAGTCGACGCGGACCCAACGTGTCAGTTTGATCTGCACCAGCTCCTCGGAGATCGTTGACCGCTCCGTCATCTCTTCAACTTCGGTCCCTCTCTGCAACTTCGAGTTTGCTTTTTTTTTTCTTTCTCCTTTCATTCACCTTGCGTTTGAGGTCACAAGCCGTAGCCTACTCTGCCAGCAACACTCGTTGTGCTCAACTCATCACCATCCCCGACGGAAACGATAAGAAGCAATATCTCAAGGTTAGATGGGAACAGATCCGTCGCTTAACAAGGTTCAATGCGGATTCTTCTGCCAATCCTTAGTGAATGAGATGGAAGAGTTTACCGATAGAAATATTCGATAAATTTCCACAGGCAACTCAAGTTTGAGCTTCTGAATTTATCAGGGCGTTCAGTTATTTAAAGTTCGCAAAATTAATTTAACATTTATCAATTTTAGTTTTAGAGATGAACCTACATAACAAGATCGATAAAGCAATCAAGAAACATCGGAGTGTTCGAAAAGCATTGAGAAAATCCAAAGTTTGCTCAATCGCTTTGACCCAACTCCAGCGGGTTGATGGAACGATCGCCGCTTCAAAAGAAGATGTTGCAAATACGGTCCAAAAATTCTACAACTCTTTGTATGCTGCACAACAAAGCTCTCCGGCAATCATCGCGCCATCCCAAGATGACCTTCCGTCTATTTTGCCGAGCGAGATTCGTACTGCTTTGCGCAAAGCAAAACGAGGGAAAGCCCCTGGACCTGACTTCATAACGCTGGAGATGCTCCTAGCTGCCGAAGAAAATGCAGTCCCGATTCTTGCGAGTATCTACAACGAATGTCTCAAAAACGAGAGAACTCCGACTTCGATGTCAGACTCAATAGTCCGCCTACTTCACAAGAAAGGGAGCTGCCTTGACATCGGAAACTACCGACCTGTAGCCTTGATGTCGACTATCCACAAAATCTTTACCCCCATCCTAAGAAGACGGGCAGAACGGTCTCTGGAAGAAGCACAACCTATCGAACAAACGGGATTCCGACCTGGATACTCGACCTCAGAAAACACACTGGTCGTCTCCGAAATGATCCAGAAGTCACACGAATATCGCTTCCCATTATTTTTGATGTTAATCGATTATAAGAAGGCGTTCGATAGCGTGGAATTCGGATCCCTTTGGACGGCTCTAAGCGAATTTGGCGTTCATTCGAAAATAGTTAACACGCTCAAGAACATCTACGGCGAAGCGAAAGTGTCTGTCCGAATCCGCGGGCACGACGTCCCAGTACAAATTGGAAGAGGCATGCGGCAAGGCGACACTATTTCGCCCAACCTTTTCAACGCTACTCTTGAGCATGTATTTCGAAGACTCGACTGGAGTGAACATGGGATCTCCGTTAACGGGACGCCTCTCACACACCTACGGTTTGCTGACGACATCGTTTTGTTCGCTTCAAGTTCGAAGAAATTAGAAGAAATGGCAAACCAACTAGCCACTGAGAGCAAGAAATCTGGCTTGATCATCAATTTCTCGAAAACGTATATTATGTCAAACCGAGCGAAGAGAAGAGTGGAAGTAGACGGAAAAGAAGTATCATATGTTGACCAGTTCACATGTCTCGGAACGCATCTTCATTTCGCGGAAGGTTTCAAAACGGAACTACTCCGCAGAATCCAATCTGCATGGGCAGTTTTTCCACAAGTTTTTCTATATATCTGACGAAGAAAAACAACACCTCTCAAGAACAAAGTCAAAATATATCAAGCTTGTATAGAACCTGCGCTCTTATACGGATCAGAAGTCTGGACCCTCAAGAAAACAGAGATGAACATGTTAGCCACAGCGCAGAGGAAGATGATGAGAAGAATGCTTGGTGTGACTTTAATGGATAGAAGATCAAACAGTTGGATCCACGAAAGGTTGAAGATGCGTGATGCTCGAATGGTTGCAACAAGAAGAAAATGGTTCTTCGCAAAGAAAATCGTGACGGGAGAAGAAACGTGGGCAAAGAAGATCGTAGAATGGCGGCCCTGGGAGAAGAAAAGTGTTGGACGACCACGAGTACGTTGGCGAGATGACTTCCGAAGCGTTCTTGGGGAGAATTGGTCGACTGTTGCGCGCAACAACAAGGAGCTCTTCAAATCTACCATGATTCAGCAGAGCCTTTTTGATTTCTCTGATGTCTGAATAAATTGATTGATTGAAATTGACTTTTAGTTTTTTTCATGACTTCTTCCAAAAACTTTTCTGACGTCTCAGGATAATAGTAAAGAATATTTCACAAGAAAGGTCATTTTTCTTTTAAGTTGTATGTTTTGTGAAACTATGCTGCTGGCTGAACTTCCTAGACGTCCTTTCTTTAAAAGCAGGTATTTTTTGCAAGTTGGGTCTTCTAGTTTCCTCATGTGGTGATCAAAGATTTTTCTGGCCAATTTTCAAGTAGCTTCCAACCTGGAAGGAAAATAACTTCCGTTGTGAGTAACATACATTTTTTCAGGTTTTCAATCTTGACGATCATATCGAGGAGCTCTGCGCAGACCTCTCTACCCAGAAGAAACACGGCATCATCCACGGCTCAGGCGCTGGTTCTTGATTCCGGTCGGAGCTTGCATTTCAAAACGTTTCAGCTCCCTTCGGAACTCTGCGTTTTTCTCATGGAGAGGGACACGTTTTGTACGTGGCTGAACGCATGAACAAGTGTTCTCAGTACTTCGACGCCGATTTAGAGTGGGCCAACGACACTAAAGTCTTCGAAAGTAAAGTGGTAACTGTTTTGCAAACAGAAACGCCTCACTACTTCTTCTCTTCAGGGGAAGAAGTACGAGCTCCGAGATTCTTGGGGAGAACAAAACCAAGAAGTCGTCCGGCCGATGATCTGTATCGTCGATGTTTCCAGCGGCACCGTCATGGCGCTCGACCAAATCCCAGCCAACATTTCACCCTCCTACGTAATACAAGATTTTCACCTAATGAATGAGATTATCATTTCACAGGCGATCTGGGCTCCCGAAGATAAGGGAATAGTTTTCTTTGGTTTGACATCGGATGAGACTCCGAGACTCGGAAAGATCTACTGTAACAATAGAAAGTAGGTTTTTTTTTTAATCTCACAGACTTTTTTTCAGTTAAGCTCAAAAACGGTAATTTATGGATCTTCGCTTTTCCAAATTCATTTTTGAATAGTTTAGAAGTTGTTGTTGTAAGATGTTTGAAAAAATGTGTAAAACCGCCATATTTTTTCGATAATTTCAGAGGGGCTCTCTATTATTACGATCTGGAATCCGCTCAGCTCTCGCTGATCGGCACCAGCGAAACCGCCGTCGAATCTCCGAGTTTCTCCCCCGACGGCAAAACTTTGATCTTTTTCCAGCGTAAACCCGACGCTCCACACAACGCGACTCTTGATATGATGGCGGTTTGCATGTGATAAAGAAGAGTTATTGAACGATCGCCATAGATTGGATGGCCCTTCGAGAATGAAGAACCACGAGTCGTCGTGCCAATCATCAAACCGTACGGGAAGCAAGGAGAATTCCAAGGTCTCAACTCCGTTCAGGTGAGAGAAGTCACTCTATATCGCATAATTCGCCTTTTTCAAGCTAGTGAACTATGAAAAAGCCTTTCGTGGAGACTTTGTTTCATTATAGAATAACGAATAAGTTTATTGATGAAAAATATATTCCTCATTCGTGTGTAAGAAACGGCGCCAAATTTTTTTTTCAATGAAACAGACAGTTTGAAATATTTTTATTCTAAAAGGCTTATTTCCAATTTACCAACCAAATATATCCAAGGAGTTTGAGGCATGTCCTCCAGCCAGATTTAAGGATATTTTGCCCTCTTTTTTGCTTAGTTCAGTTTAGTGAACTTTTCCAAGAAGAGTGAGGCCGAAAACCTAGGAAAAGAGAAGCTTAGTTTTGAAGTTCAAAAGAAATAGGAATATTCCTGAAAAAAAAAGTTTCTAGCTAGAATCATCTCATTTTTAGTTGGCTCAAAGAAGTTGGTCCGCGGACTCTGAACGCGTCATTCTTTCCATCGGGTGGAGAAGCAAGCTGGTTTTTCATCTCATTCAACCAAAAACTTCGCAATATTTTCAGGAGTTGGTGGCTGTGAACGTTGCCACTGGCGACATCGAAAAGCTGACCAATCATGGTGATAGAATATTCGATTTCTCTGTAACTTCATTCTGCAGTTCAATGCCACGGTTCTTGGCAGCTTCTAGACGTTTTTGAAGACGAGGTTCTCGCGATCGTCTCCGCGCCAAACCGACCTCCGAACGTGCTTTTGGGTCGGCTTCCTGCTGAAAACGCGGCTGACTCTGTCTGTCTTTTGCCCTTTTTTGGAAACATTTTGCGATTTCAGCTTGTATGGACAAGAATCGACGACGCTAGCGCCATCAACAAACGACAACATTTGATCAATTATTCTTGGAGTTTTGTTGGGTTGAATAGAGGTGAAATTACTCTAGGGGGCACAGTTTTATCTTTGTCCTCACCGCTCAGATGGCTTCGAATACGAAGCGATCTTGGTGACGCCCAACGAGGGCAACGACCTTCCTCTTGTGGTTCTTCCTCACGGCGGACCTCATGGAGCATCGATCGCTTGGTTCGTTCAGCTTCAACATTTTGACTCTTTTGAAATAGAAGAAATAACACGGAGTGATTTGGCTATTAAAAATTGACGACTCGAAATTTTCCCATTGTCAGAGTTTTCCGATTGCATTAAATGCATTAATTGCAAAAGTTGGTTTTTTTTTTAAGAATCTGATCCTGAGGCGCAATAATTTGATGAACTGCAGTAGGGTAACCGAGAGAACCAAAAAGAAGGAAATGGTAGAAAAATGGTAAGAAAAGGAGATTTATGACCAGGGGTGGGAGGAAGAAGTGCGATATATAAGATTAGGAATGATTTTATGAAAAAAATTTTCCTTGAATAATATGATCTAGAGAAAAAAGATTTTTTTCAGCTGGCCACGGCGCGATATGACAACGCTACTGAACTCGGGATTTGCAGTGTTGCAGGTGAATTACCGCGGATCCATGGGATTCGGCGACGATTTTGTCCGATCGCTTCCAGGGAACGTCGGGGACTCGGATGTGAAAGATGTCCATGTGAGGTCGAGAAGAGCCTCCAGAAACCGTTTAGAGTTTTCCAGCACGCCGTCGAAACTGTCCTGGAGAGCGAGAAACGGCTCAACAAAGACAAAGTTGTTCTTTTCGGCGGATCTCATGGCGGCTTCCTCGTTTCCCATCTTGTCGGACAATACCCAGTCAGTTACCCCCATGATGAAAGAAGCTGAGTGATTCCCAGGGGTTCTACAAATCGTGTGCGGCTTTGAACCCTGTTGTCAACATTCTGTCCATGTTCGACATTACGGATATTCCCGAATGGCACGTGCTACTCCAAAGGCTCCCATTGAGAACAAGTGTGTTTGAGGTGCTTCGCTGAAGGGTTTGGAGCCTATCCGGATTGGCAGAAAGGTCTCACATCGGAACAGCGAGAGAAACTCTACGATTCTTCGCCGATTGCTCATGTTAACCAGGTGTGATCATTTCGAAAATTTTTCCTATTTCATATATTCATAAATAGGGTGAAGAGAGATGATGATGCACATATCATATAAAGACAGCTCTTTTTCCAGGGAACGAAAAAGCTAAAAATAAATTCAGTCTTCCACCGGTAGATTGAAGACATTCACAAAAAGTTTTTTTTGAAGAAATATCTAAAAAATAGATTCTGCATACATAGTGATTTAAAGGTTTCCACGCCGTACCTGCTTCTCATTGGAGAAAAAGACCTTCGCGTCGTCCCACATTATCGTGGCTTTTATACGAAATTTGAAGGCTCGCGGAGTGCCTTGCAAGTGAGTTCCTTCCTATTTTCATCGATAATTTCATTTTTTTGAAGAGTTCTTTCCTATCCTCCTTCAAACCACCCTCTGGACGAAATTCAAGTTGAAGCCGATTACACAATCAACTTGGTCAGATGGTTCGAAAAATCCCTCTCCTAACTCATACATAACTGAACTATTTATATATCCTTTCATAATCTTACCTTCACCATTGTAGAAATAAATATTTGATCCACATTATCAGTTTTTTTTTGCCAAAAAAACGCTAGCTGTATGAATTTCCTTTTTTATTTTATTTTATTTCTTTTTCTTAGTTTTTTTTTTAAATAATCTAAAAAGTAACTATCTATTACCTTTTTTCGATTATTATTTCCTTTGATATAGACAATCTTCCATGAGTGTTTTAAAATGCAGACATCTGCAAATGCGCTCCAACGGACAAATGCATTGGCAATTGTCCAAGAGGCATCTGTTCATTAATACTTCATTTATAATTGGTTTAATTTAATATATTGACAAGTGGTTGAAAAGAATATTTTCTAACTATGGCGCTGGTGGCGTCCAGCGACAGCACCGGCCTCAATCCGATGTCGTTCAACGACCAACAAAGCAACTTGAGTGCGTTCTTTATTTGTTTTATTTTTTTCATCAAATTACAGTGGCTAATAAATTTTTTCCATTTAGTGATGGAACGTCTTCGTTATCAAAGAGAAACTGGGCGGTTTTGTGATGTCGCAGTCATTGTGAAGGATCGCCAGTTCCCGGCGCATCGCAACATTTTGGCGTCTTGCAGTCCTTATTTCGACTCGATCTTCAAAGCTGCGAAGATAACTAAAGAGCAGGTTTTTGACACGGAAAAGAGGCAGACCAAATTTCCATTTAGGTAACCGTGAACTGTTCGAGTCCCGAAGCTTTCGACGCTCTTCTCAATTACATGTACAGCGGAGCAGTCGTTATCGACCGCGCCACTGTTTCTGAACTCCTTCGTTTGGCGAACAACTTTCTGGTGAATTCTTTCTCATTGATGCTTTTTTGAAGGCGGAAAGTTCAGGTAACAAGATTGAAGAGCTATTGTTCCGAATACCTGGACAGGTATTTGGACGCCGCCAACTGCCTTTCGGTCCGGCTTCTTGCGTCTAAATACAACCTGCCAAATCTTCTGAAGGTTTGGCATTGAGAGAAGTTGAGATTAACCTTGTCTGCAGTCGGCCAGCGACTACTTTGAAGTCAACATCAACCGATGTCTTCTCGAGTCCATAGACATTCTTCAGTACTCTCCGCAACAGTTGCTCGAAATCATCAGCGACCCAAAGTACTGTGACGTCATCACGCCAGATACACATCTCAAGTGAGCTTTTCCCTCTGCGTTTTGCTGATTCTTCATCCAAAAACTGGTAAAAAAACAATAAAACTCTTCTTTTTTTAAGGCTGATATCTCGATGGGCGGGCGAAGACGTGCACAGACGGGAGATGGCGTTCCGTCAGTTGTTGGAAGGTTGCCAAGTGGCTGACGTCAATGAAGACACGCTTGATTTTCTTCTCGACTATTCTCCGCTTTTCTCCAAAAGCCAGTCTAGCCGATTTCTTCTTTTAAGCACTATGTTCGTGTTTTTTTTTTCAATAAGTATCACGTATGATCATAATTAGAAGAGATTAAAGAAAAAAAATTTTTTTTTTAAGTTTGCAAACCAAAAGGATCCGTATAATCGTTGAGTAACTGATATTGACCTGTTTTCTGTTCCGGACCAAGGATAAATTATTTTATGAGAATAAAATATTGTTTAAAAACGTAACCGAAATCGGTCTTCATCATAGCTTGGTTCAGGAGCGACTTGGGGCTTCTGAAGGAAAAGTACGAAGCTCAGTGCGCCAACTTGAGACAACAAATCGGGCAACTTCCGCCGATCGAATCCTCCGCTTTTTACGACGACGAATTATCTAGGCACGTATTTTTCTGTACAAGAGACCGTTAAACCTCGTGACTGGTGAAAGGAAGATATCAGAACTGATGAATTTTAAGCGAGGGGATGGAGGACGAGGACTTCGAGGAGCCGCCGGTCGAAGGCCATCAGACAACTTCTCAAGTGGTTTGTGTCAACTCGTTTTTCGTATTCACGGTGGTTCTTTTTTAGCTGGAGTCAGGCACCTTGGAAAACGGCGAACGACCCAAGATCAAGCTGCGGATAAACCTCGCAGCAGCCGCTGCAGGTGGAGTGGATCTCAAAAAAAGGTTTTGCTGCTCCAGTTATTTCCAGAAACAGTATTCTTTCAGGTTTAAACCGTCTAAACTTCTTTTGACCGGACATAAAAGGAGAGGTCGGCCACCAACAAGGACACACGAAAACGAAAGTGGGCTTTTTTCTAACCATAGTTTCAAGCGAACATTCCATTACTTGTTAATTAACATTAGACATGAGGCTCAATATTCGAATTTGCACTGTTAATTTAAAAGCGTTATTGCTATTTTAACGGTTTTATACCAAAATAGTTCGTCTGGAAACTTTCACCGAAGTGAAAAAGAAAAATCTGTTCTCACCAAGTTCCCTTTGCCCCCAACTATCGTCGTTATTTTCCTCATTCAAATAATAAAATTTAGTTTCACTTTGCTTTCAAACTTAACACACGTTCTCTGAGAAAATCGATGACTTTTTCAGTAATAAAAAAAGCAAAACAAAATAAAAATTTATCTTTGATTTGCCTCAAAATGTGGTCACGGCTCACACACGTTCTTCTGATTATTTAGCACCAGGTTCCAGGTGGCTCCGCCCCTTTTAAAAGATACTGTAGACAGTAAGCTGAAAAAAATTAATTTTTTTCCTGTTGAGAATTTTCATTCAAAAACGTTTGGAAATGTCAGAAAACACTATTTTGAGTATTTTTTCAGTTGCAACTTTTTTTCTAACTCGTCTTCTTCGAGGAGAAAAAAAATCGAAATTTCCTTAAAAACAGCGATTTTTTCAGTTTTTGAGCCATAACTAGAGTAAGAACCCCCCTATGGTACGACTTTTATTTCTGATTATGAAACTAGGGGTCTTCTTCTTCAAGAAAAAGTAGTTCTACAACAAATCCCTGGGGTGGGATAGTTGACCTCCATTCGACCGAAGGTGATCAACTCGATTCGGCTCAAAATTCAAAAAATCATTTTTCTCCTAATTTGACGGCTTCTTTCTCTTTTTTGTTTTGAAACAAAAGATAACACTCACGTTCATGTTCTCCACCATTTTGGTGCTCAAAGAAAATTTTATTCCGAATTTCTCGAGACTTTTCGAGTTTTCGGATTTTCGTCGATTTTCGATTTTTTCCGTTTTCAGGTAGTTTTTTCTGTAGGAAACCCCGAATGTGGTCATTATCTTTTGGTAGATGGAAGAGTAGGTCTTTCTTGATAAGGAAAAATTAGTCCGGTAGAAATCTCTGGGGTGGCCCAGTTGACCTCCGACCGCCTGAAGGTGACGACCCCCAAAAATGGGATTTTCATAAAGGCTCGGAAAACAACTTTTTTCGTTTCCATTCTAACAAAAAATTTTTTCAGTGAGACCTACATCACTTTTCAACATGAATCGGAGTCTTTTCGGCAAGAAATATGTAGTTTTATTCAAATTTGAGGCTTGGCACGCTTATATTCGTTTTCACCGTTCTTACCTGCACTAAGTTGCTGAAGTAACCTGGAAAACCGTTTATAATGATTTTTGGGAAACCCAGCAAATGTTTGAACTTTTTTGAGCACCTAAATGAAATCGGGGTTAAGAAAATTAAGAAATGGCGAAAAAAGCTTTTTTATCAACTTTTTCGAGAAATAAAAACACCTTATGACATTCAATAATGTCGATGATTCTCAAAAATTATTTTTTCGCCAAAATACAGTAACTGACAGTTTTATACTTTTTCAATCGACTCTATCCATACACTTTTTCCCTGAAATTGAGGTTTCTGAAGCTTTTAGAAGTTCTTGTAATACAATTCTGGCTTTTTTTGTGTTGCAACGTTTATACAGACACTGTTTCATGTTTTTCCTTCATTTACAGAACAACTCAAGTGAAAAAAGGTTTTGAAAAAATGCATTTTTTGACCTGAGAAGCGTTTTAATGCATCCTCCAGATTATAGTCAGGTTTATTAAGTCTCTCTTTTTTCTTTCTAGTAAGTTTCATCAATAGTTGTTTTTTAAAGAGTAATTGACATTATTGATTGTCATAAGGTGTTTTTATTTTTCGAAAAAGTTGATTAAACAGCTTTTTTCGCCATTTCTTAACCCCGATTTTATTTGCTTAGGTGTTCAAAAAAATTCAAAGATTTGCTGGGTTTCCCTAAAATATTTTTAAACGGGTTTCCAGGTTACTTCAGCAATTTAGAGCAGGTAAGAGCGGTGAAAACGAAGATAAGCGTGCCAAGCCTCAAATTTGAATAAAACTACATATTTCTTGCCGAAAAGACTCCGATTCATGTTGAAAAGTGATGTAGGTCTCACTGAAAACATTTTTTGTTAGAATGGAAACGAAAAAAGTTGTTTTCCGAGCCTTTATGAAAATTCCATTTTTGGGGTCGTCACCTTCAGGCGGTCGGAGGTCAACTGGGCCACCCCAGAGATTTCTACCGGACTAATTTTTCCTTATCCAGAAAGACCTACTCGTCCATATACCAAAAGATAATGACCACATTCGGGGGTTCCTACAGAAAAAAACTACCTGGAAACGGAAAAAATCGAAAATCGACGAAAGTCCGAAAACTCGTCTCGAGAGTCTCGAGAAATTCGGAATAAAATTTTCTTTGAGAACCAAAATGGTGGAGAACATGAACGTGAGTGTTATCTTTTGTTTCAAAACAAAAAAGAGAAAGAAGCCGTCAAATTAGGAGAAAAATGATTTTTGGAATTTTGAGCCGAATCGAGTTGATCACCTTCGGTCGAATGGAGGTCAACTATCCCACCCCAGGGATTTGTTGTAGAACTACTTTTTCTTGAAGAAGAAGACCCCTAGTTTCATAATCAGAAATAAAAGTCGTACCATAGGGGGGTTCTTACTCTAGTTATGGCTCAAAAACTGAAAAAATCGCTGTTTTTGAGGAAATTTCGATTTTTTTCTCCTCGAAGAAGTCGAGTTAGAAAAAAAGTTGCAACTAAAAAAATACTCAAAATGTGTTTTTCTGACATTTCCAAAACGTTTTTTTGAATGAAAATTCTCAACAGGAAAAAAAATTAATTTTTTTCAGCTTACTGTCTACAGTATCTTTTAAAAGGGGCGGAGCCACCTGGAACCTGGTGCTAAATAATCAGAAGCACGCGTGTGAACCGTGATCACATTTTGAGGCAAATCAAAAAAAAATTTTATTTTGTTTTGCTTTTTATTACTGAAAAGTCATCGATTTTCTCAGAGAACGTGTGTTAAATGTTTCTGTTTTGAGTGATTCCAATGCTGGACGACGACGACATCGACGGCGTCTACGCGACGTCTTCTCTCGTCTCGGCGCTAACCTACGGAATCGAAGACCAGTTGGATCCTGACGACGTCGCTGTCGGGGTTTGCTTCATTTTTTGAGATTTTCTTCATGGGCACTTCCAGGTTGACGATGCTGACGACAACATCGAAGAAAATGGCGCTTTCCCCTGTACATATTGTAAATTTTCTTCGAATAGTGAAGAGGTTGCTTTTTCGCACGTTTCCTCACCTTTCTCGTTTTTTTAGACAGTTGAGAAACACCGAGCGCGGCAACACAACCGAAACACGTACTTCGTTTGTCAGTTGTGTGAGTACGAGAGCAACTGGAGCAAGGCGTTCTATGAACACTGTAGAGAGCACTGGGTGATCGGAATCCTTGCTTTTCTGTTTGAACGTCTTCTTTTCAGACGAGCACACCTTATCAGTGCGACATGTGCGCTTATTCCACGTCTTCTTCTATTCAGGACTTCCTCGCTCATCGGCTCATCCACAGTTCGTTTATCATTCCTTTAGGATTTCTTCTCTTTTTCTAAAATCGTATCAGTTGTTTTCGATAAGTTGATTCATGTGCTTTTTCAATTAAAGCTGTCTATAAGTTTGCTTCAGTTCTTTTTTCAAACATTAATAAGAACTCCTTTCAGGGTCTTACTGTACTATTCCAAAATCTTCTATCCCTTTGCAATGTTGATAACGGGTTTGAAAAGAGGGCTCAGAATTTCAAAGTATCTTTTGATTTATCGAGGCCTTTTTTTGAGCCTCCTATTAAAATAAACTTTTTTTATAGGCTTTTTTTAATGCTTGTCTTTTTGTAAAGGCGTAAACTCTCGGTAGCCATGCATATTCCCATCAAAAAAATTCTAGAAGTTGGTCTTGCAAATAGTTTGATCATTTTTTCAAAAAAATTGTTTCCATTTTTCTTCAGAAAGAAAAAAAAAGGAGCTCATCAAAAACTTGGCTGAACTTGAACCAACCACTTTTTTTTCTCGTTGGAGTTTATTTTCTCACTTTTCTATGAATTTCGAAGAATAAACCTGTTTAGAAAGGAAAGAACTTCCTGATTAATTAATTGCAGCTGAGGAGCGGTTCTTCAAGTGTGGCGAATGTGCATGGAAGGCGCGGACGAGGACGCAACTCTGGGCGCACGAAAGGATGCACAGTGTTCTGGACGAGCGGCCCCTCCACTGCGACGAGTGCGGCCGCGGATTCCACCAGCACTCGGCTCTCGACCACCACGTCGCCTCTCACAACGACATCCGGTACCGAAATTTTCTTCATCAAGATGGCCAGCAGAGAAGTTTCAAATAGAAAGTTTTCAGTAGCAATAAAAAAAGTTTTTTCTGTTGTAAAACTGAAGACGAGCCCATTTTCTGAAACTTTCTTGATTCAACAAAGAGATGAATTTGAAAAAAATTGATGTTTCTTGACGGGGTTAAAAAACTTTTGAAATGGCTTACCAGGGAATGGTTTCTGGTCGCAGTGGGAATTCTGAATCCGACCAAGTTTACTAGATACAGAGACACTGAAATTTTCGACTTTTGAAGATCCATAACTTTTTCACATCTCTACGCCAGCTTTTCAGACCATATTTGGAATCAGCGCAAAAAACTAAATGCAGTAAATTTGGTTTTATTCAGAAGTCCCACTGCGACCAGAAATAATTTGGTAAGATAAAGCCTAGTAGTGCTTCTGAAAGTTCATTGTCATTTTCTGGATAAACTAGGAGTTTTGCAGACCGATCGTTTGCGAGGACTGTGGATTCGCGACCAAAGTCGCCGACCACATGACGACGCATCGGCGGCAACACACCGGCGACATGTTCTTCTGCCACATCGGTTCGGCCAGCCTATCTTATCTAAGTTTTTTTCCCTTATTTCCAGAGGGCTGCGACTATTCGTCTCCGAAAAAAAGTCAACTGGCCGCTCATCTCAGGACTCACATGGCTGTACGAGCTCACATGTGCAAGGTTTTTTGCAAAATCGTCATGCTCCTGATATGCCTTCTAAGGTCTGCGGGCGTGGCTTCATCGAGAAATCTCACCTGGTGAGACACGAGCGAATCCATCTGGAAGACAAGCCTTTCAAGTGTGACGCGTGTGATTATGCGTCCAGCCGGCGTGACAAACTGAAGGTTTATTGGGTAGATCGACCAAGAAAAACTTTCGTTTTCTTAGGAACACATTCTGAAGCATCACAACGGAGCCGCGACGAGCAAAGCTCATCGAAGGCGCTACAGAAGGGCCAAGCAGCTGGCCGCGCTTCATGTGCGTTTGAAACTGCGGAAAAAAAGATAGGATGAAATTTTCAGGCGCCCCAGACAAAGCAACTGCCGAACGAAGCCATGTTCAGACCGATTCCAGTCAACGAATCAGTATCCCAATGGGCAGATTCCAACGATTTCCGAGTAGTTTTCTGTGATGTTCCCCAGGAATGTGCATCTTCAGGAATCTTATTCTCCGCGTCCTAACGACTTCGGGGTCAACACTCAGAACGCCTTCTCTCCACAGAGAGCTTTCTCGGTGATCAACGCGCCTTCGCAGCCGGTGCCGATGTCGCCCGGGAGCATGTCCCTGATGAACGTAAACCTGTTTGGACCAGACACGCCGGTCATGCCCAAGCACGTCGGCTCCATCAACAACACCATGCAGCTTGTCACGCCCGTGCCACGGTAAACTTTTTTTTCGGAACACTTTTTTCAAACGATTTTTTCGGGTTATATATTTCCTGTTGTTCATTCATCATCACGAAATTTTATATGTTTTTTTGAAATAGAAAAATTGAAAGTTAAGAATTTAGGACAATTACAAAAAATTGAAAATTGAAAAAAATCTGTGAAGAAAAATTAAATGAGCACCGCTTTCCAAACAATTTCATAGTTTCAAAGTTATTAAAAAGGCAATTAACAAAGTTTTCATCGATCGCTTCTAAATATTCCTACCAATCAAATGTTTAAAGAATCGACGTGGCGCACAAGAATATTTTCTAAAAAAATCTTATCAAAAGTTAACCTTTTGTTCGTTTTTCCAATTTTATTATTGCATTCATATAGGTGGCTTTAATTTACGCTATTTTCGAAATTCAGAAAAATTCCTCCTTTCTACCGATGGTACAAACGTTGCCTCGAACTAACGATGAAGAAACATTACAGATCTCCGCATAACCGATCGGCGGATCCCTACGGAATACAGTCGACCGCCGACGCCCACAGACCAATGAGTCTGCCGCCCTACGGCCAGGTGCCGCCAGCCACGATGGAAGACCAACAGCGCAACGACAACAATCCCAATATCCACTGGTGGAAATAACCTCTTCTCATAGGAATAAATTTTCAAATTATATCTCACAACGGTGGTGGACAGCTTCTTTATTTATTGCCTCAGGGTTTCGAGAAGCCCATTATTGAATGCGTACGATGACGACGTTCACGTTGAGATTGTTGTTGTTGATGGCACAGAAGGTCTGAGACTCGCTGGCGCGGTCGTCGACGTAGCCGTTGACGCGGTGGTACGAGGCCGCCGAGACCAGCCACACGCCTCCGTTGGCCAAAAAGTAGGGCTTCAGCGATTCCTATACGCCTTTTTTTTAAAGTTTCTTTCAAAACAATTTCTCTTCAATATTTCATTTTTATTCACATATTACTGAACCTCGATTTTCATGATCTACAACCTGCCAATTTTGCAGTTAGCTTTCCGAAAAAGATCCCATCTCAATAATTGCATTGAAAAATTTGAAAACATGATGATTTGATACAAACCTAGAATTGGCCTGAAAAAAGCAATAGCGGAGGAATTCCAAAATCGAAAAAATGAATTATTCTCTTTTTTCGAAAAAGAAGGAAAACTTCAATCTGGTTCTGAATGAGATCGACACTGAGGTTGTCGGCTGGAACGTCCATAGCTGCGTGGACGGCATCGCGGAGTGTCGGATTCGCACAGAAGTATGCTCCAACTTGGTCTGGTCTCAAGTTGAGAATCACCGCTCACCGTTTGGTTGATTGAAAAGTCGCGACGGCGCGGCATGAGTCAGCTGGAAAAGCAGAAAAACGAGAAGAACCCGCGACATGACTGCCACTGGCCTTATCGGCTGCTCCTTTTTTCCTTTTCATGCATTTCGTGATAAGCCCCACAGCATGTTTTTTTTGCTCTTTATTGAAGTTTCATAAATAAGAATGACATGAGTGATTGATAAACGAATGTTCCAGTTCTGGGAAAAGTGTAGGTTCAAAGTTATTTTCATTTTCTGAGGTTTCATGTCAATGACTTCGAGACGCTCTTTACCTCTGAATCGGAACGTTTTAAACAAGCTCTTGGTACACGGGTTTTGTAGAGTAGAAGCTGACAAGGAAACATACAGTAGTTTTATAGAGGTTCAAAAAACTCTGGGATGCCAAAAGATCAAATAGGTAATATTTAAAAAAAAATGAAATGCGCGAAATGTGTGTTAAGATTGTCAAGTTCTTACTGTGAGAGATCGACGGAAGAGCCCAAAATGCGCCTTCGCTGGATAACGTTTCAGAGAAAAAAATCTTGGTTACAGTAACGCGAAGCGGCCCGTATTGTGTCGTCGCATCTCGTAGTAGTGTGGTCGACGCGACGCACTTTCACGGATCTCACGGCCCAGCGACTGGCAATTGAGTCTCTGGAACTGGTGGACGGCGCGTTTGAAGTTCTGCAACTCTATTATGTATGCAAACTTTTCAGCAGTCATATTTGAGAATCTTTATGATTCTGTTGAATATGAAAATTTCGAAAAAATTTTTTTTTAATCTTGAATATATGAGCTTTTTTTTCTGACTAGACTTTCCGCCTCGAATCACGCATGCGTTCAATCAAATTTTACGGTCTTAATGTTCTTATATGAGGGGTTCAAACTGTAAAATAATATTCAAAGCGAGCTTTTTGCAAAAATTTATGCGAGATTGCTTCACCTCCAACTGAACAATTTGAATATTCCAGGGTTCAAAATAACTAATAAAATATCTTCAATTGTGCGGTTGTTAGAATAGCGTAGAAAAGGGCACCTAGTCGAGTTATAAGGAGTAAAAGTAGCACCTTTTCTTTGTTCCAGGGAAGAATGAGATTGGCGGTGAATGAGCCGTCGTCTGACTTGCTCGCCATGACGAGCATCTTCTGGTTTCGGCCGATGGTTATGTTGCAAGGACAGCCCTCAGTAGACGTTGTCAGCCGAATATCTTCATTCGAACTCTCTCCTTCCCATTCGAATGTTAACTGACCGGTTTGGGCGACGCTTCGCCGACGATCTCCCTTCTTGAGGCTCCGGCCGTTCCTAACACTGATGTGCGTGTTGGTCATTTCGCCGATTTTCGCCTTGACCACTGAAAAAGTCAATTTATTCTTTTCTTTTCCCTGACAAAGACCAGACCGAGATGACTACGACAAAAGTGGTCGACGAGGTTCTCGTAGGTAGAGACTTGCGAGCAGGCGGCGCACGTCGCGACTCCTGAAACACGACACCTCGGCTACCGTAATTCTAGATTGCTTTCAAGTCGCCGCGGCGGTCATCCTATTCTTCGGCACACCGACACTTCTTTGAAAACGTTTTGAAAATGAATTGGCTAGATCAATCTTAGCGTACCGAAATAATCTCCTAAAAGTTAATAGTTGGCTCATCATCAAGGCAACCTTCAGCGAATCCCGAAAGTTGGAGCAGGTTGATCGAATATGAGAATTGGCCCCAGCTGTCAGATTTATTTTAAGACTTTTAGCCGTTTGGTTTCATGTAGTGTGCGCAAGTTCATAATTCAAAGAAAAAAAGAGCTTCAGAAAGAGAATCTATTCAAATCCAAGCTTACAAAAACCTTTTTTGCGGAAGAAGAGGAAAGTTACTTCGCTCGGAATTTTCGAATTTAAAAAAAAAACTTCGAGATAGAAATTCGAAAATTGTCAGTTTCAACTTTTTTTTCCGTTTTCTTTCTCCCCCAGGAGACAAAACAAACAGAAGAAACAGTTGATTGAGCGAGTCTGGGATCAGCAGAGAAATGCGTGTGGCTGAGCTCCCAAGGCAATCATTCAAATTTCGCGGGCACCCACTGACTCGGAGCAACTTCAAAGCGAGCCGCATGTCAATCACTTATCGACAAACGAAGAATCGAGCCCCCAGCTATCCACACTACGCCATTTTTTCGTCTTTTTTGTCCGGTACCAAGCATTTCAAAACATTTATTTATGAATTTTTATGCTTCAGCCAAAATAATTCACAGTGGCTCTATTCAATGAAACTTCATAATGGTACTCCTCACTCAAAAAGCGAGGAAAAGATACCGCTGGAAAAGTTTTTCTGATCAAAAGGTCGCCAGCTCACTTGAGAAATTTTGTTTCCGTTCTGAGCCCACGAAAATTTCTTTCTAGAAACTCACAGAGCATAAAATAAACAGAAAAGAGAGAAAAAGGATCGAATAGTTTATAAGGCGTAGAGAAAAAAAAAGGACGCGGATGGCACGAACGCGATTGTTTAAGAAAATAAAGGACGATGTGGTGTCGCGGCTTTGAGTCAGCAGATCTCAACTCGCCATTCTATTTATAATTTTTTTTTGTGTTCGACTACTGCTTTTCGAACTTTAATGAAGACAGAAAAGGTTCTACAAATATAATTTTGGTAGTTGCAGGTGTTAATTGTAGGAGCCAAAGTGTGAAGTGCTTAGGAAATGTGCTAATAATACTGAAAGGAAGTGGGTCAAGAGTTTGCACGAAACAAAAAGTTGAGAGCTCAACAAGGATCTCGAAGATCAACTGGAAAAAGGAATGTAGCAATTGTAAACCTGCGAGGATCGGCACCGAACCTGGGGGTTTGGCGGTGGTGACCGGCTGGATACACATGTCGTCGTCGGCGTACTTCTCGCAGGAAAGCATCTCCGGCCAAGGAAATCCGTAGGTCGCCATCCTTCCTTCACAGCCCTGCAATTATCTTCCTTCATCTCAAAACTGACGAAAAAAAAATGACAAACCCCCGACAAAAATGGCTTCAACTAAATTAAATTGTCTCAGACGAAACAGAAGAAATTATCGGATTTGAAATAATGTGTTGAATTGTTCACCTTACAAATTAACTTTAAATTTGACCTCATACTGGTCTAAATTCTTTAGAAATCGGCTTTCCTTTGATGCGCCTAAAATGTTTCTTCGCTGAAAAAATGTTCTGTCTATTTCTCGAATTCGTCACAAAGGCAAAAAAAACTCCGATTATCGTTTCAGTTTTTCATTACATTTTTCTTTTCCTTCCCTTCATTTGGATGTTCTTTTTGATGGTGTACATTCTCTGAATTCGATATCATTCACCAAGAGGAAAAAGAATTCTTGAAACATTCGCTTCAAATAATTGAAAACGTTTCTATATCGGCTAACCCAAAATTGCACTGTAAGTATTTGGATAGATGGAAAAGATCGCGTTGAGAAATGAAGCTGAGGCCAACAGAAAAAGGTCACCTGCTTTACTGCGAGACACAAGGATTTGCACGGCAAAATCTCTCGGTCCATGGCCATTAGGCAGACTGGAGCGAATAAAGAGCACAGAAATCGCTGAAGCCGAAGGAAATTCGAAGGAATCTTTGAAAACCGGAGACCTGTGTGTCTGGATGACAGTTGAGTCGCAGAAGCGACTCCCAGTCGCGCGACGCGTGGATCGCCTCGTCGGCAGTCTCGTGGTCGAGCAGATTTGGAAGTCGCATCTGCTCGTACTGCAACAGCCTTCCCATTGTTATGATTATGGATATTCCACAGAGCTGAGCTCGTTCATGCGCGACAACGCTTCCGCTTCGCGTCGCACCTGCTTTTTCCAGGATGCACCCGTAAACACTAATAGAGCTTGTTCTCATCGCGATTCAAATCGAGAATATTAGCATAAACCAAACATTTTTGTGTTGAATAAGAAAGCCCCCAGAAAGAGAGCTCAGAAAGAACTAAGAAACGCGTCAAAAGTTTCTGATACTGTCTCATCAAAGAAAGTTCTGTAATCAAATAAGTCGGCTAACCCAATCAAATAATCCATTTGAAAATGTAGAGACTGAAAGCAATAAATAATAGACTTTTCAATTGAGCAAAAATTCTATCCGCTTATTTTTTAAAAAAAAGAACCTACCTCGATTCCGTTGCAAATGGATAAGTTGCTAGGAATAGGCAGACATCGAGGAGCGGCAGGCCTTTCGGAAGAGAACATGGCCCAGGAGTCCTGGAGGTAGCCGTTGGCCGGGAAACTTGACGACGTCGTCAGCCACGTCACCACCACCGCCAACCACCGCATCAAGTTCAGAAGACGTCGCGCTGCTTCCCACTTTCTTCACGAACAAGAAGATCGAGAAAGGTTTTCCGCAGTAGAGACCCTCCTGCCACCCTTTCCCTCTTTCTCTCTCTTTCCTAGCTCCGCCCAACCTGTGGTCACGCCTCCACCTGAAAGCTTAACACTGAAGAGATCTCCGGAACTCCAGTAGCTTTTTTCTGAAGAGGTCTACCTCGCCAAAAGTTAAGAAACAGAGATAAACGTTATCATGAAGTCAGGACTTTAGAACTTGCCTCGAGTTAGGTGTTTCACAACTATCAATAACTCAAAAACCAACTATGAAACAACGTAATGAATCAGCGGATAAAACGAATTTACATTTCCCTGACCCCATCATTACTTTTTTACGTCATTAGGAAGTAAAATTTTAGAAAATTCAACAGTAACTACTACGCTAATACAGACCTTAAGCATTTAATTCTAATTTTTTTTTACTAATCGACTCTCTCCGCCGAACATCATGCAGGCATCACAAACCGGCCGTGCTCCGTACGATTCTGAGCACTTATAGGGATCACTTAAGAGTACTGAATCCGCTAACTGTATCGAAAAATGAAACTGAATTTTCTGTTGGAAAGTCTGATGTCGGGCAAAACGAAAAAGTTCCTCAAAACTTCTTTTGTCGAAAAAAAAGACTTTTAAGGGTCCTCATTGTATCTTTTTTTATCACTTTTGCACCTTTTTCACATCCTTCAACAAAAAGGGGCTGGAAAGCAATTCAATAGATTCCTGCGGATTCGAAAAAGATCCACCGAGGTTATGGAACAAACAGCTCAAAAGCTAATTTACATCATTTTAGGAGCTTAGAGGAACCTTTTCAGTTTCCTCTGGTCCTCACAGGCACTTTTCCGTTTCATCTATGTAACTTGGAGGAGATTTGCGCTTTTTGGGCCTGGGCCGATCGCGCGAAGGCTGTTGGGCCGGCCATCGCAGCAGCCTGCCGATATAAAAAAATTTAACGGTGGGGCACACATGCCTTGTCTTAAACGCGCGAAATAAAATTTTCAAAAAGACCTCTAATTTTCTTTGTTTTTTCTATTTTTTTCTTGACTTAATGCCGTGTTCAAAGTAATTTCCGCCAAATTCAAAATTGTCTCGGAATCTCCAAAATTAGGTTTTTTTTTTCTGACGGCTTTTTTGAATTTCGCGGAATAACTCGAAACACGGCATAAACGAGCTTTCCAAATAGTCGCTGACAGTTGAATTTTGAACTCATGTCAATACCGCGAAAGCTCACGCTTTATAATTTTGAACGTATGAGAATAAATTAGAAAGCTTACACGCTGGTCGTTTTCGTTTATTATTCAAACATAGCGTGTATCGAGAAAAAAAAGGACAAAGCTATTTTCTTTTCATTGTTTTTCAGCGAGTTGGTTCGTTTCAGAACCGTCGAGGATGGCTACGGCAAAATCTGAAGTTGCCGTGGTTGTTCGACTAGCTCCAAAGTAGGTTGGCTTCGATGACCCAGGCAATTTTCCGATTATTTCTAGAAATCCCGTAGACCACCGGGACTGGAGAAGGGGTGAAGACGGCTTGCTGGTTGGTGTCGACAAAGAAGGAAAACAGCTCTGTTATAAATTTGGTATGCTTCGAGATTTTTCATCCTCTTATTTTTTCTGACACAAAGTTTTGATTTTTAGACGAACTTTTTGATCAAAGTCACGAAAACGCGGATGTTTACAAAAAATCTGTGAAGAGTTTGGTCGCGTCGGCCGTTGACGGCTTCAATGTTACGGTGGCGGCTTATGGACAATCGGGCTCAGGTGAGAAAAATTTGGGCGATGCGAAAACTTGTGTCTCTAGGTAAAACCCACACGTTGCTGGGAACGGACACCGAAAAAGGATTGCTGCATTATGCTGTTGATAGTGTTTTCCAACACATAGAGCAGGTTTGTTCATGGCGCGAATTTCAGCAATCTTGATCATTTTTTGTGGTCAAAAATACTGAGTTCTATGTGAATAGTGCTTGAGTAGAAGCTTGAATCAAAATTCAGTCATTTTCGAAAATTTTTTGAATACTAATCCAGATGAAAGATTACATAGTTTTTAATTTTTTTTTTATCTTCAGAGGAATCCTTACCTTCATTAAAATAGGTGAAAATTTAATTTATGAAAAGATATTGACTCTCAAATTTGAATCTGAAGTGTTTTTTCACGCAATGAATGAAGCGAATACAAAAAAAATCTCAGACTTACAGACTGTAAGTTCAATAATATTTTCCTCTGGAGATGTTATTTCTTTTCACTGAAAAATGAAGAAAATTTGAAGAGAAGTGAGAGAAAGTACTTACTTTCGCTCATGTGCGTCGAGGTCTACAACGAGAACGTGCACGACCTGCTGTCGGAAAGCGACGTCGTCGTCAACCTGAAGCTCTTCGACAAACAGGACACCTGTTCTGTGAGCGGAGCTCTCGAACCGCGCGTCTCCAGCGTTTGCGACGTCTTCAAGCATCTTTCTGTTGCCCTCGGTTCGCTCATTTGCCTTCCGCGGACGAAATTTCTGCAGATCGGCGCAAAATTGGCGCTACTGGCCTGAACAATAAGTCATCCAGGTCTCACGCTCTCTTTCAACTCACCATCGAGTCTTGTGATGGTAGTTTTTTTCAACTTGTTTTATTCAATAAAGAATTAGGGCAAAGGCAACAATGTGACGAAAATACTTCCAGCACAAGTTCCATCGGCGTTCACCGTCTCAAGACTGGTGTTCGTCGACCTCGCGGGGAGCGAAAACGCTAAAGCGGCCAACTCTACGCAGCAGTCAGTGGTAGGCCTTCTTCCACTAGAAAAGGGTGGGAGGCACAAGTTTGGGGCTAGCTCATCTTCAAATCTTGAAACGACTTCTCCAGTTAGTGATAAACGGTTCAGGAAGGAGGCAATATCAACAAGTCCCTTTTGGCCCTCGGCACAATAATCAGCTCTCTTGCGGACGAAGGAATGAAAAGTCAGGGGTTGGACTTCGTAAACTATCCTTTTCCCTATTTCAATTGTCGATGGTTTTATTCACGTTTTTAGTTTGTCTTTTCGTACTTCCAAACTGACGCGTTTATTGAAAACGGCGTTTGGGGGAAACTCGAAGACTTTGATGGTTTGCTGCATCCATCCGACGCCGACGGCTCTCACCTCGTCCACACTCAAGGTTGTTTCTTTTCTTCAGTTTATGGACCAACAGTAAGTCATTTTCAGTTCGCTCGACAGGTCAAAAAAGTAAAGAACGAGCCGGTGAAGAACGAGTCGCAGAATGAAAGTCACTTGGCACAGTATCTCAAACAGATTGAAGATTTGAAAAAGCAACTGGCGGTCAGTAGTTTTTCTTTCAAGATTCTTCATAGTTTTATTTGATTTCAAACTTAATTTCCTTACAGGAGAAGGACGAGCGCGAGACAAAAATGCACATTTTGAGCCTTCGGAATGTGATTCTGAACGATCGGGAAGATTCGGAAAACAAGCCTTTGCGCTCTTCCCGACGGCATTCCATCGCCACCGCCTCTTCATACAAGCCTCTCTCCAAGTTCATGCCGCCTCAAAAGCGGCACAAACTCGAGGTTCTTCAAGACTTGCCTGAGGTTCTCCCAGTCGTCCTTCTGACTCCATCAACCTTTTCTTTGCAGAATGTCCCGAGCAGCAGAAATAGTCTGGAAAGCTTTGTCGACTTCATGAGAAGGACGAGTGAGCCAGAAGGGCATGAGTCGTTGGAGAAGTCCGATGACAGTTCTGGTCAGGTCTGTGTGGCTTCCCTTACTCTTATGATTACTTTCGATGAAGAAAAAAACATGCTTGCCGTGTTTCCACTAGAAAAAGCCTGGCGGAAAACAGCTAGCTCAGAGCCATGAACAATTATCAAACGAAAAGTTTAAAAAGTTTTCAAATAATTCGCCAAAATAATAGTTTCTTGCAGATAGTTTCTTGCAGATTTCTTGCAACTAATTCGCCAAAATAATAGTTTCTTGCAATAGTTTCTTGCAGATAAAAACGTTTACCTTCTTGAAAAATTTTTTTCAAATGAAAATTAGGAAAAACCTCCTTTTTTTCAAGTCCTGGGGTCCAAAAAAAGCCTACTGATAAAGGTTTGGAGCTTCAGTCTCTTTTTTTGAAACCTTTTTCATCTGCTAGTAAAATTTATTTCAAATAGTTCTTAAATTTTTCCTTTTAGAACGTGAAGTATATTCAAGTTTTACATTCTCAAGTTTAAGGAATGAAAAAATTTCTGAGTTTCCAAAGCCAAGTCTTCCAACTGAATTACTTGAGATCTAAAATGTTTTATGATTTTGAAAGCTTTCAGACCAACGACGAGTTTTGTTCGGAACGCCATGAAGAAGAAGTCAAGAAGCTGCGAGGCGAAGTTGCAGATCTCCAGTCCAAGCTCGCGGATTTGCGCTCGGAACATCTCTTGATCATCGAAAAGAAGCGGAGTCTTGAGGTTCCTTCTGATTTGACCCAGCAAAACGCGAAAATAAGGTGGACAACTGACAAAAAGTCATTTTGGGAAGTTTACTTAGTTAGTCCTTTGTAACTTTCTGACGCAGCTACTTTGGTACTTCATGTTCATGTCCAAAACGTGAGGACACTCTCAAATGAAAAGGAGCCGCTTGACATCATAGGCTCATCTTCCGACATTGCAAAAGATGGTCTCTCTTGTCAAGTTTCTCTTCTTCTTCGTTCTTACTTCTTCAAAGTGTTTAAATGCAGCTTCATGGCATCGATAGGGCTAATACAAAATCAGCAACGGAAAAAAAAAAACAGTTCTTTGACGAGTATGGGCCTCGACTATTCTATTTCTGGACCGCAAAATAAATTTGAAACTCAGACAGAAAAGGAAGAAGAAGCACAAAAGTCGCGTAACGAAGTTGCTAACCTTCAGTCCGAACTCACGAAAATGCATTCCGACCACCTCTTGATAACCGATAAGTATCGGAGCCTCGAGGTTTCTTCCTTTTTCTTCAAAGAGATGAAAATCGAGAGTTTCAGGCGAAGAAAGAAGAAGAAGATTCGACGATGCGCTGTGTCATTGAAGAGCTCCATAAGCGCCTGGCTTCCTCGTCCGAGGAGCGTGAAGAGCTTCTGAAGAAAATCGACCAACTTGGTCAAGAAAACAGCGACGCTTCGCGAGACAGCGTCGCGTTCCACCAACAACTGCTCGTTGCTCACAAGGAGAAGGAAGACCTCTGCATCGAGGTCCGTTTCGTTCTCTCAAGAAAGTAAGACAAACTCGCGCCAGTTGAATTTCGCTTTGACTTGTTTTCGCAGTTTTTTTTTTGGAGTGATTAGAAAGCAGCTGTTTTCCCGAATTCAAAGTTTTCTCGCAAATCATGGCGTAATCATGTTTTTTGGGAGAAAAAAATAAAATGTTTTTCAGATGCATAGACTGACTGAAACAGTGGAAAACTTGACGTCCGAGAACCGGGAGTCCAAAAAAAGAGTTCTCAAATCGGAGAAGAATCTGGAAGTTGCCCACAAGTATGCAGAAGCTATCAAGAAGGACCTCGCCGAGTTGATTGTTTGAATCGCTTAATTTCACTTTATATATGTTTTTATTTTTTGATCCAGAAACAGTCCCAAAGTTGTGCAGATGAAGACTCCCTACGTATCGAGGTTTTTCGTTGTGAGAATTGAAGTTTTAAATCTTTTCTCTCAGATAGCTCGGTTGGGCGCTGAGCTGAGAGATTCGTTGGAAGAGCGCTCCAAAATGAAGTCCGAGTACGAGGAAAACATTGAAAAGATGAAAATTCAGACCTCGGAGCAGGTTTTACTGACACAATACTTTTGTTGAATGCAGCTTGAAGGTCGAGAACTTGATGCAGAAATTGGAATCTGAGCGCGCTTTGTCTTTGAGCGACCTCGAAAAACTGGGAAGTGAAAAAAACGCTCTCGAGAAACTTTGCTCAGATTTGGTAAATATTGTTTCACCTTTGCATACCCGGTTGCTTTCTTTCGATCATGAGCTAAAAGCTCACAATCTTCATATTGATGTTCTCATGATTGTCGGTATTTCTGAGTTTTCTGTTATTTTTTTTCGTCATGAAGAAACTGTACTTGAAGTCTTGGCAGTGCAAAACGTAGTTTGGGATGAAGCCGTCATTTTGTAGATTTTTTGTCGCGAGTCGAACGGCAAGCATTAAATTTACAACACTGCGTCCCTCGAAGAAGCATAGGTTTGAGAGTTGCAGAAAATTGTAGATACTGTCCATAAATGTACACACGTTATTAAGAATATTGCAGGGTTGAATCACTTTTTACTCTCAATATATTTTAATTGCAGAAAGAGTCCCAAAGTTCAACAAATGAGGGCTCGCCTATTGAGGTTTTTGATTGTCAAAAACTCACAAATTTATTTTTATTAAAATTTCAGATAGCTCGGTTGGGTGCTGAGCTGAGAGATTCGTTGGAAGAGAGCTCCAGATTGAAGTCCGAGTACGAGGAAACCATCGAAAAGATGAAGATTCGGACCTCGGAGCAGGTTCTGATGGGGCAAGAGCTCTATTCAACTCACCTTAAAGGTCGAGAAGTTGATGGAAGAGTTGGAATCGGAGCGTGCTGTGTTTTTGAGCGACAGCGATAAGTTCAAAAACGAAAAAAACGATCTCGAGAAACTTTGCTCAGATTTGGTAAGCATGTTTTTGGTTATATTCAAAAAATCTTTGATTAGAAATTCAATGAAAAGCTTTATGAACTTTTTTTGTTTTTATCAAGAACTACTCTCAGATAATTAGTTTTCCTTTCCGGGAGGATGGTTTAATATTAAGAAGTTATGAATAAGTCAAGTGAAACTTCTCGAAAACTCTTTCCCTCCATCGTTTTTGAGTGTTGAATTGGTTCAGAGAGGGGAAATAACGATTTTGACTTCGCGACTTGGTCTTCTAGACGCTCAAATAGCCGAAGAGCGAGAATCGAAGATATTTTCGGAGGAAGCTGTCAGCCAAAAAAAGCAGCAGAACTGCGTCCGTTGCGTTCAGCTCGACGTCCAGATCCGAAACTTGGAAGAAAAGGTCATCTTTGTCATTTTCAGATTACTTTACCGGCCATGGAATATTATATTTAAAAAAATTTTTTTTTCATTTCTCGTGAAGTTGTTGAGCGCAAGCTGTCAACTGGAATAATCGATTCGCGGATTATATTTGTGTTAAAATTGAAAGAGATTCTAATTTTTAAGGGTCCATTTTACACTCAATTTTTTTGAGAAGCGCATGTAAATTCCCATTCCTTTTTTCATTATGGTTAGTTTTTATGTGCTCGAGAAGGTCAGAACGAAAAAAAAGTGAAGGAATCGTAAAGTTGAGTAAAAAATTTAGTAATCGGTAAACTTCTAACAGTGTGGATTAATTATATAATTAGGTTTCTCGCTATTTTGATGTCCAACCACCTTATTCTCAGGTCAAGCTGCTCAACGCCGAGTACAGTTTTATGAAGTCGAAAATAGAAAGTGAGCAGAGCAAGTCCGAGCAGCTCTCAGCACGTTTGACAGAAATGCGCGATGAAGTTTCTCATTTTCCATTTCTTTCTTTCATGAGTTATTCAGATGCACGAGAAACTCGCCGAAAAGGAAGAAAAACTCCATAAGTATAGAAACCGTATTGCAGAGTTGGACTCATCCCTGAAACGTTCTGAAGCGCAGAAGAAGGATGTTGGTTTTTTTTTTGTTACGAATTCGTTTCCCTGATTTATTTTTCCTGTTCTCTGAGCTAGTAAAAGTTCTAGATAAGGGTTTGTTATAAATAATTTAATTTTATTCTAGCTCATAGTTTTTTTATGCTTAGAAGCTATTTCGCAGATTTTGTCATCAATTTATTTGTCACAAACCGATCGGAGGCTCGTAATATCTATTGCGCACTTTGTTTTGTCTGTGACAAGCAAGCGATGATTGTGTATCTCATCATTGGCATTCCATATTTTCTAGCTTTCCAACTGGCGATCAGAGATCGACGAAAAGAATAGGAAGTTGGAAGAGAAGCTGCAGCGAGAGATCATTAGAGCCAAAGAAGCAGAAGCACAAGCCGAGGCAATTCAGTTCAAAAATATAGTGTGTCAAAAATGGTTTCAGAAAGGAACCAACACGGCAGAAGCAAAAGAAGCCCTCCTTCTCCAGGTAGAAGACTTGCAGAAGCGTCTTTCCGACGCCATCTCCGAAAAGGACGCTGCCGAAGACCTCAACCTCAAGCTTCAGGCCGACGTCTTCGCTCTCAGAACGTCAGTTTTCGTACTCTGTTTTACGTCTTTGTTCAGAAAAAGAAAAAAAAAGAGTGAAGATGGGAGTTTTCATTTATCTGCTACTTAGTTTTTTTTCAGAAAGTCGAGTGAAGCGGCATGGTCAAGCGAAAAATGGTCATTGGAGAAGAAAATCCGAGACTTTGAGTCAGAGGTTCTGAAGAGTATTCCAAAAATTTATTCTGCTACGGTTTTCCCAGATGCGTGAACTGCGCGACCAACTCGACGTGGCTTTGAACTCGAAGCCCGCGGTCGTCACCAAAACAGACTCGGCCCTCATCGGAGAGCTCCAGGATCTTCGTTCCAGAATCAAGGCATTCTTTTGACATACATTTTTCTTAAATCTTCTAATTCAGGACTTGGAGCAGAAAAGCGCTGAGAAAACGGCAGAGATCGAACTTCTCTACAAGGTCGAACGGAAAGAAGTTTTAAGCATCTAACATATTGTTTTCAGCAGAAGATGAATGGAGTGGAATACGTGAAAGAGCTGAAGCGAAGGATAGCGGAACTGGAGAAATAGCCCTCGAAAATGCCTTTTCCTTCTTATCGCATGATGGAACGAAAAGAAATTTTAACCATCTGTATTAATTCTTACCCATCTGTAACATATCACAACTAATTCTATTCATGTAAACTAATAAATTGCTTGTCATTTTTCCGTGAAAAGCTGAACTGCTGAAGAACGGATATTAGGTACTAGTTTTGAAAAATCGCCGGTTTTTTACAATTCATTTTTCCTGTTTTCGGGTTGGGAATTGAGCCATAAACATTTTTTTAAGCGTTAGTTTATTGTGGTTTATCATTTATCATTGTTCAGTTGTCTAGTAATTTGTTCAATTGTTCCAGTTATCGAGTAATTTGTTCAGTTGTTTCAGTTATCGAGTAGGGTCAGTCGCTGGACTCGTAGCCGCTATCGTAGTTCAGAGCCTTGTAGGACTTGAAGATCTGAAAAAGATTTTCTTTTCAAAAACAGATGAGTTACAAACTTTTCCCCTCATTTTCGCTGGTTTCGGATCCTCAGCAGTTGGAGTGACGACACAGGAAATTTCGAAGAACTGCGAAAAGAAAGAAATGCAAAGTGTGTTAATGATAAATCAAACCATAGGCCCGCGATAAGAAGTTCCGATTTCAGGGAAAATGAGCTTCTCGACGACGGTCGTCAGACTCTCCAGCTTGTTCAGGTTCGCCGACAAGATCATGGCCCCTGAGAAGATATGGATTTCTGAATTCGGAGGGGCTCAAGGCACCGCTAGAGGCCTTGTAGTGGAAGTGGCTGTCGACGACGCAGACCGAGTTGGCGGCGCGGTCGACGACGCAGCAGATGGCCCTCTGCATGGAGATGATCACCATGCAGACGAGTCGTCTGTTCAACTTCTGTCCGCAGCTGCAAGCAGGTCAAACAGCTCCATGGAAACACTCGAACCTCGGTAACGCCGGACGTTTCTGAGCACTTCTAGTGATCCTAGAAACGTCCGGCTCGCAAGGTTCTCATTTCAAACATTTCTTTCCATGTTTTTTTTTCCAAGCGAGCTTTTTTGAAAGAAAATAGCAGAAAAAAGAAAGAAAATCCAGGACGAAGTTTGGATATAAACGTGCTCAAACACACTCTGAAGGAAGCTCTGTCCTAGTCGCTGCCCGCGCAAACTTGTAATTTCGGAAATCTGATTTTTCTAAATTCTCGATTATCATCGTATCATGACCCTTTTGCGCTGTTAGTTGCTATCCTAGTCTAGCCTTTCAGGGAGCCTTCGAAAAAGCCCATATAAATATTCAATTCACACTTCAAACCTCCTCTGTAAGAACTTTTTCAAAATCAAAAATAAAATCAACTAACAGCTTTAAATAAAGAACCAAGAAATCGATTCTAAAAAAAACTTTTCAACTGCACAGCGAATCGCAAATGCGAGGACTTCGGACATGGCGCCGCCTGAGTAGGTCTTGTAGTCAATTTCGGTCATTTCGGGACAATGAACGTTCAGGGCCTTAGTTTCAGATGTAAATCATTTTGGAAACAATACAACGTTACATCAGGAATGGTAAAAGTGTCCTCCTTGCGACTGAAAAACTTCGCTCTGAAATGTGACGCACAAGATTCAGTATCTTCGGAGCCGCTCACTTTCTCATCTGCATCTGTTCACCGTGAGTCTCGTTGGCATCAACGATGGCGTCAGTCAGGGCTCGCAGCAGCTTTTCCGGTAGTTCTATACCCTGTAAAAACAGCCAATACAGAGTGTCAGCGATTCTGAAGACCTTCTCTAAAGATGACGCAAGAGTAGGCAGGCGATAACGGATTCTGAAAACGCGGCTAATATAGAAAACACGATTCCTTTTTTTTACAAAAAGCATCGAGGCTACTTGTCATAGAAGCCTTGTTTTGAATTAATCTATAAAAAATTTGAAACTCTCAAAATTTTTTCAAGATTTCATAGCTCGAAAATATAAATACAGATTGAAGCGAAATAGTCTTTTTTCATTTAAAAGTATCAAAGTTCACAAAATGGTCAATTTACTAAAACCTTAGACTTTCTTTCGAAATTGGCTTAGCTTCTCTTATTGGATGAAAAATGTTATTGAAAAACACGAACTTGTGCATGCTGAGACTTTCAGGATATTCTTCTATTTTTTTGATTGATTTTGAAATGTCCATCTGGTTCAAATTTGTACGTGAAAAGGAGAACTGCCAAGAAAAATTTTTCTTGGCAGTTCTCCTTTTTACGTACAAAAAAAGGGAAGAATAGAACATTTGAATCATTTTTCTTCAAATCTAACTATTCCTTTTAAAGTGATTTAGATATTGGTAAAGCTTGATATTCGAGGTCTACCCTTTGCTATTTTTTCGTTAAAAACTTTTGTACTTGAAAAAGGAACCTCTGGAGGTCTCTGGACACCTGGAGAGCGATGAGAGTACAGGCGGAAGAGAGTTCGCGACGACCGCCGAGATGCGACTGCGAGACCCACCGCGGCAGCACCCAAACATGCACCGAGCACTGCGAAGACTGCGCTCCGGAAATCGTCCAGACAAAACTTACGTAGAAGATGAAAGAGAGGAAGCCAGACGATTCTTGGGATGAAGTCTCCGCTTTTTCGGTGATGATGGTCTCCTCCTTCACAGGTACGGGTGGTTGCCGCGGAAATGAGTTCAGTTGTTTTCTGGGTTAGTGTTTCTCGCGAGGCTGTGCTACTGAAATTTTAGGCATCTCTTTGGAACAACTTTGAACAGAATTAATATAAGAAAAAGAAAAACCGTGCGGTGGGAGCCGCCTCAGACTCACGACTTCTAATGGACCGCACGACGCACATGGTTAGTTGAAAATAACTTCCTTTCACACGTCCATTCTCAGAAGTGTTGAAAAATGACGTCTGAAATATCTAAATTTTTATCATCTATTTCGACACATTTTATTCTCGTAAATTCTCCATAATCCTCTTATTGCCGTTCCTCCTATAAGAGACGGCTAATCGGAGATGATCGAAGGATCCGACATGGAGGTGACTGGCGCCGATGGTCTCTTGACTCGAAGACTTCTTGAATCCTGAATCTTGGACTTTCTTCAATCGTTTGAAGTTTTGGGATTCCTGAGTGAGATCAACGCGTTCGCTTTCAATTTCCAACTGATCCATTACCTCTGACTGATTTGATTGGTTTCGGAGAGTCTACGCCGACTTCGAATTCGCTAAAAAACGCAAGCGACCTCGTTAAGGCGAAATCCAAAGTCACGTCGCTTTCACCTATGGAGGTCGGACCAGAGGACGTTGCAGTACTCTTTTTCTTTTATTTTGATTATTCTGTCAATTATTAGACGAAAAATTCCCTTTTTCTTCAAAGCTAGATCATCAAATACTTTCAACTGAAGTTTTTTTCTGAAGATTGAATAGTTGCAAAAACAATTCAACCTCCTCGCAAAAAGAGGCCCAACAATGTTTTTGCTGCATTATTTCTTCAGGCTAATTTTATTGGTAATGCTGGGAAAAGTGATTCGACATAAGCTTCCAAATTTTTCGTTCCGAAGCCTCTTTTTTTTGCTTTCGACGACTTCGGACGGTCGGCACTCGAGGCGCTCTCGGCTGCCTCCAGAAGGCAAGAAGTGGACATATCCGGCGAAAGGGAAAGCGAAGCCTCCCAAACAGTAACGTCTTTTGCGGAGAAACGTATATCGTTCAAGTAGAAGACGTCGCCGAAAAGAGAAGTCGACGGGAGAATGTGTGCAATGGGGTCAAGGCGAGCCACGCCTCTGCGAAAAAGGTCTCTCTTCAGGAGGCTGTCCCCACTACCACTGATCCCACATCTCCGATAGCCGTTCCTGTCACTCACCTTATTCTTTTCTGTCTTCTTCTTTTTTCTGCATGTTGCGCTTCTGAAAAAGTTTCTTCTTCAAATCCTCATTTGTCTTCTTGTTTCAAATATTTTTCACAAGATACATACAACTCAATGATCCTGTTCAATCTTATTTCCTCCTTTTCTTAACAGTTTCGGAATATTTTTTTAACATTTCGGTCTTCAAACAACTAATTGAGTGTTTGAAAAACTTAGAAGAAATTTATGAATACCGTATATAAAATATTAAATGACTTTCTGTTGCTATGAAAGTTTCGCTTCACAAAACTGGAGTTCGTTTTTTTAATGTAAAGATCAAAAGATGTTTGTTTTACAAATATAAACGTTTTTGAGGTAATTTCTCTGAGCTTTATTGATTCACTTTCTGCAGATCAAAGAGCTTTTTAAGTGTCATCATATTCATTTCACCTAATTTCAAATGTGGTTTTTCCACTGCCTTCTGTCCGTTTCTTCTGCAAAAGCAAGTTCGAGGTTCAGGGGACCTGCGAATGCTGCTCGCGGCGATCATCGTGGCGCTGGCGACGTGCCAGACGGCACTCGCCGTCTTCGAGTGCAGCTCGACGGAGACGACAGCGTTCGTCAGAATCGCTCGCGCCCGTCTTGACGGAACTCCTGTCGTCATCTCCACTGCCGGTCAGCCATTTTCTTGAAAAGAAATACATTTTTCTGGCGCCGAAGATCATCATTCAAAAATGACAGATTTCGCAACAATTTTTCGAAAAGCTTATAAAAAAATTAAGAATAAAATAAGAATTACACTTCTTTTTAATCTTGTAATTTGTGTTTTTTTCTGCTTTTTTTCAACCGTTCAAAACCTTCCTTGTTTTCCATTTTTCTATCAAATACGTTTTTTTTTTTCATTTTTTTTTAAACTCAGAAAGATCCAAAAAATGTTCCATCATCCCTTTCTGTTTCTCCTATGAATCACTGGGAAAATGTGCCTGAGAAATAAGAAAAAAATAGGTAACTTTGGCCAAAAAAAGATATCGGATACTGAAGAATGCGCGCCGAACGATAGTGCGACCTAGTTCTGCCACATCCGCTTCGATTGCCTTTCGTATTCCATGAGGCGTATCAACAAGACAAACATCCAGAGACAGAAGCTTTCTGTGGAAAAACCACCTGAGAAAGGGCTTTCAGGACACGACTTGACGTGTGCTCAGTACTGCCGCAACAACATCGAGCCGACTACCGGAGCCCAACGAGTCTGTGCCTCGTTCAACTTCGACGGCCGCGAGACCTGTTACTTCTTCGACGACGCCGCCGTCCCTGCAGGAACCTCGCAGCTGACGGCCAACCCATCGGCCAACAACTTCTACTACGAGAAGACGTGCATCCCTGCCGTCACCGCTCACGAAGCCTGCACCTACCGGTAAGGACTATCTTTTCGCAGAAGGTACACTGTGTTTTGAAGCTCGTTCTCGTTTGAACGCACTCGCAACACTCAGTTGGAAGGCTTCGTCCGCAAAAGTGTGCAGGTCGAAGGTCGTGAGCAGTGTCTGTCGGCCTGTCTCAAGGAGAAAGGAGTTCGTCTGCAAGTCTGCCAACTTCCACTACGCCACCAACCTTTGCGAGCTCTCCGTGGAAGATCGTCGGTTAGTTTTTTCCCTACAATCAATTCCAATATGATCTGTTGAGTGTTGAGTATTATGAAACACGCATGTGCAGTTTTTTTTTGACATCTAAGAAATAGCTCATTTTGAGCGCCGTGAAACAGTTTCATTTATTCTGCGTTTCTTTTCTTCTGGCTGATATCTCTTGGAAGCAGTAACTTTCAGCTCGAAGCCCACTCATGTTCGCATGGCCGAGGGCATCGATTACTACGACAACAACTGCCTTTCTCGTGAGTCTTGAGAGTTTTCGAAGTTCGAAAACATAATGAATAGGCCAGAACCGTTGCGGACCATCTGGAGGAAACCTCGTCTTCGTCAAGACAACAAACTTCGAAATTCGCTTCTACGACCACACCCAGTCGGTTGAAGCCCAGGAATCGTACTGTCTGCAGAAGTGCCTCGACTCGTTGAACACATTCTGTCGGTAAGTCGCCCTTCTAGCGTTTCTAAATGTTGCAATCCTCCAAGATCATAACCTAATTCAGATCTGTCGAATTCAACCCTAAGGAGAAGAACTGTATCGTCTCAGACGAAGACACTTTCTCGCGCGCTGATCAACAAGGCCAAGTCGTCGGAAAGGACTACTACGAGCCGATCTGCGTGGCTGGTACGCAATCTCTCTGATCTATTTGATGGGGTCAAAAATTACCTGCTTCTCTTGTTAAAATGACAAGGCGGTCAAAAAGGAGGACACACCGGTTGCGGCCCGCAACAACCAGTTTTCTGGGTCAAACGGCGCAAGATAAGAAAAGGACGACCGGAATGCGAGTAAAAGGGTGATCGTACTTCTCTTCCGTGGTGTCACCGCCGTTTGTGTCACAAGAAACGTGTGGAATAGGAATCATTTCAACAAAAGAAATCCATTCTTCCCGGATCGGTTAATTAACAATTCAATTCAAGAATTCGACCTTTGGAAAACTTTTCAAACAGAGGTAGTGTGTAGAATTTGAATTCCTACGATTTTTTAGAAAACTTTTTTAGGTCAAGATTATCTCTTATAGATTACCTGGGTTAATTTTTTTGTTAAAAATAAATTATTCTACAAGTTCAAAAAAGTAGCCGAACCTTAAACCAACATTGTGCATCTTTGGAAAATCAATAACTCATATATGCGTTTTCACGCCAGAAATTTCAATTCAATCAAAGTTTGAAAGGAAGTTAAGAAAAAAGTTTTCAGCTGACCTTTCTTCCTCGACCTGTCGCCAACAGGCAGCTTTCGAGCGTTTCATCGGCTCTTCCATCGAGGGAGAAGTTAGTTCCTTTCCTACCATTTCTCTTCCGACTGAAAATAAAGTCGATAGATCTGAACATAGTCGCTGGTTTATTACTGTTTTAAATCTAAAGCAAAACTCACCGATTGGTTTTTTCTTCATGTATTGGATTGTTTCTATAGCTCGAACGGTATAGAGTTTGCGGATTCTGAATTTTTTTCAAAAAAATGAACAATAATCAAGATAAAGAAAATTGATAATTAGAAGTCGAAGAAATGAGTCAAAGTACAGCCTTATATGAAAGCTGGTTTTTCCTCTCTTCCAAATTTGTTCCAACAAAAGAGAACTCTCTTCTCAGGTTGTGGCGTCGGCTCAAGGAGTGACCATCTCGGACTGCATTTCCCTTTGCTTCCAAAACCTCAACTGCAAGTCCATCAACTATGACAGAACCGCCTCGTCGTGCTTCATTTATGCTGTCGGCCGCGCCGACGCCAACATCAAGGCCGCTCCTTCGATGGATTATTACGAGTTCAACTGCGGTTTGATCAATGGCTCCCTTATCTGAAAATCTTCTTGTTCTTACAGAATCGCAGTTTGGTGGAATGGCTTTGTGCACAAATGAAGGAATTCGTTTTATTGTCAACACCAAGGAGCCGTATACTGGAGCCATATACGCCGCTGAGAGATTCTCCACCTGCTCTCAGGTAATTTGTTTTGCAAAAAGCTCTATTACTCAAAACTAATAATCCTTCAGGTGGTTGAGAACGCTAAGCAAATCTCCATCACGTTCCCACCGCCCACTGTCACCAGCGACTGCGGAACCGTCATCAGAGTTGGTATTTCTATTTATCAATTAGTTGTTCACTGCTAAGAAGCTTCATTTCCAAAGATTAAACTTGGATGGTTGACAGGACGGAAAGATGGAAGCTCTGGTGGTTGTATCCTTGGATGGAGTTCTGCCTCATCAGGTCACTACCGAATGGGACCGTTTCTATCGCGTCTCTTGCGACGTCTCCATGGACAAGATGGTCAAGGAAGGCTCCGTCATCGTCACCACCATCTACGAGGCTTCGTCGCAAAACACGACCGTCTTGGATGTCGCCACGCCTCCTCCAGTCACTGCTGAGCTCACGATCCTGAACCAGCTCGAGGAGCCTCTCCACAAGGTTTTTTAGGTCCAGAGAAAGTAAAAATAATGTTATCCCAGGCGTCCATCGGTGACCCGCTGCTTCTGGTGATCACCTCCGAACAGGCTGGACCTCACAACATGATGGTGACCGAGTGCACAGCGACGCGCGTCGGAGGCTTCGGCGATAGCGTCCCTTTCACGCTCATCGAGAACGGCTGTCCACGATACCCAGCTCTTGTTGGTCCTGTCGAGCAGGACTTCGACAAGAACCGTCTGAAGAGCGACCTCCGTGCCTTCCGTCTCGATGGATCTTATGACGTCCAGATCATCTGCTCTGTCATGTTCTGCGCCGGTCCCAACGGATGTCCAGTGGTACGTTGTGATTAGTTTGAGTTCCTAAAATTGAGGATTCAGTCGAACTGCCTGGACTCTGGCACCAACGAGCTGTTCATGTCTCACGGCCGCAAGAAGCGTTCCGTTTCTGAAGGAGAAACCGAGGAAACTCTCTCGGCCATCATTCGCGTCTTCGCCAAGGGAGAGGAAGAAGCTGAGGAGTCCGCGAACCGCACCATCCACAGGTCCGACTTAGTTATTCTACTTAGCATTTGGATTTCCTTTTTCGGCCTGACGGAATGAGAAGAAAAATAAAAACTTGATCTCCAGGATGGGCGAGTTCGAGGACCTGGTCTGCCTGTCTGAGGCGTGGTTCGTTTCTTCCGTCGTCTCCGTCTCCGTCGTGTGCCTCCTCCTCTCGGCTCTCATCGTCGTTTGGGGATGCCACAATATCAATTCCTCCGCCAACAAGCTCCCAATGTAATCATAATAATTATTTTATGAGTTAGACGCTGATAACTGTCAAACCTCCGAACTTTATTGCGTGCGTAGGCGCTGCTTTTTCTTGTTAGATAATTACTTTTGTTATATTCAAAAACATGATACTTATTGGCGTCTGTCAAACACGATTCTAATTCAAGATGTTTTGTTCCTGTTCCTAACGCGCCTTTGCACGCCATAACTTCAGCCAAATCTTATTTTGCTTCAATTAATTTCTTCCATCCGCGGGTGACGCCTGTTCTTCATTGATTTCATTCTTTTTTATTTATTTTCTTGCCAATCATTCCAATGTAGGATCCAAATATCCCAAAACGCTTTTATACCAGTCTCAGATGCTTTTCTACTACCTTGCACATGTTCAATTTTTCCCCAACAAAATCCTAAATAAAAATGCGTTTCAATCGGCTAATTTCACAAGAAATCACAGAACGATTAGAGGAAAATGAAAAGTGTTGAAGATCACAACTCGGCATCACCGAAATTCAAAAAATAAAACGAAAGTCACGCAGGAATGATGTGAAATCAAGAAAAAAAACAAGATCATTGCGATAATTTAAGGCTCTCAAGTACTTCTGAAACCTGGCGAATCGTGTCGGCGGGGCCCTTGACAGTGTGTCCAACTGTACGCGGATCGGCGAAAATCTCGTGGTCGTTGCCGCCCTAAAGACTCAAAATGTTGAACACAAAACAACTCTCGGCTATTTCAAAAAAAAAGTGCGAAAAACCGGCTGTGTCCTATCGCCAAAGAAATGAATTGTATCGAAGTCCGACTCGAAATACTTCAGACAGTAGGTTTTGTCCCAACCCGTCGGAAAAACGTCGACGCTGATCTCGCCGCCTCAAATTTTGATTATTTTTCTGCAAGTCCCGTGTGTTCTGCTGTTGTACGCAATGCACGCGATGCATCAGAAACCACGCGCAAAAACCAACTTTGAGATTAGATCATCAGAATGAAGTATAGAAATCGTTATTAGACTATTTATTTGCATTTTGAGATGCCTGAACGGTATTGCAAAAATCTCATCAGAGATTTCTAGTGCGGTTTCGTGTAATAGTTATTTTCGAAGTAAGTGAAATATTAAATGTTCTTTGATATGTTGAGAAATTTTTTTTCAGAGATTTTTTCTTTCACTCTTTCAATGCAAAAATGGCTCGTTTGCACACATCAATTTTTATGAATTCTGCTATGAAAATACTAGCTCAATTAATTGTTATTGATGTAGTTGGAAATACTCACCGATGGCAAAAGACAGGCCGTAATCAGAGAACTTCTCGCGCAACTTGGCGGCAAACTTCTCACGGATCTTGTGTTCATTGTCAAAGGCGACAAAGCCGTCACGTTCGCTTTGAGAGCAGCTGCGACCGATCGGCGACAAGTTCAGCATGCCCTGAGGCCGAAAATAGTCGAAAGTTCTCACTTTTTCGATGCCCTTACGAATTTTTCTTTTTAAAATTTCACCAAAAGTCCAATCCCCCGATTGGACTTTTGGTGAAATTTGGCGGGTCAGCTTAGTTTATTTTTTATATTTTGAAGTTTTTTGTTATTCATAAAAAACAAACCTGAAGAATCACGTAAATTCCTCAAAATTATTGATTGAAGCTCCAATGGATAGCCTTTGAATAATTAACTTCAGGGGCAAAAGTTCACTAATGTCAAAAATTTCGGATTTATGATTTCTATACATATTCTTTTCCAAAGACTACCTTACGGAACTCGATAAAGTTGCCGCGTTTCACCGGCAAAGTCAGTTCGGAGAAGTAGCGCAATGCATAATTGATGACCTCCTGAAGACGTTGTTCGCCGAGAACGCTCTGGATAGTCTAAATGAAGGCGAATTTGAAAGGAGAAAACAGGCGATGAGGAACTTGAGAAGGATAAATCTCTGTGCCTTTGTAGCCGACGAGTCCGTTTTCCGAGAAGACGTAGTCAAACAAGGAAAGTACTGAAAATGAGGAAAAGTCAGGAAAATGAGAGGTTTTCTGACAATGCTCGTGGTCTTTGGCGAGTTGTTCAGTGATCTTCCGGAGGTCGGAGCCGCCGACGACCGCCAGAGGCAGTTTCCGCCGCGTCTCCGCCAGGAACGCTGTCATTTCAGGCGAAATTCCCTGGAATTGCCGCTCAGGTGGAAATTTCCTTCTGAAGTCGAACCTGTCGGGCCGGAGTCAGAGTCCCATCGACGTCGAACACGAGGATCGTTCTCGACATTTCTGCCCAGTCCTTTCTGGAAAATTGAAGAAAGGTTTTGAGAGTTTTCCACAGAGAAAACTCAAAATAACTTTTGAAAAACTATCCGTATCGCACTGATACTATCTTTTCCCGATAAACGTGAAGTTCAAACTTCTCCTATAAAAGGAATTAGAGAGGTCAAATATATTTTCAGATTCTGAGATAACTATTCAATTTACATTGTCAAGCAAAAAAAAGAAGGAGATTTATTTTATTCCAATCGATATTCACCATATATACACACAAAAAGAGATCATTGGGGAAATTTGTTAGCCGGAAATAGAAGAGGCGGCGGCTGAAAAGGCCACGTGGACCATTGGAGGGGCGCGTGTGCACCCACAAACATCAGGGCAGAGATTCAAAATGGGAGTCAGTTCGTGGCTTCCAGGGAATTCTGCACTGTCGCCGTCGGCTTGCCGGCTAAAAACGAGAAAGTCGCACTGTATTCCGGAAGTATTTGAAGTATTTGTAGATTAACTAACTCAGAACATGAATCGAAGCTAAGGAAAGAAATAATAATGGACTAAACCAAAAAAAATTATGCCACTCGGAAGCTGGTTTGAAGATTTCCATAACAGAATCTGCACTAGCCGGCCAATGCTCTCGTTTTTTTTTACGATATAAGAATGTCTTAAGAGTCTCAACCTGCCCATTTCTCGAATTTATAAGATAAGAAAATAGCTTCAAAAACAATTTTTACTGAATAATCTGCGAGAGAATGGAATTTTGGGACGATTCTTCTCGGAAAGTACATCACAGGAAGGTTTTTGCTAAGTTTCATTAACCCCTAAAGTTCCAAGTAAAACAAATCTTCTTGTGGAAAATATACCTGATGACGATATTCAAAGTTCTTATTGGTTACACCAGAATACCAGAATTCCCATATTTCTTTTCAATTTCACCAATAACAAAAATCTCGAGTAGAAAACAATATACTCAAAAGAGTAAAAAAACTTGATTGAGATTGTAATCTACATTGGAGGAAGATATGACCTTTGCTAGTGAGGAGATTTATGACGTTGCTGTGCCACTGCTGGTTGTACCACATCGACTGCGCTTCCATTCGAAGCTCAAAAAGACATTTTCAGCGGATCTGTCGCATTTATTTGCGTTACCTCAAAGTATTTGTAGAGACAAAGTGCTAATTCTGCCTCAGCGACTCCGAACAAAGTCTAAAAATAGAACTAAAAAAGGTTTTCGAGTGTCGAAATAACTACCCTCAACCATTTATGGTGCTTGGAGCATTTCTGTTCTGCTCTACAGCAATCTTGACCGAAAGGACTGAAAAACAACTGATTAAAAATAGTTAAAAATATACGGACTCTTCCGAATTGACAAGTTCATCTATCCTTATTGATTGATTGTCTTCCCATTTTAAAGGGAACCCGCAAACCTGGAAATGATCATCTCCGACTAGAATTGAACGGCTAGCATACCTTGAGCATCGACTCGAACGTCTTCCGCGAGTGTTCAGGACAAATCGACTTGAACCTCTTACAATAGGTTTTCTGCTTCTTGTCGTACACCTCGCAGTATATGTTCGTGAGGCTTTCGGTTTTCTGAAAGAGGAAATGAAGACGAAGAAGAGAGGGAAGTGAGACCTCTGTCGTGCCGTAGGAAACGGCGCGTTCTGATCTTTCGTAGCAGTCGTTGACGTGTTTGGGATAACGTCTCAAAGAAATGTCCGTCGACCCGCAAACCATGCAACTGAACACCTGCAAGATCCAGTTATACGGGCAAAAGGGGACGAAAACTACTGGATCCGTCGCTTCTGGATCTGGCGCATCTTTCGTCTGTTCGACGTCGACTTTCGATATTGTCTGCAAAAGATGCAAGAGTGAGAAACACAAAAACGCTAAAAAAAAAACGTTTATTTCACGGGTTACTGTGAAAACCTGACATTTCCCACCTTCGAAAAGCAGTGACTCAAAAAAGGATTTATGACACCAGAGTACTGCATTTATTGACCGTTCATTAACAAGCCTTGTGTCAGACACAATCTTACGTATCATTCAAAACTCTTCGCGCACCTGGATGTAGTTTTTAATCTTCTCTTGGAAACCGATCAGCTTTTTCTCGTGAATGGCCATGTCATCGAACCCTTTTTTGATCAGAGCGTGCGCGTCTGCGGCCAAACTCTGCAACATTTTCGTTTCATCAAAGAAAATTAGACGAGCATACAACTGCTTCAGAGATTTTCAAAAACTTTACTCCCTTTATCTTATATTCATAATGAATTATTCATAGGCACAAATAAACGGCTCTAGCAGAATCGAATACTGGGTCCATGAATAATTTGAGGATTGATAATCATAAGAAGTCAAATTTGAAAAAAATATTGGTCGATCCGAATCTACCTTCGGGAAAAATTTGTTGTGGTAAAACAAAAAACGAAGCCTCTGTTAATAATTTCCAGCGCACTGAAAAAGAAAAGAGAAGAAAATCCCACATCCACAGTCTCCTGTTTCTCCTGAAACAGAGAATCGGCATGACGCGGAAGAATCTCCAGCAGTCGGGCCTAAAAGGACAAAAGGTTCCTCGGGACACGGCTAGAGGGAACCTCAGCGACGGAAACGCCGCACTCGTCGCTGCAGTACTTGCTGTTCTTTCTTGCGGAGTTGATGCATTCGAGGCCGAGACAGGCCCGCGGCTTGTTGTCTCCTTTCGTGCTCAAGTCCCGTCTTTTCTTCGTTGCTTCCGCCATAACTGCAATTACTACTTGAGACATCGCCGTGACTGGGAACACTGGATCCGCAGATCTGAGTTTGTAGCCTATTCACAGCTAGCTTCCAAAACAAAAACTGTATAGACGCCCGCTATTCGCGCAATCTTTTTCTTAGCCATTGGAAATCTTCTTAAAAAATTTTTTCTTTATGAAGATGGAATAGTCGCGGCTTAGAGCGACATCACTTTTTTTCATCCTATGAAACTTTTGTCATTCTTTTTTTTCAGAGCCGTCGACTAAATATTGTCGTACTTGAATGATTTGGAATATAAAAATTTACAGCTCGATAATTGAGTTAAAATTTTTGTTTGAAATAATGAAAATTTGACTACTTCGAGTCTCTAATATCTAATTTAGTGTAAATTTCTAGAAGAGTGATAGAAAATGAATGAAAACTGACTGAGATATTGGCTTCGCGGATGTTTGACGCGACCCGTCGTCGGGGCAGCTTCTGCTGCAGCCGCTGCCGCCTGCTGAAAGATTTTTGAATTGGCAGAAGATCGCCTGAAAGTTACCATGGCGGCCTTCGTCGAGCCCTTTTTCCGCCCTCGACGTTTTTTCGCCCCGAGATCCGAGTCTTTCGAAAAGTCCACCGCTTTCCTCTCTGGTATTTTTTGCTTGAGAAATCACATTCTGTTTTGAATAAGGCTGGCTAAAAACTTTTGGTTTCAGTTGCAAGATTAACGACTATGGAATATTTACTTTTTGACCTTCAAAAATTGTCTCACGAAAATAGCCGAAATTCACATAACGATGAACTTCTTTTGACAAAAAATAATAATAAAAAGGAGCGATTCGGAGACATGCAGAAAGTGGAAAAAACCGTCACTGGAGCGTTCCTCGCTGCGTTTGGCTGCTGAAAACAGTTGGAAAGGTGAGATTAGATAAGAGAGACGGACGGGGCTCGAGACGAAGACAGCGCCGCTGCAGACACAGCTTGCCGGCCTGGCACGGCTCGCAGATGCCGCAGTTCTCGTGTCGCGCGCACTGGATGCAGTTGTTGCATCTGGGCGCTGAAAACGGAGTCTGTGCCGATCGGAGTTCAGAGGGGAAGGAAAACTGTACTTTCTCAAGAGAACGCAACAATGTCTTCTCCTTCCCTAGCCTACGCTTCTTGTTTTTCTTGATATCGTTGCTATCAAATAGAAACAAAAAGACGACTCTAATTTCAATCTCGAGAGTAGTCAGTGGAGCATCCCCAAGGGAAATTGAGATATTTTCCAACCGTCGAAAAAACTTTGGGAAGTTACGATTATTAAGTAATTGGGAAAGAACAAAAATGATCGCTCTCACCTTCCCAGTCATCAATGAATCTAGTCGCAGGGCCACTCATTCTATTTCCTTTTATTTCCTGAAATATTTTTGAAGCAAAAAAAAATCCCTTTTCAAGTACCCCAACAAGCCAATAACATGTAGAAATAAATAAAACGGAACTGAAACACACTTCATTTTCACAAATTCAAAATTCGAGGATTCTCATTGTAAATAACAATAGGGACAAATAAATAAAGATCGAAAACAGTAACAAAATTGGAAACCAGTAACACAAAAAAAAAGATCAAAGAGTAGAGCACGAGGTATCGGACTATATAAGGTTTCTACTGGACTTTCTCGAATAAATTCATTCTTCCGGACCAACTTCCTCAGTGAGAACCATTTCCGCCGTTGCAGGTGTTTCATCAGTAGTAGGAGCAACTGTTTGTGTCTTCTCCTCTTTTTCTGTTTTTTCTAGCTTCTTCTCTTCTTTTTCCTGTAAACTCACAGGTTTGAGACACCGACTTGAAAAAAATTCAGATCTCAGAACAAACCTTCGAAGCCACCTCTTTTTTCGGCGAAGCTATGTGCTTTTCAATACCCACAATAATACGATCGGCGTACTTGCGAATGTCCGTCAAAACTGTTTTCAAACTTGAGTTCTCTTCGCTCGTACTCTGATCAAATAATAATTTAATGAGGCTGAAGAAGCCTTCACAAATTACCTTCAAAGAGCTGGTCAGATCGCCGACCTTTTTCTTTGATTTCTCCAAATCTTTCTCCAGATCTTTTTTCTTTTTGTCAATATCCGATTTAGCCTCTCTCAGTTGATCTAAATATGAATAAACTCTTGAGTGGAATTGAAAATGACGGTACCTATCAAGGAAATGTTTTCGTTCAGTGAAGCTTTTGCAGAATCTCGTTCTTGTTCCATAGTTTTGAGCATTTTCAGCTTCAACGGCACATTGATGACATTTCCATTTATGATGACGTTTCCATCATCCGAAGAGCTTATTTCTCCATTTGGAGTGTTACCATCCAGCATTTTTGCGTAAGAAAGTCCGTATCCTAGAAAATTTTTTACAAATAGATATTTCGACATAATAAAAAAAACCTCTCGTCAGTACTGCGACATCGGGAGTTTCGTCCGCTTGTCCTGGTGTGAATTTCACTATACCGTCAGAATCAACCAGGACGTCTGTGAGGTGTCTGAAAAAATTAAAATAGATGGATAATAAGTAGTGAGTGCCGTTGATTATTCCAAAAAGAGAAAAAAAAACAAGTAATATCAAAAAGATCCTGTCCTTGCGCATCGTTTAATTTATGATATTTTCTGCGCTTTTTCACAAAAAGTGCCAGTGATTATAACATCGTTTTCTAGACAAAAACGACTGCTTTGAAAACCAAAAACGCATCTTATATGAAGATGTTCCGTTTATAGAGAAAAATAACGACCTAGGCGGCTTCTAGGTTCTGAATTTGTGTTGAAATATTATTTTGAACGTCTATTAACACAAACAAACAAACAACGAACCGATCTTTTTCATTTATTTGTATGAACAAAAAAATTCTGTCAGAAAAAAAGGGAAACACTTTTTAATCCTAACAATCTACTTTTTATGAAGCTCTATAAACTGCCCAAACAGCGATAAAATTCAAAAAAAAAACCTGTAGTTGATCTTATCACGAGAAGAAAGTTTTTTGGACAGTCGTTGAATTTGGCCACGCGAGAGTCCAAACTCCCCATTGAACAAAATCTCTTCAATGTCTTTTTCCATGATGTATCTGTAAAGATTTTGAATTTCTGAAAAACCGACAAATGAAAATCTACCCGCAAAGATTTTGATCAAAGTAGGCGAATGACTCGAAGACGTTACGATTCGAAACGATGCTTTTAAGATCAATTTTCTCCGGTTTCGTCTCTTCTTTCTTGTCCTCTTTGTCCTCCTCTTTCTTTTCGACTGGCGCTTTTCCGCGGGCGTCGTCACGTCGTTTCTTCTCTTCTTCTTTATCTGCCGATACACTTAGAGCAGTGTAAATTCCAAACGCTGACAAACGTTCAACCATTTCACGGAATGCTTCTGCGAACAGAGAAACCTGGACAAAAAAAAACTATCTCGTCAAAATATTAAAAAAAAACCTCGAATTGGCTTTCTTTGTTGTCTTCCGATCGATATTCCAGCATAGAGTTAAGAGAAATGACTTTACAATCGAACTTTCCTTGCTTGGCAGTTTTCGAAGGATAAACGAAAATCTGAAAGCATCTTACTAGTGATTTGGTCCAAAAGTGGAAACTCAAACCTTCTTATCTTTTGGCATAGCAAAATGACGCTCGAGGCTGTCTTTCTTTTCTTTCTTTTCCTTTTCGATTTTCTCATTTTTCTTCTGAAGTTCTTCCGCTTCTTTTTTCAATTCAGCTTCGGTCTTTTGAACTTGTTCAGTAATCTGAAATGAAATGATAAAAAAATCATAATAACGAATAGAATCCGAAGTACCTCCTCAGGTTTCTCTGTCTCCGACTCTTCTTTCATAACGACATCATTGAGGCTGTCATTTGACCCATCATTTTGCTTTTCAGCGTCAAGAGCAGCTTGAAGACGTTGAACAAGCAAAGTTTTGATGCCTTTGGTCTCTAGAGAGCGCGCTTCAAGCTCCAATCGAAGTTCAGCAACCTGAAAACTTTGTTAAATGCAAGTAAAAATTTTGAAAACAAACCTTCATGGCCTTTGTGTCGAGTTTGCTCCAATGAGAAGCCTCGGGCTTTTCATCATCTCCCGTTTTCTCGGCCGCAGTCTCAAGAGACTGATCAGCTAGTTCTTCCTTTTACGACATTCGTACCAGTTACTTCCACCTGAAATAGTATGAATATTTTTCGCCAATAGGAATTGATCAAGTTTACGCCCAAAATGTGATTATCGTACTAAATTACATTTTTTTTTCTCCAAACAAGGCTTTACCTGACGAAATCCAACGAAAAAAAAAACATTCATGCAAGAAAAACGTGCGAATTAGAAGAAATGTGTGAGGTTAATGATGTCCCGCCGAAACATTAAATAAAACAAAAAAGTGTTAGAACGAGGGTATAGTGGAAAGCGGTTAACTATCGGAAAAGGTGCTTGCAGAAGCGAGGACGGTACTTTCCTTGGGTGTCGCTGAAACTGAATCGACTGGCGGTTCAACGACGTTCAAGGCGTCAAGCGCGACGATCTTCGTTTGCAGCTGCTCACTCAAAGACGCCTGAAGCGCATCCCAAGAGTCGTCACTCGGCGTAAGTAGTTGCGTGTCGGGCCACAGAAGATGAACTCTGTCGACGCGGTCCTTGTCCGAACGGTAGTAACGTACTTGGACCATCGAGTACCTGTGGATGAGCAAAACAATTGACGACTCACATTCTCTGAGCCTAAAACTATGCGCAACCCTTCCCCTAATCAAATAATCTTCTCAGCTCACTAGTAGAATTATCATTGATGTCGCCAGAACGTTAGAAATTGACTTCCGTTTTTTTTCTTCTCGAATACGACTGTAACATTTTGCAGCCAGAAAAAATAGATGAATATATAGCAAGAGAGCGTTGCCGTACAAAATCGAAGAACGTTCAATGAAGAGAGGAAATTCCGAAAGAAGAAAAATATTTTGAAGCCCAACCATTGTGGAACGATGGAGAGATCGATTCCAGTGAGAGCTTTGGTTGTACGAACGGCAGTGCGAATGAGAGTGGCTGGAGATGTTGGATCAGCGCCGTCTAAAGATGGAGACCAACTTCCTCCGATTCCCATTAGCTCCTTGCCTCGCGATCCTGAAACCAGAGACTATTTTTGATCAAAACAATGAAGCTTTTAGAGAAAAAATCACGAAAAAATTCCGTCTAAAGCTTTAAACTTAAAAAAAACGTTCATATATAAGTACCGCTAAATTTTTAAACTTTTTTTCTCAACCAAATTTAACCTTTCTTCAATTCTCTGAAACTTTCAACTTGAAAATAGAGAAGGATTTCGATCTTGACATATTGAAACCAGTCCTTGAAAACATTTCAAAAGTATACAATTTAAAAAACTCTCTATACTATTGAACAAATGTAAATAATTCTCGAAAAAAGCCTTTCAAAAACCCACCAACGAGGAAGCTTATGTTTTTGAAAACCGATTGAGGTTCTTGATGGTCATCGCTTGAACCATCTGGCATCAAGCAATACGCTTTTTTGAGTATTTCTGATTTTCCCGCATGAGACAGCAGAAGAACCTGAGAGAAATCTTTTCATATAGAAAGATTCGAAAATATCAGTTACTTTGACTTGGTGTCTGTGATCAGCGTCGTCCGGCTCTAGAATAGCTTCTTCCTCGCCTGGTCCCAGTGGAAAATCAACGTCCTTATGAAAAACGTGAAATTGAATCTTAAATCATCCTTTGAAAAGAAAATGCTTGGTAGAGATACCGGATTAGTAAAATCTATCGACATCTCCAGTGGAATTCTGCTGGACCAATCAAACGACATATCTACGAAGTCCGAAGGGAGGTACATTTTCGAATACCTCGAGCGGAGTGTTGCGCCCGATACAACGTCACTGAAATTGAACTTTGAGAAATGTTCCATAAAGTTGCCTTACCTCAATAAAACTTGTTTCTGCGCTTTACACTCATAACGAGGGATGATTCGAGCACGGCGTCTTGGAGGACTTGCACTATCGCGTCTAACGGATGGCGCAACGCTTCCACTGCCTGGGCTTCTCTCTCTTTTTCTTTCGCTTCTTTCAGGCCTAGCAGGACTAGAACGTCTGACAGGAGGAGGAGAACGTCTCGGACTTCTGAAATACGCAAAAAATTTAAATGAGTGATAAAAAATCAAAAAAACAAAAGGACTAAAATATAACCTTCTGCTTGGTCGACTTGAGGGAGGGTCGCGCTTGGGACTTATTCGGCGAGGAGAAGCTCGTCTTGGTGGAGGCGTTTCTCTTCTCATACGTGCAGGAGAAACTCCTCTACCATTAGAAGACCGATCATTTCCGCTTCCAGGTCCCCATCTATGACAGTTATTTTTATTAATATTTTATTCATTGCCATTATTTAAAAATAAGAAAAAATTTAAAATTTAATTTTATGCTCTTTTGTTTCAAAACAGTACCTAGACTGTTCCACCGTTCTTGATGGAGGCTGTCGCGCCGCAGGTGCAGGCATTTCTTGTGGAGCTGGTGTGGCATTAAGCAACTGAATGCGGAACGCGTTCCATTTGAACGGCATTCCTGGATTGTAATTCGCTTCAACCATCACTTTGTCGTTAACTCGAGGGTGTGCTCCGCGAATAACACTTGAAAAAAAAATCATTCTTAATCGAAGCGAACTTTCCGGTGTTTTCACAAGTATTCGGTATATCACAACGAACCTATGCTGGAAAAAGACGTCATCGTCAACAAAGCCGTAATTGTCAAGCATTTTTGTAACGGTTCCCACGAACGTGCGGTTTTTTGCGCCTTGAGGTACCGCAAGACCATTTGCAGGCTGAAAAGAAAAGTTCGGTATGAAATAATAATATCTCACCTGAGCTGGAGGCGCACGAACGGCCTGCGTTGGTAGTTGCTGCGGTGGTTGTTGAAGCTGTTGTTGAGGGACAGCGCCCATAATTCCTTGCATTCCCATCATGTTTGGCTGTGAGAATGCAGCTTGATTAACCATTCCCATTGGTACGCCCATCATAGGAAATCCGCCAACGTTCATAGTTGGAAATCCTGGCACTTGTCCACCTGACCAAAACAAACATTATCAACGAAAAAAAAAATGAGCCAAACCTCCTGCTGGTGGCCGCCCCCATCCGCCCGGCTTTCCAGCGCCGAACTGAGACATCTGAAAACTAGAGACTTTCAAAAAAATCGAAAAAACTCATTACCACACTTGAAAGGAATCAATTGATTCAAAAAAAAAAAAGGTTGTAATTGAGTATGGTGGCGTATATGTTGAAAAAATTAAAAAATCTCAACTTTCTGTAAGTGGAAAAGCATGTGCTACTCAAAACTATTCTACTTGAAAAGGAAATTATTCTTGTAGAAAGTTTTCACATGAAAAAAATGGAAAGATTCTTTCTTTTTTTGAAAGCAGAAACTAATTACAAAATGAAGTTTTATTAATTTTTTTATTGAGTTCAACAGCCGACGACTATCGACTGATTTTTTTCAATTTGATAAAGAATAAAAAAACAAGAATATATATTTAAAAAGAAATATAATAATTTTTACCGCGACGCAGCCGCAAAAGTCTTTTTAAAACGTTCGCTGCGAAGAACGCTCTCCAGGGAGGCTCTGCGCCTTTAATACAGTTCAGGCCTGTTTTTCGGTTCAACATATTCTGTTATTGTTTTTCATGCCGCGTTTAAAGTAATAAAACTACACGCGGAGAAATTGTTTTTTTCCTGTTTACAGCCACGAGCCGAAATTATGCGCGCCGATATTCGTTGGCAACATTCCAACATAGTCTCTTTTTCTTCTTTTTTTACATAATTTTTTTCTTTTTCAATTTTCAACCCGTTCAAAGCTATTGATTTTTAGAAATAGTACGAATGAAAAACCTTTAGTTAATTTTTTTCGACTGTTTGAACTTGACAAAAAGTTCAATTTTTTTCTCAAATTTCGTATTTATCGAGTTTATTCCAACGAATGTATCAGAGTGTTTGAAGTTGCAGGTCTCTAAACTATGGCGGGTATTGGATTACCGAAAGTGTTAAATTTGAAAAAAAGGTTAATTTTTATTCAAAAACTTTTTTTCCCAATTATGTTTCAAAATTTTTGATTATTTTCACAAAAATTCAGACTCGTTAGGGAGGAAGGGGCTGCTCGTGTGAAGGTAGCGCGTAATTTTCGACGCCACGGGCAATAAGAAATTTGTGAGTTTTTTTCTTATAGATCTCTTAATAACTAGTTCATTTAATTCAGAAAAAAAGTATTGAATTTTTCAGCTCATTCGAACAAGACGTTGTGGTCAGCCGGATAAATTTGCAATTTATCATGTCTCGAAAATTCACAGCTTTTTAACTTCTCCTTTGTTTCAATGATTTTGTTTTTGTTTTATTACGCATTTATTTCCTCCATCTTTTTATTTGAATAAAGATGATGAGCATCAATTTCTTGAGGAATAAATGTAAAAAAACAAGCTGCTTAGTTAATCAAATTCAAAACCTAATAACAGACTGTTTTGTTGTCAAATTTTTTTCTGAAATGCAGAAGAAAAACAATGAATTTTTTTATTAGAAAAAAAGTTCCATAAAAGAGAGATCCAAGTTTCACGTGTAGTCTTTCGGCGTGTCCTTCGTAAACCGATCGTCTAGGCCTGAAAGAATAAAAAAATTTTTCCGTGGTATTAATTTTTCGTGTTAAACTGAACAGACAAGACATATTGAAAATGAAGAAAATAATATCGAAGAACAAGAAAAACTCACGAATTTATGCTTGACTGTAGAGACGAATATTTTTGCGTTACCTTCACACGAGCCGCCCGTCTTTCCCTGACGAATCTGAATTTTTTTGTGAACAAAATCAAAAAAATTGTAAAAAGAAATTAGAAAAATTTTTTAATAAAAAAATAACCTTATTCAAAGATAAAACTCGGTAATCGAAGACCCGCCATAGTTTAGAGACCTGCAACTTCAAACACTCTGATACATTCGTTGGATAATAAACACGATAAATACGAAATTTGAGAAAAATTGAACTTTTTTTCAAGTTCGAAAAAGTCGAAAAATTAACTAAAGTTTTTCATTCGTACTATTTCTGAAATTAATAGCTTTGAACGGGTTGAAAATTTAAAAAGAAAAGAAAAAAATTATGTAAAAAGAAGAAAAAGAAAAAAGAAAACTGTGTTGGAACGTTGCCAACGAATATCGGCGCGCATAATTTCGGCTCGTGGCTGTAAACAGGAAAAACAATTTCTCCGCGTGTAGTTTTATTACTTTAAACGCGGCATCAGAAAATCTTTTTATGGCGTCATCGGACAATACGAAAATTGCTTCGAAACGTAGAAAAAATAGCTCCAAAGCAAAAATTACTACTGTTTGGAGCGTTTTTGGCCCGCCGATGAACACGCTTTTTCGTTTTGAAGCATGTTCCGTTTCTCCGATGAACACGCCATTACGGTTTTTTGTACCAAGAATATTTCTAAAAAAAAACTTCCCATTTCTAATTGTTTTCGATCTAACCGGAAAATTTCAAAATTTCGCAATAGTAAGTCTTCTTCAAAAAAAAATTTTTGACGTTTCGATAGCTACACCCAACATAATTGCCGATATCGCAGCGGGCCGCACGCGATATAGCTAAGGCTTCTCGCTGCGATCTCGTCCACATGTCGCTGCGACCTCGTCAAAAGTCTCGCTGCCATATCGCTCCCACTCAAAAAAATTTGAAATTTGAAAAAAAAATTTTTTTGCTTTATTTTTTTGACTTTTATGATGAAATCAATCAAATTCAAGAAAAAAATTTTGAAGAAAAAAATTTTTTTCAGAGAGCGATATAGCGGAAGCTTCCGAAGACGTTTGCGGGGTCGCAGCGAGAATCGAGCGATATCGCTCGCGGCTCCCCCGCGGTATAGCGTTACTCTTGCTGCGATATAGTCCACAATTTTGGGTGTAGCGATATTCTTTTTCTTCTACTCAGTGCTTCGTTAGTCTGAAATTAAAAACTTTTCGTTTATGGATCCAGTATAAATTTCCTTTCTCTATGAATTTGAATTTTCAATGGGAAAAAAGGATTGAGAGATATTATTCATTAATTTTTTTTTGAATGTCGATTTCTCCGGGTCTGAAATCGAAGTTTCCGTCCATCTTACAGAATGCTGCGGCAGTCATTAAAAATAATAACATATTTTTAGCTCAATTTTTTGAAAGAACTTTCTTTCTTGCTCACCTCGGGCTTCATCGAATTTTGAAATATGATACGATGACGCATTATGCACCAATGCATTGATCGCGCGTGTCATTGTTTCCTGCCGTAGTTTTTTCAAATCTCATTCTTTTCTTTTATAATTTTGAACTTTTCAGATGTCTGTAGTTAAAGCGGAGTACGACTTTGAGGCGCAGCCGAACTCTGGTGAAATGAGTATAGCAAGCGGAGAACTGCTCACTGTTATCCGATCGGTATTTTTTCCAACTTTTTTAAAGACATTTTGCGATTTTATGTGTGGGAAATTTTATTAATTACAGAACATCGAAGGTGGTTGGCTGGAAGGTCGCAACAGCCGTGGCTCCGTTGGTCTGTTTCCAGAGACCTACGTTGTCCCTTACACTCCGCAATTAGCGCAGCCGGTAAGTCGAAAAAACCAAAACTTACCTTTCGAAAAAGACAGCGGCGCTGCCTCGTTAATAGACCAAGCGCACACGTAATCGAAAATAATTTGGCTCAATTCTCTTGCGCGAGTCCCAGGAGGACGTGTCCTCATCGCTCCTTGCCCCAATGTCATTCCGACTCATTTATCTCATCAGCCTGAGACATACGGAGTTTTTCGCATCACTTCTCGGTTGGAACTCGCCGCGCGATGCTTTTCACCTCTAGTCTGCGTAAGGCCGTCGACCTCTACGACCATCCGGCGGCCGCCGCCGTCGCTGCCACGGCCGACGACACGGCACGTCTTCTAGCGGAACGACGTCGCAAGCAGCTCATTCGACGTCACACTTGCGGAACTTTGAAGCCGGATAGTGCATCGCGTGTTGTCGCCTTGGATTCTCTTAATACGATTTCTGAAGATGGACCGGGACTCTCTCAAGCTGAGGTCTTCGTTATAGCCTGTTCTAAAACGGTAGTATTCTTCAAAGACGCGATACGTGCATCCGTAGATCAAAAATTGAACATCACCTCTTCGGCTATCGAAATATCATTAAACATATTCTTAGAGTATGCGCAAAAAGACGCTGGAAAAGGGTAACTTGAAACTTTCGAATTTGCCATTAATTGGTCGAAAAACTCTTTGAAGCTTTTCATGAAAACATTTAATTATTCGTTTCAATTTTCTTTCGAGGTCGTCCGCTCTGTTTTTTAATCGTCGAAACTAAGAAGCCGTTCATATATTTTTTTTTTTCCACGTAAACTCGTCTCGTAACCGGAAGAAGGTTTTGGTCAAACTTGTGTCTGAAATTTCGAGTGAGCTTCTTCGTGAGGTTTCGAAATGTTTTGCAAGTGTTTTAGGACAGATATTATCAGACAGCTCAATTCAAGAAATTTTCTAAAAGCATACGTTAAGCTCAAAGTCCTGTCCTCCTAAACGTGTCTAAAATAATTTTCAAAGCAGAATAAGGGCTTTCCTAGGAAAAAAAAATACCATTTTAAAACAAAGTGAGTTTCATGTATCCACCTTCAATGTTTGAGGTGCCCCCACCGCCTCCGCCTTTTCACGCTGCGACCACTTCTTCGACTTCTTCTTTTTCAAATGCTAGAAACCTGGATGACTGGGGAACAACTTTTGGATCGAATACAACTCCGCCATCCACACTTCCACAAAGTTTGTTTTTGTTTGCTTAAAACTTGAAAATTGCAACACATTTTTTTTTACTCTTTTGAATTGTTTTTTTTTTCACCATTTTTTGTTACTATTCACACGAAAGACCATTTCGAGTTGAAAAATGACTGATAAATATTTTAAGTTCCTTCGGCGCAAAACAGTGCAGCAGACGATTTTGACGATGAATGGACTGATGATGACGAAGAACAGGCGGTCAGTTATCTCCGTATTCACGCTCTTTTTTGATTTTTTCTTTCTGAGGTCGTATGCAGAAGAGTTTTCTGATAGGCGTTTACAAGATTTGAAACGTCTTGAATTCATGTAAATACCAGTAACTCAGCGCTTTTGAGTAAATTACTAGAACTCCTGCTCACGACTTTTGTACCGTTTGTAGCTTCTTCTTTGCACGCCAGGATTTTCGAAAGTTTTCCGAATCGGTTTGAAAGTTTTTGAGTTGGAGTGTCGCTTATTGCTGGGCTTCTTTGTCACCCACCCCCGTCTTTTTGATCTACTTGACCCTTGGGGACGCGCAACGTGCAGGAAAAAGGTTTTTACGTGTTTTTCCCAACACAAGAGGATCAAGAACCAAATTTACAAGCTTCATTTTTTCATCTTTCTCTCACTTTGAGAAATTTTTCTAATGTCGTTATTTTTGTTGTTGTAAAATCAATTTCATCTCATTTCTATTCCCTCAAAAATTTTTAATCAAGTACTTCTGTCTAATTTTTCAATCGTTTTCATTTGAAGTTTAGCGAAGGAGGTTTATTTTTCGTTCCTTCCTAGTTTGAACATATAAAAAAATATGATTCTCATAAAATTTCAGATATTGAAGCCATGCTATAGCTTTATTTTTATCTTTAATTATCTTTATCTTTACGACCTTTCTGACTTGGCCAATTTTATATTTGGCCCGGCTAGTGAATAGTAACTTTCTTCTTTGTTTCTTTTTGGTGAACAACAAAGAAATCTTGGCCTCGGGTCTTAAATCAACCGGATACGAGTGGCGACGTCAGGGTTCTAGTGAGTCGAGAAACAACTTCCGTTCTCGCAACTCTTCGTATCAGAACAAAAAGATCCCAAAACGAAGTTTTCGATCTTTGTGTCGAGTTTTTCGGCTCCTCTATCGTGCTGATATTACAGGAAGGAGATGTTGTTCGCTAGAGGCCGATCTGCCAGTGCCGTCACCGTCAATCTGCTGCATCCCATCGCGAGTATTCACGAAGACCATGTACGGCTATAGGATTTTCTTCTTTCTAAACTTTTCTTTCTCTTAATCCTCCGAAAACAATAGTCTTAGTCTTATATTCGGCTGTCGTTCTTCCAAGTTCGTTTTGAAAAAAGCCGAATCGTGCATGTTGCGTTAAGTATTCAGCCAAATGCTCTCTCAGTTTCCATTAAGACTGCAGTCCGTCTTTTTATTTTTTCAGTAACGACCACATGCTTTTAACCACTCTGAAGTCCCATGTAAGTTTACGCCAAAATTTAGCTTTCAACGTTTCAATTTTTCTTTCAAGTAATTTCGTATCGTGTACTTGAATTTTTTTCGGTTAGCTCCATTTTTTTTTGGCAGGCGAACGACTCTATTGCAAAAATTAACTTTTTTGAAGGGTTAGATATACTTTTTAGACATAAGGTTAAGATAGAATGTCGGTCTTACTCACGTTTTCATATTTGGGAGTTCGATGAAAGCCATGAGAAGCTGGCATCTTGATTGGGGCCATTCTCATTTGTTGAAAAGCTTGACGCCCAGCAATTCGCTCGTCCCGAGTTTCCATTACCACATTGAGCAACTTCTTCTCTCACCCTCTGCCAACAATTCATTCGATAGACAAAAAGGAACTATGCCAAATGCAGACTTTTACGTCTTTGACGTTCCTTATCCAGTGGTCCGTAACTGTCACAGATCTAGCGTCTCATTTTCAAGTCTGGTAAGGTATTTAGGTTTAGCCACTGATAATATAGAAATATTAAAAGGGTGAAAATTTTGTCATTCTGTCGAAAAGATCTTTATTCATACATAGGTGAGTTCATTTTCGGAATAGATAGAGAGAGAGAAAGGCGGAAAGAACTTGAAAAATATATTGAGAGATTTTTAATGAAACTTATATGCTGAGGGATGTTAAGAAAACTCGTTTTTAATATGCATTTTTTTATTTTCAACTATGTCTTTTTGCTCTTTGAGAAATACTTTGAGCATAAAGATATTAGCTGCCCATCAAAATTTCTTCTCTATTTTTTTTTTTTGATGTGCATTCCGACTTCTTAGGATCACCGTCTCTCGGTGCAAGACCCATTGACTTCGGCGCAAGTACGGCAGATGCTGCTGAGTAGAACAAGTGGATCACGGACGGACATGTCGACAGACGACGAGACGCGAAGCAGCAGCAACGCCTTCCTCGAGAAGGACTACCACGCTTTGCACCAACGCAACGGTGGGCATCGTGGCAAGCGTCCAAGTCGTCGAAGACGCCGCAGCGAGGACCGCGCAAGCTCTAAAAGATCGGAGAAAAGCCTGACAATCAGCTCTCTGGCAAGCAAGGTACCTGCCGTGAGACGTCGTGAACGATTCTTCTTGTGGACTGCTCGGAGTCGTGGCGTTCTGTGTTGGAGTTGCACTTCGTTTTGTCGCGATAACTTTTTTTTCTGTGTCCGCAATTAACGTTTTGCTTTTCGTCAAGTAGGGAAATTGACAGTATTCGAAATGTTGAAAACTTTTCAATACTTGTCTTCAGGAACCTACACGGTCGAGCAATGCCACCGCTCTGGGCAATCGGGAGATTGTGCGCAGCCACTCGGCTCATTCTGCAGAGAGGCAGGGCAAAGTCAATCGCAATATCAACCGGTATCAATTATTATTTTTGAGCTGAGGTAGAGTCGGTTCGAAAATTTCAGATTCTCAAACTTTGTCAAGTCGGGAATGGAGGCATACCTTCTCGGAGAGACAAAAATGTCGCAAAGTCCTTCAGAACGCCACGAAATTGTTGTGAGTCGAATCAAAAACTCTATTTTCTATTTGTTTTTTGTCTTCCAGTCTCTGAACGGCGTGATCCAGTGGAAGCCGATCCAGAAGCACTACAACTGCCTCGTCGACAAACCCAAGAAGGAGTCGAAGCTCAAGGGCCTCAAAAGCTTCATCGCCTACTCTCTCGTTTCTTCTCTCACTAACATACAGGTTGGCAATTTTTTTTAAGAAAAAGAAATTTGATGCTAGTTCATAAAACTTCCTCCTTGATTTATTGAAGATTTTCCTTTGATAGCGGAAGACTTGTTCTTTTTTTCGTTATCGAAAAATTTGATTATCCTTATGAAACAACGAAAAACCAATTTTCAAGGCACTTAGGAGCTAGTGAAACGAAATCCAACTAGAAATTTGAAAAAAAATTTGTTTCTGTCTGTATGAAATTGGAAAAAGCTCTTGGAGTGATGCAAATGCTCTATGGTCACATACTTTGGTTTTTTCAAATAGTTCTTTCCAATTTTCTCTTGAAACAGACTCTACTGCCGAAACCAAATCTTAAAAGTCCTTAATGTTGATTTTGTAGGTTTCCCGGCGCTATAAGCACTTTGACTGGCTGCACGAGCAACTTTCGGCCAAATACCTCCTGATTCCTATTCCGCCTCTGCCGGAGAAGCAGGTCGCCGGCCGCTATGAGGAGGACCTCATCGACCATCGAAAGCACATTTTGCAGCTCTGGGTCAACAAAATCTGCCGCCATCCGGTCCTCAGTCAAAGCGAAGTTTGATCCCTTTTATCAAAGTTTTTGCATATAATTAAATATTATAGGTGTGGCTGCACTTCATCAGCTGCACGGATGAGAGGGAATGGAAGAATGGCAAGAGGAGAGCTGAAAAGGTTTTTTCGAAGTAAATTCCAGATTTCATATTCCTTCCTATAGGATGAATATGTCGGTGGAAACTTTATGAACTGCCTCACGATTCCGCCGCCAGTGCTCGAAATCTCTGTTGTGTAAGTTTTTCATAATTTTTTTGGCCTCAACGTCCCCCTAAATTCGAGATAATTTTATATTCTGTATCTTAACCTTTAAGTTTCTTTGACAAATGAATATCCTGAAAATTTCCATTGGAATGATAGCATTTTAGAAAACCTTCGATACTCTGAGGGGATTTCCAACGATCGTCCTACAAAAATTATAGCTGAAGTTACTTTTTTGCTATAATTTTCGTTTACTTTTTAAGTGCCCCAATACTAGAGAAATTCAAATATTGTGGGCTTCTCTGGGATGTTTTCCCTCTAGTAACCGGATGAACCATCTTCTTTTTTAAGTTAATTTTCAGTTCAATTTTCGTCGTTACAGAGAGCGACAAGTCGAGAAATTCCAAAGAAGTGTCAAGACCTCCGAAGATGCGATGCGAACGATGCAAGAACGCATGGTTGTGTTCCAAAAGGCCTTTTCTGGGCGTGAGTTTTTGTTCAGAGTTTTCTTTGGATCGTAGAATTCAAGTTTCATCTTATTTTGATTTGCAGCAGTCAAACAGAACTGGCAGAAGATGGGAGTGGCTTTCAAAACTTTGCAGCAATCATTCGAAACTGACGATACACCTTGTGGGTTTTTTGAATTTTACTCTTTTTCAAATTTGAATTCCTTTCCTGTTTTAAAATTTTTTCATTAGCGACTTGGAGCAGAAAATCCCGTTTCTTCATCTTCTACAAGATTAACCTAGCTTTTAAAATATTTTAGAAGCGTTGTTTCTTTTTTTTTTAACTTCTCTTTGCGAAAAGGAAGTCTCCTTATTCATACTTGAAATACTTGTGATTTTCAGCGAGTCGCCGCCTGACGGAGGCCTTCGCCAATACCGCCGCCGAGTACCACGAAATCGGAAATCTTTTCGATGCTCACACTAGAAATGACATGGAACCCGTCGTCGAGAGCCTTTTCTCCTACAAAGGAACCGTCCAGAACGTTCCTGATATCTTGCATCTTCACAGGGTCTGCCCTTTGCTCTTTTTCAACGTAATTGTGCCTGAGCTACAGCAAACACTGCAAAAGTTCCGCGACAGCGAAGGTCGACTGACGCAAGCCGAGGCAGAGAAGATGCGTCAGCGCGTCAACGTTGCCAACTACGCCATGTTGGCTGAGATGAACCACCAAACTAGCGAAAAGGTCCACAAAATCTTCATTACCGCCTTTTTAAATGTTGAATTTGAGGTTGACGAACTGAAGGAGACCATGGGCAAGTTCCTTCGTAAGCAGGCCGACTTCTACCAGGAGGTCTCCAACAAACTGCGATCTCTCGCGTCTCGCTATGACTGATTTCGTGCCTTTTCTTGTACTAATACTCATTTCTCATCAAATATTGTATTTATGTATCCTAAGAAGAATTACTAACCTTCAGCTTTCATCTTCTCCGGATGCCTAATTGCAGAAAAGTCATTATCATGGCGTAATATGATGTGTGTATATTCGGACAGTGCTTTTAAGTTTTTTTTTTCTTCTTCTTGTTCTATTAGGGTCTTCTATTTGCTCGCAATGGCGCTTTTTCGCTTATTTTTAAAATTGAAGTTAAAACTAAAGTCCCCGTGATTCTTTGTGCTATAATCGCTATAATTTGCAATAATTTTGTGATCATTTGTGATAAAGAAACTTTTATTTGCAACTAATGTGTTTTACAGCCTTGGAAATGGACGGTATGGCAGGAACCCGTAGTTTCAACATATTTTGATACTTCCCCAACAAGTTTGAATGAAAAAAGGTTAATACACATACACTACTGTAATCCCTGTAACCCGCTAGTTTCTAAATGTTCAACCTTGACAAGAAGTCTTCAAACTAGAGCGAAATGACCAGAATTGCTGATTAGGAGAAAATAATTAGAACCCGTGGTAGGCTTGCAATTATGGCTGTGTTCGAGGTCTCTCTTCAGAAGAGGGCTCGAACTCTACTTGAGACCATTTCTAGCGGAGGTTCATTGTACATATAAACGCGAGTCTATGTCTTCGACGATGGCCGAGTCGAAAGTCCCCGAAACTTCTTCGTGTTTTCTGCGAGCTTCTAACCGCGGCTTATCTCGAACCTGAACTTTCAAAGGTCTCGTTTTTTTCGTCCCTGAAGGAGAGGTGAACCTCGAGCTGCGCTTCGATTTGTTGGGACAGTTCGCCGCTCATGTAGGCCGAGTCGAAACGTGAAGAATCTAGAGAGTCCATTTTCTGACCGACCGCCTGAAAAGAGTTGTCTTTTGGAATACGCAGAATTTTTTTCATGGTGGGTCTTGATTCAAACGAAAAACTGACGCCAACGACCGGAATTGCATGCGGATCTAGCAGAAGTTCTTGCGTTTCGTTAGAGTTTTCTGGCACTTCTTCCAATTCTGAAGTCGTCTCTTCCAAATTCTTGTGAATGTATGATCTCACTGGACCCTCTATCGTACGGTGATGAGTCTTTTCAAACCTGAAAAGTCGGTTTTTGGCTTTCTTTTTTCATGTGTATTCATTTGTTCTATCTGCGTTGATATTCGCCCAACAACTATAGAGTCGCCTGATCTTTCTCCCACTTATCCTGATGCTCGAAAAGAAACGACAGCTGACCATTTGGGTTCGCTTTCGACGTAGTGAGCCATGCGAGTGGCGGCGGCGTGAAGCCGGGAAAGGTCGGCGTGGTATCCGGCGAGACGGGTCTCGTTCTGACGGTCGCCGTCGCAGATCGACGCCGCCAGAAGACTCAGGTTGTCCGGAATCGTGTACTGCAGCAGCGGCGACAACGCGAACAACGTGTACTTGGACGGCGTGTAGGAGAATCGCACAGAGATGACGCGAACGTGTCTGAAGCAAAAGTAGACGGAGGACTCGAGGAGGGGCACGAACTGCAAGGCGAGGTCGATCTGCTGGAGGAACAAGGCGTCGTTTTGTCCAGGACTGAGCCTTTCGATGGCCGGCTGTCGCAGTTGTCGGGCCAGAACTCGCTGGTAGGCCCCCACGGAGTTGATCACAATCACCTGAATTCCTCAATGTAGCTTTTATTTTCTTTCCTTTCTACCTTATCCGCCCTGACGATACTTGCATTGATGTAGTCTGATCGGTTCCTTTCAATGTCTTCTTCGTCGTAGGCATCCAACTGGAAAACTTATTTGAGTAAAAAAAAAAACTTCGAAACCAAGCAACGACCGAGTTAAAGAAAGGGTCTACCATCTTAAGTGTTTTACTGCTTTTTTCTCAGCATTTTCTTTCAAAGAATTCATTTGAAGATTCTTTTCCAAATAGCGCGTCTCAACAACTTATAATCTACTCGACCTCTAATCAAACCATTCAACAAACTTTTCATAGCAAAACTCATATAGTTTTTTTTTTCTCAAATCTCTCATAGCTTTTTCTCCAGGTTTTGTTTTTATCTTGCACAAATTCAAGAAGAATCTGAAAACAGACATGGACGTCAAGCCCCAAAGCGTTGCGGAGGAGGTCGGCGAAGGCGCAGACGGCGGCTTCGTGAAGAGCACAGTCGTGGGAGTAGATGATCAACGCCGAGTTCTTGGCTGAAACTCTTTGATTAGTCGGGAATCACTCGACGAAAAACCGTTGTAGATGAGCGGCGTCGAAGTCTGCGAATGCGGCGGCGGCTGGTCGGAGATGAACCGGATACGCACCATTTTGCCGCTTTTCTCGTACTTGCGGTAGCATCCGACGACCAAGAACGTCAGAACACAGATCCCTCCGAGAAGGACCAACACCGACAACACCGCGAAGACGTACCTGAACTCCGAACACGGGCTTCTATGTGAAAATTTCTTTATTTTTTCTGGTAACTCAAGCTCATTGGTTTACAGTAAAGTAAACCGTTTAATACTAGGAACCTAACAGACAAAAAATGATTCTTTGAATAAAAGCTTGCAATAAATTGAAAAAATATATATATTTCCTGTTGTGAATAGTTTTTTCTAACTCTCAAATAGACGCAGGAAAAGCACTCTTCGTCAGAGCAGCCAGGTGAAAGCGAATAGTCTATGCAGATACAAAAAATTTCTCCCGACAATATTATCAGCTATTCCGAAAGCCTACTAAGTTCAATGAGCATGACAAAGCTTTTACGTGGATTATCAGAAACGCACCAATTGCTTCCCTCGGGCTCTTTGACATCTTTTGGAATGCTCGACACGACTTGCGGCGGCTTTTCGACCTCTGAAAATATTCATTTCATAAAACACCTCGGGAAAAAGAAAAAGAAGAGGGAACTGACTGCTGAGTCGGACGGTCTTCCAGTCGGCGGCGACACAACTGCATGCCGTGTTGTGGATCGTGGGACAGAGGCAACGGCCGTCGGAAGACGTCTCCACGGGAATCACCGAAGGAATGTAGTCCGTGTTCAACTGAACTCGCTAATTGCGAAGAGCTCCAGGGCAAAAGGTATTACGGAGAGTCCGGTGAAGTTGTGTTCTCCGAAAGTGATAGTTTTCCCGTTGATAACTTCAGTTCTCATCTCGTCAGCTCGGAGGATTGTCGAATGGAGAAGTTCGAGGCCAGATCCATCCAAGAGTCGAACCTGAGTCGAATCAGTCATTCACTAGGCAATAGAAAATGTTTGGAAAAGCGGCGAACTCACTTCTCATGTGCCAGAAATGTTCCTATCATGGAAATGCGTACTCTGAGAAAGTTAAATGATCACCTCGTACTCTTCAAAACAGTAATGAGCGGGGGCGGCGACGAACTCAATTTGAATGGTTCGAGCGACAGCCAGCAGGAATATCTTTCGAAAACCCGCAGTCCACTTCGAGGCATGAGGATTGGCTGGAAGGAAACATTTGTTTATTTTCAATCCTAAAATATTTTTTTCATTCAATAAATGTTTTTTATGCTCCCAGAAATTTCTGGGCGGTAAAAGTAGAGAGCCTGAAAATCAATTCAGGCCCCTTTCCGTCTGAATTTCATTGAACCTAACGATTTTTTTTATGTGTCCTAATATGATTCGGGGTTCAGGCTTTTTCAAGCTTCGATATCGTTTTTGAGCAGCGAAGTCTCGGTTGAAAGATGAGCGGGAGAACACGAATGAAGAACGCAAAAGGTCTTTTCTCCGTTTTCCTCCGATCTTTGGAAGAGAGCAAAGGCTAGCGCATGTGAGAAAAGACTGCGACGTCCTCAGTGGAACAGGCGCCGGAAATCGATAATTGTCATTTTTTCGTCTTTCAACTGCTCATCCGTCTAGAAGACGTCTTTTTCTCTTCGTCGGCAGAGCTGATGACGTCGAAAAGCGCGGTAAAAAGGAGTGCGACACGGCGAAAAAGGTCAGCCAAGCACATGGACACATTTCCGGGGAACTGGCTCAACGTGGGAAGATTGGACCACCCTCTTTTGTGTTTAAGTGGCAAGAATAAACATTTCTCAAGGATACAAATCGAAAACATAAACGTGTGCAGGTAAGGTAAAAAAAAAGAAGAAAAGATAAAAAGGAAAGATTTGAAACAAAAAATCAGTGAAGTGAATCTACAAACTTGTACTATTCTCCAAAGCCTTGGATGGTCATCTGCCATTTCACAATGAACGCGTTTACTCTTTTCTATTTTTCAGCCAAATATTTTGTAAGAGCCTGGGTGAATTACCTACACTAGCTTTGAATTCTAAATTTTCTCCGCGATTACTCATAACTTGCAGAATGTAATAGTGATTCACTGACCCTGTGTTTTGCAGTACTCGGCAGTGTTGTTGACGGTTTGTGAGCTCAAAACTTCTGGAAGAAAACTTCCATTCACAGTTGATTCGAAAAGTCTACCTGGATCTTCAGGCATCCTAGCCATTTTGGTTGTTTTTGGCGTCTTGGACGCCGACGAAGGCAAACTGATAATGGCGATTGAGTAATTCTTGGCGAAGCCGAACATCGTCTCCGAAGTGAAGTGGAAGCGAGGCTAGAATCGCCGAGTTATTCAGAGCAACTTTGCCCAGAAATACCGAGGCGATTTCTTCGCTGCTGTCTGAGACGTTGAATACAAAACAAGACGTCTCTCCTCCCCCAGAAACTTGAAGTTTGAACGCTCTGAGCAGCGCCGAATTGTCTGAAGTTCAGAAAGTTTTGTTGAGACAGGAGCACGACTTGAAGTTCAGAAGAAATGATGTGATTGCCTCTCAAAAATATGATTACTCTTGATATGGAATAAAATTTCTCTTTGTTTTTGCTACCATGAGATTCAAAAACATGAGAGATATCAAATTTAAAAAGAAGGTATTTGGGCTGCAAGATTTCGACTGATCGTCAGAGTAGGAGCTAGAAGCTGCCTAAAACGGTGCTTTCAATTCAAATTTAATAATCAAACGTCCTCAACATAACCTCACCAAATTTTTTCGACGCTAACACACAGTTCAAAAGAGCTACCCAAGGAGGAAAACGAACTCTTGGGAGGCAGTTGCCAGGAGATGTCGACGTGCAGCACATGAACGCCTTCTCTTCGCGCCTTCGCTTTTGCGAACGCCTCGACGCGGACGTCGTGAGCTTCCGGAGGCTCTTGACCAGAAGGCACGTCTTCAAACAGTCTCGCTTCACATTCCACTGAAAATCATCTCTTTGTAAAGTCTCCTTTTTTTGCAACTCTCGAAATCTCATTTCCGGTAGACAACTGCAATTAGAAACCCTGAGCAAAAAAAAGAAAACTAATCCCTCTGACACGGATCAAGAAGAGCATCATACATCAAAAATTAAAAGGATCGAGATGAGTTTTTCATTTTTCTCATTTCATTTGCTTACTTTAATACCGTCTTTCTGGCTGATTAAAGATAGCTTTTTTGCTTGTAGAACTGCTTAGAATAAATCTTTTTTATATCCTCGACTTGTTATTGATTAGGAGCAGAAAATCAATAAAAAATGTGCAGAAAAAGTGAAAAGCATCATAAAGATTATTGTTTCAATATTACATGGGATAGTTCTGTAGGCGTCGGCAAAATCCTCTCGAGAGCCACTTCTCCTCGCATTAATCTAAACTATTTTTGGAACTAGCCTTCCGCAAATAAATTTGAAGTAGATAAAATTAGAGAAGAATAGAGTTTTTTTTTTCTAAATTGACCTTTTGCAGTCGTCTCGGATCTTAAAAATTGACGGCTCAAAAAAAAAATTAAATTCACTACGTCTTGCATTAAATCGAGAAGTATTCTGAATTTATTAGTGGTTATATTTGAAAGAAAAGCGAGGAACATATTAATTGTCAATGGGAAAAGGAGGTCGGGTGCAGAGATAAGGTCAAAGATTAATCTGTTTTCAGAGGTAGGAAAAATATAAATTTTAATAAGATAATTTTCAACAGATTCGTCTCAAGTTTTTTGAAGCGTGGGCTTGAAAGAGAAGCCGTCAAAAACATATTTATTAAGTATAGGCTCTGGGAAAATACGAATCTTCATTCTGAAACAAAAAAGGAGTTCGAACTCGAATGAAAAGCTGATCTTCTCATCTCCCACATCCTCTTGTGAAGGATCTTATGCTCTTTTTCAAGTTTCTTTCCATCTGCTTTTCAGACCTCGTTAATTTCTGATGAATAGCATCATTTTGGAAGAAAGACAAACCCAGATGCACGGAGCAGACGATGTCCTTGTTGTGAGGGTCGGAGCAGTCGGACTGGAACCGCGGCAGATCTCCAGCGAGGGCCGCCGGCGTCACGACGCCTTCTTTCGTCACTCTGACGGGCAGCCGCGTCGGCGTCCGTTCAGAAGCCGGCAGATCTTCTGCCGCGACCAGACATACCGCCACACTCACAACTAGGGCGATCCACTTCATTTCAGTCTTACCAATGGGTCCTCATTCTGGTCTCGTCGCTACTCTGAAAAAAATCGCGGTTTAACAGAGTGGTAAATTAAAAATGAGTACAATGACATTTGTTCGAATTCAAACTAATTTCGAGCGCAGGTGGAATATGTACTTCTGGTTACTCAAAAGTTCAAGGAATCAAAGAAAAATGTATTTTTGTGCGTTTGGATAGTTAAGTTATGATAAAATATCTTATACTTCACTAGAATTCTCTAGTCCTTCTGTGTTCTCTTTTCACTCACCAAGATCATAAAAAAACGAGAATCACATAAATGCAGGAGCGAAAGTGAAGAGAACGTTATAAAAAGATGTTAAAGATTCTAGAATGATTATGAATAAAGATAGTGAAATTCGGGAAAACCGATTTTTTTGTTGTTGCCTGGAACACGGATAAATGAGTAAAAATGATGGGTCAAACCTTCAAAAACTTTCAATGAAAAAGAAAGTTCTTAAAATCCAAAAAGCAAAATAAGAATTAAAAAAAGAGATCTGGGATGTGCGGGGGAAAAAAGTGCGGTGGTTGATGGAATCGTGAAAAAAGAGAAGACCAACTCAAATATGCGGCGAAAAAATGAAATATTCAGGGAGGAAAGTCAAAGAAAAGTATGAGATCGCACTGAGCCGAACTCAACTGCAGTAGCTCGAGGCAAAAAAAAACGAGCAACGAAGGAAAAAAAAACGACGAATGAACTCGGTGAAGCAGTTCTAGCGGAAACGGGCAAAGAGCCACCAAAATAGAGACACCTTAGGGGCCGAAGCCTCCAGAGTCTTTACCTAAAAGGACCGCCGAAAATAACTCTCATTACAGTAGGATTTGTTATAAAAGAACTAAAAATTTAAAAAAAGTAATAATTGCATATACAACGAGAAAAGATGATCTAAATTAAAACAATAATAATATATCTGTGTAAGTCTCGTAGGTATAGGAATGTAAAAGTTGTCTTAAGTAAGTGTTTGATTATTTTTAATACTAAGAAGTTGCTCTTACTAACTTTTACAAATTCAGCTTTGTTGCTTATCAATTATCAGTAAATAATGCGTTATTTTGTAGAACTATTTCGTTCTTTTCATATTTCATGTCTCCAATTGGAAATCTTTGAATTCAATCTTTTTGAAGGGCGAAGCTTGTGTTCCGTCTTTGCAAAATATGATCTTCTATCCAAAAACCAAAAAGTTGAAAAGTTGATGACTTACAAACTTCATTAAAAAAAGTTAGAGGCCGAAAATAAATGGAAAAATGACGTGAACTGTCCACGGAGCGGCAGATACCCAAAGAAAATAATGGGAAAGGACACGTGGTGGTACCGGCAGTTGTGAAGAACGGCGGTTTGACCCGCCACAGACCGCAGACACACAAAAGCTCCCGCTTGAGAGCCCAGAGGACAAACAAAAAAGTCGCGCTTCCCTCCGATCCAAATCGATTTCCTAATATTGACCACCTGCCACGAACCCTCATTCCGGCATCACTACTCAGAAATACCTGCTAAACTAATAGAAAAAATCAACTCTCAGAGGTTTTCGATTACTGTAATTATCGAAGTCCGCGATTTCCCGTTTGTTTTTTCGAATTTATGCATTATGTTATGGCATGCTATTTATTAAACCGACTGAAAGCTTTTGGACTGAGTATTTCCGGATCATTTTTCATTCTGCCTCTTGCTCTTGTTATTTTTTTCTATCATAACTATTTGAAACTCCGAAAAAAATAATTAAAGTAACTTTTATATATTTTGTCTTTTAAAATCAACTCTGTTGGAAAAGCGAATGAATCGAAAGTCAATACGAAAGCAGTTCTCTTAAATACTTCAAACTTTTTCCGTAAAGATATTTCGTGTGTTTCGGATCTCCCTGCAATCCATTCGAGAAGACAAAAGAACAAAAAAATGACCGAAAAAGGAACTGATGAAGCTTTGAATCAGAAATATCCGAAACCGCCGTTTTTATGAACTGTATGTACACACTCGGAGAACGTGCACGCCAAATCTCAGAATTCGATAATTACTTACAATCATCCCTGCGAAACATCAAATCGTCAGTCTTCTCTGACGTTTTTGATCCTCACTATCTTATCATCCACAACTGGTAAACCCACTCTTGCCGGTGGTTTTACACTTGTTTTTATTTATTTCACTTCGTGAACAAATAAAACGGATATGGGAAAATGACGTGCTTACTCAAACTGAAAAAAGAAAAAAGTTGCCGTTCAAGTGAAACTTGGATTTAAAGTTAAGATGCTTTTGCAACTGTAAAATGAAAAGTATTTGAGAAAAGTCAGGAAAAAATTGCAGAAAGCTAATCTCGACAGATAGTTTCCGATTAGCTTCAAAGAGCAAATATTAACATTTTCGTTCTCTAATCCTATCATTAATGCTCATGATCTCTGGAAAGTTTTAAAAAATCGCGAGTTAGCTCAGCTATCGGGAACCCCAGTCGTTTCAGCTTTTCTTTCTTCAAATAAATACATTTTCAGCAAAAAAGGAATGTGTGGGAGAGAGATCATCGAGCAGCACTTGGGCCAATCAAAGCACGAAACATTGGCGAGCAGTCGCCGAAAAGGGTTAATTGCCTCTGGGGACGCCACTGGGCAAACGAGAAAAAAAAACGAAGGTTGAGAAATTATGGTCGTTCCTTTTGAAGGACCGTGAAAAGAAACACGTGGCGCGGTGAAAAAGGAAAGGCTTCAAACGGAAAGAAGGAAAAGATTTCATGACTTCAGTGACCGCAACACTAAAAACTTTTGATTCCCAGATATCTTCAACAGCTGAGACCTCAATGAGATTTCAGTTCAAGACCCGAAATCGGCATTAGTCTCACTGAAGTCTCAACTCAATACCTCCACAAGTTCAATCATAGTCCTCGTTTGGAATTCAAAACTTGAATTGCAAGAAAAGAATCACGAAGCCTTGCATTAGTAGTGTGAGTGAAAAGGTGGCGGCAAACCAGCAAAATTTGAATCAAGCTCGAGATCTTTCAAAGATGCGCCTTCCATGAGCTTTCCTATTAGGCTCAGAAAATCAAGAAACACAAAGGGCGTGGATAGAAAGGACGAAAAAAGACACGCGTCAAGAGACTTGGAGCGGACGAAAAAAACGGCTGAGTTAGGCGAAGGGGGCTCACGCCGTCACACGCCCTGCGGCGGTGGAGTCGCGATCGATTCCCTGCTCGTCTGCGCCGCGAAAGCCGAGGGAGTCTTTTTTTTTCTTTTCGAGAGAGCATCACAACGGAGAGGCGGCGACCACGTCACGTCGGTCTCCATGCCAATATCCGTCGACTCCGCACCTTTAAGGTATCCGATGTGTGACTTGTACTCGTTACTTGCGGGGCAGCTTTGAAAGATTGCTGAGGACGGTCGTTGGAAAATTATGGGTTAACTCCACTTTCTCGACGATATTACTATTTCCTAAACATATAGAACGCAAAGGCGGCAATTTCCTTTCCAAACAAAAGTTCGTCCTATGCTCTTTGACATCAGACAGAAGGTTCATCCAGTCCACAGAGAAAAAAATAACAAAAGCATAAAGAAAAGGGTTTCAATACGTCTCAATAACCTCAGACGATCCCTTTTTTGCTGAGTTAGTTCAAACTGGAGCAAGAAACTCCGGTTTCCTTCGCAAGAAAAACAGTTTAGTTGTAAATTGCGGTGTCAGTTTATAGTAAAATATTCAAAAGAAGAGTAAGCTCCAAAAACTTGAACCTTCTTTTTCTAATAAAAGGAATTAAAGAAATATGTAGTTTAAACCAAAGGAAGCTCAAAAACCAGAAATTTTTTCGTGTGAATATGGCGAAGCATTGCAATCTGTGGTGAAAAAAGTCAAGCTCCGCCTCTACGCCTTCAATAATTTTTTCAAGATTTTCGTGAGTACCTAGTAGCACGAATAAGACGAAAAATAGCTGAAAAGGTAGCCAAAAAAAAGGGTACGAAAATTAATAACTGAAAAAATTCCACTTACAAAAAAAAGGGAAAGAGAGAAAATCCTGATCGACCTACCTATTTAGAAATTATTTTCAGAAAAGGAGAACTCCGAACTCTGTGAAATAAATCGATCAGCAAAACGTTGATAATGTTTTGATTTTTTTTTTGCGTGTCGCTTGAGGACGAGTTTCTAAATTGAATCACTGCGTTGTATGGTCGCTGGCAACCATCAAAGTTCGAACACTTTCAAATTCGTAAAGCTAGGTCTCATCCATAACAAATGCCGTTGAATTTCATTGAATTCTTCAATTGCGATGATTTTAATACGATCGAACTGAAAACATTCGTAATAAAAAAAAATTTTCGTCAGAAGTAGAATAAATTAATTAGAACTTGTAAAAATCTACTAGAAGGAGTCTTGAAATGAGTTTAGAGTTTTTCAAAAAATAAGAACAGATATTTCCATGTGCTTCGAAATCAAATTCGAAAATTCAGAAAAAGAGCTAAAAACCTAACTTCCGAGTCAAAAAGTAAAAATAAATGATGAAAATTTTATTCAGTGAACGTTAAACGGCCAACATGCCGAGTAACCTAATAATAGACAATGAACTCACAGTCTTAAACTTAGAGTTACTGCTTCGCTCTAGAGGCCTTATGAAAGAAAGAGGTGAATTCGTTTATCGTGGTTTTTTTTTCTATACAGTACCTTCCATAAAAGTCTGTTATACAGAATTATGAGAATTACAAACGAATGTACGACGTTAGGCCAATTTTTTGTCCAAAATATAAAATATCTATTTTTGGTAAATAAAAAAAAAATCCCACGCCAAGTATCCTTTTAATGAACCTTTCCGTAATCGGCTTGTTATCGGGTTGTTCCAGTCACCGTGACGACCGATTCCTTCAGCTTCCATTTCTCTTGAAATGATCAAAAGTTCTGCAGAAATACCTGGAAACGAGAGTTCAAAGAAAGGATAATCTCAAAAATAACTCTTTCTGCAGGTATTTCTCCGAAACCGGATTCTGTTACTAGGAAAACGTTACTTATGAAAGATGATGACAAATATATAACGAATACTCAATCAACAAAATTATTCAAAACACATTTATTCCCATACTTTCTGATATAATTTCTTCTTTAACGACTAAACAAGAATTGAGCTTGAGTGAGAAAAGACGATAGTACCAATAATTTCACCCTGGTGGAAAATTCACGCGCTAATTTTTTGGTGCTTCACAGAATGGAAAATAATAATAAAGCCAAAAAGGTAATTGCACCGAAATAAGGAAGAAAAAGTTGGCTTCTACAAAATGGATCACCAACGGACAACTTTTTCGAGAAGGCGTTTCAGATCACAGTAAATGAAAAAAGTACTGGAAAAGGAAAAAATAAATAGCGAAAGGCGCAAAGAGGTCACTCGTAAAACACGTTGAGCACTTGAATGTCGCCCGTGGAGAAAGTCTGTGTGCAGGCGTCGCTCATCTGAGGTCGCGCGACAGTGAACGACGCAGGAGTCGCTGGAAACGACGTCATGGCGGCACCGGAGCCGCGAACGTCTCTCCGAGTCGACGCTCGGTAAGGCGACGACGCGAACGGCTGTGGAGGAGGTCGTGTCGGAGAAGCGAGCAACACCTAGGTCGAAAAAGAGATGAAGATCAAAGGTAGATTGAGAACAACCTCTATGCATTTGTCCTCGAAAAGACCGTGCAGATGGACTGGCAGCAGGTTGGAGAGAGTCTGGTGGAGAGCGGAGAGGAGACAATGCGCCTCCTCGACAATCGTCAGTTGGAACTCTTCCGTTATCGGCCGTACTCCCCAGCTGAACATCTTTTTACTTCTCTTAATCTTCTTTCGTATAGAGCTTTTTCCGTTTCTCCGAGGACAGCTTTGATTTTTGTAGCATATTCGACATCTTTTAAATTTCTGATCTTTCTTTGCGAATTCCCAAGGCTATTTCATGAGAAACTTTCAAATTCATGAAAATGAACTAAAACACTATTTAATTTGCAATATCAAGATTCTGAAACTCGCAAAATTGGCAGCTTATCTCTTTTTTTTAAAGATATGAAGCTCGGAGAATGGCTTTTCCATTCACCAAATTAAAAGTAAGCTTTTGGAGCTTCTCGCCTCGAAAAATAGCAAGTAACAGGTATATTCAGGACTCCATCTAGTAAATAGAGAAATTTTTAGTTTATTTTGAAAAATTTCGAAACTTCAAATGAAAATGTTATTTTTCACTGATCTACTGATTCTCACTTCGGACTCATGCTCATTTTGCGCGGCGTCACGTCGCTGAGCATGATCGACTGTGGATAGTAGACTCGTTGGAGGTTTATGAAAGAGATTGGCCGCATGTCGTTAAGCGGCTTTCCAAACTTCTCGTGCTGCAGCAACGAGTGCGCCACCTGCAGGAGACACTTTTGCTCGGATAATTCGATGCGTTCTCACTTGCGTGTCGAAGACATTCCGCATGTGTACTGCGTATTTATGTGCGAGGAGGGAGGCGACTCGTCGAGCATCATGAATCACCTGAGGAGGAGGAATTCAGATATGTCAGAAAGGCGTGAAGAAGGGATATGAAGAAATTGATGGCCTTCTCAGGGATTTTTCAGAGCTGGGAAATAGGCGAAAACTGTGACATGAAAGGTCATTTGTGTGTGAAATTTGGTAATTTCTATAAAATCTCTGAAGGTCCATAAAAACCCCTCACAGACCCTCCTTGTGCAAATTCATAGTTTTTTTAATAAATAAAAAAATTAAAAAGTTGCAGATTATAGAAGCCCAATTCTGTTTTTAAACGCGAATCTTGAAAAATTCCTATCTCAAAACATATGGAGAATTCAATCCTGTTAAGGATGTTATAGCGAAATTATGAAAAATTCCAAATGCCCAATAAAATGACCTTTTCGTGAAATGAAATAAAATCTTTTTCTCTTCAAATATGACTTGAAATGCGGTACCTTAACAACACTATCACTCTCCAAGATCGACTTGAGGCCGCTCTCGAGGATGATGACGTCACTGGAAGCGAGGTCGAAAATGCCGATCTGTGACGTCGTGGCGACGACACCAAGTGACAGGAAACTCTCAGCGTCGACGCCCACGGTGACGGTCTTCATGTCCAGTCCGACGACCTTCTTATCCATGCCGTTTATGTCGTGCCAGAGACGATCCACCAGATCCTGAGGACGGCTTGACGGTTTACTTCGGTCGAAGGCCGTCCCACCTGTGCTGGTTTGAGCGCCTTGACAAAATGGATGCGACTCAGGGCGTTCTGATCCAGAGGAAACATATTGTTGTTGTTCGTCTCGACGTCTCCTTCGTCTGAGCCATTCTCCGATCCCTCTTCGTTCGGCCGATTTTTCACCAGTGACACCTATGGACATTCTAGTTAAAAGCAGGCTTTGAAGAAGAATAAATAAGTAAAATAAAAGCCTTCTTTCAACATTTAACATGATACTTTGGCCAAATACAACTGCATAAATGAGGTGATCCTCTCAACCGAATTTTTATGAATAGAGAAACAATCTGAAATAAAAAAACAATTCCTACGCTCTAAAGTATAGGTAAAAAAATAAATGTTTGTTCGTTTTTTTTTCCTGTCCATCACTACAAGATGCAAATACAGACTCTCAATCGCAAAAGGATAATGATTTTTCGATTCAAGTTTTTAGAAATCGAATAATAAATTCTCATCAAGTCGAAAATTTCAAATTTGGTTTGAACTTAAGTTTCGCAGTTAGGGAAATTTGAAGTTGATTTTTCAAGATATTTGAGTACCAAAACATGCAAACTAAAAAGAAACATTTAAATTTCCAAGAAAAAAATTTCCTTTGTTGGAAACTTGCTCATTCCTTGAATGGTCAAAGTTACCTTGTTGCTTCTGATGAAGAACAAACTTCGGTTGAGTTTGAGGAACTGTAGCAACTCCTTCGGATTGGTAGCCACGTCCTGCCGGATGGAGTGGGAAAAACGCTGACAGAAGTTCTGGTAAAACTGGTCCAGTGGAATCGGCTGTTCTTCATTCTGAAAAAAACCTTTTTTCCACCCACTGTGAAGCAAAAGGACCTGCTCGAGAACGCTTTTGAGATATTCAACGGCTGCCTGCTTGGCTTTGACGCCAGCGAGGGGCTTGCCCTCGTCGTCCATTTCTATACAATTTTCATCCGGCTCCGGCATGTTCTGCAAACGATGAGCGATGTTTCTCGAAGAAGAAGAAGAACTGGAGCACCTTGAGCCGTACACGGTCGCCTTCTACAACGAAGTGGTCGACCTGGGACTGTAGAAACTCGCAGAACTCTTTCAAGTGACGGCCCGAAACGAGACGAACTTCAGGAGCCGCTTGGGAACGATGTCCCAAGAGAGATTTTATCTGCAGCACAGATGAAAGTAAGAAGACTGAAGGAATCAAAAACCTGAAGCTCGGGACCGAATTTGGTGAGTTTGTTGACGAAAAAGTCGACGGCCTCGCGTTCATAGTCGCGGTTGCGAGCACTGGATTGCAGCAGCGGATTGTTCTTGGCCGTGATCTCGCCGTAGCCGTTGAGAATGACCTGGTCGCCCTCGACGGTGAACAACGACGGGTGGCCTTGCAGGAACTCCGTCAGTCCTTCTTGCGTCGTTCCTACCGCGTTTCGCATCTCCTCCGTGAACCTAAACACTTCGAAAATGTAAGATTCAAAATTTCTTTTTACTCTAAGAACTTGCGTCGTTCCTACCGCGTTTCGCATCTCCTTCAATTTCTTTTTACTTCAAAGGCTATTTTTACTTTAGGAACTATTATTGACTATCTAAATCTTTGAAACAATCATGAAATCGATGAAAACCTTTTTTTTTAATTTTCAAAGAAATCAAAAATCTCTTCGGATAATTTTTTTTTCTTTATGAAAATTGATATTTCTCCCTAGGAGATTGTAGAGCTTCTACGAAGAGTTAACTGTCTAATTTCCATCTAAATTTTGAGCTGATCTGAACTATTATTTCGGAAAGTCAGTTGGAATTTCATTATAATAGCGAAGCTATGTAAATCATATATTCTAAAATAAAAGTGAACAACGAAAAAAAACGTGAAGTTGTTATTCTTTCAGATTTGAAAGGCTTATTCGCAAATCATCAAAAATAAAAAAAATGAAAATAAAAACGGACCCGCGAGCGCCGAACTGGCAGCTGAGGTCGTGAATGGTGCGGCGTCCATTCTTCTGCATCAGATGGTCCATGAAGAAGAGCAGCGCCATGTTCTTCGCTTCCTCCATTTCGGCGAATCCTTTCTGCTATTTGGCTTACCTGAAAGTGAGTTTTTTTTTCGGAGAGTTCCAGTTTTTTTTTTTCAAATTTTCACGAAATCATCTTTCAGTTATTTTCTACGAAAAAAGGAGAAAAGAGAGCAGTTTGTCCTTTCCAGGCAGTCGTTTGTTTGCCATTTTTCGTCGAACTCGCACTTTCAATAAATTGATGAGAAGTGTACGAATTTAACGAGAATTTCGCTCTCCTGCGGATTATTGACAGCTTTATCGTTTTTTGAAGCTGAGGAGATAAAAAAAGTGACTACACAGAGGCAAAAGTCGAGGGTATGAAAAAAAAGAAAAAAAAAAGAAACCTTCACTATTTACTTGAGAAAAAATGGAAATATAGTTTCAAGTTATTTGAGGTAAAGAAGGTGAAAGCATTTCTTTAACAACTTTAATCTGGTCATCTCGAAAACCATGAGAGATTTTATAATGATGAATAATGAAAAAGCAAAGTTAATTTTCCTTAATTTTCACGAATATGAACGGTTTCGACAGAAATTTCGAGGAAATGAGTCAAAGATTGGTTTTAGGGGTTTTTTTAGGGTCTCAAAATATTCATGTGTTTGGACATTCGGTCATCGATCCTGGGTTCTCACGTACGAATTCGGCAGAGAAAAGCACCTTGAGGGAAAAAAGAGAAGCGGCTCCCTCTGCACCATATTCTAGGAAGAACACCGGAAGACATTTCATGTCCTGTCCTTTACACTTTTAGTTCGCGAAAGGACTAACCAGATACTTAACCTTTCAGTACTGAAAACGAAGGTCACAAAGGAAACAATACAAACACGACGAAAAGCGGATTACAAGAGCGTCCTTATGACTTCTCGCGTGACATTTCGGTTAAGTTTTCGACAGAAGTGAAACTAAAAATAAAAGCTTCGAAAGAAAATCATAGAAAAAAAATCTCGCACTTGTACCAATAACCCTCACTTCTGTCTCTCAGAAAGTGAAATGGCCCATGGATTACTTGGAAGATTTAGGAGCAAATCTGGACGGAAACGAAGGCGTTGCTGCGGCGACACGGGCTCTTTTTTTCCGTCATTTCTGCGCATCGAAACGTTCACAGCGCCGCCCACTTCATGCCATTAAAGTCAATGTGTCGTGTTCGCTTCTTTTTTCCCTTCCACTTCTGTCCGACGGCATAAGTCCAATATTTAAATACTGTTTTCAAAGAGAAGGTAGAAAGTAGATTAAAGATTTATAAAGATGATCGAGAGTGCATTTCGCGAGTTTCCAACCGAAAAACCCAACTTTTCGATAGTACTTTTTAAACTTTAAAAAAAACGTTTTCAACGTGTTCAACGAATTAGACGGAAATATTCTTATAAATAGCTTTCTCATTGAAAAACTTGACTTCATGTTGAATACAAGTAACTCAAAAATTTTCTTCCTACATTTGCCACCTCAAGTATCTGCTGACATTTCATATAACCTGGCCACGCTTTGGAAAAAGTAGTTTTGAGTCAACAAAAAAAATTTCGAAAAATTTCAGATTAGAAACTCGTTCGACTACTCACAAGGGAGGTCATTTGAGGGTAAAATTCGAGTTAAAATCTTTAATGTATTGAAAACCGTGTTCCTTTCTGAACAAGTGATTTTTTTTCAGCGATGTTTGACGCCTACCCTAATATATATTACCCTAATTGATAGAAAAGGAGGACAGATATTCTAACTGCACAAAGATGATGGAGAGTAGCTAAACGCAGGAAAATGATGTAAAAAGAAGTCTCGAGCGGACGGTGTAATCAGAGGTTTTCGATAAGCAGCAGCCGTTCGTTTCGCAAAATGGGTGTACAGTGGGCGGAGCCGTGACTAACGCGCTCCGAACGCTTCCATATGCGGTAATTGCGTATAATAAAAAAGGACTAAACGGATCCGTTTTAACCTTCCCTTTGGACCACGGCTTCCGCTTTATTGCGGAACGATTCTTTTCAATGAAAAACTTATATTCCAATCAAAACTCATTCGAAAAACCCAAACAGTAGCGTGATAAGAAGTAACGTGAAAAAAATGATTTAAAAAATACGTATCCACAATACTTCATGTTTCGAAATACTACATTTCCGCATAATTTGATTATAGGTGAAAGAAAGGTGTCGGAAAGACAAATCGCGTATCACTGCAGAAGATAAATGTCTTCCACGCCTCATGGATGATGGATAACTATGGAAAACGAGTGGACAAAGCTTTTCCTCGGGAAGATAAGAGAAAGTTTAAAGAACAGCTGGTCTTTTCTTTTATTGTCAAAACGAATTTTATGATATTTTCAAACTGATAACCTTCAAAACGTACGTAACTGAATGGCTTCGATGAATATATTACGAGGATTAAAAAATAGAACAAAAAGTATTCTCAAACCTTCAATTCAATAATTCTCTGGACGCCGATATACAAATTTAGTATTGTTAAACTTTTTTTAGCTATTGATTTTTCTTTTCCGTTCGGGTTACTTGAAAAACTAAAAAAAACGAGGTGGAAGAGAAAACTATTTGTGAAAACCGTCAGAGAAGAGAAAAAGCAACCAAGCTAGAAAAAAAAAACCAGTTCTTAAGAAGCAAAAAAAGGACGAGAGCGCATTTATATTTGAAGGACCCTTTCAGAACACGAAACAACGCAGTTTTTTTCAAGATTTTGCGAAATAGAAGGAATGAGAAGAGTTTGAGAGGGAGCCTGGAGCAGGTCGGACAGTACGGAGACACGTGGGCAGCGAATATTTGCGCAGCGCCGCTGCTGACAGCTGCGCCTTATATGTTATGCCGCTCCGTGCAGCTCCACGTTAAGTGCTTTGACATGAACTCCCCCAGTGATTATTTTCATTTTCAAAACAAGAAGCGAAGGGACACAATCTTTGCCACTTTAACTATCATCTTCCGTCTTCAAGTATTCCTACGCAAAAAAAGGGGTTTTATTTGAGCGACAGGATCTGTTTCAAAAAATGTTAAAAATTATTATTATCTTTTCTCCTCCCTCAATTTCTGTTTTTAATCATTTAAAAAACACTTCTTTTCAAAAACTTCAAAATTGTTTTTTTATCAATAAAATCTTCGAAAAAAATCGATTCTATACTCAAGTTAGTAATAGTCAATCAAAGGTTGCATTAGAAATAGGACATAGAGGTTTAATCGTTCTGATAAAATCGATATGTTCCCGCGAAATCGATCTTTGCATAGGCAAAACGCAAAAATTTTTTTCGGAAGAGGAGAACCTGTTCAAGAAAAAAACGTGCGTCATTGAGAAATGTTGATGAAAATTGCGCAAGTTCTAATAATTATTGTTGAACAGTCCTAAATTTTCTTTGATATCATTTAAAACTGACATATGTTTAAAGAAAGGCGGATGAGTAGAAATTTTTTTGAAAAATTCGAACAGAAAATTTTTGTTCGCAGCGATATCATGACAAAAAAACGGCTGTACAGTTACACGACTTGAACAAACATTACAAATATCGAAAGAATCGATGGAAAGTACGCAGCAAAAAAGGGAAAATAAAGAACTATTTGGGTGGGAGGCGAGGTGGTTGTGGTGAATAAACTTTTGCGACGAACACAACGGAGTCGGCCGCACACTCGCCCCCAGATTGTGTAGCGACACAACGGAGAGACACTGATGGGCGGAAATACCGAGGGTTAGGACACTTTTGAGGTCTCCGCACAATTAGTCCAATTCCAACCATTTTGCCAAAACTCCATCAGCCATTTCTCATTGCATTGAAATGAAAAACACTTACAGATTTAACTTTGAAGATCTTGAGATCTTTGAACGCTTTTCAAATTTCCTTATTTTTACGAGATGGTATAACTAGTGGAATGAGACATCTTGGCCGCAAATGGCTTAAATTTGTAGCTGTAGTGTTGAAAGTGAATTCCGCGAAATTAAAACAACTCGGACATTGGTAACGCGAAACGGACGTTTCTGGGCGATCCTAGTGGCCACTTTAGTAGCTTCAGCCCTCTTAAGTGATCCCTGATATCTTTGACTCTCCAAACATCAAATATCTTCACTCTTCAACGGCTATAGTAAATTTCGCGGAATAACTTTGAACACGGTATTGACACTTTGAGCTTTTCGATACTTTAACATAAGATACATTTTTTTTTTCATAATGTTCAGAAAGCTCAAGTACAAAGTTTAGCCCATTTCCATTTTATTCAAAAAAAAAAACTTGCTTCATAAAAAAAACATCTCACGTACCATAGTTTTCATACCGTTGAAATGAAATCGCTACTGAAAATTCCTGAAATATTTTTCCCTTTTTAAGCGAGCTCTCCTTTGAGCGAATACCTTTTCTCAGTCCTGCACAGTACTGTAGCCGAGTGTACACTTCTCGAATCTTGAAATAAAGCAGTTTATGAGGAAAATCGCATATAAAGTGAGAGAAAAATTCACGAATTTTGTTGTTTACCAGTTTCCGTATTATTATTCATGATTGTTATTTTTAGATTACAGTCTTCAAAAATTCGAAAGTTTAGAAGCAACCTAATCTCGCAAGGTATAAAGGGGAAAAAAAGCATGAGTTCAACTAAAAAAATTTTTTTATATAAAAATTGAAAAATTAAATCGTTTTTTTGCGGAGATTTTTGAGACCTATGGATAACTCAAGACCCGTAGCGGTCCCTTTAGTAGTCCGCATTGCACCGAAAGCCTTCCATTCGACGACATTATTTATTTGAAATTTTAAAAAAGTTAAAATCAAACATTATCTTCTCCTTCAGCTATTTGAACAAATTTCTGTAGCGATCTCACTCTCGTAATCAATGAGTAACTTTCAGCTACTTTGATTCTTCATATTTACAACTTTGAAGCCTCTTGAAATTGGATGCTAACTACAAGAAAGTGAAAATTTAAAAAAATATATTTAGACACTGCATGTTTCATGGATTTATTTCAATTAACTCTCTAATTCTACTTGTTTTCTTATTGTTAACGAAAGTTTAAACGTGATGTTTGCTTAAGAGACTGGGCGAGTCGCACTCGGATCGGCGGCGGTCAGTGCCGACTATTGATCTCAAAGTTATATTCAGCTTTTTCACAATCAGGTTGGCTTTTGCTTTTTTTTAGAGATCTTTTAAGCCAATTTCACTTCAGATGCAGGACACATTCTTAATTTTAAGCTTGGCAGTATTGGTAAGCTTATCGAGCCAAAAAGAAATTGTCATAAAGAACGAAAAATGCCGGACGTGTAATTTTCTCGTTGCTTGTTTTGATGAGGTTTAAATTTTTGGTTCGGTTCAACTTGAAGCTAAAGATTTTCAGGGCCTACGCAAAACGGCTCGGCAGCATTTTGCAGGTGGGGACACTGCATGGGAAGAGAAAAACCTGGGAAAATATGCTGTCAGGTATTTTTCCAATAATTCCGAACACTTCAGATTGGTTCATTTTCAGTGAAACACGACTCATCGAAGTAATGGAAGGTGTTTGCAAAAAGTCGACACTCCCGAACGTCGACACATTCACAGGAATCAGCGAACTCGAGTTCAAGGTTAGATACGTAGTTTTCCGGGACTTCAACCGATTCTAGTGCGCTTCTCAAATGGAAAATCACGAAGAACTGATCGAGCAGTACTACTACGAGCACCAGGCGGCTAACATGTCCACGTGGCTGTGCATAACTAACTTGAAACGTCAGTTTTCTCTTTTTTGTTTTTCGTATCTTTACAAAAATATCTCATAGTGTTATTTATGCGTAAAACGTTTTACTATCTTTTTTCAGTGTGTTGTCCAGATCAGCATTTCGGAAAAGACTGCGAAAAGTGTCCTGGGGTCCAAGAAGGCGCTCCTGCGTGCTTTGGCAGAGGGTCTTGTCATGTTGGTTTCTTTTTTAGTTTTCTCATTCCGAGTGTACTCTTGAGAGTTCATCATGAAGTTCAAAGTCAGTGTTTCTATGTGCAGCTCGTTTCTAGGGAGATGGAAGCCGAGAAGGAACTGGCAAGTGCAAATGCGAAGAAGGTTACATCGGAAACCAATGCCGACATTGCGATTCTGACTTTTTCGAGACTGAAAAAACCCCGACGAGCATTCTCTGCAAAAGTAAGTTGTGAGAAAAAAAGCGGGGAGACTATAACGACATCTTTTTGGATATTTTTTTCGAATACTTCTTGCAGAAAGCATTTTTCCCTCCTGTTTCAGTCACAATCACACAAAAATAAATTTAATCGTTGAATAATTTGTTTTATAACTTCATTTTGCAGCTTTTTCGGAGCATTTCTATAATTTCTCGAGAAAACAGACAATACTCGAACATCAAAAAAATTTTATTTGAATAAATTTGGCTTTCCGCTTTTTTTTTTCAACGATGGAAAGAGAACGGTTGCTGATTGTCGCACTTCTGATTTTCGCAATCTGATTTGTCATCAAATAAGTTCCTTAGCTGTTTTATTTAGTTGACATAACTTTGAAAAATAAAAAAAATTTTTGATCTAAAATCTCACGAGCAGAATTGGCAGAATGCTACGAAGGCTGCACTGGAGGCTGTACTGGCGAAGGGCCCAAAGGTTGCAGCCGCTGTCGGAATGGCTGGACCCTCCACGAAGCCCACGGCTGTGTTGGTAAGTTGATGAATATTTTTCCGGATGTTGAATTTTTCGGCTTCATTTCAAGCAAAAAAAAAGCGAAGTTGTTGAAATTTTATATAGCTACGAGATCTAACAGTTATATTGACCGGCTTGATTTATATATCGGACATTTATGCGGACCGTCTTGATGGTTTCAAGACTAAGAAGTAGGAAGTGAAAAGTATGAGAAAGTTAGGAGAAACTTGAGTTGAAGACCATTGCAAATAATTAAAAATAAAGCGATCCATGGGCTATTGAGTACAGCGAATGGGTTTCTTTCTTTCAAAAATCTGGTGATCAGCACGTTTTCCCAGAATTACCATTCACTTCAGTTTGGCTTGTTGTGCTGGAAATTTTTGAAAATCCTTTGAAAAACAGCGTTTCATTTCAAACTTCATCAGAGCTAAAATCTGCAGATGTCAACGAGTGCGAGAGTGGAGAAGCTTGTTCCAAGGACAATGAAAGATGCGAAAATTCCATCGGATCGTTCAGCTGCGTCTGCGAAAAAGGTTTCAAGCGCGATGAAGTCGAAAACTGCGTCCTGGATATTGAAGGTTTGATTTTTTCCGTCATCTTAAAGGCATAGGGGCAGTAAAAAATGGGGTTTCAGGTGAAAGCAGTATCTTGTATAGTTTTTCTTTGCGAATCCAACAGTGTACTCAAAAAAATTACAGATGTGACAACTCTAGAAGAAAAACGCGATTTCACTTTCCCGCCTTTTATTTTGAAAAAAGCTTTGGATCGGTGCTCAGACAACTGATTACAGTAGCTGTGCACGCGATGTTGCGGACGTCTCATTAGACTCGCATTTTGTGAGAAATAACCGGATTTCTGCTTCAAATTAAGGGTTTCTTTTCTGAAAAATCGATTAGAAAACAGAAAAAACATATTGATAATAAAGAAAACACAAATAATCGCTATCCCAATCGAAACCTGTGTAAAATCATCATTTGTTTCACGAAAAAAACGCATTTTTTTGCGATCGAAAGTTTGCAAATTATACATGAATAGAAAGCTTTCGTGACGAAAAAGAACTTTGATGACATTAGAAAAAAAATTGAAATTTGAAAGAAACGAAGAAAAAAAGCGAAAATCCGAAAAGACGGGCGAAGCCTGTTGTCCATAGAGCAAACTTTACGGCAAAGCGCCCTTTTCGCGGGAACTCAAAGCTTTCCTTTCTCCGATTTTGAATTATTTTTTTCTTCAAAACTAGGAAGTTCGGTACGTTTCCCAAGTTTACCGTTCGATTCGCAATGAAAAAGCTCTACAAAATACTGCTTTGAACTGAAAACACCGTTTTTTTACTGCCCCTATGCCTTTAAATATTTTTCCTCAATCATTCTTTTCCGATGTATTTATTTTTAGTGAATTTTCCGATTGCTCTCTATCAATGATTACTATTTGAAAAATTTGACATTTTTCTCTCATTAAAGGCATAGGGGCAGTAAAAAAATGGGGTTTCGGGTGAAAGAAGTTTCTTATATAGTTTTTCTTTGCGAATCGAATGGTGTACTCAAAAAAATTACAGATGTGACAACTTTAGAAGAAAAACGCGATTTTACTTTCCCGGCATTAATTTTGAAAAAAGCTTTGGATCGGTATGTAGACAACTGTTTACAGTAGCCGAGAACGCGACGTTGCGGACGTCTCATTAGACTCGCCTTTTGTGTGAAATAACCGGATATCTGCTTCAAATTAAGGGTTTCTTCTCTGAAAAATCGATTAAGAAAACAGAAAACACACATTTATAATAAAGAAAACACAAATAATCGCTATCCCAATCGAAACCTGTATAAAATCATCAATGTTCACCAGAAAAGCATTTTTGCAATCAAAGTTTGCAAATTATACATGAATAGAAAGCTTTTGTGACGAAAAGAACTTTGGTGACAACAGAAAAAATTGAAAATTGAAAGAAACGAAGAAAAAAGCGAAAATCCGGAAGATGGCGAAGCCTGTTGTCCATAGAGCAAATTTACTGCAAAGCGCCCTTTTCGCGGGAACTCAAACTTTCCTCTCTCCGACTTTGAATTATTTTTTCTTCAAAACTAGGAACTTCTGTACGTTTCCAAGTTCACCGTTCGATTCGCAATGAAAAGCTCTACAAAGTACTGCTTTGAACTAAAACACCGTTTTTTACTGCCCCTATGCCTTTAACAACATTTTCACAAAATATGATTGAAAGTTTCCGCTCAAAAAAAATAGCCGCTCAACTAGTGCTCAAATCAGAGTACTGAAATAGAAGAAAATCTGCTTGATGAGATAGTTGCATCTCACAAATTTTTTTCTATTTTGTTCACGAACATTTGCTTCATAATTTTTGGACTTAAGGATTTTTCTCAACTATTCACAATTTTGAATTATTCTGGAACTTTTAAAAATGGATTCGCTTCTTAAAACCGAAAGTAGGGATTTTTCTAGAGAACGGTGGATTAGAAATTTGAATAGAAAAATTATATTCAAGTTCTTCACTCATATCTCTAACCAAAAAAATAAAGTCTTAACTTCTGACCTTCTGATTCTGATTCTGGTGAGTCTCTCCCATTCGCTTATTTCGCTTATTTAGTATCTTCTTTTTAATATTTTTTTCGAAAAAAATTGGTTGTATTTCCAAAAGGGCCTATTTTTGTCCTATCTACGGTAAAGTTGCGTTTTTGTATTTTTCACCCCTTTTGATTTTTTTTTCTGTACATTAGCGCTTTCAAACAAACTTTCGAACATCGAAAATCGAATGAATTATGTTCCTAACTGAGGAAAGAAAATAAATCTCAATTCTGGCGGTCACCATGCAATCCCACCTTCTTTTTAATTCAATTTTTCCATATTCGTTGATAATCTCATTGCGTTTTTTGTTCGACCTTTTTGACATTAACCTTTTTAAGTAATTTTTTTCTTTCGTCCTAGTTAAGAACAGTAAGTTAATTGGGAAGAAGCAGATAAGAATAGAGAAGTACATGCATCGCGGCAACTTTCTTTCGTCACTTCAACTTGAATCATTTTTTGATTTGAAGTCACTTTGAACGCACCAAGAGTCTTGCTTCAATCATTAAGAACTTCCCCTTCATTCTAAACTCCGCTGACTGCATATCTAACTAGGGCCGAGTTCAGCGCCTCCAAGAAGGCCTTGGCTGCCGCCGGACCTTCTGCTCAAGGTCGTCTCGATGACGTCACTCGTCGGCATCATCACCTTAGTGGTCTGGCGAGGCTCGACGTTCCTTTCGATGCTGTGCGCAGTAGCCGTCGTCGCCGTTGTTTTGATCGAGCTCTACGTCAATCCAGGCACGATCCCGGACGAGGCCAAACGAATCCTCGGCCATTAATCTGTCACCTCTCACGCCATATCTCAGTTATTGTCATTCCTCTCTTAACCTTATTACTATTATTTCATATTTATGAAATTCGTTTGTTTTTGTTATGAGGTAATGTGCTTTTTTACGGAATTTAACCCCATTAAAGGAAAGCACTAACAATGACGAGTAGATTTTTTTTTCTGTATGTATTTTTTTCTCTGTACGTCGTTATTTCCCCTGCCTTCGCAACAGGTTTTGAGGCTCAAAATTATAATTGAACTTATACGGCTTGTATATTTGCTCAGTTCGTTGCAAACTTAATGAATCGAGTCATAACTGAAGCGATTGTTTTTTTTACGCAAATTGAAAAAAAAAAGCTTGCTTGCAATATCTGAGAATAAAAAAAAAGTAATTACTCTCATCTAAAAAAATCTTTCATTTTCTATGGAAAAAAGGCTAAAATTTTTTGGTCGAAAATCATTTTAAAAGATTTTTTTTAACCTTCTTATAATTTAAATCTTAGATTGATCAGTTTAGCTGCAAAAACGAGCGAAGAGGAGTCGGCGGAAGGAGAAGGAGACGACCAAGAAGAAGGAACCGACAAAGATGAACTGTGATAGATTTATTTCCGTTGATGTTGTGTTAGAATATCGAAACTCATTGCCTCGAAGCCTTGATTGTTGAGTAATTTAATTAGGGTCTTTCTCGTGTTTGAGAGTTTTATACAGGTTACATTTTAATGCAATGTCATTGTTTCTTTTTTCTGATTGTCTTCTTTCGTCAATTGTTATTTAAAACAGAGATTTCCAAAGAACAACCGAGGAGAAGGTTTTTTATTTTTCCAAATCTTTCTGTGATTTTTTTGATTTTTCGGGAATGAACATCGATATCAACACAGTGAAAAGTTTTATAATAATTGTACATCTTCCTCTCGCCAATATCTTATTAAGGAACTGGGTTTCTCCAAGAAGAATTTCAGCGACGGCTCACGAGCTCGAGTTCGTACTGTAGTGGGGCCAACTGGTAGTCTGCTGACATTTTCCGGATCCGGGACATCTTCGGAAGAAAGACGCAGCCCATGGGCGAAAAGAAGCAGTTTCGCGAGTTTCCCAGCGACATTTGCCCGGGTCGAGGACTGCAAATTTCTTTATTGGGAATATAAAATCACAGTAAATTACAGTTTTTCATATTTTTTTATTTCAGCTAATACTTGAATATTCCCCAATATTTCTGTGGTTTTCGTTCACATATTATCTTCGGATGGTAACTCACGCGGCGGTCGTGGACGGTACAACGCTGAAAACGGCGAAGACGGCCAAGAAAAAAGCGAAGATCCACCGGCTTTCGAAATTCATACCTGAAAATGTTTGAAAATTGTCGAGAAGAGAGCAGGTGACTAGGAGTACATGAAAACGGAAAATAATGAACATCGGGAAGTTTGAAGTGTTGAAAAGAGAGAAACAAATCAAATGATTCAACTTTTTTTTTTTACTTTTTTGAGAAGGTTCTTCAGATTAAGCCCTCTATTGTTTGAAGTATGAAAAAAAGAAGACGTACGCCTTTTATTTTCAATACTTCTTTCGGGAGGTTCTTCTTCTAGAAAGTGCTGCCGTAAATCTTCGAAAAGAGTGGATCACAAGCTTGCTAAATAACTTGTCTTCTTCAATTATCCCGTCTTTCTAGCACCAAATCGAGACCTAAAGATTAATCTACCATGGAGAAAATTTTTTTTCTTGATGTTTGAAAAAAATATCTGAGGATTTTAAGATATTTTCTATTGAAAAGAAAGACACAGTTTTTTGAAGTTCTTTTAGTTTTAAAAGGAAATAGAAGAAGAAAAATAAAAACCCGAGAATCAAAAACGGAAAAATTTGAAAGAACCTCGGAGATTTTTTTCAAAACCGTTCTTCTCTATCAAAAAGCGTGGAAGACAAAAAAGGACGAGTGGATTTTTCGCTGACATGTCCTGAAGGGCAATACATAATAATGGTCCACTTCTGACAAGTTGAAAAAAGAGGAGCTGCTGGGAGAAGAAGAAAACAACTAAAACTAGGATGTCGTGAATCAGTTATTCAGTTTAGAGTATGAAAAACTCCAAAAAGGCTCAATAAAAATTCATTCTTTTAATGCTATTTGAGGGATCTGAAGATTCGGACGAAGATCTTTTTTTTTAACTCCTAAGTATCCATTCTTGAGCGAAACTCTTCAAAAGTCTCTTTTGAATGCAAAATTATTAAGTAATCAACAAAAAAGGAATCTGAATCATTGAGGCTTTTCAGATCTCATCGGGACGGAGAAGAACCCGACGATTTCGAAGGCAGAATGAACGGAGGATGACTGGAGGATTCTGTGGGTGGAGCCTGCCAAAGAAAAAATTGGCGAAATTGAAAAAGGCTAGTTCAATTCGACATTTGCTGCCGAGGACTCCTCAGGTTACCCACCTACCTTTCCGCTTCCATCCGAACCTTTACTTTTTTTGGTGACGGAATGAAAAAAAAGCCATTGAACAATTTCTAACTCCTAGAGTTTCTAGGGGAGTTTCAAAAAACGTTTTTCTGTGATTTTCAAACGTCACAAAATATGGATGTTAGGAAATACTAGACTTGGAATGCAAAGTGGGTGGAATCAAAAAGCAAAATTTAAAAAAGAAAAAAAGAGAGAGCGAGCGGAAGAGTCGGTTTTACTTTTCAGAGAACTGAATCCAAAATTTCCAAATCAGCTTTTAGAGGAGGAAGAAAACCTCTTATCGAACAAGTTATAAACACGCGATTCCGAGAACTTCATCGAGGTCGTAGGTACATGAAAGGGAGAATAGGCCAAAAAGAGTGAATAACTCGCCAATTTCTCATTGATAAAGGCGCGTCACGCCGTCGTAGTGCGTATGAAGCTCAGAGTTAATCTCAGACACTTCCTTCTGAGTGAAAGAATGTTTCTTTTTTAGGTTTCATGGGTAAGTCGTCTTTCGCAGAAGTACACACCTTAAGCTTAGTGTCTTACTTTACAATTTGAAGTCGTCATACTCAAAAGTCTTCTTTTCCCTTCTGAAGGAGTTTCTTGGAAAGTAGGAATCTGTGAGTTCTTTTGTCTAAGTTTTACATTTAATATTTTTTTTCTCAGGAGATTATTGCTTTTTATTTATTGAATAACTTATTCAAAAAGGTGGTCTTGGTCAATCATTATAAAGTAAAATTTAACTTTTCATGGAAAAAAAGGTGAAAGTCGTGAAAAAAAGATCCTCAGAGTTTCATATCTTAATAAGAATCTTGACCTTTTTCAAAGGCCAGAGCGTCCGGAGCTCGGACAGAGGCCATTTTAACGTTGACTAAGATGATTTGGCTTCTAGTAAAAAAAAGAATTGAACCTCAACTTCTTTGTTTCGAAGCGGAAAAGATACCAAAAACTTTTTGAGCATCAGAAATGCCTCTTTTTCAAGTGGCGGAATCAAGTTTGGTCTGAAACTTGTTAGAGACCAACGAAGAACTTCTAAATTCCTTTTTCCCTGGATTAGCTAGGAAAAATTTTAGAAGCTGTGATGAAGGATCGGACTCAAGTTGAGTGAACTTTCCACAACAGAAATTTCTGCCTTCGGAATCCATTCTGGGATATTTTCGAAAATCAGAAGGCCAGCTATGTTTTCGACTTGGGATAATTGAAGAATTCTCAGAAAATCATCGTCCATTCTGTCCGAACATGGATTTTGAAAATCGGCAAAAATAGCCTCTGACGTACGGATGTTTTGAGCCGCTTCGCCTTAGGGCAACCTTTGTCAATAGGTTTTGCCGCTTACAGCCTAGGTGCACCTTGATGCAAATGCCGTCAATTGACATCACGTTTTTTCCTAGCGTTCGGTTTAAAAAATGCAGGAGTAAGTCCTAATGAGAATATTTGGATATCTTTTTTAAATTCTGAATGATTTACCGATATTTTTTATCCAAATAAATGAGGGATAAAAAAAAAGGGAAACCGAAGTGAAGAATGGAAGCCAGAAACTCAAAAAAAGCCTCAAAAATTCGTGTATTACATACGATGATAAATAAGTTTCATTTCGAAAGAATGAAGGAATCTTTGGTTTTCAAGTTTCCAATAAAACACGCAGACTCGTTAATTCAATTAAGTTAAAGGTGAGTAAGCTTCGTCATTGCCGAGAATCAGTATTTCTAGAATAACAACTTCTGAACATCTCATTAAACGAAAATATTATGCAAGCGTCGCAAAATTTAAAAATTGAAGAAAGTCTTGTTTGATCTAATATTTTTGTCAATTGAACATTTACAGTTGGTCTCGAATTATGGCAAAGTCGGCATTTTTTACTATCGAAAAGCAAAATGGATGATGCGGGTCGACTTCGAACCCATTGCCGAAACTGATTAAAGGCATAGCCTATGGGGGCAGTAAAAAACGGTTTTTCAGTTCAAAGCAGTACTTTGTAGAGCTTTTCATTGCAAATCGAACGGTGAACTTGGAAACGTACCGAACTTCCTAGTTTTGGAGAAACAATAATTCAAAGTCGGTAAGCTCTTTTTATATTTGCAAATGTTTCTAATGCCGATTTGAACGTAATTTTGCTAAGTTCGAAATTACTGTCTAACTAGGGCATGGTCTCCGCTCGACAACGAGTTGAGAATTGAGACTTTGTGGGTGGATAGGGCTAGGTGAGACTACTCGAAATCAAAAATAAAATTCTGCTAAACCCCACAGTCGACCGAGGAAAAGCTCGTCGAAAGTTTTCCAGCGCGTATATGGCCGCGCTCGGAGCCTTCGGCTAGCAACTGGCGGCGTGGTGTAGTGGGTTGTGGTCTTGTGCACTATCAATATTGTGACCAGGGTTCGAATCCTTTTGGCGGATATCATTTTTGCCGGCGCATAACTTTATTTCTTCTTTATTTTTGGGATATTTTATTCAAAAATCTACAATAAAAGATCACAAAAATCACAATAAAAAACAAAATACTGATTTGAAATTTTTTTTTCGTTTTTTTTTCTCTACTTCATGGCCAACGATTAAGAAAACGATCTGTTTATGAAAATTCACGTCGAGTAGATATGTTATAAAACTTTGAGCTTTTTTAAAAAGCGATTATCTGTCTTTTGGATACGTGTGTACTAAACGCAAACACAGTAACACGATAAAACAACTAAAATGAAACTTTTCCGTTCGATTTCGCGTTTCAAGTGTCAGAAGATTTGGCGATTTTCGAAGATTCCAACAGAGATTTGGGCGAAAGGAGCTTAACTTTAATAACTATGCTGCCGGTTGCCTGTCTTCCAACAGAAATATTCGAGAATAACCTCCTTAACAGTTCCTCAACACGAGAAGAAAAACTTGGCATGAGAATGAGAATAATAAATTTCTACAAGTTTTGATGTAAATTTTTGAACAAAAATAACCCAAAAATGAGGAAGGAATAAAGTTATGAGCAGGCAAAAACGATTTCCGCCAAAAGGATTCGAACCCTGGTCACAATAATGATAGTGCACAAGACCCCAACCCACTACACCACGCCGCCAGTTGCTAGCCGAATGCTCCGAGCGCGGCCATATACGCGCTGGAAATCTTTCGACGAGCTTTTTCTCGGTCGCCTGTGGGGTTTAGCAGAATTTTATTTTTGATTCCGAGTAGTCTCACCTAGCCCTATCCACCCACAAAGTCTCAATTCTCAACTCGTTGTCGAGTAGAGACCAAGCCCTAGTAAGTCTTGATTTTAGTAAGATTCAAGAAGATAACGAAGAGTTTTACAGAGCCAGAGATCTTTTTGAATTTCTCGAAGTTGCTTTGAACGCGTCATAAAAACGCATAAATTTTCTGAAAAAAAAACTCGATATTCACGGTATTCCGAAAATTTTGGTCGAATATTTCAATGCGTTTTTTATGTTCTGCGTGAGGTAAAATTTTAAAAAATAACTGACAAGGAAATTTTCGACCGTTTATATCAAATTTTTGGGGCTCACAAAGTATGTATGTTGAAGAAAGAAAAAGTAACTGGAAAAAGTTCTGAGAAAACGGAAGTACACAGTTCTTTTGTCGTCTTTTCACGAAGGAACGCGCGAAAAAACAGCTGACGTGTTGATGGAGTGATAATGGAGGGATAATGAGGACCCGGCCGACAGGTAATTACGCACCCGGTACCCTGCAACTTTTTGTCAACATCTTGTCCGGTCCGAGGTTCGAAGCATGCTTTCTGGTGGTCCCTCTGGAACATTAGGTTGTCGAAAACGTCTCTCCCGATTCAATCCACGGCTCATTTCACCTCTCCTATCAACACCTGTCCGGCTATTTTTCCCTTTTTCTTCTAAGCTTTCTGCTTGCTATATATACTTCCTGAAACAAACTTAAAAAAAGATGATAGAAAATCTAAAATGTTTAGTTTCGTGTAACCTAGTTTCCAGCAGCTTTTTTGGATTTATCGAAACGATGCCCATTGAAATAGGTAATCTTATAACCTTTCCAAATCTTGATTTTTCGTAGCCTCTAACCAAAGCTGGTAAACTCTGCTTGCAGTCCAATTTCTGAGTGGTGAAAGAATCACTTGATCAGTTTTTCGAGTTTTCGAGATAAGGTCCTCGCAGTCGCCTACGAACTTTACGAAACTTCGAAACAAGTTTTGCCAAAAGTTGAAGAATCGGTGACATCGTACTCATACTCATATGAAACTTCTTGTTTATTACTGCAAAATACCTTATATTTTTTTCTTTCATTTTGAAAATTAGCAGCTAGAACAGCTGTGAAATCCTCTATCTGTGCAAATTTATAAAAAAAGATATGTCTGTTTGGAAAGCTTGAAATCTTCTATAACTTTTTCAAAAAACTCATTCGATGGTCTAGACGAAACATTTTGATGGCTACTAGAAAAAAATAATTTCTGAAAAATAAGAATTTTGCGCAGGTTGCCATTTAAGGAACTTTGGTTGGATCTTTCAATCAGTTTGTTGACTAATATATATAAAACTCGAAACTTCAAACTGAAAGGACCTCCCTTGGAAATTATCCTGTTCTCTTTTTTATAATCATCTTACACAATTTTCGAATCTCTAGACTTTTTTGAAACTGGATGTGTTCAATCACGGGGACACCCGTGATTGAACACATCCTATTACAAAAATCTTCCAGAGCATAATAATTTCACCCTAGTACTCTCATTTCGAGAAGTTGGACTCGTCAGAGAAGGGAGAGAAGGTGAACCAGGACCTCGAACCTTTTTCGGGCAGAAGCGACACTCGGCCAGCGTTTTTCAGCCGCGGGTGCACGTAGTCTTTGTCACTGACGGCGGCCATTCATCATCCTCGGTTCTTTGCCCGCTGCTCGGCTCATTTTGCAGCTGAAAACACTCGTCTTCTTGGCCGCCGTCACTCCAAATATGCGTTGCAACCATTTGTTGCCGTTAGCTATTCTGTCGCCTTTTCCCAGCTTTTTTTCTAGATCGTTATGCTGTTTTCACGAGGAAAAGCTTGAAAAGGAATCTCTGGAGAGTTGCGGATGCTGAAGGACTTTAGCGTAGGGTCATTCTGTTTATTTTTTCAGTTTCTTCTTTTTTTAGTTTTTGATATCAGCTAAAAATTTCATTCATAAGTCTATATATTTCCGAAACGAATTTTTCATTTGAAAGTTCAGCTCCTGAAGAATCCTTTCTTCGCTTTTTTTGCTCTTGTTTTCTGTCAAACTGGCTTTTTTCTATATTAAGAAAAACAAATAAAATCCAAGGAATTTTCGCAGAGGAATGCCCGCAAAAAAGTTCGTTGGAACACGTCAAAGAGGCAGCAAAAGGTCCCCAATTGTGAATATTTCACGGGTTTTTTGGCGCCAGAAGCTGTTCTTTTTCCTTCGTCCCTTTGCCTCCGATTTTCGCATCTGAAGAGATTTCTGAACTCCGCCCATTCTTTCGTTTCGCTTCGAGCTTCGTCGGCCCCTCACCTATTGTCTTTTTTCCCGCAGTTCATTCAGAGTTATTGAGAGAAAATGTGATTGCCGACTCGGATGATTCTTCCTTTCACGGCTTCTTTTCTACTGCTTCCGAGGGCCTAATTTTCAAGTCAACTCTTCTCGCCGAGCACAACACAACACTTTTCTCAAGCGCTAATTCTGGCTCTAGACCACTGATTTTTATTTTATTTTTTTGTGATCTCTAGCAAACTCATGGTCATTCACCATTCTAGACAGTTTTTTCCGACATTTTTCCGATTCGACCGGTCTTGGTAAGCCGCTTGCTACGAGGAGCTAATTTTAAACAGACCAAAGTTTAAATGTAACTTCAAAGAAAATTCGACTTGAAGAAACCGTATCTCTATCCTCCTTTCGTTTTCTGATCGACACTAACTTTTCATCGTTGAAATATTGGCTCGAGCCAGCTTTGAAGAGAACAGACAGTTCCCGATGAAAATCGGCTCTTACTCTGAGAACGTTATGATCGAAACGGAGCCAATTCCCCTGCGCATGAACTTGTCATCTCCGAAGGCCGATATCATCTGCTCTCTGGATCCCATACATCATTTCCCCATCAAATCTGTGACAGTCTTCCCACGTTTCTTGCTCATCATCACAAAATCTGGCGATAGGCTGTTGGCCGAAGGTCTGAATCTTTTTGTTTCAATTTTCGAAAACAAGATCCGTTTCAAAAATCGAGTCCGTGGGTTTTTCAATTTCCAGATGTCTTTTTGGAACATCTTCTTGGAAAAACTCGTCTTGAGTTATCAGATGGAATAAGGAAAGAACGGATTGAAAAAAAAAATCTCGGATGCCGGGATTTGGATAATTCAGTCGGCACAAATTCCCTAGACAACGATGATTTATGCGATAAAATTGTTGCCGTTGCGCAATTGAGCCATGACATTATTCGCAATGACAATCCTCCGTTTTTTTTTTCTCTTCTTTCCTACTTTCGCTTTCAAACATCATCCTGGAAAATCCCACCTTTTCGAAAACCTTTTGGATTTCTTCCTTGATGATTCTCGAGAAAAACTCAAAACTTGAAAAAACGGAGAAAGCTTGTTTGACTGCGAAATTTCCCTCTTCTCTCTTCGTTGAATTTGAATTCTCAAATTTTCGGGCGGCGGATCTTGAAGCGCGAAAAAAAAAAGCTATTTCTTCATTGTTCGTCATTTTTTTTCCTGTTGGACTTGTATAGTTTGTCAATTTATTATGAACTTTCAGTTAAGAAGGGAATTTTCATCATTTCGCTATAAACTTCTTAAAGCAAAAAAAGGATAGTAATAAAACCTGGACCTTTCCGTTAAATTCCATTTTCGTGGTTGGAATTTGACATTTGTGATCCGTTCTATTTTAATACCATATAGTTAGGAACTTCCATGTTATGTTCTTTTTTTGTAGTTTTTTCTATGCATAAGATATTCAGTTATTTATTTTTTTTAAAGCTGGAATAAGGGAGTTTCTCGAGAAGACATGATGATCTGGGCTTACTCTTGTTGTTGTTTTGTGCCCTTCCGTCGGAAAATCGCAGAGCTCCTGACGAAGAGAACCTTTCGCAGAGGCGAGACGTTCGTCAAGAGGATTTCTGCACGCCCTGCACGTCTTCATTTCTCTCGAAAAAACTTCTGCCCGTCACGTCTTCTATTTTCTCTTGACGAACAAACTATTCTTTTTAGAAGGGGAACGGCGCTCATTTTTTCTGACATAAGATCAACTTCAACCTTCAATTTTTCCAGAGAATGGCTCCGCGACTCACACGACAATTGACATGGTCGACGCAACCATGAGCAACGCTGTTCTTGGTCTTTCTCTGTTACTCGCTGCGAAACTTTTCGAAGCATCGCCTTGTTTTCCTGACAACTTCATCAACGTGGTCCGTCATGTGAAAAACGACTTTTTGATCTACGGCATCACCCAGGTGAGGGCCTTTTTGTCTTCAGATTTTCCTGGTAGCATATGAGAAAAACTGGAAGCCGCTCTTCTTTTTTTGGCTCAAATTCTGTTCTTCAACACGAAACGAGAACGAAGACGAAGATTTACGAGAGCGAATTCAAAATTGACAGAATAATTTTCACCCTTCTATTGGAGAAGAAGATAAATTGTTCTTTTCAGAAAAGAAGCCGTGAGCTTTCCAATCTACCTCTAGCTGAGACAAAAAATATTTCAGGACTGCCAGGTTTTCTTCGCGAAGCCGTCGCAACTGGCCCTCGTCTCCAGAATACAAGTCAATTCTCGTGCCTCCTTCTGTCATCCGAAGCTCATTCAGATCCATCTGAAGGTTACTTTCCTTATACCTTTTCGATGTACCTCGTTCGCGACGTTTTTAGATGGCTTTATTTGTTTTTTTTTTACAAGTTCAGAAAGATAGATTATTTCATTGTTATAGGTGAATAATCAAACAAAACTTGATAAAGTCTAGTATGATCTCTTGAAGGAATGAGAAAAAATTTGAGAGATCTTTGTAAATTTTTTAGACGAGATAACGGTCTTTCGCCCTCACTTAAAACTACACAGATTCGTTTTTCATCCTGAAAAAGTTCTGTTTAAACAAAAACTTCTTGAGATTTTAGGCTCACGACTCTCTTCTAGTAACTCTGAAGCAAGCCAATAACCGGATATGCACCCTCGTCGTCCACATCCCGCCGCTCGAAATCATATTCGGAGATCATCTCTTCAGGTTGACTATATCTGAATTTTTTTCATGTTTGAATTTTTTTTCATGTAAATTTTCATGTCTATTGAAGCGATTTTATTTTTGAGTACTTATTGCCTTAAGTTATTCTCTGCTGAACTCATTGCCCTTCGCGGCCTGCTCCCACAGCAACGACGAAAGATTCCTTCTGGATCCCGACCTTTCTTTCATGGACCCCATTTATAGCGTGGGTTGATACGGTTCAGCTGTTGAACTGCGAACTGTTTAGGACGTATTGTACATGGTAGACCCAGCCTCCGAAGGAAAGAAATGGAAGTTGAACCAGCTGCTGTTGAACGACAAGGGTAACCTCAACATCATCAACAACTTCACCATTCCCAACGACTACGTTACTTCCAACCGTGTGTCTCCCTTTTCTCTTCTTTTTGAAATTTCCGTTTGAGGAGTGGCGGGTTCGTCGACGGCAAGCGACTTCATCATGACGTTGGATTCTTCTCGCGGCTCCATGTTCAAGAGAAACCGTTTCGATACAACTTTTACTCATCAATGTGCTTTTGATATGTTGTTCAGGTTAACAATTTTTGGAAGATAAAAATCTCTCATTTTTCAGACAGCCTCAGGCGGCTGTGGAGCGCTTTGAGACCCCGACCCAGGGATACGGTAGCTGGCTGAACGCCATGGCCAGCGACTCCAACATCTTGCTCTACGTGGAGACCGACCGTTCTGTGAGTCTTGATCGAGTTTCCGACGACCTCTTCTTCTTTCAGGCCACGTCACCATCAACTCGTTTGAACATTCTGAACGTCTCCGAGCCAAACGACGTTTTTTGTCTGCTCCACACCAACTTTGTCTTCGATATTGGCATTGTTTGTTCCCAAACTCTGCGGAAACTGAAGGAAGAGCCTCTTTTACCATTCGGTACGTTTTCAGCCGTGTTCAAAGTAATTCATGCGGAATTCCAAATTATCGTCAATTCAAGTTTTTTTTTGTCTTTTTCACTTTCAGACGCCTATTTTGCATTTTTCGGGATAATTTTGAACAGGACATTGCATGCTTATAAATGAAAAGAAAGGTAATTTTCCGAAATAGGTCAAAAAGATCTTTGGTGTTCTCATACCAGGCCACTTTTTAGTAGTGACGTCATAGCGCAGGACCCCCAAAAATATCCCCAAACATTGAAAAAACAGACTTTTTTCTCTTTTTCTTTAAGCGAATTCGTTTTCTAGATGATTTCAGTAGTTAGAACCTTTTCTAAGCAAATCTTATCACTGATCCGTGTTAACATTTGAAAATTTAAAAATTTCTGGAAATGCGAATTTTTCGATCCGGTTTCTTCTAGAGCTAACAGATCGTTCTATAAAAGCTGAAAAATCAATCTGGAGCTCAGTCTGATCACTTTGAGACTTCTGACCGATTTTCCGTATGTTTCGAAGTTTTTCCTCTTCTTGAATAAAAATTTAAAAATTAAATCGGAAAAAAGTTAAATAAAGAATAAAAAAGTTAATTTGGAAATTCAGGAACAAAGAGATCGAGGCAGCCGTTCGCGATCGTTTCAGAGAAGATGCAGCTTCGGCCAACATCACCTGAATCAATCACGTCGACCACAACGAAAGCTTCAGTCTCCACATCAACCGTAGAACCAAGAACCGAGCAAACTGAAGTCGTGAAAACAACGACCTCGCCGAAGAAGTCGGAGCAGCACCAACCTGTGCGGATTTCTTCTCCATCTGAGTCGTTTTTCTCCTTTTCTGCAACGACGAGCGTCCCGACGACGTCGACTGACCGGGAAAAAGAAGAAGAGAAGGAAGAGTTAGAAGACTTTGATGATTTGGAAGTTCCGAAAGTGCTGAAGACTGACGACGACGTTTCCGAGATTGATAAGGCCCGAGAAGACGTTTCTGATGATAACGTGGGTTTTCCTTTGTTTTTTTCCGCTTTTGAGAGGGTCATGAAATAACTTGAAAGCCTTTTAATTGAAAATTCCAAAAGCTTGAGGAGGAAAGTCTGATGACTGGGCTTTTTATTAGAGAAAACCGAAAAGTGCAGATTTTTTTATTTTCGCGGTTTTGCAGGGAAGCGACGTCGGAGAACTGCGAGCCCATCAGAACGACACGACCAATTCTTCGCCTGTCGAGGTGCCTCGTCTCGTTCTCCTCTTTCTCCTTTATCTCTTGTGTCACTAAAAAGACAATTACTTTCCATCGGATTCCTTTCCGTTTTATGTTGGTTTTTGTAGTTGCAGAGTGACAGGAAAATCGACGCTTTTTCGTATTTTCCACGAGATTGTGTGCTCATGCGTTTGTTGCCTGAAACATGTCACACATTCGATTGGTTAGAATTTTTGAATCCGATTCAGGGGAAAACATACCAAAAAAAAGTGTTGACTTTTAGTGATAGTTATAGAAAAATAGTGATGCTTACCCCATCAAAAGGGCGATAATTTAAACAAAAACAGCTAACTTTGAATAGGCGAGAAATCTTCATAACTTTCAAAAATCCAAGTTGAATTCGAAGCTTTTGCGGTTTCTTCACTTCAATCACAGGCTTAAAGTCTTTTTTTTTTTGAAAAAGTGTAGTTTGAGGTGCCTAGGACTTTTCTCCTTTTCCAGGATCTATTTCTCACCGACCTTCTGTCTTTAACTTCTTTCCGGGTAGCCGGTATTCCAAATTCCAAATTACATTTTATATTGATCTCTTCACCTAATTCCTATATCCCACACTTTCCCGGTTGATTTTGTGAACATTTAAAATAAAAGATCTCCCGATGAAAATGTGGAATTCGAGAATCAGCCGTTGGCAGCTTTCCAAGAACTCGTTCCGTGGTTGTTTCTCTAGGGGACAATGGAATGGTCAGGTCTTTCCAGATTTCCAGTGGTTGGCGCTGATAAATTTTCAGAGCGCCAAAAATGAATTATACACAGAGAAACATGTAATAAGAAACGAATCCAAGTGAATCCACGTTGTACTTTTTTTCAAATACAAACTGAAAAGTTTTCCAGAATTTTTTGAAAGAAGAGTAAAAATTCACATTCGTGACCAGGAGTGTAGTCTCCGGATGTCTTTAAAAGTTTTCTCGAAAAAGCGGAGATTTTAGATAATTTCTTCAAGATTCTTCGTTTCGGGCGAAAGTGGAATGAAAGTTCTCATCCTCAGGAAAGTGATGACAATTTCGAGTAAGCGAAGCTATAAAGCACACTTTCAATAGACTCATTCCACATCTATGACATTTGTCATTACTTTATTTATTTCCAAGAACTTATATTTGTGAGTTATCAACCTTCTACCGGTTGAAATCACTATGGACAAAACATGTATTCTGAATGCAATTGTTCACTTCTTCTGGCTTCCCTGTTTCTCGTCTGAAATGTCATAATAGAGAAATAAAGACGAGAAATTGCATCAGACACGGACAGATTCCCATCTCAAACTTTCCCGCGTCTCTTTGCAGCATTTTTCAATTTGGAATTCTCATCGTATCGCAAAGTTTCGTGTGTTCATTCTCGCGTCTGATCAAACAGATCGCCTACCTTGTGAGGTTTCGGAACAAAGTTTGCAGACATAATTATAAACGGAAGCTGAAACTGTGAAATCGCAGATCTTTTCATGTGAATATTCAAACCAAGACTGAAAGAAGGGGAAATTTTCTTGTGCTGTCAGCTTCCAATGCTTAGAATCTAGAAAAAGAGAAAAAAAGGTGCAGACTGCGATTTTCGTTGCCCTTTTTCGGAGCGAGACAGTCTGAACGCTCGCTGGTATTGCCCATAAAAGGTTGGCTGGCCATCGGAAGACCTGACAAAAAACGGCGAAGAGATAAGGGTATCATATCAATGTGAAGTAGCCAGCCAAACCAAAACCGCGCCATCTGAGACTGCACCGTTTCTAACCGGCCTTAATAAAAAGTATCGCAGACACTTTTATCAAACTGACCTGCTTTCAATAACACAAAGTTGAACTTAAATTCATTGAAAAACACTCTTTTCACCTTTTGGTTGCCAAAAAGGGAATGGAACATCGAGAAAGTCACATGGCCTCTATACAATTCGATTCCCGCCTCTCAAACACGAAAATTGACTTTTTTCGCTTTGAGACATGGAAACGAGACCAAAGAGCGCCACATTGCAAATGCGGAGTATAAAAGGCTCGAGGCTGCGATTCGAAAGGTAGATTCCAATCACTCAGGCGCCTACTTTTTTCTCTTGAAAATCTTCACTTTTCAACTTTTCGGGAAATTGATTTAGAGTTTCGGATATTTTGATTTTGAATTCATTATTTCGAATAAGCTTTTAGCTTTTTCCTGTATTTGATCCTTGAAAAATTTTGACTTTTGTATTTTTGTATAAATCATCTTTGCTCAAAAAAATCAAGCGCTCAAATTACTGTTGTTTTTCAAAAACACACAACTTGTGACGAACTTTATTTTTCAATTTTAATCAGTACTGATTATTTGCACACGAATTCGAACGTGCAGAAGACGCGCAGACCCCGTGGCTAAGCGCCGCCTCTTTCCTCTCGTTTCTTTGGCCTCTCTCACCTCTCGCTGTCGCGGCAGCGCGCCTTTTGTTCATTCGAGCAGTTGCCGCGGGTGCAGGACAGACGATCCTCTGAACTCTTCCAGAAATGGCAGCCAACACGTTCCTCTTCACGTCGGAGTCTGTGTCCGAGGGACATCCTGACAAGATGTGCGACCAGGTCAGTCCTCACTCCTCACAGTTTTTTCATTACGCAGTTATTCGTTCAAATAAGTAAATTTTTAGGCCAAGTTTGAGATTTTTTTTAAAACGCTTCTCTAATAGTTTCGACTCTCATTACCGTCCAAAAAAAAAAATAAACAATGAAATTTCTGATCTAGCTAATCTCCGAAATTCAGTTTGAACCTATTGAACATTTTTGGGATTCTTTCAGCGAAATATTTTTGTTTTTCTGAAATTATTCACATTTATCATCATGCGCTTGTGAAATTCAAAAAAAAAAAAAACTCGATGCAACTTTGACACTTCGTGCTTTTTTTAAAATTTTAAACGGGAAATCGTATTTTCAGCTTGGTTTAAAGATCAGAGAAAAGCCGCATCATAATACTAACTTTGGTCAGCCTTTTTTCAATTTGCAAATGTTTACTTGTCAATTTCGCAATTTTTCTTGTTCTTAGTGAAATAATTTTTAATGTTTTCTTTAAAATATTTTTAGAAGAATAACAAAAACTAACGCGAAGAAGAAATAATTATTTAATATTCGAAATTAAGCGAGTTGTTAAATGAGAAACTGATGAAAAAGAAATAAAATTAAAAAGCGCATCAAAGTATAAATGACTGCTCAGAAACTCCCACTTTGTGATTCAAGTAAGAAACTCGCAAATATTTCATTGAAAAGCCTTTTTTGAATTTTTTTTTTTCTTCAAATCTGTCATCATTATTTAGTTTTTCAATTTTATTTGCTTTTCCTTCTTTTTATTAGAAGTGGAGACATTAATTAGATTAAAGTGAATTTCAAGGGTTTCAGTGTCTCATGAACTGAAATAAAAGAAATGAAAACGCAATCTGTCTTCAGATTTCCGATGCCGTTTTGGACGCTCATCTCGCCCAGGATCCGCATGCCAAAGTAGCCTGTGGTTAGTTTGCTGCACTTGCAGATATTTCCGCGATCGCCCAATGGTGGACTATGGAATCAGAGGTGGACAGGCTGCGAAACGATGCATGAACACACAATTCTTATTTTCACTTTGCATGCTTTTTGATTTAGTTCTTTCTAGCAGTGGTGAAATTTCACGACAATAACCGCAGAGAAAGGAAAGAGAAATAGTGGAAATGGATATATTTCGGTGTTGTGTGCATTCGATACTCGCTACGCCTAATCTGTCTCTGTTGCAGGACGTTACATAGATCCATCTGGTCGCACTCGTGTGACTACCCCGTTTAAACGGTTGCTTTGATTACAGAAACGGTAACCAAAACGGGTATGATCATGTTGTGCGGCGAGATCACATCGAAGGCCGTCGTCGACTATCAGGTCCTGGTCCGCAACGTCGTCAAGAAGATCGGCTACGACGACTCCAGCAAGGGTCCGTCGTTTCTCACGTTTCCCACGGGCACTTTGGCCTGTCCCTCTGTTATCATTTCTCCACGAGATGAAGAGAAACGCACTAGCAAAAAATCCAATTCGTTCAATTTTGCGCGGTGGGGTGATCTTATCAATGGCCATCGCAATTCTAGTCTTATCATTCTTTTGTCTGGGAAAATCGGTCGTCATTTTTGAGAATTCGATTTATCTTTCGGCATATAAAGAAGGGCGTGCTTTTTGTTCAACGTTTTTTTTGTTAACGGGATCGAGTTGATGAAAATGCAACATTAAGAAAAGTTCAAAAGAATAAAGTAGTTTTATCATTTTTTCGAAACTAAAAGTTTAAGAAATGAAAGTCACCTAGTAGTATTCGAAAGCGCAGGGACCAGTCACGAAAAAAACGTCTCTGCTTTGTGAATTTCTGTCCCGTTAAGATTCTTCGCTTATTCGGATCGGAAGATTATTTTGCATACAGCCTGTCCGTTATTTTTTGAAAAAAGCTTTTCATAATTTTGATCCAGAATTTTCCACGTGTGAAATATATTTTTGACAAAAGTGTAGAGAGTTTCAATAAACTAAAACAGTTTTTTGTTACCAGTAACTTGAAAAATGTTGAATTTTAAGTTTCCTTCGTCGGTTGTAAATTAGTAGGATCAAACATGCAGAATATTCATGAAAAAATTTCGGCTTTCAATAACTTAGAATAAAAATAGTCAATGAAAAGTTTGTCTAGCTGAATTAAAAAGAAAGTTTCAGGTTTTGACTACAAAACGTGCAATGTCCTGGTCGCCCTGGAGCAGCAGTCGCCAGAAATCGCAGCCGGAGTCCACGTGCAGAAGTCGGAAGACGATGTCGGTGCCGGAGACCAAGGAATCATGTTCGGCTACGCGACCGACGAGACCGAGGAGGCGATGCCGCTCACTCTGCAGCTTTCCCACCAACTCAACGCCAAGCTCCACGAGCTCCGTCGCAACGGCACCCTCGCCTGGGTCCGACCAGACTCCAAGACTCAGGTTTCCGTGGAAAAAGAAGTTCTTCTCCTGACTCAGCTCTTCAGGTCACCATCGAGTACGAATTCGTCGGAGGAGCCTGCATTCCTCGTCGCGTTCACACCGTCGTCATCTCCACGCAACACAGTCCCGATATCTCACTTGAAGACCTCCGCAAAGAGCTTCTGGATAAGGTGCAGTTTTGCATGGCAAAGTGTCTTTCAAGGGGCTTTTTGAAGGTTATCCGAGCTGTGATCCCTGCAGAACTGATGGACGACTCGACCGTCTTCCACTTGAATCCCTGCGGATCTTTCATCGTCGGAGGACCGATGGGCGATGCTGGACTCACCGGCCGCAAGATCATCGTCGACACGTACGGCGGCTGGGGAGCTCACGGCGGCGGGGCTTTCTCTGGAAAGGACCCCACCAAGGTGGACCGTTCTGCGGCCTACGCAGCTCGATGGGTCGCCAAGTCTCTGGTCAAGGCCGGAATCTGCCGTCGTTGTCTCGTCCAAGTTTCCTACGCGATCGGAGTCGCCAAGCCTCTCTCTGTTCTTGTCTTCTCTTTCGGAACTTCGGCGCTCAATGAGCAAGAACTCCTTCAAGTCGTCAACGATAACTTCGATCTCCGACCTGGAAAGATCATCAAGTGAGTTTTTTTCACTCACTTTTCCCGGGGAACTGTCTGGAACGGTCTGATCCAATCTTCTATGGTATGTCCCACGGGAGAGTGCTCGAGAAAGAAAAATAATTGTCTAGTAAGCGACATAGATTGCTGAGAAAATTCCGGAAAGTGCAGGAAACCCTTTAGAATATATTTTTTCAGATTTTCAGTTTAGAAAACAGCTGCTCTGAATCTTTTCATAAGGAACACGAAAAAAAAATTTAATCTTCAAAAAATTCGCAAAAAGCGGGTTTTGAGCTCTTCAAGCACATTTTCGACCTTTTATTTTCTTATATCTCGCCTGTCAAAGAGGTATCGACCAGATCTTAAATATTCGTCTCAGACACTTCCGTAGAAGGACTTTATCAGGAGCAAATAGCAAAAAAAGTATTCAATATGTTTGCAGGGAGCTCGACCTCAAGAGACCAATCTACGAGGCCACCGCCGAGAACGGTCACTTCGGACACAACGAGTTCCCTTGGGAAGTGCCACGTGCTTTGAAAATTTCTCCCGAGCTGACGAAGAAGTCGCAACAAGCTCCGCGACAAGAAGACGTCGGATCCATTGCTCACTAATTTTCTCTCTTTCGGAATTGTTTTTTGTTCACTTTTTGCTGTGCAATTGGTCTCATTTATTCTCCAGAATCATGTTGTTATGCTGTCTTCCTTGGTTACTTTCACCTCTCGTTTTCCTATCTCCATGGAGTTGTTTGACATGTCACTTTGGCCTTGCTATGAGCTGGTTCACGTATTGGATGTTTCTGAACGAGTTGTGATACATTCAGTGGGATACACGTTTTTCTCTAATAAAAAAATAAGAGTTTATTTTTTTCAATAGAATTTTCGAGAAGAAGAACATAAAAATTAACAGGCAGTCGGGAAACAATGGCTGTGTAAGGCTCAAAGATAACATTTGAAAAAAATAATAAACGAATCGATGTGTTTTTCAATTGATTTTTTTGAAGGAAAAACAACCACTTTTTCGAAGTAGTCTGAAAAAATTGAGCTTTTTGAGGTGAGGCACAGTTATATGTCGAGGGGAAGTTTCAGAAGGCCATGCTGCTTCTCTGACGTTTCTCATCGCGGCCACCTTCTGATTGTCTCTGAAAAAAGTTTCCAGTTTCGAAAAAGGTCCATAAAAGTTTTGATTGGTAAAAGGTTCTATTCATGATCTATTGAAAAATAAGGGAAAGTCTAGAATTTTTGAAAAAAAAATTGTACTACAGTGCGCGTCATAAGTATAGTATACTTATGACGCGCACACTATGGTATGGGGAATTACAAATTATAAAGGAAGGAATCATTTTTAGATACAATCATTTTGCTCCTCGAATTTTTGTTTTCTGGTATAATCTCTTCAAAAATCTTGTTTGAGAGCGCAAGGTTCCGGCATGGCCTGAAAAACTGGAAACGGATCTTCAACTCAAGACCTTTACTAGATTTTCTCGTGCTCCTTCACAAGCACCAAAAACAAATTTTCATCAGATTATGAAGATTTTATTTTTTAGTTTATTGGAACACTTGAGAAAAGAACCTGAATACGGTATATCCGCCTCTCAGAAGGACCAGAATCCCGCGGATTGGATTCGCGAGCGTGCATAGGAGAGTAGTCCGGCTGCGGCTCCCCGAGTTGCGTCGTGGACCGAGTCAGAAAGTTCTGAAACCAGAAAAACGTCTTTTGCGGGGAGGCAACAAGAACTGACGGCTTCGCGTCTTCGGACTTCTTGTTCCAGCGCCGCAGTCTTCTCGAGCACGCTTAACCGTCTGCGTTTCTCGTTTTCCTTTTCATTTTTCTCCTCCATCGACGGAGGATCCATTCCAAAGTAGCACTCAGGTAAGCGACGTTCACCTTCTGTCGCAACATTATTGATCTTGCGCGAAACGGAACGAAACTCACGATGTCGCTGCTCGTGTCGCAACTTGTCTTCTTCTTCGCTCACCCACGAAAAGTCGATTTCACTCTGGTCGCAGCGCATCTGCGATGTCGCCACCGAGGACCGAGATCCATAGCCCGGCTGGTTTCTGGAAAACCAAGCTAAAAAAAGATGATTAAAATTTTGCAATCATAGAAACAATTCCTTACAAAAAAAATTAACTTGCTCGCTTAGTAAAACTTATAGCTTTTTTTAAACATCAGTCCCGAGGAAATTTCTCAATTTTGAACGTATATATTGTAAAATTGAATGCATTCTTTGGATAAAAAATTTAGTGAGAAAAATTTATGAAATTTTTCTTTAGTCACCGAAAATTGACATTAATGATGAGAAAGAGAATTGATTCAATGGATATTTAGAAAATAATGAAAAAGGCCAAACAACTCAGTACTTTTGTCCGAACCTCAAGATGGGCTGCGCATAGGTCTGGTTCTGAGGGTTCCTCTCTGTTTTCTCCGTAGTTCTTTCTACTTTTTCTGACCGTTCCACTTTGACTTCGATCGTTTTTCCAACGCTCTGTAACGAATAATAACTTGTTCGGAAGAAGTTTGAAAAAGAATAACCTTGAGTTTGGGAGATTCTTGATGTGGCGTGCTTGTGTACATAGGAGGCGACATTGTGTCTTCAAAAGGTAAAATTAATGAACAAATTGAATCTTTTTTCCTTTTCGATATTATTGATCTTAGAGACACAAGGAAAAGCTCATAAAAGTTACCTATTCAAAATGACTTACTTCGCTTTGGCGGCTCGGTTCCGCGGCTGCTGGAAAGCGAGGAGTTGGCTCCCCAGTGATCTGTCGGTTGACCTTCTTCCGATGACGTCATCGGAGACGATGAAGCGAGTGAACTCCCCAAATCGCGAGTGTTTCGCATAATTGGACGGCTGGAAAAAAAAAAATTGAAATGCGCCACGAAAAAATGTGGTTTCAGAGAAAAATAAGCCAAGTCCTAATGAGAGAAATTAAAATCTTGCGGTAAAACTCAAGATAAATGTAAACAAAATGCACCGGCAGCTGTCTTTATTGTTTTGTGATTTTCATCCATTGTCTTCTATGCATTCTCAAAAAAATTCGTTTTGTTAAGTTTTCCCTTTTAATCTTCTAGATACACCAAATCTTATTTTCTTTGAAATCCTGGCCGATATAATTCTCCGAGGCTTACCGGTTTCCGACTTTTTCAAAGAAGAACATACTAAAACGCCGTTGAAAAGAGAAATTAAGCGATAAGCAGCGTCTTGTCGAGATTAAGGCCGCGATCTAATTGAAAAGCGATAAAACCAAACACTTGATGCGAAAAAAAAAATCTAGTTCAGCGCAACTTGAAAGGTGTTTTCAAAAGAAAAGAAAAACTGGAAGCAAAACAGAAACACACGAATATTTCGGTTTGTCAGAGTGGAGAGAATGCTCCCGGAGGCCGATCGGCGCCCGGACTTCCCCCGGCGTCCTCCACTCTCGGCGGTACGGCCTTGTGTCCACTTCCACGTCGTGCATCCTTAAATCTCTCATTTGAAATATCTTCTTTTGGCAGAGTAAGCATTTTCATTATGAATTGAAGGAAAACGTGTTATCAACAGCTGGAAATGAAATTTTTCTGGTTTTTATAGTTTTAATCCTATCTGAATGGGGACAACTAGCCGCAAACATTTTTTGAGTAAAATGAAAATTTATAAGTAATGCTGAAAGCTAGCGATTTTCAAATACAATCGAGACAGAGTCCTGGTTAACGCTTAGAAACTTAACGGATTGTATCTAGATGATAACTGCTTAGAAGCTATGTTTCTTAGGATTTCCGTTTCTTAGGACTTCCCATGAAAGAGAGTGAACTCAAAATCAAAATATGTGAAACTTCTCAAACCCTGCTCATGATGAGATTGGAGCTGATGAATCGGGAATAGTAAATAAAAGTGAAAAGCCCTGTGATTTCTCATTCAGCTATTTCTGTACCTTCATTGTTAATCCTCTCTAAAAGTTTTCGGACATGATATGTAACCTCGACTGTAAAATCCAAAACGAAAAATCTGTACGCCCCGTTCCAGTTCGTTCGTGAGAAAATTGATCGAAGCACAGCTCAGAAGCCGGTGCTCTACTGCTCCACAGAACACCTGGTGTCGCCCAAAAAAGGAATTGCAGAGATAATTAACCACGTGAGCCATCGATCGATCTCACGGCGGAAGTGGAAACGACGCAGGTCAACCGGCTTTTGTTCCCACCTCCACGGTATCCTTTCATTATTCTGTGCATTCCGACACTAAAGAGGAAGAAAAAAACAAGTTCTTGGCACAAATCGAAATGAATTAAGCCCGAAACGTTTCTAAAACTTCGTGAAAGTTATCTTCTGTGCTGTTTTAGAATTTTGGTACGCATTCGATTCAATTTTCCTTGGAAAGTTAGCAAGCGACTGTAGCTTCGAGCTTACATTATTGAGAACCAGTATTTTTTGTGAAAAAGAAATCGAAGATTCTTCATTCAATGTAACATTTTTGGAAAAACTTCCCAAAAATGTAAAATAACTTTGAAAAGATGTCAAGAACAACTTTTTTAAACGATTTTTTCCATCTTTTCAGCACTGGTGAGTCGGGTGGCATGAGAGAACTTTTTTCTTTTGTCTTCGACCTTTTGTGGAGATGGCTGTGCCCTTTCTACCTCTAGAGACAAAGGTTAACGTATTCATCTTGAGGTCTTATTTGCGGTCCGTTTGCCTATTTGTGTGCCTACTTGTGGGGCACAAGGTGTCGCTCTCTGAGGACTTTTCGCGCCTTCCTCTGTATGATAACCGATAACAGTTATCCAAAAAGCCTCAGGCTATTTTTGGCATTTTCAATACTTTACCATGAAACTTACTCAAGCATATCTGCTTTTGAAAGCTTAACGAGCATTTTCTCAATGTGGTCGAAAAAAGCTTTTTTTTTTCTCTTAACTTCCGAATCTTTCTGTTCGATTTCATACGATTGTCCGATAAATCTTCGCAGATCACACCCGCCAAACACTTTATCGTCATATTGATGGAGAGAATGGCATCTGAACAAACCGAAAAAGGATAAGACGTGTTTTAGAACTGGAAAGCGGACTGGATAACGATAACAACATAACTTATAATGCCAAATCGTCCTTTCTAAACGATCTCACTCTCATTATTTATTTGATGTTGCGAGATGTACGAATAAAAAAATCTTCTTAGAGAAAACTTGGACGTACTGAAAACAAAAAAAATTTCCGACTTCGATCAACTGAAAATGTGTCCTTTTTAACCCCAGTCATCAACCAATCGATTCGCTTCATGCACTGCACACACTTGGAAAAGAAGAAGAAGCAAAAAGAACGAAGAGTGTGAATAAGTGCTCAATCGGAACCGGGCGGGTCGATTAATAAACAAAGACAGCGAGAGAAAACCCTTCTACGCTTCCATCTATAGATCACAGAAATAAAAGCAAATACTTTTTCAACTTTTCTTCTACAAGGTCGAGACTATTTTGAGACTGTTAGAAAAAGAAATATTTCAATTCTTCTTCTTTTTCAATTCTCTTGCCCCTTGTTTCCCTCTGAAAACAAGGACGAACCTCTCAAAAGTCCGCCAAAATTTCAACATCAGAGCGGGGCAGGCGACCTTGAAAAACAGTTGTAGCAGGTGAAAAGTTGGCAGGTTGCCAGTAGTTATCCTTGGCCTCCGAAGTAATGATTAAGCAGAGGACATTTCAAGTGACAGTTGGATCTCTTAAACAAAGGAAGAATCGACGACAAAAAAGAACGAATCTTCTCGATATTTCAGTTCAGAAACGGCTCAAAGTCCCCATTTGGTTTTGTGCGGAGAACCGACGAGAATCCGCAGCACTTGTTGATTTGGCGCAGGTTTCCACGTGTATTCTCGCGTTTGACAGGTCCGCTGGCTTTCATTTATGGACGCTGACATTGCAGGTCAGCGCGTGAAATGCCTTTCGTAAACTTGACGACCATGCTCAATTTGACACGTCCTTTGAATTCAGATGGCATTGCATTCAAGTGAATGCTTCCACCGTAAAGTTTTCACTGAATTCGAAAATCACAGGCTACCACTTCCGATTGGAATTCAGCAGCCATTATAGTTGTCTTCGCATATATTCTGAACGGCGAGGTCAGGAAAAAAACGGATAACCGTTTAAGATGGCCCCTTTGCGAACACCTGATTATTGGCACCCGGTCACCGTCCGTGAAGAAATGTCAAGGCTAAGAACCTGTGGAAGGCCGGTGCAGCAGGAAGAGAAACGAGGTAATCACAAAAAACGGAGTACCAAGTTTTCTTTGAGGAATCTTATTCATTTTTCTATATTCAAGTCTTGGAAACTTCCTTTGTAAGGGTTCCCATCGCCGCTTTTTTCACTCCTTCAAGATCGCTCTTGAGGTGAATTGTTTGTCGTCGCATGGCTGGTTGCCAAGACGATTCTCACAGGTGAGTGAAAAACCTTTCAATAAGAGAACTGCAACTGAAAAGCATCGATGAACACGGCCGACTTTTTTTTTGAGTCTTAGCACTTATTTCAATTCAAAACGCGAAACAAGGTCGAATAGTTCAAGGTAGGTTAAACTTTCTTACATCAAAACGCGAAACACGCGGCGATGATACAATCAGAGAGCAGTTTAAAATATATTAGACATTATTCAAACCTCATCACGACTTTCAACTTTGCCTATTTTATTTCTTAAGAAGAAAAACCCAGGTTATTACTTATCCACTTTCTCATGGTGAATCCCATTGCATGAAGAAAAGACCAATTCTCGAATCTTCTCAGAAACTTGCAAATTCTACGGGAGTCCATAACCCGTTGATGGACCATTATGCGTACCGAGAATGCCGCCACCGAACAAAAAAGGCTATTGAATGTCTCTGAAACTTGTTGTTGCGCGAAAACGCCGGATTTGAACAAAGTATCTTTCTTAATGAGAAGCTACATCTATTGGGAGAAATTCGTATAGTTAAAGGTTATAAACAAACAAATGAATCATAGAGAGAGAATCAAAATGTTAAAAAGTTTTAAGCCTTAACCATAATAAAAATTTGAAAAATAACTTGGTTTCCTCTGATAACTTTTCGTTTTTTTTTTTGGAACTTTTTCAATCAATGAACCCAACCGAAATGATGGTTTCTAGATTAAACAGAGGCGGCGTGGCTTCGGTTGGAAAGAGGGACAGCGATTTGAGGGAAAACCGCCCGAGGACACGGACCGCCGAGTGCAAAATCTAGTCGAAACATTGTAGAGCGGTCGATGACCTCGATGAGAGGATTATGAGGCAAAACAGCCAAAAGTTTGACCATTGATGCCGTGTTCAAAGTAATTTCCGCGAAATGCAAAATGGTCTCTGACCCTCCAAAATTTAGTTATCTTTCTCTTTCTCTGACGGCTATTTTGAATTTCGCGAAATCACTTTGAACACGGCATGAACTTGAAAAGCTTTCTAGTTTTTCAATGAATTCAATGAAAAACTGTTTTAAAAAGGAGTTTAAATTAAGAATGATCGTTATGAAATAAAATGAAAAAACACTAAGATTGCGTAACACTGGGAAAATTTTTTCAAGAACAAAAAAAAATCAATGATAGAAATATTGATCTTGTGAGAAATTGGAAACCGTGAAACCTTAATCCATACGGCAAATCTTTAGGCGCAGCCCAAAAATCGGTTCTCAAGGGCGAATTATTATGCTTCCCTCAACGGAGAACTCGATCTACCTCAAGGACAGTAGGGAAAAAAGGATTTAAATAAACGAAGTGCATTCCTTTTTGAAGCAACTATGCAATTCTGATTTTACCAAAAGAAGGCAAAGTAAAAAATACATTTAACAATAAAGAAATGTTTTTATTGTGAAATCAAAGTAAGCTTTCTAATAATCTAAATGATAGATTCCACCATTTTTCATAATTTTGTTTTTCCATCGGATAAAAGAAAAAAAAATCATGATACATCTTTTTGATTTCTATTTTTCAAAAATTTGACCAAGAGAATTAAAAAAAACTCATAAAATCAAAGGAATACGTGAGAAGTTACTTATATTCTAGATATTTTCTGTATGCTTCTGTTCTCTATCCTAAACAAACAATTTTTTTCTTAATTTTCTTTTATATTTTTCCAAGAGAGATGAGATGAAAAGAGAGACGCAGAAACTCGACAGTGAAAAAGAGTCTACTGGATTTGGATGTGAAGAAACCAGTAAACGCACCTGTTGAGATCGTCGAAAGACATGGCGCGAGTGTACATGGGCGGCGGCGGCGGAAGGTGCATAGGCGGAGGAACTGGCATCCGTCCAAGCTTCTTCCACAACTTCTGCTGCTTCTTCTCCATCTTCTCGAGTTTCTTGAGCGTCTTTGCGTCGTGCGGAATCAGAATGTGTGGCTGCATAGGCGGCAGGTGATCGAACTCAACATGGTTCAACGACATTCTTGAGCCGCGCATCCGCATGCGGTCAGAATCGCCACTCGGAGACGTCAGATAGCCGGAATCAGCGTTCAGCGAGATCATCGACCGACGAACATTTTGGTGTGGAATGTAGGGCTCGGCGAAAGCTCCAGGGCCGATTGGACGCTTCTGCTCCGGATATGGCGAAGGATAACAGCCTCGTTGACCACCAGGCGGAGGGTGCATCCACTGGGGAGGCGGCGGATAGTGCGTCGAAGATCGGTTACCCATCTCTCATCTACTCAACTACCTGTAATCGAAGAGTATCTAAAAACTGAAACTTCAACGAAAATAAAGTGGCAAAAGCGATTGAAGTGAAGAGAAGATTGATCATATTGAAATTTGAAAACTAAAAATTAAAAAAGCCAAAAAAAATTCTGAACCTACGCTAGTAATTTTACATCCTGATAAATATTAGAAATTATTTAAAACTTTTAGTCAGTAAATATATGTGTAGGCACTGAGAAAGAGGAAAAACATGATGTTATTTTTTATGGGCAAAAAGAATGGTGGAACTGAAAAAGAGGGAAGATCAGAGGAATGAGAGGACGGCACACGGCCGCAGAGACGTCCGCCGACTCCGCCCTCTGGCTCCGCCCATTGACGCCTGGGTTCCCAACGGTAGGCCTGATGTGAAAAGCTTTCAAAAACTGACAGCAACTCAATTTTTAAATCAAATCCTCTTCCATTGAATAAAAAAATCTTTCTCAAACTTTTTTGTGCCGAAAATATAGAAAAACCTACGCAAATAAAATTAAGAAACTTCTGATTTGTAATATCTGGGTCACATGAATTAAAAATTTTCTTAGGGTTTTCTCGTAGCTATTAGAAACTATTTTCAGATCCAGTGTTCCATGGAAGCAAACAAGCAAAGGCCCGACAAAAAAAATTTCTAATATGTTTTTTTGGTTACTTACACACCTACTGTGAGATTTAGGAATTTCTTCATGCATGGTTAGTAGAATGGGAGAGCCTACAATTAAGACCTTTTTTTAAAATGATTGAGGGCTTTACAGTTTCTGCGAAGCGAATAAAGTAAAAGTATTCAAAAAATGATGCGACTTTGGGATTACGCACTGAAAGATAAAACTTAATGAAACAAGTAATCATTTCGAACAGCTTATTACACCGGAGCCATAACGAAGAGAAGCCCATCAAAGTAACGATTGCGGAGAATGTGGAACACGCTCAAACGAAACGTTTGACGAGCGTAGCGACAACCAAAAACAGGTGCTCGTCTGTTTCGGATTACGCTACAGAAACGGGTGGCAACCCATGTTGTTTGGTTATCGTTTGTTGCGATCTTCACGGCTTACTGACGTCACACCTGAACCGCCGGACATCTTCTCCTTTCCTGCCAGGCTTCTGCTCTCTCCCAACAGAATAGCCACTGACGTCGAGTTTGCTTGATCAAATGTTTGTACGCCGGCCTCACAACGAACTACAAAGATAAGATATAGGGACTGAATGATACAGCTGCCGGCAGTTAGCAAAAAAAACGCAGAATAGGTAGTTCAGAAGTCAAAAAACCATCAAACTTCTGTTACCAACATTTCCTTGAATAAAAAGACACATGAAATAGGTTGGAAAAGAAAGCAAAGAAGGTCTAAAACTATCTAAATTTTTGCTTTGAATTTTAATTTTTTTTATGAATAAGCTCAAAAAAACTCTCAAAGGTTTTTGTAGAAGAAAATCTACAAATAAGGGCCCTAAATACTCAGATCTTATTTAAGTTTATAAATAAGGTCTGAGTATTTAGGGCCCTTATTAGTAGATTTTTCCAATTAATTATTTTCTTAGAGCTATTCATAGAACTCTTGGTCTACAAGAAGGAGAGGGAGCACAACATTTCAGTCTTTTTCGAAAAATCCAATTTTGTTTCGAATGAGAACTCATTTCGAAAACGTAACGCTTCAATTAGCAAAAGTTTAATGATTTGTGAGGAGATAAGAAACATAATATGAAGAGCGTGACGCTAAGTCAGAAGCAGTCATTGACCAGAACTGAGCTCGCGAAGCGATGACGAACCCTCCTCCGAAGGAAGACACGTGGGCGATGCAGCCCATCGGCGCGCCTTTTCCAGAAAATCCCGTCAAAGTGAGTTGTGCTGATGAAACATCGGGGATCTTCAAACTGAAAGATTAAAAACTGATTGCAGTGCCCCAACGAACAGAACATGTACGTTGCGCTGTGGTACAAGCATGGAAAGCCGATCCACGGACGCTCTTGGAACAACGGTGGAGTCGTCGAGTGCTCTTTCCCTTACAAGAACGCGGAGCTGACGACCAAGCAGCAGCTTGAGGGCCAGATTCAAGTCCTGCAGTACATGGGAAATCATTTGTCGCAAGGCTTCTGGTACGAGTGGATTCCTTACCACACTCGAATTGAAAAGATCGACGACAAGCACCAGATCGTGAGATGCGGAGATTCCTTCCCTCTCTTCTGGAAACGCCCTGAGGTACGTTCCAGAGTGTGGGAACTAATAGAAACTCATTATATCTGAAAAACCTTTTCGTAACCTTTTCTAAGCCAACAACAGTCGGCGTCGCTTCGGCTCATTTAAAAAAAATTGTTTCTTTGAATTTTTTTTTTTATGGAAAGATCGTTTAAAAGTTCCAGTTTCTCAGACAAGTTCGTTGGAATGAACGTTTTTAACCACCGAATGTGACCCTATATGACGTTCGATTGAAGTTTTAGAAAGCAAAAATTGCTCAAATTCTCAACTGAATCCTTTAATTTGCGGGAAATTCAAACACTTGAAGATGAAACTTTTAAAAATTACATGACAATATTAATTGTTCAACTAAAGACTATCTATTTCAGTTGACGTCAAGAGAAAATTTCAGGGCAATTTGCTGGGCTATGTCGACAACAAGACGGAGATCGCAATGTTTTCCCACAACGGCAAAGTGTACGAAAGAAAAGGACCAGAGCTGAACGACATGCTGCTGCTCACGCGCAACTGCATCGGAGGACCTCCAAACTGCGACTGCGATGTGTGTGGCAAGGCACCACGTAAAGTTCCACGAGTTACGATCGACGAATGGATGGACATCCGCGAGGGCGATCCATTCCCATCGCGGCCGCTCGTTCGCGCTCTCGACAAGAGCCTCGACACACTTGCCGGTGTTCCTGCCGACCAGTACGTCGGTCTCTGGTACATGCAGGGAGAGCCGGTCATGGGACGCGTTTGGAACAACAATGGCAAGGTATATTTTCTCCGAGGTGTTCTTAAAAACTCGTAGAAAAAGAAATAAGGAAGCATTTGCAAAATTCTTCAAGGTTGCTGCTTGCTTCTCCTGGTTCAACAACGAGTACAAAAAGAATGTCGGTTCGTTCCAAGTGCTTGTACACTTGTCTGAGCACGTGCGTGGGTTCGACTACGGCTGGATCCCATATCCGGAAGTAAGATTTTCCAAACTGGTTAAAACGAAACTGACTTTTCAGGCGGCCAAGTTCGGCGACAAGGAATGGCATCCGGTGCACGTGGCCAACCACAAAGGCGATATCTCCGTCGGAGTCATCACTACGGGAGGAAAGCAGATCCTGGCCAAAGTGGACATCCGCAACGAGAAGACGGGCTACGGCTACGAAGGAAAGGAGCACACGACCGTCGGACCTGCGGCCGCGTCGAGCGCTATTGTGCTCTGTCGCAAGGCCAAGCCTGGCTGCAAACTCGACGGTTAACTCCTCAACACCAAATAAATTTTTTTCTTCGCTTCCATTTCTTTGATCGACTCTACTGTCTTTATTTTTTAATAGCAGGTTTCCATATGAAGAAAAACACAGGCAACGTTAACATTTGATAACTTAATTTTTTTTTAAGTTGCTCATAACCGCTCGTGAAAACTGATACTTTTTAGAGTGACACCAGGAAATGTTTCCCTTTCTCTTAACAAAAAAATGTTCTTTGTATTTTTTTACTTTCACATTAGAGTAATATTTCGAAAGTTGTAAACCGTTTTTTGTTCTCCGTCTCTGAGAAGTTTAAATTCTTTTATATTCGAAAAAAAAATAGTTTCGTACAAAAGAAAAAAAATTTCAACCGACTTTAGCCAATAAAGAAAAATGAAAGACGTCGCAGTGATGAATTTCATTTTTCGTCTTTCTTAAATAAATTGTATTTGATCACAACTTTTTTTCAAACAAACCATAAACTTTCTCATTTTCTTGACAGAGACATTCAGGCTTACCATTAAACTTTTCAGCATGCGCTCTAAAATCAAATCAAAACTCGTAGAAAAATAAAAAGAAAACCTCTCTGAAAAGGCTTCATACAGGACATCTCCTCAGTTAAATTATTCAGAACATCCTTCGCAAGGGAACAGTCTTCTGTGAAAGCAATTCGTTAAAAAAAAAAATTCAAACGGAGACTAGGTTTAAAAAAGCGAAAAAAAATATTTTCAAGTATACGAACTTCTGTATTGAAGCGAATACCGCGTCCCACACATGAAGTCTTCAAAATCCACAATCTTACTTTCTCGAGCATCACGAAGAACCTTTTGAAAACATGATTTACTGTGATGAACACTGAGACTCACTTGTTCATCAGAAAGTGACGTTCTATTTTTGCAGACGCTTTCAATACTATCGCAAATATCGCGAGTCTTCTCTTTTTTTGTTTTATTCTTGACTGCTACCATTGTCGTTTTTCCAAGCATTTTGCGTTCTTTTTCTGTTAATGAAATAACAGTTGTTACAAAAATAAAAAATCAAACCGTTCGTTTTCAATATTTTGCCTGAAGTTTCGTTCTCACCATTACTTTTTGTACGTTGGATACGTGAAAAAAGTTTAGCAGAAGAAGGTTTGGTATTCCTTTCAGAAACTTTCATCTGAAAATTGAATAATATAGAAAATCATTTTCCACTTTATTGCATACGGCCTATGTTCCGTTTCTCCAATGAACACGCGGAGAAAAAGAAGGAGACGGAAAAAAGTAAAGAAAAGGGGATTTCGAAAAAACTTTGAAACCTTTTTAGGATCTGAAAAAGGAGCTTCAGACTCTTCTTCTTAAGGAAGTTTGGACTTCGCCCGTGAAGAACAGAAAGCAATATATATTTAATCCTTGAAACTCATCCACTCCCTCGAATTACCGCTGCTTTGCAGTTCATACATTTATATGACCTCGAGCCTATTCGTTTTCAAGTTCTTTTTTTTCCGAATAGTGAGAGAATGATTATTCAGTAAACTTTCGTGTTAGATCATAATCATATGAAGAAATATTCAAAACGAAGTTTGCGTGTCAAAAGGCGAAGTCATTTTGTAAAATTGTTCGAAATGGATCCGGACGACTTCAAGTCTAAGGAGAAACCAACTATGGAGCAAGATAACGACCCTCGGTCGACGAGACCAAGCGACCTGGACAAGACAGTGACGGAGGATACGGAGATGGAGCGCAAGCTTGGCGAAGAACCACCTACAGTGTTAGTTAAAAAATTGCGCCAAATTTAAGTTCCTATAACGAAACACTTGAGCTGTATGGGTATATAAAAGGTTCATAAATTAATGCCACGTTCAAAGTTAGGATTTTCGAGAAAAAAAAAGGTAAAAACCCATTTTTGTCCTCAAGAGCTTTATATATTACCCACCTTTTGTTGGGTCATCTTCAAAAGATCTATAAATATGGACCGCCAACGATTTTTCGAAAATTAAAGCACAATGAAACAAATGAATGGAACCTATAAAGTGAGGCAACGATATTAAATGAAAAAAAGATATTTTGGAGAACAACCGAAAAATGTAAATAAAATATTATAATCTATTTAAAAAATCAATTTGGAGACCTTTTTGCCCTGGTGCGCACGCGCAGGGGTTCTCCTTTTTTTCGTCTTTTCAACTGAAGTACAATTTCAAACTATTGTTTCTTTTTAAATATTACCCAGTGTTTCTGCTAACGTTCTAAAGCCTTTCCGAGCACATTCGAACATAGTTATGAAAAGAAATTTCCAAGTGAAATTTTGGTATTTCAAATTATTATTATTTTTTTTTGAACGTTTTTTTGTTACCACTGGAGCAGCGCAATGATAAGCGATTAATAGACATGAAAGATATTGAGTTTATAACTTTTTGATTAGTTAAAAAGCTGAAAACATGTTTTACAAACCGCGCGCGTGCGCGCAGCATGCACAGTATAATATGGCATGTTCATGGGAGGAACGGAACATGCTTCGAAACGAAAAATCGTGTTCATCAGCGCGCCAAAGTTGCTCCGAAACAGTACTAATTTTTGTTTTGGAGCAATTTTCGTTTTGTCCGATGAACATGCCGGCATGGCATGCCATAACAAAAAAAAACATTAAAACTGTCTTTGAAACAATTTCGAATAGCTTTGCGACGCGCAAACTTGTTCCTTCCGCATGCACCCCTCGTAGAACTGCATAAACTTCCATTTTTTAAATTTTTTCTTAACAGTTCAGTTTCCTATTTTATCCAAACTCATCCGAGTCTCATTTTTTGATTTTCGACTTCCAAAATGTAAAATTTTTTTTATCTATATGTTTCACTCTCTTTTCACTCCAACGCTGACAAGTTCCGATGGAATTTTTTCCTCTCATTCTATTTTTATTAATTTCAGTTATTTTTTAAACATCTTATATCCGCACTATACAAGCACCTGGAGAACTGCCAACCGTTCAAACGTATTTGACAGCATAGATCCCACGGCGTTCTTTTGACGACGCCCCTCCCACAATTTCCGTAATATTTGACGTCTTTTGTGCATACACAGAACGACGCTAACTCGCATACTCATTAAATTCAAAAAAATAATTTTTTTCCTCGAAAAAAATAGCGTTTTTTTCAAAACTATAGACGTGGAAAAAAATCGATCCTTTCACAATTCCTTTTCTAGTTGACAAAAAAACATTTGGGTGAAAGTTTTTTTCTTATTTTTCTGAACACTTTCATACCTTTCATCCTCAAAAATTGGTTAAAGTCCTTTTTTTGAGTGAAAAAAACGTGGAGTTTTTGTGCCGAAAATGACTTATTGTGGTTCTATGTGTCTTTCCCGACTTATTGAAAATTTAAAAAAAGTTTTTCTTTACAGATTTAGTTTAGTTCATCCACCTAGTGGTATTTTTTTCTCCTCTGCAACATCGCCATACCATTCTGATGTTGCGAAAATGAAAGAGATTGATTGATTCGAATAAAAAAATTTAATTTGAAACTGAAAAATGTTGCTGAAAGGCTTTTTGCTTTAAAGGGAAAAATTTGGTCAAAACACAGCAGTTAATATTGAAAAATTGAAAAAGTTCCTTCGCATTTTGCTGTCGCAATAAAAAAATAATTACCGTAAATCAGTACGAAACAGATAAAAGATACAGCTGTAATGGTTCTCCTTTTTATCATCGCAACATTTCATCATGCTTTGTGAACATGTGCCAAGAGAGGCGGTGCCTGAGGCACTCGCCCTCTCTATTGATTACAACATCACTCTGGCATGGCGCACTGCTAGCGTGCGCCACGAAATAAAGATTCAAGCCGAGTCGCTTAACCTCGCAAAACAAAATAACGCGGAAATGAGGGGAACATTTATTCCCGCGTTACATGGAGGTCCCGAGAACTTCCACCATATTCCATCCGGTGGAAGGTGAATTCCTGTCATTCCCCTATTCGAACTACGACAGACTCTCGGATTCTGAATTACTTTTACCGCTACACCTATTCATATTCAACTATTTCTACGATTGGCAGTTTTCGTACTATCGTGTTCGGGTACGAGCGAGGCAGAAACTACTACAAGGAAAGGACGTGAGCAGCCAGATGAAGCAGAACTTGTGAGGCAATTTTAACGAAAAATTTGAATTTTATTGAGCGTCCTTGAATATTGTTAATTGAATTATTATTATTATTATTGTACTCATCGGATGGGGGGGTGGGAAAGCAAACTGTGAGAGTACCGGCCAAGAAGCCTTGAATTTATAGATATTATTGAATGCTAATGATTATTTGGACCGAGTAGTGAAATTGTTGAAGAATTTTTTTCTAAATCTACGTCATTGTTTCTGCCGCCCGATCTAGTTTACCAAAAATGTTTATCTTCACTTCCTTTCATATCTATCTCATTGGCTGTTTTAAGCTCAGTACCTGATTATTGGGTAAATAGTGTAAACTGAGCTAGGTTTTGAAGATTATTCATCTGCCATCGTTTTTGATATTGTTTCTGAATCTGTATTTGTAACTTCAGTTGTTAGGCGAACTAGGCAAGCCAAAGTCCGGCACATTCCATCTGATTTTTTTGTTTCACATGTTCACCTGAGAACCATTCTTTTTAAGATCTTGAAGCCTCGAGGACGAGACTTTCGTCGACGCCCGGGATGTGGTGCTTTTTCTCTTAAATTGCTCTAGTAATTTACTATGTTAAGTATCATCCATCATTCTTTTTAAAGCCTCGGGACGAGTCTTTTGTCCAGGGGTTGGATGTAATGGTTCTCCTTTTTATCATCGCAACATTTCATCATGCTTTGTGAACATGTGCCAAGAGAGGCGGTGCCTGAGGCACTCGCCCTCTCTATTGATTACAACATCACTCTGGCATGGCGCACTGCTAGCGTGCGCCACGAAATAAAGATTCAAGCCGAGTTCGCATTAAAATCCGCTACACATTTAACCGGGAAATGAGGGGAACATTTTCCCGCGTTACATGGAGGTCCCGGATACTTCTGCTATATTCCATCTAGCAGAAGGTGAACTTCTGTCTTCCCCTATTCGACCTACGACAGATAATCCGGCCACACTGATTGCTACCAGTTATTCTATTCTACTTCAAAGACTCTATCTGGCACTCGCACGTTTTTTGGTTGGCGTACGAGACATCTACGAAGTCGCACCTGAACAGAAGAAGAACACCCGGCGACTTGCGGTTTGGTCGGTTACGCAAGTACACTTAGTCTGTTCATTTCCTTTATCTCTGATGTGTTTTCTCAAAATTTATTTTTTGGAAGTGATAATTTAAAAACCAATTTCTGATTCAAACTCTGTCTACATATGGGATGAATGTAACAGTTGTTAATTGTACAGTTTGAGCGTGGCTGTCCTCATAGAAATTGTATCACTGAATATCTTTAAAAATCTGCCATCAGAGACCTTATTCATTTCAAATGTAAACTCTCTTTTTCTCAAAATTGAAGTAGCATCAGTTGTTAAGCGAACTTGGCAAGCCAAAGTCCGGCACATACCATCCGATTTTTTTATTTCACATGTTCACTTGAGAACCATTCTTTTTAAGATCCTGAAGCCTCGACGACGAGACTTTCGTCGACGCCCGGGATGTGGTGCTTTTCTCTTAAATTGCTCTAGTAATTTACTATGTTAAGTATCATCCATCGTTCTTTGTAAAGCCTCGGGACGAGTCTTTTGTCCAGGGGTTGGATGTAATGGTTCTCCTTTTAACATCGCAACATTTCATCATGCTTTGTGAACATGTGCCAAGAGAGGCGGCGCCTGAGGCACTCGCCCTCTCTATTGATTACAACATCACTCTGGCATGGCGCACTGCTAGCGTGCGCCACGAAATAAAGATTCAAGCCGAGTTCGCATTAAAATCCGCTACACATTTAACCGGGAAATGAGGGGAACATTTTCCCGCGTTACACAGCTGAAATAAACATGAAAAATCACGTGAAGCACTTGAGCAACAAGAAATTCAAATGTTCGCGCGCAAGCTGTCTACCGTAAATCTAGGTGGAGCAACCCTTCCAAGCCGCTCCACATTTTCAAAAATTTTACATTTTCTTCCACTACGCAGAACGCCGTGTATCCTTCTTTATCAACTTTTTTTGAAATGTTTTTTTTCAAATCTTCAATGTGCAATGTTTAAAACAAATTTTAAAAAAAACCATATGGCTGTCCTGAAAAAGTAGCTTTAAAAAAAAATGTTTGCTTCAAGGAGTTTTCTTCCTATTTTTAATATAAATTTCGGAGTCTACGTATCAAATAAGGTGTTGGCCAACCCTATATCACCAGTTTTAATTTTACTAATGGTGACTGCCGAGTCAGTGTGATTTCAGATGTCCGTCAACCAAGAGTATACATAAAGATTCAAAAAAAGAAGACGAAGGCAAAGGAAAAGAGGCAGAGCGAGCTCAAGAAGTTTCGGTGTATGCTTACAAATACGATAATGAGGATAAGGTAAGAGCGTTTTTTTCATTTCCATCTTCAAATTCAGTTTTTCGATTCATAAGGAATGATCTAGTTTCCAGGTACTCCGAAGTTTCGACTTTTTTCATGGATATCTGCCCCGAGAAGACCTTCCATATCTTCTTCGTGTCGACGGTGACTTCATCTTGCGCATTAGTGAAGTCGCTGTGAGTTCGACCTGGAATTTTCGTTCAGAGCTGAGCTGCTCTCAAGTTTTTTGATTATTTTTTCGGTTTTCCATTGCAAGAAAGATGAAATCTATAATGCGGGTTGAAGTTAAGATCTTAAAAATGTCTCATATTAAGAAGTCTTTAAGTAATTCTCAGACTTTTATTATTGATTTAATTCGTAGGAATAATTTCATCTTCTAATTTTTTTAGATGTAAAGAAGTCAACTCAATTCTGTTAGATTGAAGGGATTTTTAGCCTTCATGGTTAATCGAGGTTAGAGTGAATCTCCGCAAGCTTTTTAGAATTTTCTTAATATTTTTGAATGAGAAATATGATATCATTAAGCCGACCAACGAATCGCCAACTGCGTACTCTATGAAGCTCCGTTCTAAAATTCAATGGGACATCATCCTCTCTTGTGCAGTCCTTCAGGTTCTAATGTTTCAATGAAAGTTGTGGGTGTTAGAAACGAAATTTTCAGGCCGCCGATTTTCAAAACGCCGAAACAACTAGAGTATTCCTTAGTTTTTTTTCTATCCCCACTTCTGTCTTGCAGGTTCGAAACATTATCGTTCGACGGAAGTCTGGCCAATACTATCTCGAATTGAACCGCGTCTTTGATGGAATCAGTGAACTTATAGATTTCTATAAGACTCAACAAGGCAAATTTTCAAACGTTGGCTTTCTCATTTCAACGGGAGTGGAGAATCTTCTTGCAGTTCACGTTCTTGTTGAAGAACGGGATCAAACTCCAACATTGGGAGTTCATGCACAGTGCCGTGGTACTGAAGAACATTCTGGGAGAAGGAGCGTTTGGAGAAGTGCGGCGAGGCACTCTCCGATATCAGAAGAAAGTCATAGCCGTTGCTGTTAAACTAGTCCGGATGCCCATCTTTTCTAGAGTTTAGCCTCTCTTTTCAGACAAAAGGAGCTGGAGAACTGAGCAAGGCGAAAATCCGCGAAATGATGAAAGAAGCCCGTCTTATGCGCAACTTCCGACACACAAATGTCGTTCGCATTTATGGCGTCGCTGTCGACGAAGAGCCTCTGTATATCATTCTCGAGTTTGTCAAAGGTCGAGAAACGATAAAACTGATCGCTCTACCGCAAACTTTCAGGCGGAGCGCTGAACACGTACCTCCAGAAACACCCAGAAGTTGACATAACCGAACGGATCGGCATGTGTCATGGGGCGGCACGTGGACTAGCCTATCTGCATTCTAAGAACTGCATTCATCGCGATATCGCAGCTCGTAATTGCCTCTACAGCAACTCCAAAGTCGTGAGTTCTCAAATGTCAAACAGCTCGCGCGTAAAAGTGAATACTGACTTAAAAACGCTTTTTTTTCAGTATTTCACGTAAAATTGAATGGACGTATTGAAGCCTATACAATCCATTCTGTTTTTAGTTTGAAGAAAGAAGTTATGGAAAACTCTTCATGCTAGCGGTATCAAAAAGTTTATATAATTTGTCATCGCCTCCACAATGGAAAGGAGGTTTCTATGCGCAATCGCGCTCTTTCGAGAAGCTCTAAAAATAGCTGAGAAACAAAGATTTCTTTAATTTAATTTGTGATTTAGGTGAAGCTCAGCGACTTTGGACTGTCCCGAATGGGCTCCCAATACAAACTGACGACTCATTGCAAGCTGCCGATCAAATGGCTTGCCCCAGAAACCATCACCACTCTGTACTTCACTCACAAGACGGACGCGTACAGGTTTGCAAAATAATGGACTCACTTGGGAAATTTTCGCTTTGAGCTATGGAGTCATGTGCTTCGAAGTGTTTTCTAACGGAGCAGAACCTTGGGGAGGCGTCACTAACACTGAAACCAAGAAAAACGTATGTTTTCAACTGCGACTGTGAACCGTGTGGATGTTGCAGGTTTGCAATGGAAAGTTCTTAAGAATTCCTGAGAACTGTCCTGAATCTGTCCGAGCCTTCATTCATGACCGGCTGTTTGTGCGGGATCCGGAAAAAAGACCCACCATGAAGGAGGTCAGTCTTCGTTTAGCTGTCCAATGTGTTTCCTTTTGAGGTCGCGGCGATGTTCGAGTCAGTGACTGAACGAAAGTCGCTCTTCATCATCGATAAAGAAAATATAGCAGAGGTTGGTCATGTTGCAGCACAACTCACAAGGAGGTCGCTCTAGAACTTTCTAAAAAATTGGAGAGATACTTTTTCAAGGTCTTGAAAATTTTGAGATTTGGAGCATTACTTTTCGTAAAACCAATGTTATTCAGGTTGAACCTTTCAAAACCTTTATATAGAATCTTAAAATGTTTTTTTCTCAATTTAAAAGCATTTATCAGTAAAAAGTAATAGGGACATCCTTGTCACTTTTTCAATTTATTTCTTTCGTAAAAAAATATTTTTCGAAAAAAATTTAATGTGTTGAGTAAGATTTTTTTCTGGAGTATTAATTTCCGATAAAGCTTATACCTCAGGCATATGAGTAGTATAATTGGCCACAGAAAAGGGAATGTCATGAAAGCGTTGAAATCAAGTTTTTTCTTTTTGAGTAATTCTTTTTACTCGAAAAATTGACAGGTTAGCAGCAAGGATCGGAAAAAGACGAGTTTGATAATGGAGACGTCACCGCGAGTCAAGCCGTCCAAGAGACAGGATTCTCATGACCGACATGTCCGTAGAGTCGTCCGATCGGCTCATTCAGAATGTCTTTTGCAGAGGCGGAAGCGATCCATGTTCTCGTGATCAGAAGCGTCTCTAATGAATCGATTAGTTCGCTAATAAAAATGGCCATTTCGAAAAAATGTTGATTGATTTGTTAAATAAAAATGGGCCTTAGATTCTTTTGCGAGCACAGGAAAAACTTCAATATTGTTAAAATTTTATAGCTCGCCCATTATCCAGGAGAACTCATTTTTCTTCAAGACATAATGTATTAAGTCATAATCACAATCGAGGAGATGAAAATCGATAGAAGGCAGAGAAGAGTTGGAAAATGCGATCACAATGAAGTTGATAATAATAATTATGTGTGCCACCAGGACGATATATTGGGGACTTTTGAATAAGAAAAAAATAACAGGAGGCAATAAATAAGTTATTAAAATTTGGATCTCAAGTAAGGCATAGACGGTTTTGAAAATAGAGGTTTATGGCGTTTTGGGGATAAACATTTGTAGTGCTTTATAATCTATACAGTATTGTACTTGCATCACGCAGAAAGAAGAGAAAGTACTTTTGACTTTCTCAATAAAACAGGAAAAAGGTTCACGTTTTATGAATACCCCTTGGTCGAGAAATTGCACAAGAATGGATAACTATGAGAGGAAATCACAAGACAGACAAAGAAGAAATCACTGGTTGTGAGGGGCAAAGGCGAAGTAGGACTGGCCGAAGGAGTAGGAGGCCGGCATGAGCATCGGCGACGCCTTCATCCAGGACGAGCCGTTGGAGGAGGAACTCGTGCTGCCGCCGCTCAGGTTGGCGTCGTCGCCGAGAGTCTTGCACTTCTTGCCTTTGGACGTGACTTTGCGGTTTCTCGTCTGGATCCCCTCCTTTTTCATCGTCAGCGGCCTCTCCACCTAAAACACAACTTTTTTTTCCCTCAAACTATCGCGGAGTCCTATAGAACTGTTATTACTTGCTATGGTGTGTATTTTGAGCTGCAGAACAACGTCTTAAAAAATTTAGAATTTCCTTTTGGAGAATCGGCTTTAAAATTTTATGTCGTAGGCAATGATCACACAAAAAAACAATCAAAATTCTTCTTTTCAAGAACAGACGTCCTCGAAATTGCATTTCTGTAAATTCCTAGAAATAGATCTTTAAAGTTGCCGTTCTCGAAAATTATGCAGTTTCGCATATCGATAATTTCAAGATATTAAATCTTGCACATTTGAGCCACAGTTCGATCAAATTTCAGCAATCTTCGATTCAAATTTTATTTCATTTCTGATAAAGTGACCTTGCCTGTCAGTCTATCGACAAGGATGACTTTTCTTGAGGAACTTGAAAGAACTTTTGATGATTCTTAACAAAAAATTTCTCAGTTTGGTTTCACATGGAGGCTAACGTATCGCCGAAGCCACCTGTTGCGTCTTCTCAAACGCGTTAATGAGCGTGCGCGATCGCTTTTCCGATCGTTTTGCTGTTATCGGTGGCTCAATCTCAAGACAAACGTCATCCGGAACGACATGCGGTGCTTTTGAAAACCAACCGCAATACCGGACGCTTACGTCATCCCTACCAAAACTGTCCTGGCTCTTTGACTCGAGAGAATAATCGAGCACAAACAGACCTGATGAAGCTTGTAGTAGAGGCCGCAGGCATTGCAGACAGGCTCGCCGCTCCCGTTCCTCCGCCACAACGTCGTCGTGTTCGTTTTACAATTGACGCAGGCGACTCCAGTCCGTTTTTGAGCACTCTGCAACAAAATTCATAACCTTGACGTAAAATGGCCTTATAAAAAGCATCTGAAAAGATACAATAAAAAAATTTGAAAAATAGCTTGGTTTTAGTAAGACTGACGTTCAGCTTTACAAGCTTCGAGTTCATTTTTCGATTTATATAGCACGTTCTGGCTTTCGTTATTGAAACCCCTTTTGGGAGAACATTCTCCAAAACACGAGGAAAACGCAGTTTTTACCGTCCACCCATGGACATTGGCGCGTTGATTTATTGGCAAACACATTGGGTCGGGCCATGTCGTCAAGTCTTCGGCGACGTCTCCAAGTCGAAGACCTAAGCGGCGGCGACGGAGCAGCCAAAAGTGTCGGAGATTTTATCTTGCTGCGAATACCCACCACTCCTTTTCTTCTTCGTCTTCTTTTCATTCTTTTTAATTCTCAGCGCCACACACACACACCTGTTCAACAGTCCTTGTTTGAAGCGCGACCAATTCAAAAAAGTGTATATAATTTTTTCCATAAAAAATAACTTTTCAAAGCATAAAAGCTCGGCCAGTTATCAAACAGTGCTTATCCAGAGCGATTTTAAAAAAAAAGTTTCATGGTTGTTCTAAACGAGATGGAAAGTCGGAAATGAAGCTCTCAGCTTTTTCTCAAAGATTTTCGGCGAGAGGAAACTCTTCGGCAATTTCTTTGCCATCAAAATGATCATGATAACAATCAGAAATAAGGATCAATCAAAAGAACTGATTTCCGAAGGCTCTAAAGACGGAAATTGGACGAGGTTCAAAGAATAACTGTGGATCTTGTCTTGTGAAATATATGGTTCATTTTTCAATTATATCTGAACATTTTTCGAATAAAAGTTTGTAAAAATGTTCTGCTTGAAATAATCACAATGATGACTAAAGTTGGGATTTTTTGTTGCGAGTTTCGGCGAAAATTATTCCAGATTCTGGGCAATTTCAATTTTTATGAAACTTTCCTAAACCTTTTTGAATGCTGCTCATGTTTGGATGCATTAATTCATAAGAAAAACTTTTGAATATAAAAAAAAATGATAAGGTCAAATGTTTTTTATGATGCTGTCTAGGCCAATCATTCAGACTGGATTGATTGAAACAAGTGAGAGAATAAGATTATTAGCTGGAGGCGAACGAAAAAGACGAAAACGAAACGCTTCGAAGCAGCGTTTTCGAAGATTCCTTCGTTCGCTCGATACATTCGCAGTGCAACTTTCTTTTGGAGCCGATAACTTCCACAAGGAATGTGCAAAGACCAAATTTCTTCACAGCAATAGAAACGTCTTAATGAGCGCAATAAAGGTCTATTTTACAGCTTTTTTTTTGAGTTTTTCAGATGCGATTTACAGCCTCTCTTCCATCTTGTGGTTTTCGCCCATTCAAAAACTGATTTGGATTTTTTCTTCAATTAAAATATTTGGATTGAAAAAAAATCGAAGGAAGGAGGTTTGGAAAATAGAGGACGAAGAGGTGATGGCAGGGTCAAAGCGAGATCATATCGCTTGTCTCAATTTGGAGGTCAACCCGGAGGCGGCGACGAATAACTCATCCGACGCAACTTGCGCCTCATTGCACTCAATCACGCTTCGAGTCTTATCAACTTGGCTGTCGTTTGGGCTCAATGTCAACCGCCGTTGAAAGAACGTTTCCAGGTCTGCACAGAGAGCAGCGAAGACTCGAGAGTAAAGAAGAAACTTAGAAATATGAAGATGGAAGACTTACCAAAGAACGTTATCAGACTCATTATGAATGTTGAATGTCTTTTCAAAACTACTTTTTGGTCTTTCCGTTTAAAACGCAACACGTATGGATGCATATAATAGTTCCGAAATTCGCAAACTTTTGGACTCAAAAAGAACCTATTTTTCCCGAGCCATCGATAATTGATGCTCACGTGTTGAACAGACTATACTCTAAGAAATCAAGTCAGAATCTTCAAAAGCTTCTCAATGTTCGTTCAAAACATTTTTCAAGCTTCTTCCTCGTACAAGCTTCTCAAAAGATTAAAATGGCGTGGCTTGTTTCCATAAAAATTGTAGCTTCGTTCTCTTTTTAAAACTGCTAACTTTGCCAAATACCAACTATCCATTCAAACCGTCGATTTTAGCACAGTGAAAACACGTATTCACGCGAGAACTGTGTAGTACTGTAGCCGTCAGAGGAAAACCGGTCTTGCCTTCGGAAAGAAGGCGAAAACGAGCTACCGTAGTCAACGACTCAGGAAAAACAAGGAAGAAACAAAAGCCTTTCCCCTTTTTCGTAAAAATATCCCGGATCAAATTTGCGAGAGAGGGAAAGAAAAAGAGCTGTACCTGCCGCTTTTTGGGTTTGACGAGCGGCCGATTCTGTCCGTTCATCTTGTGATAGAGTCCGCAGGCGTTGCAAAGATAGTGGCCGGTGCCGTCTCGTCTCCACAACGGCGTGTTCTGGACTCCGCAATTGACGCATTCCCGGCCTTCCGCTGCAACTACTGAAACCGATCCTTAAGCTTTGAATTTGACACTGAAAAAGGAGACCTGGTCACCCAAAAAACCTTTGAAAATATGGCTCAGAAATGAGCCAGTTTGTTGGCAGAAACTATACCTAATTTTCATTCTCCCCCGGTTAGAGCGAAAATGATAGCTAGGCTCATTTACAGAAAATCGTTTTTTTTTCTCAATTGTCTACATACTTCTTCCATCTTATGGCACTGTGATTACATCCGCATTGATAACTGTTCGCATTCATTCGTTACTCGAAAAGCGAGTGCTATTTTGAACTGATCGAAAATCCCATTACACAATTGAAAGATGAATGAACCCGCTTTAAAAATTGGGGATAAAAATAATTCTAAACAGAGCATCTATGAAAAATTGGCAGATTTCCATTTAATTCCATTGAAAGTTTTTCGTTTCACGGCCCAACTTTTCAAAACAGTGTTTTTGAGGAAACCAGGAATCCAGAGACCATATGACGATCATGCGAGGTACAATCACGAACATGCAGTGTTGGAGGAGGCTCGAGGCTTACAGCGGCCGTTGGAGTTGGCGGTGGTGGAGTTGGCCGAGGAATTGCTCGATGAGCCGGAAGAGGTGCACGCCGTCACCGGAGCCATGCCGTTCATGCCGCCGACCCGCGGCAGCACCGAGTTCGTCAACGAGTAGTCGTAGCCAAAGTTGTTGGGGTACAGGTAGGAGGCATTCTGGCCTGAAAATAAACAAACTTCTATATTTTTGTTTGACTTTGACTAGCCGCTAATCTGTTAGGGCTTTACCGAACTTTTTTTTTTAATAATAGGTCTATATTTCCGCTGAGGTGCTACTGATTAAACTAAACGCAGCAAAAATATATTCATCATAAGATTATGATTTTTTTATTACTTCTTTTTTTGAGGTTTAGTTTGTCAAGTTCGGTAACGGATGTAGCTGGAAAATATTCTTTCAAAGTCTATTCAAACTGTAACAGTAAAATATATCAATCGATGTCAGTTTCTCAGATCTTTTTAATCTTCTTCCACTGGATTCAAATTTGGAACATTTCCATACACATGGAACGGTCTATGTCGCTGTTTTACTGCCCAGTGTGTTCGTAAAGCGATCGAGGAGTCAGATTAGACGAGGAGAGGCAAAATAAAGGACCTGCGAAAACGGAGGGATCCATGGACATGGTCTGTCCGAAAGAGTCCATGTTGGTGCAGGCGGAGGCCGACGACGGCAGCGAGTACGACGGGTAGTTGAACAGCACAGTCTGGTAGCCTGCAAAACCGATTTACACTTACAGAAGCGGAGTTAGGCTTGCAACTGAAATAATAAGAGAAGAAGTTACTGAAAAATAAGCTTTTCTTTCTTGAATTTCCCGACAAGTAGATCGAAGACCGAAAATCTATCAAGAATGAAGCTGATTTGAGCTAGAAAGATTCCTTCCCTGACAGTTTGAAACTCACTCCAAAGCGACTGCATTCTGTTTCTGAGAACGTTGTTCGGGGGAAAAGGACGTGAAGAACCGCAACAAAAAATGAGAGCCATCGGAGCGCGAATCTTTTTTTTTTTGAACGGCGTGACTCAGTCATAATGGGTCGCGCGACATTTTTTCGTCGTGGGGAAAAGGTTCATGGGAAATAAAACAAAAAAGACGGTCGAAGGAAGCTGAAAATAACTTACTGGCTGGGTAATCTTTTGGCGTTGCATAGTAGACGGGATTGGTGGCGTTGTAGAATGCGGCTGGCTTCACCGGCGAGAAAACCTGAAACTAGTTTCGTGAAGACGCAAAAATGTTTCAATAAACAATATTCTCACATTTTTCTTTCGGTTTAATTTAAAGTTTAATTTAGAATAAGGTTTTGGCGGCTCTATGATGGATCTGAGAGTTTGAAGAAATAAACTCATCTTGGATTTTATACAGTGTCGACAACTATATCACATAATGAACATCAAACATTTTGAGCCGTGTTATGAAGTACGTTTTTCAACGTTTTTCGCTCCAAGAGAAAGTCCCATGTCCCTTAAGCGTTTTGGAGTGCCTCCCACAGTGGATTCTCGAGTCTCTCACTGACTCACTAAGTCTCTACGGATCTTTCCAAAACCTAACTGTTTTCAGAACAAAAATAACTAGATGCAGATTTTTTTGCTATTGAACTATAATGCAATAAGTGATAGAAAAAAGTAGTTTTCTATCTCTTTCATTCTTTTTTCTTAATATTACTAAATTTTAATTCAACCTAGTTTGAAAAAGGAAAAAATAACTCATTCTTTTCCCAGCGCATTATTTGGCAATACTCCAGCGATGAGGCGGAAAAATATTGCGAAATTTTTTTGAGAAAAAGTACTTTACTAAAGTATATATATTAGTGTTCTAAAATTCGACCGTTCGACCAATTAGACCGTTCAACTGATATGACCGTTCAGTTTTTCGAACGGTTATAACATGTCATTTTTCTGACCGTTCGTTTGACCGACCAATTTCTGAAATTTACGAAACCGACCGACCATTTTCGAAGTGACATTTCGAACGTTCGAAAAATGACCGACCATTTTTGAAGTGACATTTCGAACGTTCGAAAAATGACCGACCATTTTCAGAGTGACATTTCGAACGGTCAAAAAATGACCGACCATTTTCAGAGTGACATTTCGAACGGTCAAAAAATGACCGACCATTTTTAGAGTGACATTTCGAACGGTCAAAAAATGACCGACCAATTTCAGAGTGACATTTTTGAACGGTCAAAAAAATGAACGACCAATTTTTGAAATGGCGTTTCAAACGATCGAAATTTGACTGAAAAAAAGTTTGAAATGTCTGAAATGAAATAAATTGAATCAACGTTTGCGAAAAAGTATGGAATTTTTGAGAAAACTCCGCGTGCTTCGTGATAATGAATAAGCTCCTAGTTACTCTGACAAGGAAACTGTTTTTTTATCCCCCGGTTGAACTTTTTGATGAAACTTCGCAGGGGTGTACTTTAAGGCATGCTGATTCCAAATCAAAAATAAAATATCTCGCTTTTTGCCTCGTAGTCAAATTATGACGGCTTGAAGTTTGCACGTGAAAGACTGGAACGCAGTAAGAAGGAATGTGTCTCGCGCACGAGCCCTCACTTCCAGCGTAAGAGAAAATTTTCGAATAGGCATTTCGAACGGTCGAAAAATGACCAACCAATTCAAGAGTAACATTTTGAACGGTCAAAAAATGACCGACCATTTTGAGAGTGACATTTCGAACGGTCAAAAACTGACCGACCATTTTCGAAGTGACATTTCGAACGTTCGAAAAATGACCGACCATTTTCAGAGTGACATTTCGAACGTTCGAAAAATGACCGACCATTTTCGAAGTGACATTTCGAACGTTCGAAAAATGACCGACCAATTTCGAAGTGACATTTCGAACGTTCGAAAAATGACCGACCATTTTCAGAGTGACATTTCGAACGGTCAAAAACCAACATGTCATTCTGAAGTGACATGTTGAAATGTTGAAACTCCAACCGTTCGACCAATGACCATTTATTATGACATGTTGAAAAAATATTGGTCGAACGGTCGGTCGAACGGTCAATTTTCGAAACTATAATATATATGTATATAATTTTCGTTGTTATGTTAAGGAAGCGGTAAAAAGTAAAAGTCATGAGAAGCCGAGCTTTTTCACACACAGACACCTGAAAAACAAAAAAGAAAGGAACTGAAATGATTATCAAAGATCGCTCCTTATCAGATGAGATAAGAAGCTCCACCCCCAGTTCATTGCATAAGACCAGACACTTTTTCGACTGGAACAAGCCTGGTCGTTCATTTTTCTCAAAATCGTTTAAAGAGCGCCTGCCTACAGTAATTTGTTATTGACAAATGGCCTCGTTTGTCTTTCTCGTTTTTCGCTGCCAACGCCACTCTTCACGCCATCTCGCAAACTTGAGCTATGGCTATTTCGGGTTCGTCCAAATATACATTGTGTAAGGTTTGAAAAGTTGAACAATGTAGTTTTGAAAAAGTCACGGCAGAAATGATGAAATAAAAGTTGTGATTTATGAAGCCCAATTGACTTTATAGTTTTACAGAGTAGACTCGAGGTCACCAAATTCTGTGAGTCGTTGATGGCGAAAAAGAAGTACATATCTACAACCTCATTGAAAAAAATGAATCTCTTCCCATTCCCGAATACGAAAGAAATCCCCGGAAGCTTTCAATGACTTTTTCAGAAGTTAATATGTCCCCATTAATGTATCTAAGTAACCAAACGCATAGAAGATTTACAATACATGAGAATTCATTTCATTACCTTCAAAACATTTACACATCTTAGAGAGTTTTTACAGACTATCCTTTTGACACTAGTAGTACGATAAAAAAAAATGGCTGAAGGATAGTCAGCAGAAGTAAAACTGGAGACTCGAGCCGAAGATTTATGAGCCCTGCCTTTGGGTCATTAAACACTCCTGTCCCCCAAAGAGATGCACGCGAAAATCTCCGATCGATTAAGAGATAACAAATCAGTGATTTTTCAGGAAAAAAACCCATGACGTACGTTGTCGTCGGCAGATCCGGCGCCAAGTTCCGCCGTCTCCGGAAGGACGTCGGCCATCGTCTGTTCGCAGTCGAGGATCACCGGACACGCCGTCTGGTACATTCCCGGCTGAGCTGAGATCGGCTCTCCGATCTCATACTTGAACTCGCTCATATCCCCTGAAATCAAAGACTGAGATATAAGAGCGAAAAGACACTGGTGCAACTGGTTCATCGAAGGAGAAAATCAAAGAAATTCAAAAATACTTTCTCGATGAGAAGAGTCAAAAAGCATTTCAAAACATCCGAGCTACTGTTTCTAAGCTGAGCGCTTCTGTGAACTAAGCAAATGAACCATTATGAATGAATTGCGAAGTTCGTTTGAAAATCAGGGAAAAAGACTAGAATTTCAACTATATAATTCACAAGCCGAAAGAAAGTTTTAGAAACAAAAGTACGGAAGAAAATTTGCATTAACTTTAAGGAAAACTTGCATGAGATAACATAAGAGCCGAGAAAGACACATTTCAAACACCTTGTCGCCGAAAAAGCAACTCTTGAGCAAGACATCGATATTATCATTGAAGAACGGCACCCAAGGGGCCGCTCGGAAGCAATAAGGAGCCGTGGAATCGTTGGCGGGAAAAGCTTAGAGTGTCAGAAGCCAGGAGGCTTAGCGCAAGCGATTACTTAGGCGAGAAGATGGCTTGTGTAGGAACATTTCGATAAGGATTTGATGCGGCAAAATCAAAAAAAAAACGTAAATTGGGAGAATTCATGTTAGTGAAAATTAGACCTGCTATCAAGTCAAAAAATTCATCATCGTCTCTTTACAAAGAATTCCTTCAGAAGTTTTTGGCCGAAATTATAAAATGTGTAAAAAATTAACGGTGAAAAAATTCGCAAAATCGCAAACAATAAACAAAAATTCAAGTACCGAGAGTTTTAATCGAGAAAAACAAGTCTGAAATGGAAAAAAAAAGTAAGTCCAAAGTATAGGATGATCATTGGCCCTGATGAGATCTAGCATTTGTCTTAAAAAATCAAAAAATGAAGATAAGCTGCCGGGGCAATTACTCGCGTTTGTTTTGAAAGCTGATTAGATGCGGAAGGCCGATAAGACCTGGGGACACCCTCAGGCTTATCACGGCCTGTCATCTGGACAGATAAGAGCCGACGACGGGGCGGCTTCGAATCACAGCTGATAATCAAAGATACGAGGTGCAGATATAAGTGAATTCTCAGCGTGTGTAAAATGAGACACGGTCATGGAGGCAACAAAAAGTAGGCGGAGCGTGAGGAACGAGGCTCGCTTCTCCGTCACGCCCACCGTCTCCCGCTCTGCACCCTCCTCCAGAACACGTGCCAACGACTCCATAATTGGCAATTTACGTTGACATGCTTCGACCCTTAGGCAGTTAAAAGATTGCCGTGCCTATCTACCGTATATCTTGACGAAATATCTGATTTTCCCCGATTAACCGAGATAAGTTAGAAAGAGTTTGACAGAATAGTCTAGACCAAAAAACCGTCACAGGCTCTGACTTTCTGAACTTTGCTCTCCACGGTTCATTTGAAAGTTGCTTTTTCGTGATCTTAAACTTACTTGTGCTTCTTTTCTTTCGCATTCGTTCTAACCTCCAACTTTTACGCAGTAATATAGTTTATAAAAAAAATCTGAACCTGATAGTTCGATTTCAAGTTTCTTATCGTGTCTTAATGAGAATCAATGCAGATATTTTTGCTCTATTTATCTAAAAAAATGTAAACTTTTGTCATTTTGTCAACAACTATCATTTTTTTCTTTTTGCTTCCAAAAAGTTCGCCGTGGAGTGCGATTTCAGTGGTTCCGGAGCATTTCTCCCTGTATTTCATGAAGATTACTGTCATATCTTCCAACTTCAAGGTTGCTATCCCAGTGTTAAGCTTCGCTTACAAAAAATCATGTCGAAAAAAAAATCGAAAAGAGAAAAGAGAAAAAAAAGAAAAAAGATAAAAAGAGAGACTTGCCGAAATCGAAAAAGAAGCGACCGTCCGGCATTCTCTGAGCCCACGAGAACAGCCGGCGACGATGAAAAATGACAAAAAGAAAAAACACGTTAGGCAGTCGCGGAAACGTTACGCTACGTTCAAATAATCTATTCTCATCTTTTTTTTCTACGTCAAGTTCTTATTGGAGTTGAGATTTCCGCTTACAAAAAACATTAATTTTTAGACTTTCAAAGTCAAAGACTTTTTTTTCACACAAACCACGTGGATAGATTGAGTGAAAACTGTGACTACGTCTCAATCAAAAAAATGTGACCATTCTCTAGTTCGTTTCAGTAAATAAACAAAATTTTGAACTCTTTTTAGAAAAGACAGAAATTTTTTTCGAAACGAACTCATAGAAAACTTAAAGAAAAATTAGTTATTCGATCTCATGTGACGCTTTTATGGTTTTGCGGAATTACGAAGTATGATAGTTTGACAGTTTCATTGGCAAAAATGACTTTGACAGACACAAGTTCAGAGCGTTCGGCCTATTCGTTTTCAGAATCAATCAACCAATTCCCACTCTAATGAAAAACAACAGAGAAAAATGAAGGAGCTGGTGGAAGGTGATAAAGAGTGTCGCGAGAACTGAAAGAAAGCGCCAAAATGCTCGATGGATGGACGACGCGGAAATTGGGCGGATGCTCCGGCCGCCCATAAATAGTTCTTCCTATTCCGAATATTCTTGAGCTTTTTGCATTAGCCTTTCGCATCATTAGTTTCCTCAGATTCTCCACTGCTCCACCAGCTGGCCTACTTTTCTCTACTTTTTTTACGTTTTCTTTTGACAAAAAAACCAGAAAAAACCAGTCTCTTCAATTCAAAAAGCAAGGCAAGGTGCCATGTTTTTCTCTTTTTCAGATTTTTACTTGAAAAAAATAAAAAAATCTAATTTTTTTATTCTCATTCTAAGATAAATCTACATAAAAAAAGTCAAAGTTTTTCAAATTGAAAAAGACTATTGCGTGGTTCAAAAGTTTTTAGTCCATTTTTTTGGATGGCAAAAAAATGAAATGGGCAAAAATAAAGACTCTGAGAAATTATTCAAAGTGAAAGTCCGCAACAAGTAAAAAAAAATAGAATCAAAGTATCAAAAAAAGTTTTGCATTTTTCATTTTTTTGCTCTCATTTGTTTTTGTTGATGTATTCCAATTCTCACTGACTTGGAAGTTCATGGACGAACTGGAGATCGCTTTCACGCGTAGCAGCTGCGCAGCGGTTTTCCGACTGAATTTTGAGCGGTGCTATCCGATTTGCGCTGTCCGGGGACATTATCAGACAAAGCTGAAAATCTCAAGTTTTGCTGCAGACCTATTTCCATTCAAGGCGTTCTCGGGATCCTTACTCCGACCAAAAAAAGCCACCGTAACCCGAGAAAAGGCAAAACAAAACGTTGCATTGGCCGTCCAAATGAATTGGCAAATTGGACTCGGACAAGCATTCCGAAGGCCTGAGACGAGCAGCCGCGCATCATGATGATAAACGGCTTCTCACTCGCTGACGCCCCTCGAGACCTACCGTATATCCATTTAAGGAGCGATTATTCGCTGCCGTCGTCTCTCCACTCGCCTCGGGGCTTTTAATTGAAAATTCCGCCACGCCTCAGTGCTCGTATAAATTTGTATTTTGTGAATTTTCGAAATCTGAAATCACAAGTTAAATTAGACTAATGCGGAAGAAAATTCGTATATCGAAGCCGGAACGGATTTTTGAATTACAGTTTCAATGTTTTTCCTTCTGAAAAAAATTCACAATACTGATGTCATTATCGGGAAAAATTTTTTTCAAAAAAATTTAAATGTGAATTTCATTTAAACTTTTTTTGGCTTGCAGCTATGAAAATATAAGTAGCCTGGTTCCTATGCCTCAAATGCTTGAATGTTTTTTTGAATGGACAAATAATCTTGATTATTAAAAAAATAATAAAATTTCTTGTAAAAGAGTATGGTGCTTTGCGCCACTTCTTTGTGAACCAAAACGTCATATTTTACGAAATTTGTGGGTGTAAGAATATTTACTTCGACGTTCAAAAGGATTTCGCGCACGATCCTTTTTGTTCAAAGAAGCCGGTGCAATTAGACGTTGAGTTTGGAGACAAATGCTCGAAACGGCTGTTTCTGCGCACTTCACACCACCCGAGGCACGCGCCGTCGCTTTGCGCCAAAAACAGTTGCTCTGCCGCTAATATCATGGCTGTGGCTCGTGTGCAGGCTTGTGCGATGGCTGGCCTGTCAGCCTATCGGCGCTCGGCCTTAAGGAGGGTTCAAGCTGAAATGGCGGGCCCAGCACAAACGCTCAATAAACTTTTTTTCAAGTCGAATATCAAGCTTTCTTTTTTTACGAGAAAGGCGATTTTTTTAAAACTTATTTTTTTACATGCGGTTCATAGAAACTAAAATTCAACAAGAAAAAAATGAATTTTCGGTGAAAAATTTTTTTGATGAAATTTAAAAATTTTTTTCAAAGCCTAGCTAGGCCCGAACGGGCGCAAGCTTTTTCTCAAATAAAATAGGGCTTGAAGTCCGGGCCAGGCCGCTCGGCCAGACACGCAAGTCTGCTCGTGGGCGAAGTAAAACTTGAAATGTTTTTTTTTTCTGAAATATTTCAATGTTAATTTTGCCTATTTTGCTTGATTAAACTGGTAAGTTTTTTTAGTGATTAATAACCATAATGGAAGACATTTTTTTCTTCGTCACTAGAAGCTGTTACTGGTAATTAAAAGAATGAAACAGTACATCTTTAAATAAAATTGAAATTTGATTTCAAAATCAAAAAAAAAGAGTGAAAGAAAATATGAAATATAAAGAGGAAAAAGTAAATAAATAAAAAGTTGCATTGAACCATATTGGAATCGAGAAATTTTTCAAGATAGTGGGTTCGTGGCGGGAAATGGAAATTTTATGTAAGAGATCATTTTGATCATTTTATCCTAATCTGACAATCCTAAACATATTTTTCATGCAAAACTCTCTTTTATGTTGAAATGGAACAACCATAGGAAATTTTAAAAGTTCAGCTGAAAAGATATTTTGCAGAATGAAAATAAGCTGGCAGAATACAATATATTCACGGCTTCTAATTAATTTTTTCGACTCATTCATTGATTTGGTGTTTCAAACTGGCTTCTGACCTCATTATAACTCATCAAAAAGCAAAGGCTTCACAATTGGCGAATCAAAGCGCGGTGCCAAGGTGAGGTTCCCAAGGGAAAGTCGATGATCCGGCTGGTTGTCCATCTTCCTTCCTTTTGCTACTCCCTAAGGGTCCAACCTAGTCGCTTTAATCGAGATTTGGCAGTCCATTTAAAATAAAAGAAGCTGAGAGTGATACGTGACACTTGGGTGGCAAGAGCCTTCTACCCAACCTCTTACAGTAGGAGCCGGGCCAAGCTTGTCGAAAAATTTTCTGAGCGCAGTTTTGCAAAAGGATCTGTTGTTTTGAAAAAAAAACATTATTTTGAAAAAGAAAACCAAAAACTACATTTATAGAAAACTAAAACCAAATAAAGTGCATGTTAAAAGTTTTTTTAGATAAAAAAAAATAAAAACCAAAAGAAAAAGATAGAAGTAGAGAGATTTCAGTTATAGAAGTATTACTGTAGATTATTTAACAGTTTCTTTAGTCGGAAAGACAAAAGGAGAATGACGATCGGTGGTGCGAAGGGTAAGAAACATGTGCGAAAGAGACGATTAGCATAAAATCTGTCAGGAGCCGGCTGCGCTCTCGATTTCGTCCTCCGCTCCCCCCTCAAATCCCGGAGATTTATCATTCGGTTCGGTATTATTCATTATGTGCCTCGATTTCGAGCCTGTCAGCTTTTGCTGCCGAAATCTGTTCTGTTGTGCGTCTGGGGAACACTTTGCACATTGTTTACAGCCATATTTGTCTCTTTCGTCGCTTTCAAAACAATTTAGCCGCCGCTGAACGTTTGACACCCACGAAAGCTTCGAAGGATCGCTTTTCCTGGGTTGATGAACCTCAGCAACTCTTCAAAGGCAACGTCAAAATGTAGATCAGCGTGGTTGGTGATGGCCGACACGGATATTTGGGTCAACAAAGGAGGTAGGGAGGTGTCGACGTCGGCAGATAAGCATCGGAACACGAAGACCCTCGCCTCGAGCCTCGGAGGCCAAGGTCCGGCCGTGACAGCCTCAAGAACTGCCTCAAAAGTCTCCAAAAAACGGCTGACCACTTCTTCGTCTCTCGAGATGGGCTACTGTAACTGCAGTCATACCAATTTCTTTTCGGAACTTCGTCAAGGCTTGCAAAAAGAGACAAAAGACCGGGTGTTCTGTTCACCTTTCACTTGTTTTCGTACCGAAAAACTTCCAGCATGACAACAGAAAGCGAAGTGAGAAGAGTGGAAACATCGTTATCTGATGTATAACCCCCAAACTCCTCTTTTCATCAGCTCACAAAATGATGTGTGTCGAATTGAAGAGTCGTTTTGTTGGCAGACATCCCATTTTCAGCGGGAAGCGTGAATTGTAATGATGCCTCATAAGGCAATCTGCCGTTTTTTCCTCAAATCGCCATGTGTCGTCGTCCTTTCGAACTGCTTCTGAATCTATTCATGCGCGACCGATGTGCTCAAAAAGACTAAATTTCTTAGAAAGAGAAAAATAATGTTATAAACTGAAATATCTGCGTTCATTTTCTTCTCATTTTCGCGCACAGCCTTTACTCTGAAAAAATTCATGGCTTATGGTCTTATAATTAATCTTCTCCGAGGCTGCTCGAGACAAAAAATAGTCAAATATTACAGAGTTCGGTTCTGCTTTTAAATGCTTTTATGAAATAAGTTTCTGTGTCTTCGTAAATTCCAAATACTTTTGAACTGACTTTATCAAGCAAAGCCGTCGAAATGAACACCATGAGGAAGTCCATCATTCAGAACTGCATCCTTATATCGATTTCAAGTAAACTTCTTTTTTTCCAATTTTTAGAGAAACGTTCATGTGTTCCTGGAATGAATTCAAGTGACTTCAAATGTTTTCTTTTCGAAACTTGAAGCGGCGACGGCAAAACAAAAGGCTGATAATTGAGCGTGAACACGCGGTGGCGGCGGCGTCAATCGTTTCGAGCCTCAGCTGAAGGTCCGAAAGACCGCCACGTGCCCTGGGCCAGACCAGGTGCAACCGAAGTTGGCTGCGAGAAGAGGTGGCGAAAAAATCCCGGAGTCGAAGGAAGGGACGTCGCAGCTACAGAGAGATGGCTATCGGACGAGTTCCTCCAAGCCTGTGTTCCCCTTAGAATCGCCAAGAACCGTCCTGAGGGCGCAATTGGATATCTTCATCCTCTCGCTATTATTTCAAAAGTGATCTTCTTTCTAGGGGGGAAAAAAGTTCAACATCCTACATTTCCCAAAGATATCAAAAGATTTCACTCTTTGTTCAGTTTCGGATTCTGCGGACCTGGAAGGCGTTTTGAGCCAGAAGTCTCAAATTGAAAATCTGTTTCTGTATCACAGTCCGGAACCAAGCTGGTAAGACTATTCGATGTATTTGAGAGTTCAATTATTCAATAATTAACTTGCCCTCTGTAATTGTGGTGCGGCTAATCACAGAAAACTTGAAGGGGTGCGAACGTGTCGATTGCAGCTTAATTGCTTGGGACCGCCCAAGCAGGGAGTTTCCGCTTAAACAGCGGGACGCCAGGACGCATCGGCGGTAGGATAATTATTGGAAGAGATCTTGTAACTCGATCTTAAACAAAATACAAAATTTTTTTCAGTCATTTTTTTTTGGTAGACTGTCTGATAAACAATCAATAAAGATAAAAACCTCCAACCTAAGTTAAAAATTTCTAATCTTGAAGTTTGACTCGAAATAAAAAGTCTCCAACGGAAATTTACCCTATTGAGCTTTTTTCGAACGACCCTAGGCTGTTCAGAGCTCTAGGAAAAAAAGTCTTTGGTTCTAGAAACTGTAATCGTGAGCCTTTTTTTGATATTTTGATCTAAAAACCTTTTACAATTTTTAGACACGGTTCTGCCATGCTACAGCGATATCTCCAACAAGTCCTCCTGTCAAAACAGACACGCACTGTGTGTCGAACTAATCCCAGTAGGAAACTCCTAATCCTGCGGTTGTCGCAGTTCAGACGCGATTAGGAACTACGACGCGTGTCCCGGCCGATATCTGGCAGCGGATCGTGCCGTCGGCTTTCTTCCCATATCAACACATGGCTAGGTGATGATGACCAACGAGTCTAAACAGTTCCGCGACCTGCGGTGACACGTTAATTGCTCATTAGCGGTGGTGCTGGCTTTTTATATCTCTCATAGGTCCGAAAGCCAAGGGTGAGTCCAAAGGGGCCTGTTTTATGAATAAATGAAAGATATACTCCTTCAAAGCTCCCAATTAGTTATAGTGCTTTTTGAGAATCCACGCAGAACACATCAAAGTTTTACGAGGATTAAAGATATCTCCTTTAAAAAAGAAATCACTTTCACAACAAAACCCAGTTTTCTCATATTATTTTTCGAAACTGGGTGTACCTCATAACCATGGCCTGAAATCTAATTAGCGGGTCGCCCTAATTGAAATTAATCTTTTGTGACCTTTGACAGTGTTCTCAGTTTTTCTTAGAACACAGAATAAGCGAGCAAAACACTTCTCACATTGTTGAGGCTCAGTTACCGTATCAACTGTCACGGCACGAGTGGCGTCACGAATCAGGAACGAGGATTCTTCAAAGACGAAGATCCACTTCTTCTTAAAACTTCAAGAAAACTTTCAATTGATTGAATGATAGAGTAATAACCAAACTTTTAAGGTCAAAAATTCATCAATGCAACTGTTGAGAAAAAAGAAAACTCTATCCAATATTTTAGCACGTTCTCTCCATCACCTTTTCATCGACTTTACGTCAAGTTTACATGCTGTATAACGGAAAGTTTTACGATTGGAGCAAGATTTTTCGAGCCTGGAAGTCGTGATTTACGACACCTGAATGGTAGGTCAAAACAAACCACTGGGAGTTATTTCTACGTTGATGCCTATCGAGACCCATCACCTTGATTTACGTCTTTAGCATCTCAACCTATACTTTGCCTTTATTGCTCATTTACTTGACTTTCTATTTATGATTTGATCACGAGTATTGATATTGAAGAGGAGACCATCAACTTTTCTTTTTTTTTTTCTGATCCGTTGTTTTCTCGTCAAAAATAGCTTCATAACTTTTGTTTTGGATTAGATAGATATCAAATCCGAAAATTTCGGAAGAAAACTTGACTAGGTCTGGATCCTGGCAATTGTGTAGTCGCTAGGATTGAAAAACAGTCTAGAGACAAAATACGCAACCTAGTAATCCCTTAGAAAACATAGCCATATAGTCCAAGTTGGTTTTTAGTCTGGTGATAAACGGCAGGCAGCCATGTTTCTCGGGTTTGTCTATAGGTTTTCGTCACAGGTTCTATTTTTTTGTTTTGGACATCTCTTTCAAGACGCCGCTCCAAAAATACATTCTCACAGTCAAAGTGAGCTAAGTAATAATTTTCGTAAATGGAAGTTTCTCAATATTTTTTCTATATTTTTTTATAACAAAAACAAGCGATTTTTTTCTACCTTTTTTTCATAAAAAAAATCGTTTTGAAATAATTTTATCAAATAACTGTACAAGGGTAAGGAAGTTTATGACCATTTAGGAGATATAATCATCACGAGATAACCGATAAAACAGCCGCGGCCAATAATCGAGTCTCCATTCGTCACCCATTATTTTTTTCGTTGAATCAATACTCCAGTTCATCAACATAAAAATTTCTTTTTTTTTTCTTGTTTTTGTTCGGGCAGTCTATACTTCTGTAATTTATAAGCTGATGGAGTCTTGAGATGAACTGTTGTGTAATTTATCTCTTATTGACAACTAACATTTTTGAGAAGTTTTGGAATAAGACGTGTTCATCGGGCAATAGGAAAGCCTTGACGGTCTTCTTTCCCTTCAAACTCCTGGGAAAACTTCCAGCTTGCTTCATTTTTGTGCTCACACCGTTCGGGTTGGCAGAAACGACGGCATCAGAAGTGCGGACGTCTTCTGAATGCCGGTTTACAGGCGTCGAACCCAGGGCGGCAGCCTTTTTGTGGCGGCTTGATCGCTATCAACACGGCCTCGTCACTCAGAATCCCGACTAATTACTGGGCCTCGCGCAACTCTCCGCCGAGGCCACCGTCCATAATCCGCAAACGTTTGCAATCAGTTAACTTTCTCAGGGAAAAATGTTCGATTATGTTTACAAGTGAATTCAGAACATTTTTTGTACTCAAAAAGTTAGATTCTTTGGGAAGGAGCCACAAGCTTCGGCTGTGTATAAATGGCTTCCGGCTCAGCATTCGGAAGACAAGAACAGAAACACAAAAGACGCAAAATTGTTTGAGACTAGTTGGAAATCCAAAATTTGCAAAGTAGCGTTTATTTGCATACGTTCATACCAAAAAGCTTAAAAAATAACAGAATTCATCACGATTTGTAAGTTGACCTTCTTTAAGAAAAATAGAGATAGCATAAATCAAATTAGCGACTTTGAAAATATATTTGGAAAATTCGAATTTTATCGACATTATACCACTTGTTTCCAATTATCTAAAGCTTCAAACTCAGAGCTATTTGATTACACGAGAAAAGTGAGCAGATTTAAAACACTGGAGCTGGCAGCTCGCCGAGCCAACGTAGGGCACGTAGTAGGAGCAAATATTGACACCTGTGGTGGCCTTTTTGTCTGACCGTACGCGGCAGTTTGGGTTCTTTTGTGTGCTCGGCTTTTCCTTGCGAGACCTCAAAGCTGAACCAACACATCTCCTTTTGTCCCACTCTCCGTTTCCCTCATTTGTTTCAATTTTATTATTCTGTCCACATAAGCCTATTTCGCTTTTCTATAATTCTGGCGCTGAGTAGATATATATTTTAATCTTAGTAGAACGCTACAAATTCAAAAGACGTTGATTGACGACGGTGACACGTCGGAAGTCGTGCAAAAAGGATAACGCGACGATTAGATCAATCTTCTGAGTGTTAGACCATCGGCGCATTCCTCCTAACTTTTCTGTTTCTTTCAATTGTTTTTATTCCTTCTTCTCGAAGACTTGTGAAAAGACAAAAAAAAGATTAGGTAACTGCGATAATTTATTCTGAACCTTTAATGTTTGAATTCACAAATTATTTTGAGATGCGCAAAATGAGGCAATTTGCATGAACGTTTATACAACCTAAATTTGAGGCGGTAAATAAATTCAATGCAAGCAAACTTGGTTTTTGTTTTTTCTTGGATGTGCAATTCTTGTAGGTTTTGTTTCATATAGGTAAAAATGAACGACTACTCCCTTTTTCCGTAGAACTACTATCTGGTTCCAGATTTAATAGCTTGTTTAGCACTGTCATTCTTCTTTGGAATAGACTCTGCTCAAGGATCAACCCTAACACGTCTACCACCCGTTTCAGAAAGTTCCTCGGCTCGTTCAGCGACGAAGAACTCTTTGCCAACGTGCCCTTACGTCCACTGTGATCAAAAATCCTTCTAAGTATTCAGTTTCCTATACCGGTAAATTCGCTCGTGAGGGCGTATTAAAACCGGTCTCATATAATTCTTGCTCAAGCTATATCTCTTTATTTTTAGCTCATGTTTTTTTATGTATCAGAGTGGACCACGTTTCGGAAAATTAAATACGCCCTCACTTTTTCGTAGCCTAAACGTGATCATATAGGCAACTGGACTGAACTTTTTTTTTGACTGCATAGTGTCGCAATCTCGTTAAAAAAGACAAAAATATTTTGAAGATGGAAGACTTCTCTCTGCAATTTTGAATTGGCGCGCAAGTAGATTTTTGCAACAAAATAGCTCCACAGACACTCAACGTGCCGAGTTTTTTCTCCCGATTTCACAGTTCATTTTTTTTTTCCTGAGTGCTTTTTTTTTAAATATTCAACCGCTTCAAAGATAGAAATTTTATGATATTCGTACGTATCTCAATGAGACGGATCGAATGGTTATACTTTCATGCTGAAAGTCAAACATGTTGGTAACGTCGAATTATTCCCTTATTGCTCCCGTGCTCCAAGTAATTCCGCGAATTTTGGAAATATCTCTGATTCACCCAATTTTAGTTAATTTTTTTCGTTCTCTGCTATTTTGAAGTTCGTGAATTCACTTTTCACTTTGAACACGGCAAAACATCAAGAACTTTTCAGCCCAGACCTGAACAAGTTCTTATGTTTTTATTTTGTTTGTATTCAAAGAAAAAAAACGTTGAATTTTTCACAGTTTCTTCTAGGCTCTGACTCAAAAAGCTGTTGAAATAGTGTTTTTCAATGAATTCATTGGTTTTTCTGACTTTTGTTTTTGAATATTGTTATCTAGATAATAACTTTTGCCCTTCTAAAATTTTTGATGTCGCAAAGGAATTTTTTTCTTAAATTCTTCTGGCTAGGCTGCGTGTGACGCCACAAAAAGGCCCACTGAGCAGGGAACGTTGCGTTCTTATCAATGCGGGCGCAGGCCGTCGTCCCCGGGAAACCATCGGTCACTACGGGTATTTTCTGTGAAAAATAGGCCATTTTTCTCTCAAATTATATCTCTTTGAACTTTTTTGCAACTTTTTAATAGACATAAATGCGCTGCGAAATAGCTAGCTTTTGGTTTGAAGTAGTTTTTTAAAGGCATCGTTTTTTTTAATTTGTCAATATTAGATGTGAAAATTTGATGAATAAAGTTTTTAGGAGGTAACGGCGAGAATTTCTAAAGTTTCCAATGTTCTTCTGTAAACTCTATTCGTAATGTTGCTTTCCTCGAAAACTTTTGAAAAGACAGCGAATCGCCTTGGAAACCAATATAGGATGGTTTGCTCGGAACGCAGACTTTCGCAGGTGCAATGGGCAGCCGCTCTTTTTCTTTTCTTTTTTTTTTCGTTGCGCCAACTCGGTCGTCGCGCGGCTGATGCAACGGACATTTGAATTTCATTCATACGCGCGCTATTTCTTTTTCCCTATTTCCTGTTCGTTCGAATTTTTTTCCTTCACAATTCAAATCTATGTTTTCATTGAATGTTTCAGAAAAAAAGATATTTTTCCAAGTAACCCATTTAGGTTTGAAACTCATGACACCCAGAATACTTGCAAACCAAATAAGACACGAGTGCAAACATTCTAGACTCTATCATAACTGACATAAACAATTCCAACTCTTGTTGAAGTGGTTTTTGCGCTATGTTTGTTGATTTTCTGAGAGATTTAATTTTGTGACCTCATCAGACTTAGCTTATTTTTGGATTTGTCATCACTTCTTTTGTCATCCTTTTCCGAATGTGATCCAAAATATGGCCTTTTGCCTTGTGAGACAAATCTCAACTTTTTTTTAAAGTGCAGTTTCTGTCTCAAAAATTTCTTGAAAAACGTTTTGCCTGTTTCGATAGTCATAATTCTTTTTTTTTTTGAGTTTCCATAGATCTACGGAGTGTAATTGCGCAGAAAGAAGTTTGTATATGTTTTTGGGAAGTCAAAAAAGACGAAGTGTGGAGAAATGATAAGGTCTTCGTCTGACAAGACAACCAGTGAACTCTTACCCCAAAAAGGAGTAGTTTCGTCGCAAAAACGGATGATAAGCCGATTATTACACGACAGAAATTGGAAAGTTTGACCGACCATATTCCTATTTCTGAACTTCTTTTTAACCATTCCATTGTTTCTCATGTTTCTTTAGTAGTCGGGAGACGTTTATTTATTGATTTCGATGAAAGTCGCCGAACGGAGAGCTCATCGATCGATTCCATATTCCGCATCATTTTTTTTTCTCTACTTTGTTCGCTTTTCCCATGACACGTGTTAGTTTCGCTTGACCATACATAGCTATTATTTTTTACTCTTCTGTATGAGATTTAGTTTCAAAAAAGAATTCAGATAATTTTGTTTAATATTACTGAACTTACATAGTTCATGCCAAATTTATCAGTTCGAATATAGAAAAAGAGAGTCATTAAAAAATGGCGTATCCCGAACAAAAAGAAAATTTTAAATTTTCAACTTGGAACCTCGATAAAATTGTATTATATCAGTTCTATCATTACAGTACATCTTGAGCATAATAATCTTTTTCGAGTATTTTTGCCAGACAGTTCATCTCGACGAAAAAGTACGTATAAGAAAGCCGAAGATTTTTCGATATATGAGAAGGTCGCACGACGGGAGAGAAAAGATATAAACATGAGCTGTCCGACGACATTTAACGGTTACTCATCGCTTTTTTTTTCTGGTAGAAAAGTGGCTTTTTGAGAGATTTTTGTGGCGGATTCGACATTTTGTACGATTGCATCACCCCGAACGCACAAAATGTTTCAATCGTTCTTTCGAACACCTTTTTGTTCAGTTTTAAATTTTCTTTTCGCATTCGCTGAGAATCTGTCATTTTCAAGTGAGAAAAAATTAACTGGCTTTTCTAAAAGACCTGATAAGATGCAGGGCAATGTGATAAGGTCTGACAGCTGGGTGCATCTTTTTTTCAGCTTCTTACGCCATTCACCTTTTCAGAGCTTCCGCTATCAAAATATTTTTCATTCTCAAACATTGCATGTTATAATCGAAAAAGAGAAGATTTTTCTGTCCCTTCAAAGTGGTTGTTTCAGCGTCGACGTCTAGAACTCGAGGGTCACTGTCATAGACCGAGACGTCATGGCTTCAACTGCGGAAAGCGTACCTCTGAAGAAGCGCGAGGATGATGTGCAGGTAGTTACACGAGAAAGAAAATATGGAACGGAAAGTTTTAGGTTGAAGAAGAAGGCGGTAAAGGCTTGGCTAAGTCGCTGACCTTGTTCAACGGAGTTTCCATCATTGTCGGATGCATCATCGGTTCTGGAATCTTCGTTTCACCTACTGGTGTTCAGAAAGGTTCATCCCACACTGAAAGCAGCCTTGAAAGGAAAAGTATTTTCAGAAGCTGGATCTGTCGGCGTTTCTTTGCTCGTGTGGGCGGTGGCAGGCGTTTTCACGGCCATCGGCGCTTATTGCTATGCCGAGCTTGGTGAGATCACCTCCACAGTACAATTTTCGCAAAGCATCCATTCCAGGTACACTGATCAAAAAGTCTGGCGGAGACTATGCTTACATCATGGAAGCGTTCGGCCCTTTCGTTGCATTTGTTCGTCTTTGGATCGAGGCGATTGTTGTTCGGTTAGTCAAATATAGTTCAGCAGATTGGTCTTCATTCCGGAATATAGTTTCGAAAAGTTTCAATTCTAGTCCCTGCACTGTGACTATCGTCGCTCTGACCTTCGCCATCTACAGTCTGCGGCCTTTCTTTCCTGACTGCGATCCTCCTTCCGGCATCCCCGAGCTGCTGGCCATCTTGCTCATAGGTTGCCCCTCGAAACCCAGTCCCAAATCGAAGCCAAGGTTCAGTGTTCATGACGGCTGTGAACTGCATCTCGGTGCGTGCGGCCACGCTCATCCAGGACTGGTTCACCATCGCCAAGGTCGTCGCTCTGCTCATGATCATCGCCACCGGTCTTGGTCTTCTCGTTTTCGGTAACATGGGATTGAGAACAATCTTTAAAATTTATTATCCCTTCTAGGAGGTCCGCAACACAAGGACTCATTCGAGAATCTTTTCGAGAACACATCGCAAGATTTCACGAAGATTTCTTTGGCTTTCTACGCTGGTTTGTTTGCCTACTCTGGCTGGAACTTCCTGAATTTCATCGTCGAAGAGCTCCAGAACCCTAAAAGGTTCTCATTTCTTTTTGTAAGCGCTGTAAGAAGAAAACGTCAAACAGAAATTGAGTTAAAAAAAATTACGTTTACTTAGTTCTTACGCAGAAAGTTTTTCGATTGTGCGTTCCAAAAGAAAAAAAGCCTGAGAAATGTGAAATATGAAGGAGAAGTTGAATTATCGTTCTTTGATTCTACGTTTAGGAACTTGCCCCTGGCCATCGCGATTTCAATTACTACGTGCACTGTGATCTACACTCTGACCAACGTCGCCTTGTACACGGCCATCTCTCCAGACGAGATGCTGGAAAGCCCTGCGGTCGCGGTGGTCAGTCGACTCGCCACAGCGACTCTTTTTATCTTGAGATCTTCAGCTTTTCGCCAACAAGCTCTATGGCAAGTTCGCTTTCATCATGCCACTGTGTGTCTCGATCTCGACCATCGGGTCTGCAAACGGCGTCATCTTCACTTCTTCGCGGTATGAACTAGAACGTGTTTTCCTTCGGAATTTTCAAAATGATTCGGAAAGTCTACAAACTAGTAATAGAAAAAGTTGATGTTCAACGAAAAAGTCAGAAACAAAAAAGAAGCAATTTTGATATTATTTTAAACAAAAAGGAATTCTCATGTTTTTGAACGACTTCAAGAAGAATGCTTAGTGTTGGAAGTGTGTAGTGTTATGATTTTCTTCAAGCTTGTTCTACTCCGGCGCCAGGGAAGGTCAAATGCCCATCGTTCTGACGATGATCAACAAGAACACGCGTACGCCAATTCCTGCCGTCGTCCTCACGGTATCATTGAGAGCGTTCCAATGAATTTCTTTAATTTCCAGGGTTTGCTCTCCATTATGTACCTCGTCATGTCGAAGAACGTCTACCAGCTCATCAACTACATCCAGGTTTTTTTTTTCAAAACGACGATAAAGTCGAAAGTTTGTAGACATAGTTTCTTAAGTGCTTAAATAATCTTTTTTTCTGTTTTGAAGAAGTCATATAGGATCTCACTGAAGCTTTTTCTTGTTCGTCTTCAGGCGCTTTGTTTTGCTGAATTTTCTTTTCACATAAATATCGAGTTAAGAAAAATCTGTTTTCTCAGGCCTTCGACCTTTTCGGACTTGCACTTGAGAAACGTTTTCAGATCAGCTACTGGCTTGCGATCGGAACTGCGATCCTGGCTCTGTTCTACCTGCGTAAGAAGATGCCGAACGCTCCGCGTCCCATCAAGGTGAACCTCATCTGGCCGACCATTTTCCTCGCTGGATGCATCGCTCTCGTCATCATCCCAATTGTTGCCGCTCCCAGGGACACCAGTGAGTTTTCTCACCGACTGAAGGATGAATAAGCGAGCACTTAAGTGATCGGACTGATGATTATGCTGTCTGCGGTGCCCGTCTACGTCATCTTCATCGCTTGGAAGAACAAGCCCAAATTCGTCAACTCTTTCGTCGGTGAGTCGGAAACTGTGAAAAGGCTGTTGTTCAATAAATGCTTCAGAATGGGCCACTGAGCTGACCCAGAAGCTGTTCATGGTGGTCGACGACAACAAGCAAGACTAAAATAATGTTCAAATTATCGCGAGATTTCTGCCTTCACTTTGTTTTTCATTCCTTCGATTCGTGTAACGTTTAATATTTTGTGAAAAACCTCAATCATAAATAACATATTTTATTGTCTGCGATGCTTTAACCAAGTGCCAATTTTATTGTCTGTTTCAATTTTTAACTGTATTTCTTATGAAGTTCTTCTTTACGGTGTTTAATGTTGACATATTAAAGCACACGTTTTTTTTTCAATAAAATGTTGTTCTCCGTGCGCGACGAAGTTAACGTGATTTGGAGCTAGACACATCAGTCATTTCGACAGATCAGCACGCTTCGAAGACGATGGCGGAGAAGGATAAGAAGGAGGCCGCTGCGGAATTCAAGATGCAGTTGGAGCCATCAGACAAGGTTCTTGTATACTTAATTTACTGCTAGTTTTTAATGATTTTTTCGCCAATCTGTCGCTGATAGAGAACCTTTTTACATATTTTCTTAGACCAGCGGTTAATGCGGCCTGATAAAATTCGCCGGTTTTCAGAAGCTAGAAGATAAATTCGAGCTGTGGGAAAATATTTCAGTAGTTTCTGATAGTCAAGTCAAATAAATCCAATTGGCCTTCGTTTACAAAACCTTTTTTGGGAATTTAGTTGGGGAACTGAATTTCTGCACAAAGTTTTTGTGAGGCTCGAAGTTATTCAGATGACGTTTACCAGCAAGAAACTCGGCGAGGAATTGACGAACAACACGTTCAAGCTCACAAATACGACCAAGGATCGTTGTGTGTACAAGGTTGAACAGATCGCCTGAAAAGCCATGACGTGGATGATTAGGTGAAGTGCACGTCGAACGATTTGTTTCGCATCAGGCCGCCCGTCGGTGTTCTAAAACCAAACGATGAAATCGTGGTCACCGTGAGTGACAGTGGCATTGAAATATTATGAGACAGATTATTCGAAGGTATCGATGAACTCCGGTAAGGTGATTCCGGAAAGTGGAAAGCACTATTTCGCCATATACTACATCAAGCTTGCGGATGAGAAGAAGGTTCAGACAAAATAATAAAATCAATCCCTTTTCGATAGGCGCCAAGAACGGCGTGGGCGGATCACAAAGGCGAAGCCGACGGCATGAAACGCCTCTACATTGATTTTGTTAAGGTTTCTTTTAGGCCCTGATGACCGTAGGAAAATTTATGGAGTTCAGCTAGACAAAGAGGGTAAACCAGACAAGCCGGAAGAAAAGAAGGAAGTCGGAAAGGAAGAAGAGAAAAAGGATGAGAAAAAGGAAGAAAAGAAGGAAGAGAATAAAGAGAAAGAGGTTCGGATACAAACTTTTTCTTAAACTTTTAATAGGCAGCTTGCTTTTTAATTTCAAGTGTATATCGCGCGCTCACGAAAACCTTGGGATGATATCTCAGTTTATTCCCCATTCTTAATGCAAAGGTTGCACGTAGAATGGTCAGAAGCCTCAAAAAAGCCATAAAATTTCGAGTGACTGCCGAACTTTTTTTACCGACTTTGAATTGATTTCGGGTACTTTGTCGAGAACTGTTTTTTAAGTTTGAAGGTTGTGTGAATATGTTTTTTCGATTTCTTTTTCAACTTTCTGGAAATAAAAAGTAGACGATAATGATACTTTCTTAAAAACTCGGAAACAACTCAGGTGGAATCGCAGACGCAAGACAAGAAAGAAGATGAAGAAAAGAAATGAGAAGCCCATCGCCGCCGCGCCAGCCATTTTTCTCTTCCGGCTTCCTTTTTAATAAAAAGGCCGTCCAGCCGTGATTTTTTTCCCACTTTATTTGCTCAAAAACATGTCAACAAAGACCACAAGTTTTGCCACACATCATTTTTCTCTGATGAGCCGTGTAGAAGTCTAGACTGCAGAAGTTTCTGCGTTTCCAAGAATCGCAACTGGAAAAAGTTGAAGTAGACGCCGAAAGATTTTCGGAAAGCCTACATTGAGGGGAGGATGTCGGCGCAGCAATGACGGCAGCCCCGACAGGCAGGACCGGCCGCATTTCTGTAGCATTGCAGCCGTTGTCTGGCGTTGCACTGTTCGCAGCCGTGGAGACTGGATGGAACTACGTCCCGGTTCTGCTTGGGACCTGAATGGAAGTTTGGGAATGAGTTAATTTGCTGAAAAGGAGACATCGTTTTGCGTAGAACTTGAAATATTTTCTATAAAAAAGTTCTCGAGGGAGCAAACTAAATAGAGAAAAAATAACTATTTTTTGATAATATTTTCAGGGGACTGCTCCTAAAAAAAAAAAGGGGCGGCATAGCTCAGCTGGCATAACTCATTTCCAACGTCCGCAAGGTCGTAGGTTCGAGTCCCCCCGAGGTCGACCAAGCCTTTCATCCTTCCGGGGTAGATAAAATTGGAAGCTGCATGCAGCGAAAAGACTCAATCTCTGCCATCGGCCCTTGGAAAGACGGCACCGTACTTCTTCCTACGACCTCTCTTGTACCTGATGTCCTACGAGCGAAATTCACAACTTCTCTGCCTAAGCCTCAGCTCCTGCCGCCGTTTAAACACAGTCAAATCAATGAAAGTCGATTGCACATGTACTCTTACATTGAAGATGCAATAAACAGTTTAAAAAAACAGCTCCTAAAATCATTAGATTTCCACGTACATTACCGTTTAAATTAAATTAAAAAAAGTTTGGTTTTTCGATACACACTGCATAACTTACAGCAAAAATGATCGTTTTCGTTAATCTCGCAAGTGAAATCAGAAGAGCATCTGAAATGGCCAAAAAAACCTCTCCGGCATTCTGAAAAACGAAACGGATTCAATTGGACGGTTTTGAACTAACTTGTGGTTGAGATGGATCCATCTGAGCAGTTGAACTGGTCCGAGGCCACTTGACAGAGAATCGTGAAGCAGTAGACGAGAACACAGAAAACGGTAGGCCTCATTGTTGCCAACTTTCTTGGGGATTTCCCCAACAGCCAGCAGTTTTTATGTCTTTCCAAGCAATTTGTGCAGCTGTCGTAGGAAGCGGATGGCCAAAACAATCGCCATGAGGTCGAATGAACTTCCGGTCACAGAAAAATTTTGAAATGTCTTCTTCTGTACTTTCATTTAAGTTCGATCGAGGCCACACCCCCGGTTTTGATAGGAAATATTTGCACTGCCATATCAACTTTAGACTGTCTTATCACTTCTGTTGGCTACTTTCCCCGTTCTAACTGCTCCTTTCTAGTCCAGTACTTACTTTTTCCATTCTTTTCCAGTATGAAAAAAGAGGAAAACAAGATTGGTCTGGTCGGCGCGACGGCATACATCGTCGGCTCGATCATTGGCAGCGGTATTTTCATTGCACCCAAGGTCTCAGACACTAGATCTCCTCAGACCTTTGAGTTCAGGGAATCGTCGAACACGCAGGTTCCGTAGGCCTTTCGCTCATCATCTGGGTCCTCTGTGCTCTCCTCAATATGATCACGGCCATCGTGAGCTTTTCCGTAACGCATGTACCTTTTTTCTTGTTCAGAACTACATCGAGTTAGGAACGAGTATACCGGAAAGCGGAGCCGATCTGGCCTATATAGGCTACATGGGCTGGACACCTATCGCTTTCTCGTTTCTGTGGCTCTCTATTTTGATCCAAAGGTTTTTTTATCTTTTTCGTTAGGCTCCGGTTTTCATGAATCGCAGTTCATCGAGTGGAGCAGTCCTCTTCATGACTTTCGGCGACTACATCGTTCAAGCCCTGGATCCGATCGTCTGCTTCGATGATTACGGTCGAAGCAACGCCTCTAAGCTTTTCGGCTTCGGACTTCTGTGTAGGTGCAGTTACAACGAGAAGCATTTCAAAGATGTTTATGTACTCGCTTTGAATTTTATTGTCCTTTTTTGTTATCAGTGACCGTTTTGACTGAAAAGTTGCGTCAGGCTTTTTAGTGGTTCTAACGCTGACCAACATGTTCTCTCTGAGCAAATTCGCCTCCAAGGTCCAGATCGTGTCGATGGCTTCGAAAATCGTTGCCACTGCTTTTATAATTGGCATCGGGGCTTTTTTCATGATATTTCGCGGTCAGATAAGCCTTGAAAAGTAAAATAAGGTTTTTTTTCCAGGAAGAACTGAACACTATGCGCCATCGGTCATAATGCAAGGAACTAATGCGAACGCAGGTGCAATCGTCTTGGCCATCTACCAAGGCAATTGGGCCTACGGTGGCTACACAACCCTCAATTTTGGCACGGAGGAGATTCAGATCAAAAACTTCCGCAAGTGAGGTTCCTGTGGAGGTTTTTAGGAGCGCAGGATTCAGAACTCTGCCTCGAGCCGTCCTCGGAGGCCTCGCCATCTCGTCGGTCATTTACCTTCTGGTCAACGTCGCTTATTTCGCCATCCTGACGCCTTCTCAAATCAACAATTCTTCCGCCGTCGCCACTGTGAGTCTAACTTCAAGGTGCATCTTTAGGGTGTTGCGAAAAACAATAAGGTCAATCAAATAAAGATGCTGGGATATCAAAATAAATATTTTTCCGTAGGCAAACGAATTTTTAGATTTGCGTTACCCTTTTAAAGTCCCAGAGAAGTCTTTATGGTTCAATCGCCGGAGGGCCGGGGGAAGAAATCGCAAGCTGAGAATATTAAACTATTTTGCACGCCAGAGAGTTTTTGAAGCATTTCAAACAAAATTCTTGAATAATATTTCATAGGAAAGTAGTGATTCAGCGGTAGATATGAATACGTTGTTTTTATTTCAGACGTTCATCCAGCAAACGGTGGGCAACGGACCGGCATTCGCTGTGCCGGCTGTAGTGGGACTTCTTTTGGTCGGCACTCTTAATGGCGACATTTTCGGTTGGAGCAGGTTGCAATTTTCCCAATTCAAACATTTTTCCATTAAAAGTTCTCTTACCTGCAAAAATGAAAGAGCTAGAGGTACATGGTCGCCGGAGCACGTCGCGGAATGATGCCGACGGCTTTTTCGCTCATCCACGCCGACAACGACAGTCCCCGAGTCTCGGTCCTCACTCATGTGAGTTCCTCTCCTGCCTTCAAATAACAATAATCGTTTGAGACTATATTTTGCATCGGTTTCTCATTTTTGGGAGACACAGACCAGCTGGTGAACTACTTGACAGTCACAGGCATCATGACCACGATCTTCTCTCTCGCCGCCCTCGTCATCATCAAATGGAAGAACATGCCCGTGGCCAAAGATCCTGTCAAGGTTCTGACATTGCTCTTTACTCTGTTTTCGAAGGAATGTTCAGTTCCACATTGCCTGGCCCATCCTCAACATTCTCATCAACGTCGCTCTCCTGGTGATCCCAATACAGCAAGATCCTGTGACCTCTGCTGTCGGTTTCGGCATGTTCATTGGCGGCATCGGTATACTGTTTTCCCCAATAATCTTTAATCTTAGTTCAGTCGCTTACTTCATCATGAAGTTTGCTACACACTACTCAACTGTTTTCACGAAATTAGATGGTGAATCAGTCATGAAAAACAATACATTTGAAAAAAGTCGTTCAGAATGGACAACTTTCGTATGTCAAGTATTCTTTTGGACTGTCGTCGATTCGGGATCAAGGATCGAGATTCAAACAGAAGAAGAAAAGCAAACAACTAGAATGTAACTCTTCGATGAATTTTCAAATATAAAGTTCTCAAAATCAACCGTTTATTCGAGCAAGTCGGAAAATGTTAAGTGAATACGGCGTAGTCTTGAAAATGTCCTTAGAAGGACGAATAATCAAAGTCAATGAAGTGGAAACAGTTTGAAGAATAATAATAATTTAGATAATACCAATAAGAGTGATATGGCATTGTTTATCTACAATAGAATTTTCGGTTACTTCAAAATGAAAAGTTTTGAAACCTAAAAATATGAAGGAAATGTTTCAATGCTTTCAGCAAGCTAAGATAAACTTCGGTATTGCGAAAAGGATGAGCAACGAAGGAATCACTTTTTGGTGGAACTGTCGGGCGTGCCAGAACGCGAAGAACCGCGTCCGGAGCGAACGGAGGCGACGGAACCGCTGCGCGTGGAGGAGGACGTCTGTCCGCCGGCGACGCCACTCGCCATCGACAGGTTGCTGATGGATTTGCGAGCAGCGCTGCTCCCTCCCGAAGTACTCGGACCGGGGGCTCCGGGCACCTTCTGAGTCTGGCGGAACTTTTTCCACTGCTGCAACTTGTTGAGATTATCCCAGTAAAAAGTAGAAGTATCTTCAAAAACTAAATTATCATCGGGATATTTTGACATAACTTGCTCAAAATTAATATTATTTCCTATTTCAGTATATAAGTGATTCAGGGAAAATGCCTCCAGTTTTTGGTCAAATTTGTGATTCAGGGAAAATGCCTCCAGTTTTTGGTCAAAAAATGTAGATTGATTTAATAAAAGATTTTAATCACAACATTGTCTAAACTTCAGACTTTGAACTGTTCATAATAACACCCAGAAAATCGAAAAATGATATCGAGCCTTTTGATATTCTTGGTAGCGCCGCCACGCCTCCTCGCTGTACGCCTTCCGTTTTTGGGCAGCGATTTCAGCCGCAGTCAGAGCTCGAGCTACGGAAATTTCGTTGGAAATGACTTTTCGAGACGGAAAACTCACGTTTTTTAGGAGGAGGACTCGGCGGAGGAGGAGCAGGTTCTGGTGTCGGTTCTCTGAATTCGAAGTCAACTCTGGATTAGAAGTAATGCTACCTTGGAGGTGGAGAGGGAGTTTTTGGCGGCGAAGGACTCGGCTCTCTGGGAGTTGGCTCTCTCACAGGTTCAGGCTCAGGCTCTGGTTCCGGCTCGGGCTCTGGTTCTTCTGAATGGAGAGTTTAGAAATTCATCGAAAAACTTCGCATAATGTATTCTTGGCACTGCATCACACTTCAAAAATAACTAATTTGACTTGATAAAACACTCAGAAAACCATTTTTTGAGTCGAACTACAACCTTCAATTTCTGGCGAGGGAGTTTCTCTTGCTGGCGATGGTTCTGGTGATGGTGACGGTGTGGGATCAACTGGCTCTGGCTCAGGCTCTGGCTCTGGCTCAGGTTCAGGCTCAGGTTCAGGCTCAGGCTCGGGTTCAGGCTCTGGTTCTGGTTGTGGCATTTGAAGAGTATATTTAGGTTCAGGTCGAGGTGAAGGCATCGGTGTTGGCGTTGGATCACGGATCCAAGGCTCTAGAATTCATCAAAAACTGACAATGTGCATCGAAAAACGCTGTTCACAGTTTTATCATTGCAAAAGCAATCAGGACACTTCAAAAAACTGATTTTGTGCGTGTGTGAAAAAAAGAAGTGAAAACGTGCTCCGCAGAACTAACCGACGTCGTCGACGTCATCCATGTAACCGCCAATCTCCTCTGTTTCAGGTTGAAACGGTGGAGGCTGTAAGATACTCTCTTATCAAAAATTGGCTAGGTAAAATAAACTATAATCTGTCAGAAATCATTCAGAATTGATATAAAGCTATACGATGGACGTACCCGTAAAGTTTCGATTTCTCCTTCCTCCACTTTGATGGCTTGCTCGACAAAAGTATCGAGGTTGAGGTTTTTGACGACGTTTGTCGGAAGATTGAACTGGTCTCCGAGATTTTTCACCAGAGCTTTCATCGTTATTCTGTAAAGATCCAATGAAAACTCAGTACAGCTGCCTCAAGAACTTCTTTCCGCCGAACCAAATGGCGACGTTGCCGACGTTCTCGATCTTGCGTCCGAAGTAGTGCAGCTTTTTCAATGTGTCTGCCGCTATTTCAATGGCTATAGTTGTCAAAGCGAGTCCGATTGCGATGTAGACGATCGTCACCAGCATGTACGTTTCGCTGAAGTCTTTTTCTAACGAAATGGACCAGAAGAGAGGAAAACCTGCGCGGCACAATGTCGCCCAAGCCGATCGAAGTCAACGTCACGAAATTGAAGTAAACGGCTTTGAAAAAGTCCATGTCGGGCTCGTACGAAGCCAGCATGAAGCCACCTGAACGGGCTTGACTTTCAAACGATATTCTACAGACCGGCTGCGATGTAGACGAGGAAGAGGATGAAGAGGGACAAAGCCTGCGTCTCCGTCAATTCGTCTTCGCTTTCCTCGCTCTCTCCGCTATTCGTGCTGGCCGTGTCATCACCAAGCTTCAAGAAAATGAATTTTAATTTAAATCAAAATAAACCAACTTTTCCTTTTTCGAGAGCCTCTTCTTCAATTTCCTTGTCTGTCCAAATACCCTTGCAGGAGCCGTTTGGAAAGTTTTTCGGATATCGAGCCGAAAGAAGTTTCCTCCGGCGCTTGTATATCCTTTTTGCTTTCCTGATATGTTTTGGATTCTTATTTCTCCTATTTTTGTATACTCACTGGTACCACTTTTTGAAGAAATTCGTAGCCAACAGCATCATCTCGGAGATGAACTTTCCGAGATCTGCAATCGCGAGGAGAGTGAAAGGGATCCCCACGAGTCCGTAGATTATCACAAAAAGTCTTCCGCCGAATGTCCGTGGAGCAACATTGCCATAGCCTGAAAAAAAGGAGATTTTCGTTACCATTTGACCTCTTGCGACTGAAACTTAAGAACATTTATTCTCAAGAAAAAAAAATTAACCGATGGTAGTGATGACGGTGAAAGCGAAGAGCAACGAGTCAGTGAAAGACCAGGCCTGAATGGTCTCGACCTCGTCCTCCACCACTTAAAATCGACAAAACTGAGGTAGGGACGAGGAGCTGGACAAACCGGTCTCGACTTGCTCACGGCTGTTGGTGAAAAGCACGTGATTGACGTGAGTGTCGTGCTCGACGGCGACGTGATAACAGTCGTCCAGCTCCTTGACCAGCGCCTCGTCGAACCCGGTCACGCGGCATTCCTCCGACGATAACTTCTGAAACTCTTCGTCAAAAATTTCAATGTTTCTCTGCAAATATGCGTTCTTTCGAGATGAGAAGAAACTCGATAAACAGTGGTTTTACAGAAAAGTCAGACTGTTTAATGTGTTGGCGACTGAGATATATGTCCATCTCACAAATTATTGAATCGAAGTTTTCACCTTTATCGTCGATATGACGCAACGACGGCTCCGCATCACTTGGGCGGCTGCACGACGCTCGCGAGGACTCAAGTCTCTCAAAAGAACCTTTTGGAATGGGGATTTGGAAAAAAACGGCACTTTGTGAACTTCTCGATAACGTCATCCTCGGTTTCGTTGTGTCGCCGTCGACGCTTGTGCTTCGGACCGCTGTTTATCAGCCTCGCTATCCAATCTTGAAAAGGAAGGTTCGTAAACCCCAGTTATTTGATTTATAAGTAACTAGAATAAAGTAATAATAAAAAAATATGAACTAGGGAGACTAAATCCCTCTTAATTCGCAACCTCATGACCACGAAGTCATAAATAATCAAACCCATTTTATAGTCAGTGTGCCTTTAATTTTCATGCGTCAGAAACATTGTAGGAGTCGTTGAAATTTTTTCCCGCGAGATATATAAAGCTTTTTTCCAAAAATTTCACTACAGCTACTTTCTAGCTTCAAATTAAATATAGTTATCGTGGCTAAATAGTTCTGAGAACACAAAATAAGTTTTCGTGAAAAAGTAATTTAACCGGCGGTTTCTTGTGTCTCGTGGACAAAAGGAGCGTGACGTCGTTGTGGCGAGGCTTCTGACGGCATCTGGACGACGACGCGAGACTCCAGCTTTCGCATGACCACGGCGCCGAAGATGGCATACAGACCCACGCTAACCACCATCAGAAAGTGGACGAAGAGTGGCGTTGCCTGAAGTCCTTCCGTGAGATCAGTGCCATCTTATTCTTTCTTTTCCCGAAGGTCTCTCCCAATATCGCGGGCAGTCGCTTTCCAGTTCAGTCGCAAGAAAAAAACTCATAGGCTATTCTGATCGCAAAATTGAACATTCTTGCAAAATTTTTCCGTTTAAAAAAATTTGCATAAAAAGTTTTCAGTGAGTCATCACTTAAAGAACCACCCCTTTCTTGCGAAAATTAGAAAACTCTGTAACGAAAAATATTAAAAAAATTTTTTTGACGTGAATTACTTGGTGCAATTTTCTATTTGATGACTGATAATCTATGTTTCATACTGCGAGAATAATAGACAGCTTTTGAAAACGAGTTTGCATTTCATTGGTTATTTGATAATATGGCTATTTCCGCAAATGAATTCAACAAGTGTTTCTGTAACCGTTTTTCATTCATGTTATTTGCGTCTTCAACGTTAGTTCGAATATGAATAATCGGTGTCAATTGGAATTTTGACGATGGCTTACCCTGGTAATGAGATCCCCAGGACGAAGCAGTTTACTGTCGCGCTTCAACCGCAGCTTCATTCTCTCGGCTTACAAATGTGACAATAATTCATAACGGAGAAACAAATTCAATGGACAAAAAGCTTCAAAAGTCAAAGAGTTGCCAGGAGACGCGGAGAAGTACACGAGAAGAGAAACGACGTAAGTAGATGGTCCAGATAATGGCCTGCAAGGACAAATGAGGCTTTTCCCGCCGCTCAGGTAACCGCCTCGAGTACTCTCGACCTTTAGGTTTCGGATTTCAAATCTTTTATCCAAAATTTTGAGCAAAAATAATTCTTTCGAGGATTGGACCGCTAACACGTTTATAAGTATGCGGAAAGATTTTATTTTTTTTTTTACTAAAAAAAGGTTTTTTTTTTCGCAGTCACGTAGTTGCTTGCGGAGAAGCCGTAGATGAAACCAAAATATTTTTTTTTCGACCTTTTGGATTATTTATTCGAGCTGGGCGAAAAAAAAAACTGACTCAATATGGTTGGCGAGTAAATCGGATAAGAAATTTTCCTATTCATGTCTCGAAAAAAATTAAGTTCACATGAAAATAAACTTATTTTATTTTGCTCTCAATGTGAAAGTGGAATTTAACGCCGGCGTCAACATTTTTGGCTATTCTCGAGCTTTTGTCGAAGTTTTTTCACCAGTTTTCAACCTACACTCAAAGAACTTATGAAGTTCACTCTCCAAGAACTTCCATCGAAAAGGAAGAAAGACCTACGTTTTCTATTTTTCTTCGGAGCAAGTCTGAGTCAAATTTGAACGCCGCGCGTTTCTTTTGAAGAAAATTTTCACCTTTTAAATCTAATGTCTTTTCAAAAACGCTTATAAGGGCATGAGTTTTTAAACTAAAATATTTTCTGTTTAAAGCACGCATTAGTTGTGAACATTTCAAGCTTTTGGAGTAAAAATATGTTAGATTAGGGAGAGAAATGTTCACAGAAATCTCACGCAAGGATTTTTTTAGATTAGGTAACAAGATTCCTAGAGTTACATTTTTTTTCAAAATGAAGTTTTTCTTCTCAAAAACTATTCTGAAAAATTGAAAGAATTTGATTACAAAAAATTTCGAGGATGTGCAGAATAAGCAAGGCGACAGAAGAAAAGTTGGTTCGAAACCAAAGAAAAACGTTCGGTTGTGTCAGGACCTCTCCACTGTGGGCCATTGAGGTCATGAATAAATGACGGGACGTCGAAAACAATTGAGATGCGGGTCGGGACTGGAAGTTCATGATAGATTCTCGACTGGCAAATCGGCTCCCGGCACTTCCTCTCCGCACTTTGAACTCTCCAGCTAGCAGGACAAAACGATGTAAATCGAAAGATCTCAAGCAACTATTTGAGAAACATGAAGTCTATTGAACTTTGAAAAAAAGAGGCGAAAATGAATTTTATGGGTGAAGAGAGCCTCCAAAGGGACCAATAAAGGCCTCCAATTCAGATCTTAGGAAGCTGAACTAAATTTTTTCGATCAGGAAGAAAAATGAGGATGAGAAAGGGCACAAGACGAAGTGCTCGGATGTACTCTGACAAGGAAGTTCTTGCACTCGAAACTTTGTAATCTTTTGAAAATTGGCTGGAACACTCTTTGATATACTAGAGGAGTTCTTGAAAGTCCGAACTTTTTTTTCCATGAAAAGAAAAAACTAGGAAGTTTTGTTTCAATGTTTATGTGAGCTTTTAGAAATTCTGATATTTCGAGTTGGTTTAACATCTCTTTTCTGTCGGATCAGTTTTCATGATGTGAAGAGATTTTTTGAACTTTCCTTTGAAGGCGATGACTGTTTTTTGAGAAGTATCTCTACTCAATCCGATCAAAGCTTTTTTTAACCAAGAATTATTATATTGAGAAATTGACTTTGCTGAAAGATTGTGACCGCAAAGAAACGCACATTTAGACGGAATTTTTTAATTTTCTTTGCTCATTATGTTTTTCATTTTATGCGTGCAGAGAAACTCGTATATTGCAATATATTTTTCGGCGTATAATTGAGAAGGAGCTTTAAAATTGAGTGCTTGACCTTTAAAAAAACAGTATAGTTTGAGAGATTCCTTTTCATCGACGACACGTTTCGAACTTTAAGAATAATAAAAAGAACTGTTTTGACAAAACAACTAACCTTCTTTCCGGCTTTCTTGACCCAATCGAGCTGCATCTCGCTGCCGGCTTGCTTCTTCTGCCGAGTGACGTCTTCTGAATCCGACCGTCCTTTTTGCTTTTTTATCACCTCATCGGTCTCGCGAGAATTTCTGAAATTCCTATATGAGAACGAAGCAATCAGTGCTTTGCAATCGAGTCAAAAATTTTCCAAGGACGGTTTCCGATTCTCGAAAAAAGTTTTTCCTTGTCGCTTAATTAACGTTTGACTTCACGAATCGCTCAACTCATTCCGATCTTCAATACAACTTGGATTTGTTCGTAGGTAAAAGTCGCGAGGAGAGATACGGGCTCACATTGCCAAAACAAAAAACAGCTTCTCTTGGATTGCGAAAAAAAACACCTCGCTATTTTGCATAACCTTAAAAATAGTAAAATAGTATAGTGAAAACTTTCGCTCGATTTACCTTTAAAGCTCGTAGCAAAAACATACCTTTCCGATTGGGGCAAGGAACGTTTTTGCCCGACATTTTTGAAATATTCCTTTTGTTCATTCTTGGAATCTTCTAGACCTCAATTTTTCAGCCTCTAGCGAATTACTCGGGAAGTCTTCAAAATGAGAGTTTCATCATAAAAATAACTCCCATTTTTCTTCTATGAAGTTTTTCCCATTAAAATAAAGCTCAATGAAATGAAAAAAATTGGAAGTCATATTTTTTTAAATGACATTTTTTTACAGCTGACAACAAAAAATACAAAAATGAAACCAAAAAGGTTATCTGAAAATGGCAAATAAAAACCATGTTGACCATGATTTCACTGGTCAATCAGCGTTAGCTAATCGGTAGTAACTAATTAGCTAACGGGAAAAAAAAAGCTCAGAAAAGCCACCCGGTAGCGTAAGCCGGACTACATGGTACCTTTCCGGTAGTATCTTAGTACCTGTTAGCTCACAAACGGCCACCGATCAGCTTGAGCCGAAGGCCTTCGGAGTAGTACTTGTATCCTCCCAATCGACATATTTTTAAATTATACACATGGATTAGTTTCGCTTTGATTATTATTATCGGAAGCTGGCAGCTAAGATTTAGAAAAGGACCTTTTTAAAACCTTTTTGTGATGATCTTCATCACCTTCGAAGGGAAAGGTAAGTTTTATGAAGAAGAAATCACTATTGGGAAACGTAAATATTCTGGACATACTCAGAAAATGATCCCGAAAATGAAAAAGAAACACTTATCATTGGAAAAAAAAACCGCTCATAGGAGTTACAAAAAAGGGTGAAAAGTAAACTGTCTATTCGGGCTATTTTCGAGAAGAAAAAGTAATAAGCATCAACTTTCATGTTTTCGCGTTTGATTAGTGACAAATTTAGGGATTTCTACCTTTCTTTAATGAAGACGTTTCCTCACAAAAATTCCGATTTTTTCGAATTTATCCTGTTCAAGACCTTTGTGCTAAAAAGGGTTCAAAAAATTCAGCTCGACGGAGCCAAGAAGTCATCCTAATAAGGCAAAACAAATGAGAAAACGGCTGTAGACGGACGAAAAGTGAGTGCGGCGCTGACAAGACGCCAGTCCTAGCCGCTATTAAACTAGAGTTCGACGGAAAGAGAACAAACGCTGCATTCAAGGAGCCCAAAGTCATTACTGAAACCTGCTGGGGCGACTCTAAGTGCACGTATGCGCTGCATGGCGGAAATATTGAAAAAGAAGTGTTTTGGGCGGATGCCAATGGCTGGAATCAAAAGGCGAACTGAAATTGCTCCACAGCGCCGCCCATCTTTTACTGCTTATTTTTGAGTGGATCCAAGCAAGATCCAAGGTTAGAGCTGGAATTAATCATCTTTCGCGTGGTTATTGCAGAAAAGTTCAGTTTTTTTTTCTCTTCTACGGAGACAAACAGCAACTAATGAAAAGGGCACAAAAAACGGATAATTAAGCGAAAACTGACGATCAGAGCGTTTCTGTTCGAATATGCAATAGCTGAAAAAAAAAATAATTGCTCTGAAAACGCTTCGAAGTTCAATTAACTTGTTCTTTCTGGAGCTGAGATCCTCTTGTAAACATGATTCAAAAAATTTTCTATAATTGAGGTTTTGTTGAATTCAACGTTTCACTCAAATTGTCCGCAAATTTCTCAAATTCGATGGCTTCTAAGCAGCTTCAGATTTCAATACATCTTTTAAAAATCTGGAAAAATCCCTTTGCCCACAGTTCGGCACGAAATTATAAGTGAAACTTTGCTGAACCATCCTCATTCTGTCTCTGCAAAAATAGAGAAGCGATTTTCAGCCCATTGACAAGGTACACATGGGAGTCTGGAAGACAATTAACTGTATTCAAGAGAATGCACTTTTCAAAAACAAATATATAAATAACAGAGTGACTTCGATTGTGATGAATATATCAATCGTTCAGGTACATAGTTTTGATATGAAGGAAAATATCTGCTTTAAAGCCCCGCGAAAAGAGCACTTTGCATTAAAGTTGCTCTATAGACAACAGGCTTCGTCATCTTCCGGATTTTCGCTTTTTTCTTCGTTTCTTTCAATTTTCAATTTTTTCTGTTGCCACCAAAGTTCTTTTCGTCACAAAAAATTTCTATTCATGTATAATTTGCAAACTTTGATCGCAAAAATGCTTCTCTGGTGAAAAATGATGATTTTACACAGGTTTCGATTGGGATAGCGATTATTTGTGTTTCCTTTATTATCGGTGTGTGTTTTCTGTTTTCTTAATTGATTTTTCAGAGAAGAAACCCTTAATTTGAAGCAGATATCCGGTTATTTCTCACAAAATGCGAGTCTAATGAGACGTCCGCAACCTCGCGTGCACGGCTACTGTAAACATTTGTCTGCATACCGATCCAAAGCTTTTTTCAAAATTAAAGGCGGGAAAGTAAAATCACGTTTTTCTTCTAAAGTGGTCACATATTTAATTTTTTGAGTACACCATTCGATTCGGGAAGAAAAACTATATGAGATACTGCCTTCACCTGAAACCCCATTTTTTACTGCCCCTATGACTTTAAAAAAGCCAGAAACATAGCGCAGGCTAGGCGAGATTGGTCATGAGAGCCGTTCGTATTGCAAAGCGTCCCACGGAAAAGCCAAAAACAGAAGTAAATTTTAGTGATAGTACCGATTTTTTTTCTTCAATCAAAAAATTAATCATGAAAGCTCTCGAACGCAGCGAAAAGGCGAAAAATTTATAAAAGGTTGTAACATTTTTATTTAGAACATTTTTCTTATCATCTCTAATTTAAAAAAAAAATCAGAATTAATAAACCCCTAACTTTTTTTAAATTTAGTTCGGTGTTCTGACATTGCATTTCAGATCCATGTATAAACTTTTTTCTACCTAGCCGAATTCGAAAAAAAGGGCAGAAAAAAAGTAGCCCTAACGCCTTACACTTTTTTTCTTTGCGGTTATTTTTTTCTTGTCTGTCATAAATTAGTCATTATCTATATCCTTTCCGATAGCTTTTACACAGATTTGGCTCGCTTAGCCTCGAAAGTTCGATGAGCGTGGCAACCAACTGATAAAAATTGTATTTTTAAGGTCGTTGTGAACAAGTAAGTTTCAAATAATCAATACTTATGCGGCAAACTCAGATGATTCGTGTTTTTTTAGATTAAAAAAATCACATTTATATTCTCATTCATGAATTAAACCTGGTTCATTCAGTCTGCGATTAAGATGAGTTATTTTTTCATATTTATTAAAAACTTGAGGGTGCTCTAAATTCAGGAAATCATTTTCGGTTAAAAAACTGAAAGAATTTGTTCATCGATTTTTTCTCGCTGAGTCAAAATAAATTGTGGTCAAAAAAATCACAACCTCCGGAAAAATCGCATTTTGAGAACCATCGTAAGGCTGAGCAGATCTTCGCAGGCTCGGGACGGCGAATGAACGCCTTTTTTGGTGTTCACATCAACCGCCCGCCCTCTCCGCCTGATTTACGCCGAGTCTCACTTTCGGTTTCGACTTGATTAAATGGTTCCACATGCAAAAGCTCTCGTCACAAATTGAGCCTACTTTAAAAGCAAAGAATCACTGAATTCGTTGTTTTGTTGCCAGATAAAACTGCAAAACAGACTTGAGACAGGGAAACTATGCTTCTGCCTTCCACTGCGCTCCCGCTTCGCAAGAAGCTTGCATTTGTGGCGAATTCTAGATTGAAAACAGTAAATTATACAGCTGAAGTCGAAATAGACAAAGATCTAGCGACTCCCCTTTTAATTCAAGTCTAAATGCTTTTTTTCCACATGTTCTTTCTAGACCTAACTCAGACCTCTTTTATTTCAATTCCTGATAATTTCAAGTCAACGAAACAAAAATGAGCTGAGGACATCCAAAAAATTAAGATACAAGGTTTTCACAATGGAAATTATCCCGTTAAATTTCTTTCTTTCAAAAAGTGAGATATTAATTTACGGTGAAGACTATCATCGGGGAATTTTGATGTTTTTTTTTACCACAATATATTGGTTGAAGCAATTAAAATGCAGGCGAGTGCCTTCAAAGCATTTCAGAAACAAGTTTTTAATGTGGATCTGATGAAAAATAAAAGCTGAGAAAATGTTTCAATCGTTCTCATTATGTTTAAATGGTGCGAAAAAACTCTAATTTTCAAATTCTGACGTTGCAAACAGAACCTCACAGGTAAATGACAAAAGGGTTCGTGAATGTAAGATTGACAAAGAAGATAAATCCATTGATGGAAATGAAAGGACAAACCTGAAGAAGCGCATAGCGTCACCGTCTCTTTGGGCTCATTAAAAGCACATGTGGAGCCTGAGGCGGCGGTTTTCTGGCAAGACATTCGTCTTCCGCAGAAACATCTTGGGCGTGATCGTCTCGATTCTTGTCCTCTTTTCTGATGGGTAGGCGTTTGTTCACCAATAGGCATTTCAAACACGGAGCTCATGATTCTGAAAAGTCAGAGAAAGTGCCAAAATAATTGCTTGCCGTGTTAAAAGTCGATAAGTGAAGACGAAAAGCGAAACCAAACAATACCAGTTTTGAAACTTACATTGCTATTTTCGTTCGTGCTTCACAGGGAACAGTTTTGCAGCACAAATTTCGAGTTCGATAATGATGATGAATCAAAGGAAAACCTTGAAAGTTCACATGCAAAAGAGACTTGAGAGGCTTCTTCTTCCTGGACTTGTTCTGGTATTGAAAATCTTTGATCGAAATTTAAAAAAAAAACATCAAGCTTAAAATGATTGCAATTACTTCTTGCTTCTCCTTTTTTTCCAATCACAATCCGAAGAAATGCTCGTTTTCAAATGACAAATAGTCTGCAGGACACAAAAGCGCCGAAATGGAGGGTTTTCTTTGATGTGCAATTTGAGACGCTGAACAATCGCCTTGCAAATGACGAGCTTCTAATTATTCATCAACAGGTGTACTGAAGACAATAGAGATGCCCCTTCACGCGGGAAAAAGACGGATGATTTCGAAAACTCTTGCATTGAAATCGAATCTTCATTTGGAGATTGTACAAGGAACGTTTCATCAAGACGGAACAAGTATTATAAGTGAACCCTGATAAATAAACAAGTCTAAGATGCATTTGACAAGATTATGAACATAAAGAGGCTAAGTAGGAATACAGATATGACACGAAGTTTGTAAGCGATTGAAAAGTATTCAGATTACAAAGGTTTCTCATTTTCTCGGACCAAAGACCTGAAAAACGTTATTCTTGCTCAAATTATTACGTTTATCAAACGCTGAGAGAATATTTTCTACGCTTCTTTTTTGTTTGCGAGCGTTTGAATTTCTAGCTTCCAGGATTCTCATTTCAAGGTCGCCGAAAAAAGCGAAAAAAGCTAATTTGCTCCAAAAAACCCATGAAAGGAGCGGAATGGGAAATTTCGATAGAAAGGCAAGATTGTACAATCATTTTGGCACTTTCAACCATCCAACAGAAGTAGGAGAAACCGGAAAATATGAGAACAAGTTACCTGTTTTGTTTTTTCTCTGTTCAAGCTTCCACGACAAAAACGTCGATTTCTCCCTTGAATCCGAATCTGAAAAATTGCCAATAAAAAAAAAAGAAAGACCCACTTAAATAATAGCTAATCTGCTCCAAAACTCCAAAACTGAATTATTTTAAATCTATCCTTTTCATAATTACTTTTTCTCTATCCCTCCTTCTTCATTGAGAATTGACTTCTCTCAGATATGTATAAAGACGATTCAGACATTTTCCTCTTGGTAAGTAACAGAAATGAGTCTGTCAAATATTATTAATTTCAATATGTTGATGAGTTCTGTTAGAATTTTGTTTAAAAACCTCAAAGATTTGTGAGTTTTGGCCATGTGCTCGCTGAGACTCAGGCCGAAACACTCGGCCACTTTCTGGAGGTCTCTTTCGCTGTGTCTCACCACGATCGAGCTACTGAATTCAGATTTCGATTGAAACTCTAGTTAAAAAAAACTTCTTATGGTCCATATTCTGCTCGAAAAAGTCCTTCCACTTACTGCACGTCAATTCTTCTAAGCGCGCTGTGAAAGCCTTCAAGAAATCAACGGGTATTTAGAAAACTTTGAAAAACATTTAACCGCTGTTTCTATCAGATGTGTCACGTGTTGATTGTAAGCCAGCTCCGACTCGAACTCGTGTGATATTGTGGATATGTTAGTACTGTAAAGACAAGATTTGGGGGACAAAGAAAGA